ATCCTAGTTCCGGGGTAATATATTAATTTCCCCGGGGGGGTTATATCCTTTCCCTTATCCGATCGTTTCCTTTTATCGATAGATATAGTTAGGGGAGGAAAGGTAGTATCTACGGGTTATATGGATTATATAGCCTATACGGCCCGTAGCCCGTTTAAAAGCCTATCGGCGGATATAGCGGATATCCGTATAGCGGATATCCTAGGGGTAAATACGGATATAGGTACCTAGTAAGGGAAGGCGCGAATAACGGTAACTAAGGTACCTACGGTAGTTAGAAAGGCAGAGGTACCTTAAACGCTTATAATAAAGGTACGTTTTATTTAAGGGAGGGGTTATTAAGCGTTACCGGGATATCGATTCGGGAAAGGGGAATCGGTTAATTAGGTTAAAGCGCTAGCGGGGGGTTAGGTAGCGATCCCTACTAGCTCCTAGCTAATCCTACCTACTATAGTCTTAGTATTAGCTCGTTAAGGGATCTAGGGTAAAGAAAGCTATATCTAAGCGGGGTTTCGAACTACGGATTAACGGGAATAAACGAGGGATTACTTCCGTACGTAGCCCTTCGGAGCGGAGTAAGGGTTTATTATTTAAACGACTCCGTTATTACCTATCCGAACTAAGATAAGCCTTATTTAAAACGAATAAGGAAGGTAGGGGTAATTAATTTAAGATATATTATTCCTTAGTTAGTTTTAATCGTTAGCGTTTTTTATACTAGCGTATTAAGTTACTTAACCTTAGCTATTTAGAGTTCCTAGTAATTCTAGGTCGGAAGGCTTCCCGTTCGTATTAATTCGGCGAGTTTTCGGGAGTATTTCGCGTTACTCCTTCCTACGTAAATACCTTACTTCATTAGAGTATTTCGTAGGAACGAATAGAGGACGGCGGGCATTAGTTCGAACTCCCCTTTCCTATAGCCCCGGAATAATATTTAATAGTCGTAGAGGGCTTCGTTTATAATACGTACGTTTAAGGTATTAATATTTACTACCTCGAAGTCCGTTATTACTATTAGCGCTTATATTACCTTTTACCGTAAGTTAGCGGTTTCCGGTACGAACTATTACCGTCTAACTACTTATAGATCGAATTATATTATTATCGCGTCCGGTCGTCCTATAATAAGTCTAAGAAGCTCGCGGAGTTTCTTTACGTCCCTTAGGTCCTAGCCTTTTAGGGGTCCTCCTAGCGGTTTACGTCTAAAGATAGGTACGGGGTTTCTAGATTCGCTAGGTCCCGGCTTTATTCGCTATTATTAGGGGGCTATCTCTCTTTTAGTAGTTCCCTAGGCGGAGGTTTTAGGTACCTTTAAGTTTAATATGGTACGTAGTTTCCTAGGAATTAATACGAAGGAGTAGAGGTTATTACGATATAATAATAAAGAAAGAGGTAGGATATAAAGGTTTTTAAAAAGAGGCGGATAGTAATAAAAGGTAGTAGGAAAATTCTTCTTTTGCTAGTATCGCTTATATTATTACGGTAATGGGGATCCCCCCGATTAAAGTAGTAGTAACTCTTTTAACCTTGCTAATCTATATTACTAATTATCTAGTAATATTAATTAATATTAATAGGTACGTACGTAAGGTAAAGTAAAGTAAATAATAAATAGGTAAGAAACGATAGGGTAAGATTAGTTATATTAAAATGTCTATCTCTTATAACTACCTCTTGTTATAGGTAGAGGATTAGGTTGATCCTTATATGCCTATAGGCGTTACGTAATAGATACATAGTACTTAATTAACTCTCCTCGATCGTTAACCAACCATCATAGACCTATACGGACCCGATTAAGCTTATAGGGATATATACTTTTATAGAAGGAATACGTAAACGCCGTACTAGAAAATTAATAATTTATATAAGCGTTATTAAATTAATCCGAATCCCTCGTTACGTAATCCTTATACGGATTACGTAACTTCTTATTCGTATATTACTTATACGAATTTATATTAACTTAAGTAAGCGTAATAAAGGCCGCGAGGGCCGATATCTTCTACTAGCGATTTAGCTCGAGCTTAGGTAATATACGGCCGCCCCTTTCTCGGAGCTCCTTAAGCTTTACTAGGCGTATAAGGTCTTAAACGGAATTAATTAAAGCCGTACGGACTTAATCTATCTATAACTTACCTCTTAACCCTCGATTAATTCTCGTATATCATTATACTTACTTATACGGAACTAATCGACTACCTAACTAGTTAGCGCGAGCGTATTCTTATTATCGACTAGCTCTACGGGGCGCTATAGCTCCATACCCGCCTAGGATTAGTAGTATAGGGCTAGAACGCCGTCGGACATAGCTATTCTAGCTCGTTTTCGCTTATATAATCTTAATCTTACTTTTTATAACTTATTTCGATCTATAAAAATATATATAAGTAATAAACTAACCTATATACGTCCGCCTAAGCTCGTATAAGCTCGTATAAGTACCATTTAAAACCATAGTTCTAAAATCTCTATCCCTAGACCTATACTTAATATTAATATGTATAGATTATTATAAAGATTTTAAAACTAATAGAATTTTTAATGGAATCTAATTACGCGTATTTAAAAAACCAATTAAAAGGTAATAACTTACCGGGAGTTATTATAGGAAATAAAGGGGATAGAGAAACGCTAGTTTTTTTTAGGTTAAGATCTACCTATTAGCCGACTAACCAGAGGGTAGCTCCTTCCCTACGTATAATTAAATATTCCTATACCTTCCTACCTACCTACCACACCCCTAGGGTATACGTACCGAAAAGTGGAGTTTTTTCCCAGTTGCAGCTATGCGACTCCGTACACCCTACCGCCGGGTGCCACCAGCACCAGCACCAGCACCCGTCCAAGGTCGTCTTCTGCGCGCGTACGTATCACAATAGTTAGGTATAATATGTACGTGTATGCACGGGCACGGAGCCGCTCCGCCTCTGCCACAACTACATCAATACCTACCTTAGATACCTGGCTACCCATGTACATACCTCGACCTCCCGTTCGTCCACGGGATTTGCGGTTCTTGCGGGGAAAGAGGGGCGAGACGCTGTCGCAGTGGAGCGGAGTGGAGCGGTAAGAAGAGGGGGGGGGGGGGCAGGGCGAACGACGGGTTGATGGATGGCGGTGGGGAAGAAGCAGGGGGGCGGCGAAGACGAAGAAGAAGGAGACGATAGAGAGGGGAGGGGGGCGGCGGGTCATCTGTCAGTTGTAAAAGGATGTGGCTATCGCGGCGACTATCGATCGCGGCAGCCAATGCCTCCCGCCCACACACGCACTGGCTGGGGCGCGCGCCCGGCGGACCGGCAAGACGAGAGAATGGGACGATGGGACGAGATGGCGATGGCGATGAGATGGCCGCCGGCCTGCTCCTCCTCCTCCTCCTCCTCTTCCTGCTGCTGCCCGTACAGTACGGACCGAACGCGACGCAACGCAACGCACACGCACGTAGTACGTACATACCTAGCACGTGCGGGGACGGCCAGGACAGCCCTCCACGCTGGACACGACGACGTCGCCAGGTCAGGACGGTGAGGCAGGGTCAGCGAGCCAACCCGGTCCCCTCCCTGCCCTGCAACCCCCCCCTCCACCTCTCTCTCCCCCGTCGCGCGGTGACAGGTGGCCCGCGCCGAGTCGTATCGCGGCCGCGTTGCGCGCGAGACAGGGCCGCGAGGAGACGTGTGCGCGCAGCAGCAGCAGTAGCAGCAGCAGCGGTAGCGCGAAGGGGGGAAAAGGCGAGCGGCTCCCGTTTGCGTACTGTGTCCATCGTTCGTTCGTAGTGCTCTCTCGGCGCCCTTGCCCCCCCACCTCGCTCTACCTTACCTACTTCCCTCAGTCTGTCTGTCTGCCGGTCGGTCAGTCGATATACCTAGGTGGTAAGACGGGGCGTCGCGTGGGACGCTAGGTGTGCGTGCTGTGCTACGTGTGCGTTCTCCCCGAGCCTCCAGCCATCCCGCCATCCCGTCTCGAGCCGGCTCCACACGTGCGAGCGAGAAGGTAGAGCTACCTAGTGCGACGCGCCCAGAAGGGAGCGAGAGCGAGAGCGAGAGAGGGTGAGAGGAGGGGAGAGAGAGGTACTGCACATAGCTCCGAGTTGCCTACTTGGTCAAGTGCATACGTAAGTATATGTGCACGTCGACATGTATAATCGCACTGTACGCACGTGTGGAGGCGGTGCGTATGGGATGTGCGGTGTCGCGTACCCGGGGGCCCGGCTAGCACGGGGAATGGATGGGCCGACATCTCGGACGGGGAATGCCGGCCGGGAGGGTTGAGTGAATGGTTGGTGATATGAATTGCTGGTCGATAGGTAAGTCAACATCCTCGCAGACCAGCAACACGATCCTAGGGTTATGCACTTATGTATGCATCAGGAATGGTCTCTATGTGCGCAGGCAGCATGTTATGCACTCACTTTACCGCCGCAATGATGCTGAGAGGTAAGTCTAGTATCCAACCTACACAGTGCCATCCATCGTACTATTACCGCCTACGCATACCCACTACAATTATCACGCACAGGCGTTTGCGAGAGGAACCAAGTTATGATGACGGAGAGTAATAAGACTTTAAAAATTACCATTTCCAATTCTATGACCGCTTGTTCAGGACAACCAAACCGACAAATTCCCGCCCCATCCTGGTCTTCTTCCCTTCTTTATGACCCGATTTTCTCGCTCTGCTCTCTCACTTCCCCCTTTCATTCTCGGCCTCCCGACGCTCGCTCGCTCGCTCTCGCCCGCCCCTTGCATGTAATCGCCCCCCCACTAGAGCTTGTGCTCATTAATTTGTTGTCTAGATATTGCTCCGGTCTCCCTGCCCTGCCCGCCGGATACACAGCCTATGATTCGCCGAGGAAGAAGAAGAAAAAAAAAAAGAAAAGGACCCAAGAAGATGGGAAAAGAGGATGGATTTACACGTGGTGACAAGATATCAATGCGATGGTAATGATGCTGATGCTGATGCCCCGCCCACCCCCCTAGAGATTAGAAAAGGAAAGAGTACGAGAGAAAAAATAAATGTAAAAATAAAACAAATTCTACACGTAATATGACAGGCGCTCGATCGCTCTCTTGCTCGCTCTCCTTCGCTCACTTAATACACAGGTACGCACTGCACACACACACACCGACAAAGTGTTAGGTGGGGATGATGGTGGGGAGAGGAAATACATTGCGGACATGGTTGCTTCGTTTTTTTTTATGCATTTGGTTTGTTTTCTTGGCTCGACAAAGGAGAGTGGGAACAAAGGATAAAAAGGCGAGATATGGAGGAAGAGAGGTAGAGAAGAGGGGGATTGCTTTTTTTTTTCTTCTTTTCTATGTGTACATTATGCGTGCGTGTGTATGTGTGGTATAGGGGGGGGGAGTAAGTAAGACTTGCGACTAGCAAGTCAGTGCAAGAGCGAAGAGGGAGAGAGATGATGGAGAGAGCGCTTCGACCCAAGACCCCAAAGACCGAAAATCAGAGCTGGAACCTCGGCCCCGAAAAAAAAAACAAGTTGCGGACGTGCTCCTGGTGAACAGGCGCGAGATAGGAGAGGTAGAAATCATGGAACAGGCAAGGAGATGATAGATAAAGAAAAAAACGAGGAAAGAATCCTGATCTCTTCACGTCGCATCGCATCGCATAGCATCGCATCTCCTCGTGTCGTGTTTCCCTCGTCCCTCGTCCCTCGTTCTTCGTCGTGCTCGTCTCTCTGCTTGTGTCGTGCTTCGTTTGCTTTGGTGGGTGTTTTCCCCCTTTTGCCTTTCCCCTTTTCCAAACCACTCTTCAGGTTTCGTTTCGTGAATAGCTATTCGTAGCTCGTGCTTCGTCCGCAGGCGTGGATATCGGCAGTGTTAGCGATATCGGTGGTTATGTTAGTGAGCAGTAGTTGTGCCAGTAGCCGGATCGTGTGTTTGCGTAGTGTGGTGTAGTCGTGATGCGGCGTGTGGCAGAGCGGTCTGCGGCGGCGGCGGCGGTGGTGGTAATGATGGCATGGGAATGGCATGGGGTTGTGTATATAGTGTATGTATGTGTGTGTGTGTGGCGAGGTGTGCGTGGCATATCTCTTCTTCCTTGGTCTCCTTCATCTATGCGAGCTCCAAGATTTCGGGTTGGACTTTGTCTTCGTCTTCGAGGGTCCGTCACCGTGCTTCCCGTGCTGGTGGATGCAGTTGCAGTAGCTGTCTTCGACCACCGAGGAAGCCTCAGAGAGTCAATCGCTGCCGCTGCTGCTGGTCCGCAGCGCGTCGCGCGTCGTCACGTACACGCCGCTCTTGTCGGCCGGGTTGCGCACGAAGATGAGGCTGCTCGACGGCGACCGCGTCTGCGACCGCTTGTGGCTCGGCGCCCGCGAGCTGCTGCGCGACTTCGACCGGCTGTGCCCGCTGCAGCTCGACGACGGCTGCTGGACCTGAGACTTGTGCAGCAGCAGCTCGACCGCCCGGTCGTTGGCGCTGTTCAGCTGCTCGCTCGTCACGTCCAGCCGCACCAGCAGCGACTGCACCTGGTCCGCCAGCCCGGGAACCTTGGCCGCCTCGGCGCGCAGCTCCGCTACCTTGGCCTCGAGACTCAGCTTCTCGAGCTTCAGCGTCGCGACCTGGTCCGCCTCCGCCTGCAGACCCCGCGCCTTGGCCTCGAGTTCGGCCTTCTCCTGCGCGAGCTGGCTGACCTTGTCGGCTTCCGTCCGGAGGCCTGCCTTCTCCCGATCGAGCGTCGAGAACCTGTCTTCGAGCTCCCGGAAGCTGCTCTCGAGCCTCGAGATCTCAGAATTCTGCTCGACAGCTTTCAGGCGAGCCGCAAGTCCCTCCTTCTCGTCCCGTAGGGTCCTGGTCGTGTCCTGGTATCTGTGGACGTCGGCCTCGAGGCCCCTAGTGCGCGCCTCGAGGTCTGCGTTCTTCCGGCGCAGCTTGCTGAGATCGTCGCTCACCTTGTCGAAGTCGACCGTGCGAGTGATGAGCTGTTCCTTGTCCGTCTCGAGCACGCTGTTGCGCACGCGTAGCTCGGAGAGCTCGCTCTCCATGTTGACCAGGTTGGCTCGCACTTCCGTCAGCTGGTTGTCGAGCTCGAGCCGTTGCGACGCGAGGAGGAAGTTGGCCTCCTTGGACCCGCCTACCTCGGCAGTCAGGCCGTCGATCTGCGTCTGCTTGTCGCTTAACTCGGCCCTGAAGCCCGTGACCTGCCTCTCGAGCTCCCGCCTCGAGGATTCCAATCGCTCCTCTAGATCGCCCTTGGTCGTCTCCAGCTGCTTGCCGAGGTCGTACTTGGCGTTGTCGAGTTTCTTCACGAGATCGTCCCGATCTGCCTTAGCAGCGTCGAGTTGAATCTTCAGCTCTCGCTTCTCGGACTCGGCGGCATCTAGCTGCTTCCTGAGTATGTCACTGCCAGCCTTCTCTAACCAGTTGTCCTTTTCGAGAGCCTGCTTGTCGGACTCGAGGGCCTGTTTGTCGGACTGAAGTGCCTCCTTGTCAGATTGAAGGGCTCTCTTATCGGACTCGAGCGCCTGCTTGTCGGATTCGAGGGCTTGCTTGTCGTGTTCGAGTTCTGCAATCTTCCGCTTGAGGACCTCGATCTCTTGTTCGATGCCCCTGACCTTCTCGTCGAGGGCGGCCTTCTCGCCGCGTGCATTGTTGATCTGACCCCGCAGCGACTCCTTCTCGTCCATCGCCTCCCTAAACTTCTTAAACGGGACTCGGTCGGTCTCGAGGGCCTTGACCTGCGCCTGGAGCCTCCTGGACTCGTCCCAGGCCGTGTCGCGCTCGATCAATACTTCCCTGAGTTCTCGGTCGCGGGAGTCGACCTGCCTCTCGAGGTTTGTGGTGGTGGATTCCAAGACATCGATGTCGTGCCTAAGCTCGTCCTCGTGGTGGTGCCGATCGGCGTCTCGCTCCGCCAGCTCCCTCTCGAGCATGGCGACCTGCTTCTCGAGCTTGTCACGGGAATACCTAAGACTATCCCGATCCTTCTCGACCTTCCGCAGCTCGTCCTGCTGCAACTGGAAGTCGACGCGGAAATCGTCCGATATCCGCCTCTGCTCGTGCAGGTCTCGGAGGATGAGCTCTTTGGTATTCCGCTCCAGGTTAAGGGCCCGCACGATCTCCATATTCTGCTGCCCCCTGGTCGTCAGCTGCGTTGAGGCATCGTCCAAGTCCCTGCGTAGAGTCTCGGTCTCCGACTCTAGCTGCTCAAGCTTACGCACGAGGCTTCTGTCGGGGCGCCGAGCCAGCTGGAGCTCCTTGGATTGAGATGGAGAGTTCCGCGGCACGGCGGTGTTTGCCGTGGCGGTGTTCGTCGTCGACGGCACGAACTGGATGTGAATCGTTCTCTTGCTCTTGGTGCTGTGGGCGGAGCTCTTTCCCACTGAGCTCTTGCTCACCGAGCTCCGGCCGGATTCCGATGGCGCCTTGGAGGACCGCGGCCGCGACCTGACCCGGTTCGTATGCAGAGGCGCGTGGCGTACGTGCCTAACCAGAGTAGATGGCCGGCTGGGCTTGCTGGGGGCATCGGATATGACGCTCGTGGCCTGGGTGTTGCTGGAGAGGTTGGACGACGTAGACTGGGAATCGGTGTCGAAGTCGCCGCTGTAGCTGTTGTTGTCCGAGGGGTAGGTGGGTGATTCGGGGGGTGATAGGGGGTGCATCTGCTCAGGCCTGGGAATTCTGTAGAAGCGTGCGGCAAGAGGATCCTGCGGCCGCGGTGGCGGCGGTGGGGGCTTTGCCTTCTTCAAGATGCCTTTCGGCGGGATCGGCATGGACGTCGTCCGGCTAACCGACATCGTTTCCGCTTCAGAGTCTCTCGCCGTCGCAGGTCGTGAGCTGGGCCGAGGCGGCTCAGGATATGCTGGGAATCCGCCGGGAATGGCGTATCCAGCGTCCATGGATCGACCGGTTCTGCCGTCCATGTCGGTGGTTTGCTTTTTCCCACTACTTATTCAAGTAGTGTTTTCTATCTAGGGAGTTGGTCGTATTCCGTGTCGAATTGGTAGAGTAGTGTGACCGATGTATGCGCGTAGCTCAGCGGTATCACTGCGGTTTGTTGCGTAGGAGAGAGTGCGTTGTGGTGATGGACCATCTCGCTGGGCGTAGTGAGGGTTTTTGTTGTCGTCTGTCTAGGGATTATAAGACAAGGTGAGGCAAACGGGCGTGTAGCGAAGAAAGGGCTCCTGTTGGTTTTGACTGGCGAGCATAGCATCAGGAGACGCCCCAGTTAGAAGAAGGCTGACGGGTCCTTCAACAGTGCCTGGGGATGGGACGGACGGAGGGAGGGGGGGGGGGGTGTGTGAAAGTGGTAGAAACCCACACAGACTGCCTAGTCTAGCCGGTCCCTCTGGCCCCGTCTGCCGCCGCTGCGACCTGCAATACGTAGACAAGACGGCGGACCGCGTGCTGGACCAGGATCCCATCGCCGGGTCTGGCTGGCATCATGTCTGCAAAATTCTGCAAGGGAGGCCGCTGTCCGTACACTTGAGTCACCCAAGGCGCCCAATGGGTGCGGCGAACGTTGCCCAACGGGTCCCGTAGCCTAGATGTAGCCACAGTAGCCCGAAAGTGTCGTCCTCGAAGGGGTACAAGACTCTACATCGGTCTATAGCATCCTCCTAGCCCACCCGATGGCAGCGTTCCCACCCACGGCCACCACACGCCCACCCGTAACCAGACAGGATCGTACATGCTCCCAGCGAAAGGTGTACCTGGTGAGCAAAGGGGGCAGCGAGAGGCTGGATCAGATGCCCGCCTGCCCAACGTTGGGCATGAATGCATCCGTGTAAGATGATTGGAGGAGCGCCAGGTGACCATAGTACGCGGCCCACCCCTTTATATTCGCCACTTCTCCTCTGGCCGGTGACAAGTCAGCACTTAAAGAGAGAGAGGGAGGGAAAAAGACGGGGAAGATCGAGTGACGGGAGAAAAAAAAATTTAAGCCCTGATATCTGTGTGCGTGTGCGCGTGTTCGGTGCGTGTCTGTGTGTGATCAGCCACTCCAAGCCCTCATCACCCCCCCCCTGAGGCCTATCGGACACGATTCTTTGCTGGCCTATGACGTCGTTGCGTGCCCTTTCTGCCCTACCCGACTTACCAATTCTTCCCAGTTTTGCAAATCCCTTTTGAATTTCCCGATCGAGAGGGTCGTGAGGGCGGAGGAGGGGCGCCGGCTTGCTGGCGGACGAGGGCTGCGGGATCGTGTCTGGCCATCTACAGGTACCTACCTGTCTGGCTACCCTGACTCGGTGGATGGCGGTAGACTTGATTCTGACGGATTATACGCGGCGGGTAAGTCTACATTCGCACTTGCGAGCACTTGCACGCATCTACACATGTGCATACATACATATATACACACATGTTGATCCATTCTACACTTACAGCCGTAGAGAGTTGAAGGGTTTCGGAGTTGCGGACTGTATTGAGATAGGCAGGTACGTAACTAACCTCGCAACGTATGCATAACTGCATAACATATAAGGTACTAGCTAGGTACCTATCTAACGTAATACAACTACCTGATATAGGGCAATGCGTAAGATCAATACTTGGAGGGTACTTCTCCCATTGTGAAGGTATCAGCATAGGTACTTGGAGGTATCTACACAGGCCTGTAGATAAATACCTATAAATACGTGCAAATGTGTATATACACCAATGCATCCATCTACGCCTCCCCATTCCCTTCATCCCTCCGCTATCCCTACATATCGCATTGTATCCGTAACCCGTTGCTTCATCCGCCACTTCACGTACTCCTTACCCCCCTCCGGCTCCACTCGTTCAACCACCCCCCCTTCCCCCCCCCCGGCCCATCCATACAGTATGGTACGTGCAACGCAGGCCAGCGCCATACGAAACAATATATAGCCATGCGGTAAGCGATAGGGGGAGGGAGACGGAAGCAGAGAAAGGGAAAGAGACCCGGTCTAGTAATCCATATTTTACGGCAATCATTGACGATAGCCCTCGCCAGCACGGCGCATGGGCAAAATACACACAATACTATCGAGATATATGGGATTCTATGGGATTTATTTGACGTGTGGCCAGCCCAAAGAAGCCAACCGCAGACGCGCCATGGGCCCTCCCGAGCCACACGCTTTTCTGCGTCTGTGTCCGCGACGTTTCCCAGCCTGACACGGACCCCATCCTGGCCCTCGTTGAGTCGCCAATGGCGCTGGCCGCGAGGTGGGTGAGACCAGATCAGGACAGGCGTTGTTCGTGTCTGTGTCCGCTGCCCGTGTCCGTGGCCTGTGGTCTGTATCTGTGGTCTGTGTCGACCTACATATTGTCTGTGTCCATCCACCTACGTACGCAACATACGTACATATAGGGTAGGATGTACTTACCTAGGAGGTAGGTAGTATAGGGAACCCCTATGCGTGTACGGGATACTACCCAAGGTATAAGAGAGAGAGAGAGAGAGGTTAGCTACCTAACCTCCTAAGGTACATGTCCATTTCCTAACGTAGGTTTCTACATATGCGTATGTAGGTATGTACACTTAGGAGGTAGTAAGGGACCAGGGCAGGACTCTCTCACCAGTGGGCAATGGGGGAAAAAAGAAGGAGATAATAATAATAATAAATACATAAATGGATCTCGCCTGCATGCGCGAGCGGCCCCATTCCAGTCCACATGTTGGTACTGTGAGGAGCAGAGTCGAGTTGGTGGCGGAGAGTGGCACCCCTTTGCAGGGCGATTAGCAATATCGGTAGATGCCTACAGCGATCGATGCGTTGTATCCCATCTTTTCCCCTGCTGTCGTATTAAGATGCATGCGACTCTCACAATGCGGGTTTTTCCTCTTTTTTTTCACGCGCAGATACAGATACATACAAATACACATGCTATGGATACACTCTACACATTGTGCATAGCTATACTATACATAGGTAGATATCACTTTACTTACGTACATATATATATCGCCTGGTAGGCAGGTTTGTCTCTGCGTTGTGAACGGATGTGGTTTTGTGCTGCCCTATCAGCTGTCTACATATACGCATCTCCCTCTCTCTGCCACGCTGCCGCATTGAAATCATCAATAATCACTCGTCGCAGACACATATTATATGTATACGTGCATCATCAGCATCATCATTATTATTACCTACGCCATGTATTTCGGTAGAATTGGAGGCGTCGGGAACAATGTCCCAAGCTGACACGGACTAGAGATCTTACTTTTGAGAGCTCATCGCGCGAATGGCAGCAGTGCCGTTCGTGATGGCGCCGCCAGACTAGTAATACGTAAACACAGCATACCCCGACGGATGATCGGCGGAGTGAGAGAGAGAGCGAGAGAACGTGAGAGAGCAGGTTTTTGTGCGCTTGCATACCTACTTATGTCCACCTCACCGTCCCAGCCAGAGGGAGCTGCATACCATCGAGATCAAGACTCCTTCTGCTCCCTCGCACAAGTCTTCGTCTTGTCTCTGTCTCGGACTCTCTCCATCTCTCCAGATAAGAAGAAGACCCTCTTCCGAAAAGCCACTACCGGACATCGCACTTCTGGGGTTCCAGATGCGTGGGCGCTAGCTTTGCATGGGTTGTCCGACATGCTACGATAAATACCCATCTTAACAATGTTTCCGATAGGCGGTGATGTATAAAATAGATGCATAAAAAAAGGTGAAGTGAACCATACCAGTTCATACCGTAGATACCGAATCGTCGTGTATGCGATGGGAGACGGGGTTGGCCGTCCACTCCTCACGCCATACCGTGGAACGGGCAAGTGGCTGGTCTGTGAGTAGCAGAACACATCAGCTCGCATGACGGTAACACCTCGGTGCTCACCATCGCTGGGCCAACCAAATTCAATACGATGAACAACAACTTGCACCAGGTTTCTCGCTGTCCGGGTCATGTACCGCTACGCCGCACGTGATTTGTTTCCGTAGTCTTACGCAGGACACATGGGAAACAGACCCTCTCTCCCCCTTTACGTATGGCTATGTATGTATGTAGGTATGTATGTATATGCGGGTGTGGGTGTGTGTATCTGTCACATTTTCTTTTCTTCTTTTGCTCCCCTCCCCTTGGCTCCGGCGCTCTCCTTTTTTCGTGTGTGTGCCACCTTGGGCTCCAAGCAGAAACTAGGAATTGCTATGAGCGTCCCCGAGGGCAAGGGATAGGGCCAAGGCTGACAGGGAGCTCGCTTTCCCACCAGGTATCTGGCCTACGTCACCGGCGGTTAGGAATTCGAAATTGGGAAATTGGGAGACAGCAGGCCCTGGGACTCACTGCCCAACGGGTCCGATTTCAGCTCGGCCAGGGCAAAAGAGACGGACAGCGAGACAGAGAGAGGGGAGGGGGAAGAAACGAGAGCAGAAACAAAACCCAACGGGTCGAGATTTCCAGGGTCCGACTCCTAGTTGTTCTCGAGCCGTGCCGCCTGTCCTGATGACAAGCGCGGAGAATCATGGCCTAGCCACCACTCGACGGAGTCTGCCGCTGGGGGGGGGATGTCGCGATATCCCAATCAACGACTCCGCCGGGGGCGTGTCTCCAGGTCGGGCAGATTTATTGGCCTTTCGGTGGCTTCGACAGCGAGTCAAGGACAGGAGAGCCGTGCGGACAGCGCACACACGCTCCTCTTCTCTCTCTGCCTCTGCCTTCTTCTCCCCCCAACCGCCGCGCGCTCCTGATACCTCCACGCCGCGGTGTTTTACTGCGCTCCCGTGCCCGCTTTGCTTCGGTAAATACGTATAGCGCCACCCCCAGAGCCAGACAGCCAGGTTCCCAGGTCCAACCAGGCGTATGGGAGGCCCTCCATCCCCTCCGGGTCCCAAGAGTTCTTCTGTCCCTCTCGCTCGAGACGAGTCGCGAGGTCGGCACAGGGCGAGGACCGACCAGCCAATTCCATCGTAAGCATACGCACACACGCACACAAACGCACGCATTCACGCTCGCACACGCACCCTGTCTGCCTCTCCGTCGCCCTGTATCTCCCTACCTACCTCGCCATTGCTTCGCTGCCGGTCCACCGCCTCGTCGCTCGCCCACTCACAAGCCTCTCCCCTCCTCCCTCCCACACACACATACACACACTCCTTCTCTCCCCCCTCCTCCTCCTCCTACCCATCAAGGCAGCAACGACTTCTCCAGGCGCACGTAGGGCACGTCGCCCTTGAAGAAGACGGCGGGCAGGCCGTCCTCGGCGGGCGCGGGCGCCTCGAGGCCGAAGCGGCGGTAGAACGCCAGGGCGCTCAGGCGGGCGTCGCACGAGATGCGCGCGGCGCCGGCGCGCGCCGCGGCGTCCAGCGCGTGCGCCAGCAGCGCCGACCCGACGCCGCGGCCCTGCCACGCGGGCGCCGTCGCGAACTTGCGGAAGCGCGCCTCGCGCCGCGCCGCGTCGACGAACAGCGAGATGACGCTGACGAGGCGCTGCGGCACGTCCGCCTCGTCCTCCTCGTCCTCCTCGTCGCGCGGCTCTGCTGCTGCTGCCGCTGCCGCTGTCGTCGACGGCGCGCCCACGTCTTCACCCCCACGGCTGGCGGCGTCGCCCTGCGTGGCAGCAGCAAGAGGGGGAGGGGGCGAGCGAGGGGGAGGGGGGGAAGGAGAGGGCCCGCGCACGAAGGCGCCAAAGTGCTGGCCCTCGACGTCCTCGGGCAGCTGCACGTAAGACGCGGGCTGGCTGGGCCAGAGCACGGCGTGTCGCAGCGGGTACGTCTCAGACGCTGCGATGGGCCGTATCGAGACCGTGGCTGGGGCGCCGCTGGGACCACGGCGAAGGCCCATCGTGTCTGTCCTCTCTCCTCTTGGGTCCCGGCGGCGGCGGACGCGGTTGCTATTGGCTAGGGCTGGGAAATCGAGGACGGTTCTGGTTGCGAGAGCGCAGGCTGATTTGCTGTTCCGTCCAACTTGTGCGCGAATATTGTGATGCTGACCGATGGCGCGAAAGGGTGATGCGGACTGTGCTGTGCATGTGTGTAATCATCTAGATGGCTGTCCCTGTTGGGGGTTTCGGTTCTCTCTCCTTTTTTCCATCCATTTTTAGCATTAGGTACCTAGTAATACCTAATATTCTTTCCCCGTCCGCGCCCTCTCCTCGCATCGACAACTAGTACACGCATTGACAGGACAAGACAAGACGTATTCTCCCTACGACTTACAGATCCGTCTTTAATTTACTCATTATATTAATTGGCGGACTTGGCCCGTCGTCTTCCTCCTCACTCGCTGCCGTCCCTTCGAGCTGGGGCTTAGCTGCCACCTGTCACGCCTCTCTCCCTATCAATTGCTGTGGCTGGAGCTCGAGCCTGCTGACAGCTGCTAACGGCTTCCCACCGCCCCCCTTTTCCCCCCTATCGCATCTTCGGTTGTGTCTCAGAGCTCGGGGCCGGGACGTGGCGTTGTCACTTTCAGAGCCGCACATGAACCTTTTGGAGAAGATACTCTTCGTAACTTAGCTATCATGCACTCTGGTGTGTTGTTCTCCGTCTTGCATTGGCTAGGTCGTTGGTGCTTGCGCCGCTCTCGCGCTCCTCCCTCCACGTCTCTCCTTCAGCGGTCGATACACCCGGACCTTCGTATACGCTGCCGGACACACCGGTCCCCCATCCGTAGCCCTCCCTTGCAGCCGGAGTGGCGGACCCCCTCTGGTCCCCAGTGAACCGACGCCTGTACCACTTTCCATAGGCGAGGAGATAGTAGAGCCGGAAGCACAGGAATGCAAAGCCATCATTCTCAAGGTCCTCGGGGTACTCGGCCCCCAAGTCGACAGCAGCTGCTATGCCTGAAACCATTGCGACTTCGTGTGCATTGACCAGGGTCCACGACGCTGCAAATCGGGTGTGATTCCTAGCCTGGAGGAACCGCATCCACGGGACGACGAAGAGATAGTGAGTATAGGTGTGGCAGAGTTGATGCCACCAGTCCTCGCGGATAATTTTATCGCGACGAATATCATCCTTCTTCCACAGTTTCCGGTCACGGGTCTTGTTGAGGTAGATGGTCTGGAATACGTGCTGCTGGAAAGGCATCCTGTCGGGAAACTGGCTCTGGTAATTGGTAGTGTCAAAAGACATTTCGAGCTTCGACCCGTCCTCCTCGTACGATTTGATGTAGTACATTGGGCAGAAGTGCTCGGTCGCATACTCAAGACGTGGCGCGTAGTCAACGCCGTTGATCTCAGCCACGGCTAGATCCTCCCTGTAGAAATTCTCGTAGTGCCTTTCCATGTACTCGGCGTCGGTGTGAGTGATCGTGACGTCGTCGCTGAACTTGGCGGACCCGAGCACCGTCTTCTCTCTCCAAGTCGCCTCCCGGCCGAGGACCTTCTTCGCAGCGTCTGCGAGACAACATAGCACTATCTCGTCGTAGACCTCTTCGCTGATTGGAGAATCGGGATCGCCGCCCGACTGGCTGCGTCCATCAGGCACGACAGTCCCTGTTTGAAGCCTGACAACCACTCCGTGCTTGTTTCGACGAACAATCTCAATGAGTTCCGTCGATAGACGGATTGACACGCCACGCCTCTCGAGATCGCCCCTCCACGTATCATAGAATTGAGACAGATTGGGAAAGGCAACCATGGGTGGCCTACTGCTGAGGACGGTGTTCTTATCGAGCTCATACCACATTCCGTACGTCGGCGACGTGCAGAGCCGTTCGAACATGACCGCCGGGACCTCAGGGGTGGCGTTTCCGGTCCCCAGGAACAGCGCCGTCATAGGTAGCGCGACCGTGTTGATGAAATCTTTGGAGAATCCGAACAGTTTCAGCACGAACCTGAGAGGAAGTATAGCAAAGAATAACTCGAACCAGCGCATCGCCTTGAGCACCATAGGAAGTCGCCTGACCTGCTTCTGATGATGGACCAATAGCTGGGTTGGGTACACATTGGTCCAGAAGGTGTCCCCTTTCCCAAAGGAAACCTGGAGGTTGACAGGGTCGGCGCGAAAGCCCTGGCGATGGAACATGGTCAGAGTATGGTGGAAGACATAGGAGCCGCCCTGGACTCCCTGGTTGCACCAGGATGCTCCGTGGCAACTCTCATCGAGAGGGATCGAGAACGCTTGACCACCGCAGTAGTCGGCGGCGTCGATAAGTGTTACGTCGAACTTGTCCGGGTGCTGCGACAAATGGTACGCCGTGGACATGCTGTGATGGTGTCGGTCAGTTCGCCCTGTTCAATCACACACGGATATTGGGCCCATACCCGGCAGCGCCAGCCCCGACAACGAGAACTCGCTTACGGCCATCCGAGGCCGTGTGCCCATTCGGTGCCATAGGGTATGTGCCCCCCACGCGGTATTATCGCGATCAAAACTGTCACCGGCCAGCCAACGGTCTAGTCAACGACCAAGACCGTTTATTATTTGATGCCTGAAGTTCCTGGCCCGAGATGATACGTCCGATCTAGAAATATGTTTGTTTACACGGATACGCATCCTGCCACTCAATATATGGACACGTACGTGAGCATATTTTTCCTAATCGTCGTCACCGCTATTATTCGTCTACTTCAAGCCACCTTCAGCCGTTTTTTTGCCTTTGCTGGGTTTATGACGGTGACACTAGGGATCTTCGACGTCATGGACTGTGATTGAGACAATTTATGCCGATCTATGTCAGCTACACTTCGTCCTCAAAGGGTTCAACCGTTCCTATGCCATCGGTGGCGCTGATTTTCTTTTTCCTTTCTGTAAGCCTAAACAGCTAAGCTAATAGCGAGCGTTGCCGAGCTCAGACGCGACTCGTATGACTAGGTATTGTTATTTGGTTTCTAATGTGTCTATCTAATATTGACCACCGGTGGGTATAATATCAGTTCGTCGCCGGAACTAGGTCAGCCGACGTCTCCTTGTGCGACATCACGACCTTCGATCTCCCCCCCTACACGGTTCGTCGTGTGCCCCATGACATTCATAGTCAATATATATGATTTCCGTGACGGTTGTGGTTGGGTGTGGAGCCAGGATTGTACGGTTATACCAGCCAACCCTATGATAGACACACTAGTAATATGAAAACACCGCTCGCAAAGGCCACTCGTCATCTGAGAATCCATGCTGCGGGAAAGAAACGGTTCCGAAGGGCAGCAGGATGAGGGTCTTCCGGTGGGTTCATCCAGAGGAGCCAATGGTAACCGCTGTGCTCGCCCGAAAACGGCATTGAAACGCCACGCACGAAGATGAACCGTGCTGTAGGATCGGCGTTGACAATGTGCCGATAAGGAAGTTGGTGCTGGCGCAATATATATATTACTCCTCGGTCGAATGACGCCTCAGATAGACATTGGCCGGCCGACAGTCAGACTTGGAGGTTCGATGCACGACAACGCACACAAGTGCCGGGGCTCCTGATACGGTTCTCACGAGGATGCCCACTCCTAGCCAATGGGAGAAATTGGCAGCGTCGAGTCTGAATACGATGGCGAGATCTCGACCCATCGCGTGCGGGAACCCTAACTCACGAGGGTCTCGGGACGCTGATTCTCACCACAGACGATGCAGGTCCCAAGCCGAGCCGACCTTCTAGACCATAAGTGCGTTTGCCGATCACCGTGTATTATTATATGCAACCGGAATGATTCGTCCAAGCGAAACTAGCTATCTCGTCGGCTGCACTCAGGTGAGCGGAAGTGAACCTGTCTTGATTCGAGAGGGAGGCGTGCACTACTAATACGTGCCTACGGGGTCGAGGCAACCCACTGTTCCCATCCAAAAGCGGATGCTAGCAACGGTTCTCTGCCAACGTGGGTACAAGGGGGACCGCGTGTTAATAACGGACGTACGATAATATAGCAGACTATGCGATGTCACGCACGTCGTGCAGCACCCGTGCTTACTACGACTGCTGCCGTGGCGGAAGCGCGTCTCTATAGGGTCGGAATCCCCGAGACTATCAAGCCGGGGACCCGTTTAACGTGACTGTGGAGCTGCTGGCGGGCATCCCGTTCCAGTACGCGATGCTCTTCGGTATCGAGCGGTATGACGAAGAGTGGTCCGTGGAGCCGCGGCCGGGGTCCCTAGGACCCGTCTTGCTGAGCAGCATCGATCCCCAGAGTACGCACGGAGGTTCTGTTGCTTCAACAGTTGTTCTATCCGACAACCCTGCGTGAGTGTGTGTAGGTGTGCTGTATGTGTGCTGTATGCGTGGTGCAGATATAGGGAGGACCGGATAAACGCACTGGCCGGGGAATGTCGCTCCCATCTCACACGGAGGCGAGAGAAAAGACGAGTGATCTACATACCTACATACATATTCATGTATCCATATCCGTATCTGTACGTATATCCACAAAAAAAACAAGCAAGTGTTGAGCAAAAACAGCGACGGCGACAGCAGCCACAATGATAGGAATAATAATAGTAACGACAACGATGACCCAGAGGGAAATAGACAGCGCTAACGTGTCAACCGCAGGAGCCGTCGGCAATGGTAACACGAGCGGGAACACGACGCCCACGGGCCTCGCTGTCCCGTCGGATTGCTGGCCGGGCCTTGTGGCGCGATCCAGGCCGTCGTCTTTGAAATCGTGCGGCCGCTCAACTCCCCCATCCTGGAGACCTAGCGGTGGGGCGTCGACACGGCGGACGCCACGGGCTACGGCCGCCTCGTCTGGACCCGCTACGTGGATGACAAAAGCCGCATTTGCCAAATTTTATTTGAATAGATATTACCAAGACTGAGACGAGAGAAAAAGAGAGAGAGAGATGAGAAGGGGAGATGGGGAGATGGGCAAGGAGGGGGGTCGTAGTAGGAGTAGTATAGTAGAACACGCAATGCGAAAGGGAGGCGTTGGAGGAGGGGGTGATATGAGAGACAAATTTCGTTCTATAGAAACAAGTGGGAGTTAAAGGGCCAATGACTAAGAGAGGGAGAGACCTTGAGTTCTTGATAACACGTAATGCACAATTACCTATAGGGGTAGTGTATACACAGTGGTGTCGATAGCAGAGTCGGAAAGAATGGAAAGGGATTGAACGGAACCGTAGCTGATAGGAGCTTATTATAGAGACGCTATTCTTGTTGGAATCAATCACAGAGCCGTTCCTAGGATACTGTGGCCCGGATATTGTCGTCGCGCTGTCGGAGACCCTGAACCTGATCCTGTTCCGATCAGCGGAATCTTAAACCGTACTACTGTCTCGTGATAGCTTCGATGTGCTTGCTGGTAAACACTCTTCTTTCGTCTTGTATGTGGAGAGGCAGTTGTCGTTTTACCTCGACCCGGTTTTCCGGGTTGGAGACGGTAACTGGGGGGCGTTCTCGGCGTGCAGCTGGACGTGATACGTGGTGTTAAGTGGTTCTGGGCAACATATAGGTAAACGTGTCCCTAAGCATAATAACTGCTAGACGACATATTACCATTTCCTGTTAGACCCGAATTTGTAGGCAAAGGACCGATGGGTTCATCCGTCCGCAAACATCGTCTGAGGTAGTTCCTAGTAGACGGACACATAGAGGTCTATACATAAATTTGCCATGAATGGTACCGAGTTGGTAAACTATACGCATGCCACCAACTTGCATTATTATTGACAGCATCTGGTTTTACCTCTCTACCACCCTATCGCATCCCTGCCCTATATGTTATCACGAACAGTACATGCGACTACAACCCCCTTCAGGTACTCTTGCTCGGTTTTATGGCTCTTGTCGACGGATAAGTCCTGCCTTTTGTCCACACTCTACAACTAGATAGATACGCTAGAGATCCACATATATAGGGAACCGTTCTACGAACCCGATACCATCGAGCGACTACCAAAGGGGGCATATGCTGTAACCTACTAGATAGGTTACTTGGTCGAGTACGGGAAGTTGGTAGAAGCAAAATACTTTTGATATACACTAGCTAACGGTTTTCCTATTTCCATCTATTAGTCTGGATCCCGCCAGGGCCGTACACGAGCGACTTGTGCTAATTATCGTAGAAGAGGGGTTCGGGTGCTCACACTCGTGTACTTCGTAACGGGCTCGTGGTGGATTCTCCAAAACCCGCGTCTCCCTGATGCTCCGCTCACAGGTCCGCGTCCTTCCTTCTACCTGGGATACGTGGTATGGAAGAGCGGCGAGGATTGCCATCTGGATTTTGCGACAGAACATGTAGCGCAATATGCCTGTGGGACACACGAGTGGGTGAGCAGATGTACGCAGAAACAGGTTTCTGCCTAGGCGCTAGTTAAACGGGAGCGGCTGATCACCGATTATTGTTCGTCAGGCGAGACGGCTCCAGGCCCGGGAGTTCCGTGTGCTCATTAAGCGGTGTATGGTTACCGATGGAGCTGCAGACCGAATTATCCGAGAGCTAGCTAAGGCGGGCGATACCAGAGGAGAGCTTATATCTCCTGAGATCATGAAACATGATGTATAGAAGTCGCGTCTATTGCCGAACCCAACTGCCTCGTCGAGAACGTGGAGATCGGAGTAAATGTCGGGGTACACATCGGAGTACAGAATTTGGCGCGCAGCCGAGCTGCTTGGATGGGGACAAAAATCGGTATAGCATGGCCGGACCGGATTGCTGGCCTTATGCCAAAGCCCCACGGGCCTCGGGTCCGCGAAGTGCGCCAAGAGACATTTCCGCCCGAAGGCGACGTTGACTTTAGAGAAGGGATCTGCCAAGAATCAAGCTATTTCAAGAGACAGCTCGTGGTCGAAAAGTGAGGTATCATGTATCGGGGCGACAAACAGCGTTCCACGCGGAACAGATGTATACTCGAACAAAAACAGGGTGTGCGGTTGGCGAATAACAGCAATCATGCCTTCGGCTGGGTTGCCGGCGGCGGACCTTCGTTTGCGGCAGCGGCAAGCGTGGTCTGGACGATACCAGGGGATGCTGCTGCGGCGGGCGGCCCATTTTTGTGACTGTTACCCTCATCGGTGAGGAGCTTACTGAGGAGCTGGAGGTCGTCGCGGGCACGCGGATTGCGTTCAAGGCATCGGCGAATAGCAGCCCACTCGCCTTCCTTCATACGGGCGGCGTGAGGGAGCAAGAAGGTAACCGAGGGGCAGGAGAAGAGCGGTCCGAGCACTTTACGGGCCATCGTCTCCCCCTCTACCTGGGCAGCTCGCAAGGCTGGAACGTTGGGGTCTTGAGAAACCGGCGGTTGAGTAACGGGTGGAGTCTGGCGGGGCAGCATGGGAGGTGCGGTATGACCCGGGATCTTCGGCACCGGCACGGGTGTCTGATTATACAGGGGCGGCGCAAAAGTCTGGTTGCTGAAGGGCCCTTGCGGAGTAGCAGGGGACCACGATGGACCTACCGAGGATGACGGAGTCCTCGGCGGTAGCGATGCACTCGGGGGCGACGTTACTGAAGCGGCTTTTTGAATCTCTGAGCGTTGTTGATCGATCGGGATATGAGGCTGCTTCTCGTCTCGGACAACAAATACCATGAGAAGCATGGGCTCGGAACGCTTCAGAGGGATGAGATGGTCGCTGATATTTTGCATCGGCTCTGGTATTGGGCCGTCGCCTTCTGGGACTGGCACTAGATACGTATCTCTCACATTGCCGAGTCTTCTTTCGCCAACGACGCCGTATCTCTTCTTCGATTGAAAGTAGTCGATGACGGCTAAGAACTGCCGGCGTGCGTTGGCATCTGTAGACTGGGCCGGGGACAAGCTCGTAATCACCAAGTCGATCTGGTTATTGTATCGTAAACCGCATAAGTAAGGGATCGCCTTCTCCTCCGGAATTCGACCGGCAACAGTAAGCATAGGCGGGATCAGGTCTTTCCATGCGATACCTTTGGCCTTGCTGAGATCGGCCCCGCCAACGTGTCTCGCGACGGTAGCAATGTCGGCCACGTTAGTCATGACGAGGGGACCACGCCAGACGACATCCGGATCTATGTTCTCAGTTGGGGAATATGGGGGAGAGTCGTTGCCGTCCTCCTGGAGTAGCCGATCCACCTCGGGGTCATCTCCAGGACCGGCGGATAGAACCTGGGTCGATGCCCGTCTCTGATGCGACGGCGGTGGGGACTGAATGCTGGAAAAGACCTTGCCGATATCAAAGTCCGACTTCCTGGGAGATTGCTGAGCCACCTGGGTATCCACGCGGAGCGGTCCCACTGACGAGCTGGACCGCCTACCGAAGTTCGAAGGTGATCCTGATCCGTTGGCTGATGAAGGCCCGTTGCTTCCGTTTCTAGCCTCGCTCGCCTCCCTAATGCCTTGGCGGCGGAGATTGGATGGGATTTCGTCGTCTTCGCCTGCAATATTGTCGGCTTCGACGACTTCTTCTCCCTTGTGGGTTCGTCGGACCCGCGGGGTGTCGTCTGTGATCAGGATAGACTGCTTCTCGGCGCGGGCCTTCATCTCGGCGGTCTCCCGCTGCATCTCCCTGGTCGCGAGCTCGTCGCCGGTCATCACAACAAACGATGTCGGCGGCAACGACCGGTTGAGCACCCGAACAGCCAACTCCAGGTTATTCTTGAGACTGAAAAAAAGTGTACGAAGCTGGGATGCATTGTGCGAGGTGTTAGGGTGGGTGTCCTGGAAAGCACGTTCGATTTCGATGGCTAGGCGCTCCGTGATGCCTTTCTTCGAGGCGCCTTGAGGGACGACGTATAGCTTCTTCTTCTCAGCTTGGTCGATGGCGCTGTCGAGGGATTTCTGCAGGCCCAACGCCGCTTGCCTTCGCGGCCCTTCAAGCTTTTGAATGCTGTCTGGGAGATCGCTCGGGGGCGTGTATTTCGGAGCGGGCGGGGCCGCCTGCGGTTCCGAGACCTTGCGAAACTTGTTCTGCGGTCCCTGGGAGTGATCTCGAGACTTGCGCTTCCCCTTGGCGGCCGATTCCGGAGCGCTCTCTTCCCTCTTCCAATCTGGCGTCGGAGATGGCTTCGCCCTATTCGCAGTGGCGCTCGGGGACGCGCGCTCCTTCGTGTCACTGACGCGTTTCCCCTTGCTCTTCCTGCCCCCTTTCTTCCGCTTCTTCTCCTCTTCGTGCTTCTGCCGACGGCCCTCCCACGGCCTCTCCCCCTTCTTAATGGCCTCGAGGGTAACCTTGTGGTCGTCGGGCGCGCATCGCTCGCAGAAATAATCCTTAGTTAAATCCTCGGTAAAGACGCTCATCCCCATACAGACGTTGTGTTGCCAGGCGCCGCACTTATCGCAAGCGATCCACGGCTCGTTGACGTCGTCGTCGTCCTGCGTGGTTGCGCCGCAGATGCAGCGGATGATCTCCTCGTCCTCGTCTTGCCTATCATCTTTCTCAGCCGCCTTCTTGCCGCCCTTCTTCGTCTGGCGACGCTTCGGCGGCTCTGGGCCGTTCTCGAGCTGGTCGAAGGCCTTGGTGTGCTGACCCTTAGTGGCTCTCACGGATCGACGGGGCTCTGGTTCTCCTGCAGCAACACACGGGTATGTTAGCGGGGAACGGGGAAGTTCGCGTCTACTACCAGCGGCAGCAGGGGACAGGACGCGACGAGTTCCCGTCGGCGCAGCTGTCCAGCCATGCCTCACAGATCTATGGTGGGTGGTACGCTTACCAGACATGTTGACGGATACAACAGGACTCGGGTCAGGGCAAGGGCAGATCAAGTGTGGCAAGTTGGATACTGGAACGGTCTGAATCTACGTGGCGACTTTGACGATTGGCAGCACTCTTCAGACAATCATGGCTTCTACGCAGCTGGATTGATCTATAACGTGACCCGAGGGGAGTTGAGGCAGAGAGGAAGCAGAACCCTCAACCGGAAAATGGGCCCAGAAACACACCTCCAGCTCTTGACGAGACCCAGCCTTCTTCCCTCGAAGAAGCCTAATCTGAGTGTGGTTCTGCCCGAATTGGCGACCTGGGGGCTTTGCGCGTCGGTGGGAACACGGTGAACGCGCGATGGGTACTGTGGCAATGGTGCGGTTAGACCCTCGGCTTCATCGCAATGAGACTGGGTAGGAAGAGAGGGCGGCAATGTCTAATGCATATCAGTCGGCATGAGATTTAGGGATGTATGTGCGCGGCATGTGGTGTCCTCATCCTGTCGTGCCGGATCGTGACGTGGTAGGTGTTGATGAACTGGGTTGGATGGAGAAAAGACGGCGGGCGGAGGTTTGACGGGCAAAAAGGTCTGGCCGGGTGGGAAGAATGGGGGGGGGGTGTTGAGGCTGGTATGTCCGATAACCCGTGGCTTGCCTCATGGCACTATTGGCTCGGGCTAGACCTAATTGGCACAAGGTAAGCACGGAATTTTACGTACCTATATACCGAAAAGGATTAGGCATGGGGTCGGCAGCTGCTACCAGTTGGGAGGCACATGGATGAGGGGAATCATTCGGGTACCTAGTACCTAGGTGACCTTCGGCGGACAGCTGCGTACCGGGGGGCGTACAAGGACTTGGGTTATGTAACCAGAGGAGAGGGAGTGGAGGCATCTCGACATCTTTAGGTTAGGTAGGTACTACCTAGGTACCTCTTCTATAGTACGTGCAGAGTGGAAGGCCTCCGTGCGCTTGCTTAGCTCATCCAGCGCCACGTGGCTTGTGACCATACCTAGGTATGTTTGGGCATATTACCTAAGACGCAACCAGCCACAGTGGGCCCTGGGCAGGTAGTTTCGTTGCCCCACCGCTACTTTTGCTTCTGTGGAAGGTCTGACCTTTCTCCCGCCCTAAGCTGTACGCGTCGGAGCTCTTGCCTAGCTAAAGCCCACTTTGAGAGGTACCTCTCCAAGTACCTCCCTTGCCTACGGGAAGAACCCAGCAATACGTTACTCAGTGGCCGCCTAGCAGCAGATTGATGCGCAGCGGTTCAGCCTGCTCTGGGAATCCGTTCGCATACTACATCCCTCTTCCACTTGAATTCATATCGGCCTATTCCTGCTCGTTCTCCTCAAGACTTCTCTCCTCACACCCGGGGTTGGCCGTTCCTCGCTAGCATCGAGCTGCAAGATCCCTACTCTTCCCTCCGCCTGTCCTGCTTTCCGCCGTCGCACTTCCAACCATGTCTCGCCGCTACGATTCTCGAGTAAGCTGGAGGGGAGCTCCATATCCGTGTCGATATCTCCCATGCGCGTGGACGCTCACATGTCGGACAGACTACCATCTTTTCGCCCGAGGGTCGCCTGTACCAGGTTGAATACGCACTCGAGGCTATATCCCATGCCGGGACCGCCATCGGCATCCTCGCCAAAGATGGCATCGTCTTGGCCGCCGAGCGCAAGGTTACCTCTAAGCTGCTAGAGCAGGATACCTCAGCAGAAAAGCTTTACATACTGAACGAGTGCGTCGCAAGCCGGTGTTGAGCTGGGCGTCGGGGGCGCCGGAGGCTGACAAACCCCAGCAACATGATCTGCGCGGTCGCTGGCATGACGGCCGATGCGAACATCCTCATCAACTACGCCCGACAAGCCGCCCAGCGGTACCTCCTGACCTACAACGAAGATATCCCGTGCGAGCAGCTGGTGCGAAGACTATGCGATCTCAAGCAGGGCTATACTCAACACGGTGGCCTGCGGCCGTTTGGCGTATCCTTCATCTACGCCGGGTGGGATCCGCAGCGGCAATTCCAGCTGTACTTGAGCAACCCCTCAGGCAACTATGGCGGCTGGAAGGCGACCAGCGCGGGTGCTAACAACGCGAGCGCCTCAAGCTTGTTGAAGCAGGATTACAAGGAGGATTGCACGTTGAAAGAAGCTTGTGGTATGGCAGTCAAGGTTCTTAGCAAGACGATGGACTCTACCAAGCTCAGCAGCGAGAAGAGTAAGTTCGGCAGGCCCCGGGAGGCCGAGATTAGGCACCATGCTGACCGACGACCGTAGTTGAATTTGCGACGGTAGGGCAGACTAAGGATGGCAAGATCTACCACCGGCTTTGGAGTGCGGACGAGATTACGGCGCTCCTGAAGGAGCACGACCTCGCCAAGGACGAGAACGCCGAAGACAAGTGAACGGGGCGCCACAGTCTCGACTTGATCTCATAGATGCGGGGGTTTGGCGGGATCGATTCTATACCACTACCGTATTACGGTAGCCTTCACAGGGGGGCCCAAATGCTGGACGCGCGGTTGTTGCGTGACCAGAATAGACGTGATATGATCTCAGGCCTCTTTGATAGAGCTACTCGATCGTGGCATACCGAGACACTGTAGCTCGTATAAGATAGGTAGAGAAATGAATCATCTATCTATCTGCTTGCCAACCGAAATGCCCCCCTCCCTCTCCCAACAGCCAGGCCAAGTAGAGCCTTCGTCAGTTAGCAGCAACACGTCGACAGCACAGGGAGCCGAGGAAACCTTGGTCAGTAGGCGTTCCTAATCAGTAGAGTAGACGCCGATGGCGGGCCCTAGCTACGTACGTTCTCTGTGCCTTGTATACCTAACCAGACAGGTTGGGGGGGGGGATCAGAATGCACTGATAGATAATGTGCCAAGGCCGGTGGGGAGGGGGGCAATTGCATGTCGGTAGGACGGCCGTTGATCTTCGGGACCCGAGCGTTCCTAAAGCCGTTATAGAACCCACCGAGAAGCTCATGTACTTCCGACCCTGCCTCTCGATGGTATTAATATCCCTCTGCCATGGAAGCTTGCGACCTGCCTCTCGCCATCGCATATGAGTATACCTCGTCTCAGGTAGGAGGTAGCTAGGTACGTAGGTGAGTACCGAAGGTGGGTGATGAGTACTTCGGTACGTATTTACCCTGTGGCTGGTACCTACCAAGGTACTGTACAGTATTAGGTGCCTCTATCAGGTGCCTCCTACGTACCTAGGTACGACCGGTGATTGTGGGAGGCACAGGAATACACACGGCTGTGAGAGAACGTGTCAGGTAGGTACTTGAGAACGCCGCGACGTCGAGGCCGGTGCTGGCGGACAACCCACCAACTTACAACACTATCCGAATCCAACCCCATTGTCGTAGCTGGGCGACACCGAAACGGCAAGGCTCAATTGCCAGACGGTCTCTGTATGTTGTGTGTGGCCTGTATCGATACCGGTTCCCTACCCCGGTCGTCTGGTCGGCTTCGCCAATGAGCAAGCTCGGACAAGCTGTATGAACCCAGGAATTGCTGAATTACCTGCTGCACCGCGCCCCGACTTGTTCTGCCCCTCTAAATAAAACACACACACCGTGGGCCGACACCTGCTGCTACTATACGAGCATCTAGATCTCGCTTTCCTCCCTCCTCCTCTCGAGTATTCTGACTCGTCATTCGCCTACTCGCGGCTTCGTAGATATGCTTCAGATACCGACCCGAGACAAAGCCAACGGCCCTGGCCGCGGCACCAAAGCCGTCATCCTGGTGCGTCTCCTATCCCGCCTCTTACCGCATCCCAGACCCCACAGGATCTGGCGAAGGCGAGACTGACTCCATCTGCCCTCGACAGGTTGGCGGCCCTTCGAGGGGAACCCGGTTCCGCCCTCTGTCGCTTGACGTCCCTAAGGTCTGTCTGCCGATCTTACCTCAGCCCGTCTGTAGCATCCGACTGACGACGACAGCCCCTCTTCGACGTTGCCGGCCATCCTATCGTCTGGCACTGTCTGACCGCCATTGCGAAAGTGCCCTCCATCCAGGAGGTTTGCATGATTGGCTACTACGACGAGTCCGTCTTCAAGGACTTCATCAAGGAGGCCGCTTCCGAATTCCCGAACCTCCCCATCAAGTACCTTCGAGAATACCAGGCCCTCGGTACCGCGGGCGGCCTGTACCATTTCCGAGATGCCATCCTCAAGGGACGGCCCGAACGCATCTTCGTCCTCAACTCGGACGTGTGCTGTTCGTTCCCTCTCAACGAGATGGCGAAATTGTTCGACGATAAGGACGCCGAGGCAGTTATTTTGGGCACGCGGGTGACCGAGGACGCTGCGAACAACTTCGGTTGCATCGTGTCCGATCAGCACTCGCGCCGCGTTCTACACTACGTCGAGAAGCCCGAGAGTTACATATCGAACCTCATCAACTGCGGCGTATATCTCTTCAGCGTCGATGCCATCTTCCCCAGCATTAGGACTGCCATTAAGCGTAGGACCGACCGACCCCGCCTCATGTCGTACCCCTCTTCCGACAACCTAGAGTCCAGTTTCATAGCCGATGACGACGAGGAGAGCAAGAACGAGGTTATACGCCTAGAGCAGGATATATTGAGTGACCTTGCCGATAGCAAGCAATTTTTCGTCTACGAAACCAAGGACTTCTGGCGCCAGATCAAAACTGCCGGCTCTGCCGTTCCCGCCAACGCGCTCTACCTGCAGAAGGCACTCCAGACCGATTCTAACGAACTTGCGAAGCCCTCTCCTAACATTCTACCGCCGGTATTCATTCACCCATCCGCGCACGTTGACCCTACTGCCAAGCTTGGCCCTAATGTCTCCATCGGTCCTCGAGTGGCCATTGGCCCGGGAGTAAGGGTGAAGGAATCCATCGTCTTGGAAGACGCTGAGATTAAGCACGATGCTTGTGTGCTGTACTCCATCGTCGGCTGGAATAGCCGGGTGGGGTCTTGGGCACGAGTTGAAGGCACGCCGATCCCTGCCACGAGCCATTCCACCAGCATCGTGAAGCACGGCGTGAAAGTTCAGAGCATCACCATCCTAGGCAAGGAGTGTGCGGTGGGCGACGAAGTGCGCGTGCAAAACTGCGTCTGCTTGCCTTTTAAGGAGCTCAAGAGAGTAAGTCCAAATATCTATCTCACAGACGGTCGGTCTTTGCTGGTTGATGCTAACGCAACTCAGGATGTCGCCAATGAGGTTATCATGTGAGACGCCGATGGTTGGACTCGCCCTCTCCCGGGGGGTTGGTTTCCTGTCCGGAGGGTTAGTCTCCCGTCCGGAAGCCCAGGCTGTCGTATATTCAGTGTAATGGACACTCTAAAAACAACCAATAATACCTACAGGACTTCTCTCAGGCTAGACAAACAACAATAAAATAATTACAACCGTGCTGATCCAAGCTTTCATGCTCCGTGAATCGGATGAGATAGGAGAAATACAAGTATCGCCTGAACGTATATCTGCGTTGACGGGGCGACCTGACAAGTAATATCGCTTACTTCACTGCCCGAGCATGGCGCGTAAGCTCGGCCAAGTCGTTGATAAGAGACGCGGGTGTTTACGGTAACTCTTTTAGCGACCCGCGCCAAAAGAAACAGTAGGGTTATAACTACTTTCTTTAGTCCCAAATTCATACTCTGAGAGTTTCTTCAAGATTGACTGACACGCTGTTGTCGTCTCAGGTACGTATTCTCAGAGAATTTCCTTCATCCACCTTCAGATCTAGGTATATCCCATGCTAGCAGTAGGGACGTAGCAATGGGTTCCCGATCGTCTACCGGGAAATAGACTGGGGTATCTCTGAGGGTGTCAAATTCCAGGGACCGCTGAATGCCGAGGAGAAATACAAGGTGCATGTAGGCCTGAGAGGTAAAACGCAGAGGAAAAGTATTATGCGATTCCAGGTTTTTATATATATTTCGACCGACCTACCACCGCACCAAACTGGTAGGAGGGACATTTGTGTATCGCACTCCAACTGCGAACTCGGTCCGCTTAAACGAAGATAAGCCACGACGCGCCAATCGACCGACCGAAGGAATCGGGGGAACAGGGATGCGCCGCGCTGTTAGGTTAATATATATACACACAAAACGCACGAGCACACACACACACACGTATAGGTATAGACGCACGCGCACACAGACGCACAAGTCACGTACTCGCGCGCAGTCTTGACGAGCTCATTTACGTACAGGGCCGCCTTCCCACCTCCAAGCCTTGCTCGCCGGGCCTTACCCGCGCCGCTACCGGTACGCGAATATCGTGCTCTCGGTATCGGACGTGGTCTCGGTCCGGCGGTCGTCCTCGGGGCGCGCGGAGGCGGGAGGTGGCGGCGGGGGGTAGCCGGCAAAGGAGGGGCGGACGGCAGCGGCGCGGGCGCCGGCGACGGAGGGCTGCGACTGGCGCCAGGGGTGCGGCTCGCGCCAGGTCGGCGGCTCGTCCTGCCACGGCGGCATCGCCATCCACTGGCCGCTGGGGGCGCGCTGGGGGGCGGCGGCCGGCGGCGGCGGCGCGAGCGGCGACGGCTGGTACGACATCTGCCGAGGCTGGGGCGGCGGCGCCGCCACGAAGGGCGCCGCGCCGAAGGTGCCGACCGCCTCGGACATGTGGCGCGCCTGGACCTCCTGCAGTAATTGCTGCTGCTGGTGCTCGCGCATGGCGCGGGCGAGCTCCTCGTCGCGTAGGGCGTCGGCTTCGTCGCGCGCGAGGCGCGCGCGGCGCCGCCGCCGGCAGAAGAAGTAGATGAGCCCGAGGATGGCGACGGCGCCCACTGCCGTCCACACGCCGATGGCGATGCGGGCGCCGGGGCTCAAGCCGCCACTGCCGCCGCCGCCGCCGGCCGCGATCGCGTCCTGGCCCCCCGGCTGGCCCTGCGCGCCGCCACCGACGGCCGGCGGGCTGACGCCGGCCTGGGGCGTACCCGTCGGGGTCGCGGCGTTGCCGTCGGCGGGCTCGTCGGGCTCCTCCTCGCTCGTCTTCGAGTCGCCCTCGTCGTCTTGCGAGTCGCTCAGCGTCGAGCCCGGCGTGTCGACGGAGGAGCTCGATTCGTCGTCTTCTTCGTCCTTGGGCGGCGGCGGGGGCGTAGGCGCGGGGGCTGTGGGTTGCGCCGAGGTCTGGCGCCCGTGGATCCGGCCGCCGCCGATGCCGTGCCGCCGCAGGAAGTTGTCGAGCGCCTCGGGCGGCAGTGAGACCTCGCTCGCGCTAACGCCCTGGATCCAGGCCGCGGTGCTGACGAAGGTTGCGACGCGCGCGGCGTCGATGCTACCCGGGAACTGGAATGCCATTTTTTTCTCGCTTCTCCCGGCCCAGATCTGCGGGTTGTTGTCGGTGTGTGAGTGACGGTGGTCTAAGGGTAGCGACAGATCGGTGAGGTGTTTCTCTATCGTTGACGTTGTCGGGATAAGCTGTTACTACCCGGGTTTCTCCCTCCCTCTCGATCTCTCGCGTCCTCCGAAAAATACTATGCGAAGAACAACTATTAAGTAATTCCTGAGTCCGATCGACCTATTTAAAACGCTCCCGGCACATAACAACGACACACGCCAGTCCGCCTGGGATTAACAGGCGTATATTAGCAGTCACGTAAGTATAAGGCCTGAGAAATCGATGGATTTTCGGAGGGGGTGAGGAAGGGGTGAGAGGTCGACGATGAACGAGCGGACGAACGAGCGGCCGGCGGAACGTTCAATGGGGTGGATGGAACTTGGGCAACTACCCTCCAACTCGTCGTGAAGGGGTGAATGTTGGGTTGCCAAGGAACGTCAAGCTCAGAGAGGGAAGAGAAGGAGAGAAAGAAGAGATGGACCCCCCAAGACGGTAGACCCCAATTCGTATATACTATCCGCACCGGCTGTCAGGGAAGACGGATGCGGAAAGAGGGCACACGACACTTCATTTACCCTTCGGCTGATCGACCTTCCTCTGTAGACGGACGCCCCCGTTCCCAGCCCGACCAAGATTACATACGTGCATCGTTTGGCCGGTGTTTGGGGCGCCGCCCTCTCCACACCCTATCGCTATAAAAAAGAGAGACAAGTACGCTTTGATCTCTCCCATCGTGACCCGCCTAGCGCGAGTCGCTGCGGCCGACATCCCGGCATCAAGATTAGTTGAAACAGAGATAGAGTGCTAAGGGGGGACCGATCTCCATCTTGGCGGGGCCATGTTCCCTCTCGCAGTCGCCTAGCCGCCATGCCGCTACGCCAAATTACCACTCCCCCCCCTGGCGCATGCCCGATCAACCGGGTGCGTATTACACGTATATGCCGGGGTAATAGGGCATCCGTCGTCCTCTGAGAGCCGGGCTATAACCGAACCCGGCTCCGTCCTGCCAAGGGGGGGGGGAATGCAGCCTTGCGCGAGGAAAGCTAAGCTCTCATCCCAGACGCGATCAAACAACTGCCGTCGCGGATGCCCCGACCGCACCAGCGCTAACGACGATCATTCAAAGAAACAAAAATGCCTCACTATGAAGTAATGTTTCAACGCTGAGGGTTCCCTCCGTCCCCGCATAGCCACTGGCTGTCCCCGGAGCCGACCCACCTCGTCTTCTCGTGGTAACCGCCTGCTCCCCCTGTCTACGTAGGTAATACGTAGCGTTCTCATCGGCTGAACAAATCCGTTCATCTGGTCACAACGTGGGAGAGGAACCGGGTCGCCAAGACTTCCAGGGCCTTCTCGGGAACCTTGGGCATAGCTAGGTCTATTTCGCGTGGGCTTGCGGCGAAGCTAGAGGCGAGAAGCAAGCCGGCTACTGCTGGCCAGACCTGTGGAAACGGAACGATACCTGAGACGGCGAGCGAGAACGAGAGGCAAGCCGAGGGAAACGCGCGGGAGCCACACGAGCTAGCGGCCGCTTCCATTTGCCCATGCCTGCAGGGCCCCCGGCAAAACTTGCCTCTTTCTCCTGTTTCCTCGCCGCCAGACGCCCCGGGGTAGCTGGCTCCTCTCACGAATATGCCTACCAGCACCGTACACTGGGCACCTGGTACTCGCAGTTCTAGATTTTCTAGGCGCCTCTTGTGCCGCGCGCGCCTCTCTACTACGTACCTAGTAGCTCGATATCGCAGGCCTCCGGGGTATGTTTGGGGGTTCAGCTCTCCACCAGGCTTGATATATTTAGCAGCACGTATCTCCGTGATATCATTTCTGAAGATTACTTTGCCACCAGGCTCAAGGGGAGTTAGGTACTACATACGCTAGTGGCCCTTGTCGGATGAGGCTCCTAGGAAACACCACGGTTCGATTAGTACTACGGGGATTGACTTCCGACGTCTAACACGCCAACTCTCGTGCGTAGACGAGGGTTGTATTACTCTGGAAGGATTCGTGGAATGCTCGGGATATTGGGCGTTGGGTTGATGAACGGAGATTCTCATGCTCCTAGATGGATTGCTAGCGGGGCAGGTCCTCGTGGGCTTGGTGTCAGCGCTCCCTTTGAATGCCTGCGTGTATTAAAAACTGATTTTCCTTGAGCAGTTTACATGGGCTATGCCCAAGTTCATGTCGTGCTCTGTCTGCTGTGTCTGCGGGGCCTTTCGGCTTGTGTGTTTAGAAAGCTCATATGAAGCACTTAATAGCACAATCGTTTCCCTGCGTGATATAATAATATTACGTCGTATGTATACTCATAATACCGGATCGAACTTGGATCGGATGGGTCAGACAGGTCTATAACGGCTAGCCAGTACCAAGACTTCAGAAATAACTTGTTACGTAGAGAGCCACCCATACCTTGCTCTCTACTTCTTCACTGGTTGCTCGCTCACCTAACCGAGCTTGCAGCTCCCTGTTACATATATATATATATATATAGGCAGCTCGCATCTCCTTTGTCCGTTTCCTTCTTGGTTAGTCAGTCAATCAACGTCTTCATCCCACATTCCATTGCTCCTATAGCAGAGCAACCTCAGCCCCATACGTAGCTCTCCCGATCTACGTAATATAACCAAAAGATTTTCGAATGCGCAAGGTCGATATGAGTCTGCCAAGAGGAGTTAGGAGTGGGGGTAGATAACCGTAGGGTCTCCGTATGTAATGGACTTTTGCAACAACAAAAGGAATGAACGGAAGGAAGATGGGTGTGCCATCCACCTTTCACAATCTAACACCTTCTCTCCTCCTCAACCTGAAAAGGACTAGGCTCTACTCCTTACGGCGTTCCCTACCCGGGCTGATTTCGAGAAACCCATCTTACACCACTTACGCAGTGTTCCCTTGATACTGTCAATCTCTGCGTCGTTCTTAAGTAGGAGCTTTGCAACCCCTTCCAGTCCGTCTTGGGCAGCAAGATGTAGGGCCATCACGCTGTTCTTATTGAGAACTCTTTAGCTTCCTCCGTGCTGCAACAAGACGTTGACTACTTTCTTGTGTCTGTAACACCGTTAAAACTTCCCCTCGCCTCTGGACCCAACCCGTCCGTGACTAGCCCCTTAACAGCCAAGTCATTTCCGCGGCGGGTAGCAAGGCGCAATACCATCGTTTCGCCATCTCCTAGAACGCATAATTATATCACAACTCGGATCCTACGATAATCAGGCGCCTGCTTTCCACCCCCGGTGGCATTATCCGGCTCTGTTCTTAAGCTCAAGCTGAAGTTACTTCAATGAAGAATATTATCATTAGGAGCTTCGACATCGACACATAACGCATTTTAACTCCCGAAGGAGAAATCCGATTCTATTAGGAAGGGTACGGTTTAGGAGAGACGAACACCCGCTCACAGAAATCGTCCGGCCCGGCCACCATCGCGGGCAAGAGGTGACGCATCGATTGTAAATACGACCGACACGCAGTAAACGGATGGTTTCAATGATGTACCGAGGCTTCTTAGCGAGACGCATAGCCAGCAACAAGTCCTGAAAGAACTAAATACTTAGTATCCAGCGATCCGTCGACACCAAACGCGAGTGACTAATCGAGGGTTACAGGCTCTCGAACGCTCACGAGACAGGCCTCGCGGCTTTAAGGTACACGTCGAAGAGCTTAAGGGAACTAGCAATATGATCTCGGCTTCTACTGGTAATCGAGATCGTGTGGCGGGACGGCTTCTCTGAAAGGATACGGTTCATGGGTTCGTGGACTACGGTGGACATGGATATGATAAGACGTGGGTCAGTTTATAATGTATTAACGGCATCGCGGGATAATGGGAGGGCAGTCCAGCTGGAGGTTGACCAGATTCGCGGTTGATAAGGCGGCTTCGTTCTAATTAGTGCATGAAGCTGTGTCTGGCGCGGGCGCCACCACAATCGTACCAGCTGGTCGATATTACTGGGCAGGACTTTGGCTGAGACTGGACCAAGACAACTGTTGCGGCTCCTAATGTGCTATTATAGCAGCAATCCGGCGATACTAAAGAGCGCTTTCTACTAGGGAAGAGACTTCGGCTAAACCTGCCACACTCTGATACGCGCTGACCTTCTGTGGCCACATCCGTGTTACCGTGCCCGTCGCGCGGTCTGATAATAGCACAGGGCATTGATTTCATCGAAGCGAGTGTTTAAAGCGATTTGTATGGACATGGGCTCCCTGTCGTCGTGGCGGGATTTATCCTCGATGTGCGCATGAAGCTGCGGCTTGAGAACTTGAGGCCCTGATTACATGGTTCATCAGCGGCTATGTGGAAGAGATAGGTATCGACAGACGGCTCCTCGAAGGTCGACTAGACGAATCTGCATCTCATTGAACGAGTTAGCTGGATCAGCATGGTGTTCCTAGTGTCATCTCGTGTAAGAACTGCGCCCGCACCAATGGTAGACGAGATAGGGATACTCACATGCATGAAGTCGCTTCGCGGGGTGTCTCTTCTATCCGGGAGCCACGTTGCTCTTAACTGGGTCGCGACGGGGTTGAATTGTTTAATTAATCAAGCCAGGAACGCATCGGGATAGGAAGAAGGGAGCAACCAACGGATTGCCGGCTTAGTGAACAGCTCTCAACCCTGCTCGAACGGCTCGACTAATTTATATTGAATCGTAGGTATCAATAGCTTCGAATCAACAAGCATCAAACGCAACCGCTCTCACTCACTCTACTGATAGGATCACAGACGTACGAAACTACTTCTATCAACATTTTGGGTCGCGCCGTCCAGCCGTCTCAGATAGGACTAGAGGGAATGCCCGCCTGTAGTGCCCCGCGACCTGCCTGGGGGATGTGCCAAGAGTTTTGTCAAACCCTCAAATGAGAAATGTCTTGCTAACTGGTTCTAACTACTCGTGGACGGTCACATCGCTGTTCAAGACTCGCCCCGAGTCTGAACACTAGGGAGTCTAGAGGGGGCATAGGGACCTGGCACGGAGGTAGGTAGGTATATCTAATAGGTAACCGTCAACACTGAGTTGCCGGACTGACTCCTCTCAGATGGCTTGGTAACGCCTTACTCAGCCAGTAGTAGTCTTTGCTAGAGACGAAATGGCATCCTTCAAGACATAGTCCGAGTGCGAGTCGCGCTAAGGGGGGTGAATCTACGCGTAGGTCGCGGTGCACGTGACGTTCCCCGTAGGGAAGGTCTCACGCAAATGTCAGCGAGCCGAGGCCCTGCGCACGGCAGTTTGGGGGAGCATTAGGGGGTGTTAGTGGGGTGCGTTAGCGGGGGAGGGGCTGAGCCGTAGCCCTCCGTGTTATGTTAGGTATCTGTCTCTCTTTACCTACGTGTTGTTCATAATACCTACCTACCTACCTACCTACCTTGTCTACGATGTGGGCATGAAAGGCAGGTAAGGCATATAACTTCCCTATATCCATGGAGGCGAACAGGTCGGCTGGTCCCGGGAATATAATAATGACGATTTGGCTAGGGTTCTGTTGGTTCGTCGACGTGCCTCGCCTACGCATCGCACTCTCTTCCTACATGTTATTCGAGGCACCCGAGCCAGGCGACGACGCGCGTGAGCAGCGAAACCCCGGGTCCCCTCCTGCCGGCACTGCCCACCCAAAGCCTCCTCTCGGAGCCCACGAGCGGTACCGCGTCTAATCCTAATGGAGAAGATACAGGCGAGATCGCGGGGAAGAGACACGGCACCGAGCCGCTAAGGATTGCCGGCTATATTATAACCGCGCCGGCATCCCGACGCATCGTGCCACGCCCCTACCCATCACCTATGCACGCATACGTTCTACACTCTTCTAGCTGCCCCCAACTAGAACCTCTTACATCGCAATCGCTGTCTCCTCTCGACTCTCCCCATCGCTCCGGACACGGGATCGGTGTTAGTAGGACGCTGGTTCACCCGAGAGTCGGGAAGAGCGAGCTTCGGAAGCGAATTACGCATGGCAACGATGGCGACCTCCGCCAGGGCCCCGGTAACCGTGGAGCACGCCACTCCGTCCGACATCTCCGACCTGATCACGGTGTGGTGGGACGCGTTCAGCGACGACTTCATCCAGCGCGTCTATCCGCAGACACCAGACGGCCGGGCCTGGCTCGAGCGCGCCTTTGCGCGGAACATGGCGCCCGAGGATCCTGAGCCAGGCGAGCTCGTGACGAAGTGCCTCATCGTGCGGGATCCGGCGGACGGTACTGTTCCCTCACCCCCCTTGCCCTCTTCACCCTCGACCGCTTGTTCCTCGTCGTCGTAACCACACCGGACGGACTAACGAATTCGCTGCCGCTTGGTAACAACAGGCCTCCCCGCCGCGATAGCCGTCTACCACGTGGTCCCGGAAGGTAGCGACGCGGCGCAGCGGTCGTGGCGTGCGCGGTGGCCGACCTTTGAGGACCTGCCAGACGTCAAGGGGCGCGAGGACGTGCTCGACAGCTTCTTCGGCCCCATGGAGAAGACGCAGACCTACCTGCTCGAGGGGCGCGGTCACGTCTGTACGTATTTTCCCCTTCCCCCCTCTCCCACGTCCCCCTTATCTCCGCCCCTCAAAATCATTTGCGTTTCTACCTTGCTACTGGGAACGTGATGAAGAACGAGTGAGAAAGAAAGGTGGGAACAAGGGATGAGCGGATACACCCCCTCGCCCGACAGAAGACTAATACCGCGCCGTCGCGAGCTAGTCCTCGAGGCCCTCGGCACGCGTGAGGCGCACCGCAAGAAGGGCTACGGCGGCGCGCTGGTGCGCTGGGGCGCCGACCTCGCCGACCGCCTGGGCGTCGAGTGCGGCCGCGGAAGCAGGACAGCTAACTGAGACGGTTGGCTGGCCCTGTCCGAGTGTGCGAATGAAAGAGAGCGGAGCTTAGGAGAGGGAAAAGGGGGGCCAACTTAGCGTTCGCGACCCCAAGTATCGAGTCTGGAGACGAAGACGGATATTATCGCGCCCGCGCGAAAAGGGCATGGGACTGGAGTTGGGTAGAAAGATGAAAGGATCCTAAACTCACCGTAAGAGCCCCAAAGCTAGTGTCTAAGGGCAGTTTCCTCGACAAGAGCATACAGCACTAGTGGCTTAACGTATCAGCTAGAATAACCGAAGAGGCTGCATTGAGTATATACTGAGTCTGGACAAGGTTACCAATACTCTATAGGCTCTCAGCTTGCCCCAAACCGAGCGATACCTAGGGATACGCTTCCTAAGACTTTTTCCGAAGGAATCTTACATTTGGCGCTGCCAGTAATTGGTCTCGAGCACGACATCCAGCCGGGAGCAACACTACCTAGTTAGGCCCTGCGTGTCTGGCTTTTCTCCCCCCTTCCTAAACGGCTAGGCCATTTCTCCAGAGATTGGAATTGGGATTGGTTCCTGAGCTGCTTCTGGCCAAAAAAGGCATCCTTACAGCCATAGTTTCGACTCTTCATACAACTCATGCGTAACTCGTATTTCTCCCAGCAACAACTTGCCTTAATTATAGACATCTTCCTCCTCCTAGTTCACCTCATTAACCGCTGCTCCCCTATGTTCGCTAGCATTCCTGTCATCATAGCTAGCCTTTTTCCGTTTCCCGCCTCGATGACTTGAAAAGCTGGCCGGCAAAGAACGCAAATGCGATCCTTTATCGAATTCGAATTCGTGAGAAATACTGAATAAATTCGTCCTGAGGATAGGAGGTGGAATCAGAGATGCTCTGCTGCGTCATGTAAGTATTACCTCATTAGGGGGTCCCTTCTCGTACAGCCATTTCTTGCATGTACCTATGTGGTGGCCATTTCCTGGCAACGAAGGCACGTAGGTAACAGGTACCTAAAAAGTAACCAGGTACTTGTATATGTATATATAGGTATTGCTACCAGTACTCTATGAATAAAACCTGGGTACCTGTACATAGCATGCCTCCAAGGTATCTATACCTCCACATGGATTGTGTTAGGATGTCGGTACATAACCTGAGTGTGTGGACTTTCGGTTGACATTTCCTGGTCGCCACCAGACATTGCGACGGAACACCCCCAATCCGTCAACTGCTATGTTATTTGCATTGGGGTTCGATTCACAGGCGTGCTGGCGTAGTCGCATTGGTGAATCACGTTAAGTCTACTGCCCTGACCAATCGGTGGTGTAGCATAACCTGATCGCCTCTGATCTGGGATATTTCCCCAGGTTTTGCCCTAGAGAGGCACTTGTGCCAAAACCGCAGTACTGCCTACCATATATCTAGATGCCTATCATAGAATCGTAAACGTCCCTTAATATAGACGGCCCGGCAGGTATGACAGGCCGCCCCGGCCGCGTTACTATACCACACTACAGGCGTGGAATCCATCATCGCCATCACGCCCTAACCGACCTAACGTCAATAATGGAAGACGGTCTTGCCGGAGTTTCGAGAAACATTATGACCAGAGAAGATGTACGGGGAAAACCCAGGTTCTGGCAACGCTTGCAGTTATGGGGAACCTCACCCTCTAGCGATGCTGTTGACATATAATGGCAATTTGTGGTATAAAGCCTTCCATGGAACCCGAAACTCGTCGAAGTCGTGAGGCACTTGTGACAGCACCGACAAGGATGACCTGAGGGAAGATTACCTGAACTTCATCGTGACACTTGTCTCAACAGATCGCTATTACCGAAAACATACCGACACACATATATACACCTTAAGCCATGTCGTCACCGTCATCAAACAGTCAAACCTTGAACACGTCTGGCAGCCCAAGCAGGTAATCCACGTCTCTCTCCCACCCCTCGACCCTGAATGGGCTCCCGAAGCTGAAATTGGGACCAGCCGAGACGGAGAACAGCCATCATACATGACGCAAAGGTACCTGAGCGAAGGCCCCACGATCCCCGCTGTCATCTCGGGAGCCAACGGCACCGGCAGCCAGGGGACCGAGGATAGGGCCAGGTACCACACAGCTAGGGCCGCCAAAGCCCTGAAGAAATTCGACGACGCCTGGAAGAATGCCAGCGACGAGCAAACGGAGCCGCAGCGCTGAGGGAGGCATAGCATAGTCTGTCTCTCATTGGGTCGACGATCGAGACCTAGGAATAATCTGCGACTACGCATGATTCTGTGCGGCCGGAGGGTTGTTACCTATGAATGTCTTGCTCTACGTGTCTGGCAGAGTCGTTGGATGTTGGTCTAGTGTATCATATGGCGATTAGATCGGTGGTAGCGTATGTATCATTCTAGTTCCCTTGGTGCCTAGGTAGGTAGGTAGGTAGGTATATTAGAACTTGCGTCGCTGTAAAGGGCGGGCGGGTAGCGGGAGGTCCCTCGCTACAGAAATACAAGTATCCACGTTTAACCAGATGTGGGTGTTTAGTGCATATTGATGTTCTGTGCTTCGCGGCTGGTCCCCTTCCTGTGATCCTACGATACCAGTTAGTGTCAACTAGTATGTGAATCCTTAGGAGGCTGAACCTGATTGAGGAGAACTAACTAGATGCTCAGGATAAGGCAATTCCTGCCGTGCGTTGTGCGTTTACGGCTCGGATCTACATTGATCCGTATACCCACAGCTCCCCACAGCTTAGATCGTCCTCGCTTATCCTATATCCGATCGTAGCGTTATGCAATACCACCATCACGTTTACGATGACGAGAACAGAGCCGATACCAACTTGCTCATTGCAAAAGAGCCGCCCATTGCAGAGAAGGGATCAATTTCCTGCCATCCACTGCTACCACTGCCCAACCCACGACCGCATCCAGACGGAATGCCTACCTAATGTACCGACGAAACAACCGCCCCAGGCCGCGATGCTTAGCCTGTGCGGAGACCGCAGGTCAGCGAGAGATCACCCCACGTAGCGGACGTCTTGGTGATGGAGTCGCTAACCACAAAGGCGATCACCGGGCCGACAGGATCGACTCGCAGACGGAAATTGCAGTAATGGTAATTTTCGTCTCCGCGCTGGGGCAGCTGCTCGACGGGAACCGGCGATGTCAGGTTTGTAACGCCCTCAGGCTTGGTCGAATGGTCAGCATACGGCGGAAGAACATCGAACCGAGTCGAGCTGGAGAATATCTTGAACTGGTAGGATTGTGTCCCCATCGTGCCCCGCGGCCAGCGGGCCAAGAGTTCCATGTCCTGCGACGCGTCTTCGACCAGCGCCCCCTGTCATTTTTTTTTTTCCTTAGACGACCGAAAGTCCCTTTCGGTGGCTCCGACCGAGTCCGCAAGATACCTTACCCACCTGGCAAACCACGTAAGTCGGTCGCATCGTCTCTTCACCCCATCTACCGCGTCCACATATTTCCTGCGCCCGACATAACATCGGACGAAATTACTTCCCGGCTCCCAGGCACAGGCGTAGTTATTGCGGAGAACCGGCAGAATTACCGGGGCGATAATCTCCCTGCCCCTTGGCTTGTAGACTTCGTACATCGCCCAGGCCGCACCCCAGGCGACGGCGGATATGCTGCACAGGTCAGCAGAAGACTTAACTTCTGGGATTTTGAGCAGATCCGACGTACGGGCTATCTCCCGAGGCTTGAAGGACTTGGGTCGAGACGGTTGCGCCAGGGGAAGGGAGGTTGATATTTTTGATGGCATTGTTGATCATCGTAAGCATGTACGGGCTTTGTCCAAACCCTCCAACCAGCACCACAGACGATTACATTATACGTTAGCTCGTCCGTTCAGATACATGAGTGCATATGCTCCAAGTTGGATGCACAAACCGTTGGGGCTATATTGATCTGATTTACAACTCGCAGGAGCCTGTCGGTGAGCAGCGACACGATATCGAAGGCTACGACGTCGAAAATATCGCGGATTTCCTCACTAATAAAGCCAATATGAACCTGTCTGGTCGGCAGGGGGGGAAGGGGGGGATCGCTTACCTATGAAATTCCACATCGGCTGCGCCTGGAATTCGCACCATAAAGGTTCTGTCCGATCCATCGAATTTTCTCCTGATCTCATGCTCCCACTTCACATCGCAAAACCAAAATTATCAATATAGTAATGCCCCAGCGGTCAAAATACCTACGACTTTTATCACTGGCAGTGTGGAAATGGGAGAGAGCGACCGCTATTAAATCACATACCTGGATGCACATCGCCATGTCGATATAGGGACGGGGAATCGACTCCCATGTCTCGCGGCCCAGCTTCTTTCTCAGCAGCAGTTCAAATTCATCATCCAAGTTGGGAGCGCCACAACGGATACCTGTCGGGTAGCCGAGTCTTGAGAGCGCTTTATTTCCGACCAAGTAACTAGTGACGTCCCCAAGAAGAAGGCCTATCAGAACATGACAGCCAAGTTTCATGAGTGTTGGCAGGTAAACTTACGACGTTGTACCTCCAACATCTAGGACTAGAAGTGTGGTTTCCGGGCTCTCCTGCGAAATTTGAGAACGGTCGACGACATCGGCGAGTGTGCCAATCGCCGCCGCCTCAGATTCCCCAATGAACGACGGCTGTGTCCTGCGGGCGGAGTATGAGTCCATAATCTTGGTTGACCTCACAGCTAGCATTAGTCGATCCTTCGCCCGTTCGTCCCAGCCAGTTGGGACAGCGAAGGAAATCTGGATAATAGACTTTTCTAATTTGTGCTGGCCGATCTTTGCCGCTATCTCACCTAATGTGTGGTCGTAGAGCTGCGTTAGGTAATATCCCACCACCTGGATGACAGTCTTATCAGCATGTAGGATCGCACGACAAGCATTCTTGACCTCAAATGAGTCATCCAGATAGTCAGGCAGAATGTCCGGGTCTGCCCAGAGAGGCCGGAACTACTGGATCGGGTTGGCGTCGGCTGGGATGCTGTAGCCCCAAGTGATTTCACCAGACTCGTCGTAGTGGATCTTAGTCGGAACCTTAGCGAAGCCTGAGTCTCGAGGCGAAGTTGCTGGCCAGTTTCTGACGATCTGCGGCAGATAGACGGAGATACCCTTCTCTACTAAGAGCCACGAGGCTGTCGAGTAGCTAACCCATGGTGGGATATCAGCGAAATCCTGCAAAAGATGGAATGCTCCCAACGAGAACTGGCATACCTGGACCCGAAGTCTATGCCAATCACTATACTAGGCATCGTGCTTGCCACCGAGGTTGCTAGTACTTGATGGTGTTGAGAGTGAGGATGAGACTGTGGTTCGAGTATGAATCGATAACATGCTGCCAGAGGCTTGAACTTATTGGAAAATTTGCTGCCTGAGGTCGCCATGATCGTTCAACCATTCATAGTTTCATAGTCAAAGTCATACGCCGAAAGAGGTTGGCTTCAACTCAGCATCAGGAAACTGAGGTGTCGAAGAAAGATTCAAACAAAGGTCACCGTAAGGAGGCAGTCTTGTATGCATGTATTTACCCTAATCAAACCCCACGGCCCAGTATCATTTTTTGCCAGCGATGCCCTAGCCTCCCACCAGAAGTCAGTTCCGTAAATAATATGTATTATTTGCCTGCCCCAGTGCCCCTTTCTAGTACCATCATGACTGTCGCCTCTTCATCAATACCTAGCCACATTCTTTCCCAGTCTCTCTAGTCGGTCAAATACCAGGTCTATGGGACACCCTATGCTTGAGAGCCCTGGTCGTCCTGGGGTGAATAAAGGGTAGTTACATATCATATTGTGGTGGTCATGTACATCGTTGCCATCACAACGAAACCCTGAGAGGTTTGTGGAGCAGAGAAGCGGCCGGATGACTTGGCTTTCCGAACTTCCCTACCTAGTAACTCGGAACATGACGCTGTCCTTCGTGATTGGCACCGCCGTATTCGGCCATGTCAGACTACCCCTTTCCCTATGGTTGGCAAAGGCGGTTGACTTTTTCAGAGCCAGCATGAAGCGCAACATGAAATCAACGAATATCACCTGCATGTTTCAGGGCCACGTTGTGCGCTGGTTGAGACGAGGATTAATTATAAGACTAGATATGTTCGACACTCACGCGTGCGAGGAGCTGGCAACCGCATTAAATAGATCTGAGACACTGGATGAGATGTCGCCCCATAAGGTAATGGCTAGCTTAGCATCTCCACAAGTTGGGCGCCACATGTCATCGTTATCTAGGAGAAAGTATACATAACAAAGAACCAGAAGTACAGTAGGGCTACCGGGGCAACACCGCCGGCCTACCGGAACAATGGGACTGTCATGGATCGGGAATAGTATGAGGCTTCGGGCTCATAGATCCCGAAAGGACTACTTGTTAATAGACAATGTCGTCGTCCTCTCCGGGTCTCGAAGGTATAATAATAGCGCTGTTGCACTTGGTGGTTAGCTCGTGGAGTCTTGCTTACTAGCTATTATACCAAACGGTTCACATCTACATACCCACAGGACGCAAGCCGAAGAGAGTACGCAGCTCAACGCATATTGTAAAATCCCAACCATATCGATAATTGATCGCTTAACGAATTTCTGATCGCAGAAATGGCTCAGAACGTCCACCAGATGTCCACCCCTCGTGCCTGGCTTCCAACGCCCCAACAGGCCAAACCTTCGGCCACTAAATCGCAACGGCGGGAGCTCCCATCCCAGCGGCCCTCTCGCCTCCAGACCTCCCCTAGGCGCTCGCAAGCGGGCCGACCGCAGGGAGTATCAAAGCGCAGAGCCCGTGGTCTCATGACGGGTGCTGTTACGGCAAAGAGCTTGGTCATCCAGGTCCACAATGGCGGCAGGATTACCGTAAACCACACCGGGAAATCTTGTGAGTACTGTTCCCTCCATCGCCGCCGCCGCAGGGCTAACGCGGCTGCCAATCCCAACGGTCCTGAGGATCCGATTTTGATGTCGTCGATGTCGTCGATGTCACTGTCGTCGACGGAGCCGTCGGTGCAGTTCATGGGGCAGACGGGGCACCCCGACGGTGAGTGGTCGACCGGGTCCCAGGGCCCGCCTGCCGAGGAGGTAGCACAGCCGGCCAAGAGTCGCCGAACCCGTCCGCGCGCCGACGACAACGCCGAGGACTCGTCGGCCAAGCGTCGCCGCACCGACGCGTCTACCAAAAACACCCCGCTGCCGGCCCCTGCCTCACCGATCCAGGCCGCCGCCCCCAAGAGGCGACCCACTCCCGCACAGAGGCGAGCTGCTGCCGCACAGAAGCGAGCCGTCACTATCGCACAGAAGCGAGCTGCCGCCGCCGCCGCCGCCGCGCAGGAGAAGGCCGCGGCACAGGAAGAGGCCACGGCGCAGGAGAAGGGCGCCGCAGCCACCATTCCACGAGAGCAAATGACGCCAGCGCAGAAACGCGCCGCCACTATCGCACAGAAGCGAGCCGCCGCCGCCCCAGCGCAGGACGAGGCAGCGCAGAAGGAAGCTGCCACAGCCGCCATTCCGCGGGAGCAAATGACGCCGGCGCAGAAACGAGCCGCGACTATCGCACAGAGGCGGGCCGCCGGCGAGGAGAAGCGAGCTGCTAGAGCTGCTGCTGCTGCTGAGAAGCGAGCGGCGACGCGATTAGCCGCCGTGAACGCCACCAAGCGCGCCACCAAGAGCGCCAGCGAGCTCGAGCAGGAGCAGAACTACGAGGAGGAATACGATGAGTACGAAGACGAGGAATACGAGGAAGAGGATGAGGGAGAGGAGGTGTACGAGGATGACGAGGATTACGAGGAGCAGCCGGAGCAGCCAGGGCCAGCCGCAGCGCACTCGCTCGCGCTGGCCGCGGCGCATAGCGCAGCAGGGGAAACGGCGTGGCCGCTGCCGGGCCCGCCGCCGGGGGTGGCCGGGAGCCAGGGGCTGTATGGACGCGCCTCGCAGGGGCCGCCCGAGACGCCGGCGAGGCCGTGGCAGCACCCGCCGGCTTCGATGCCAGCGCCGAGCACGCCGTTCGCGCGGATGCTCTCGAGCGCGCGCGGAGGCCCCGTGCCCGCGCCCACGCGCCTGTTCCCATCCGCGCCGTCGCCCGCCCAGCCGAACCCGCTCCCTGCCGCCCCCCCGGCCCAGCAGGCCTCTACCCAGGCCGCCGACCCCAACCCCAACAGCGAGAACTTCTCCCATACCGCTACCATCCCCGGCTACGACCGATAGGATCTCGCTGAGAGTGGGGATAACTTGCCCTCGCGCCTCTAGGTGCTGAGAGAGGGCTGGCAGGTCTGTGTTCGATGGCTAGACCGATGGTGTGGATGCTGGCGCGTGCTCGGCATGGATATAGCGCCTCGTATCGCTCTTGTTGCTGCGGAGGGGGCCTTTGTCAGGATCGGCAGGGAGGGTGGACTACTTTTGCTTTCAGGGGTAGCTTTAGCTTTTTTCAGACTTGCAGACGTACATTGTGTACTATCATCCTCTGTGCGATGACTCCAATGCCAACAATACAACTTATGGATAATATCACTGTCTAGTAACATGTGGTATCGTCTTATCGCTCTCCTTACTTTCTCTTTCCCCTTTCCTCTTGTTCGGAGAATACCGCGTAAGCCCTCGATGACAGCTGTCGATAACAGCTTTGTTGTACACCTTTGTTTCGTAGGTATATTGTTGCAAGTGATTGTTGGGAGACACCCCATCGTACACACAGATCCATGGAATGAGGACTCGGGAATAAGTATGCTCAGATGTATCGTTGTCCCAAGATTGCGTGTCCCTTTTATCGATTCGAAGCATAATATCAGTGCCCCTCTCCTCTTCTCCCACAAGAATGCGCATAAGGTCTATTTCCGCTCTCTGGATGTGGCGGGAGCTGCCGATATTTTCCCTTCTAGTTGCGTCCATAACTCCCATCGCCGCCAGGTACGAGGATCATGCGATCGATGACGAATTGCAGCTTGGAGTGTAATGGCCATTATTGGCCACGAGAATGCAATCCCCGTGTTAAAAGTCCGGACCGTAGGCACGGATGATATCTGACTGGATCCTTATCTCCGACAATCTCCATCGGAAGAAAGGTCTCATCGTCTTGTGATCATGGAGCCAACCTAGAAGTGTCCATATAGTCCAGGCCATCCCGGCGACCCGCCATAGGAATAAGGCTGCCTAGAGATATACATAGATGGAGGTGCGGATATGTGGATAGGTAAATAGATTTAGGTAGCTCTAAGTTTTTAATCCCCTCTTCCTCCCGTCCATGATACCATGCGTTCGTAAACCGATTTGTGCAGAACCAATTTCTCCTCCGAGTCAACCCGTTCTTCTGCCCTACCTTTGTGATCAGGCATCCCGTCCCCTTCCCTAGGGCGAGAATCTTGCTGCGGTGACGACGCTACGATAGGAAAGAAAGATAGCCACGGTGCGATAAAACCCGAGCACGATGGGCTTGCTTTGGAACTTTCTCGCTATGATCTGGTACCAGCTCACCTTCAAGCCGAAGCCGCTCTCTGACGACATTTGGCTGTGGGGGCAGACGGCCATCGTGACGGGTTCCAATGCCGGCCTGGGATTCGAAGCGGCCAAGGAGCTGGCTCTGCACGGGTTATCGCGCTTAATCCTAGGCGTGCGGGATGCAGCGAGGGGGGAAGCCGCCAGGGCAGAGATCGCCCGGCTCGCGCCCGAGTGCAAAATTGAGGTGTGGTCTCTCGACCAGGAGTCCTGGGAGAGCATTGTGGCATTCGGGGAACGCGTAGACCGGCAACTCGACCGCGTCGACATTGCGTTGTTGAATGCGGGGTTGAAACGACTGGAGTTCAGCCAGTCTCCAACGGGCCACGAGGCCCACGTCCAAGTCAACCACTTGGGCACAGCGTTGCTGTCGCTCTTGCTCGTCGGGCGGTTGCGACGGACTGCGCGTGAGACGCGGAAGCCTGGCCGCATGAGCATCACCGCATCGAGCGTCGCCTTCTGGGCGCGTCTCAGCGACGTCCAAGAGCCGCAAGGAGGGAACGGTATCCTTGCTTGGCTCGACAACCCGGCGTCTTTCGTCCCTGGCGAGAACCACTACTGCGTCTCTAAGCTGCTCAACGTGCTGTGGACGCGCGCCCTTGCTATCCATCTCTACCCCCGAGACATTGTTCTCAACACCTTCAATCCTGGGTACTGCCGAAGCCAATTCCACCGCGAAGACCCAAGGGGAGAAAGTATGGCTAAGTACCTAGCCTTTGACACCGCTCAAGGCGGCTATCACCTCACCGATGCCGTGATACGCCACCCGAATAGCCACGGAGCCTACCTGAGCGAGCAGACAATCAGACCGTAAGTTGCACCATACTCGGAGGAGGTAGTAGAACTCAGCCAGCTGACAGAAACTCCGTCAGGGTGCCCCAGGAAATATCCTCGGCCAAGGGGATGGATTCGCAGCAGTTTCTATGGGATGAAACACTGGCACTGTTCGAGCGAGAGTGTCCAGAGGTCGACATCGAAGAATTCAGGCGGGGATGAGCGAAATGGTGACCACCATGCGCAGTCGAAGCGGGGCGCCGCCGCCGACAGATATCAAGGGATGGCACCATTGAAGATACAGCCGATCCAGAAATAGCAGGTCTCTTTATATCCAAAAGGTGCACCGGCAATTGGTGACATGAAACTGATCTTGGCCACCCTTTTCAGACCTCCCTTAGCAGGCCAGATTTCAGATGCGTACCCTAGACAAAAACACGCGAGCGAAGTTGGCCATGTTAGCGCTGTAGGAATTGGAAAGCGTAATCGCTCGTATTAAAGCGGGAATTTGGAGGACTCGCAAGGATGGAGTAATATTCCAAATTACAGGTGCGGATATCGCATGGTCATATGGGCGTCGGCTCCCAAGTTTGGTAGAAGAACAGATCCACCTCGTCGCTAAAGATTGATCAGAGCGGTGAGAAGTAAAGTGCAGAATGTTCTCTTCCGGCTCGGGTATCCGAAAGAATCAAACCAAATAGATGCAAAGACGGAACTGCTCGTCCACCGTGTAGCCAAGCCGAATTCACTTCACTTCTCAGGCGTCCGAACCCGGCGAAGGGGGTAGGTATCAGCTGGGAGGGCCCAACGCGGGAGGACGGCTGTCATTTCATCTAGTTTCGGGCGGTCCATCTACGAATACGCCTCGTGGAAAAGATGAAATATAGGCACAAGATCTCGCCTCTTCGAACCCTGCACCGAGGATTCTACTGAAATGAGCGAAAAGAGCTGGGGAAAGCTAGGGAGGCGGGCTACGCCAGGCATGTCGCGATGCGATGGCAACATGACGCGACTGGAGTTGATTCGAGTGCGGGGAGGATTCTGCAAAGCCTACTCAGGGAGAAACGAGGATAACGATGTGCTAACGCGACGTGAAAAAAAAAAGGATCAAGTTGTATGATCTGGAGCGGACGGGCGGGTCAATTGCGCGGCAAGTTGGCTAGGGACTCGTCAACCAGAGCGTGCCGCCGACCGAAGCGGGTATCCAAGGGAATAGACAATTCCACGATTAGGCAGGTTTTCCGGCGGTAGCAGGATACTCGCGATGGTCTCCCCGTCAGACGCCCGCGATATTACTCTCTGATGAGGGGTGGATGTCGACCCCGGCGGGAGAGCGAGCTACCCAGCGAACCGGTCAGTTCCAGGGTGAAGAGAAGTCAAGTTAAGTTCGCTGAGGGAATTGGGTAAAATCGAAAGTAATCGGGCTACTCCAGTCCGTCCACCCGTCGAGACAGCCCAGTCAGTCACCATTTCTTTTTCCTGCCGGGTGCATGGCCGGGCCAGGCGTCGAGGCGCGCGCGGCGACGCTCAAGCACCAGTGAAATGAGCGAACGTGGTCGCAGGCGAGTCAGAAGACCCAACCAGAGAGCACAGACTTCCAACTCGATCGAGTAAAGAGCGGGAATCAACAGTGCAAGAGGGAGGGAGAGCTACGATACATAGAAAGGATGAATAGGACAAGAAATTAGTGCAACGGACGGATTGGCGGACGGGTGGGTAGACGAGGTAGGTTGGTCGGTGAGTATGTGAGGCTAGGCCGCCTTGGGGAGGGAGGAGAGGGAGAGAGAGAGCGAGGTCGAGGAAGACAAGACGGCGGAGCAGGAAGATAAAAAGGGGGCGTAGGAGGGGGAAGAGAGACGGGAAGCGATGAGACGGAGGGGGGGGAGAAGAAGAAGAAGGGCTGGATGTGATATGTAGGAAGACTCGAGAAGGGATGTTGACGAGGATCAGTGGAGGAGGAGGAGGAGGAGGAGGAGGAGAAGGGAGGGTCCAATCTCAGCGATTACGGGCGTTCCGAAGGTCGTGTAATATTACGGGCTAAGACTGATACGCCCCAGTCGATTTCGTGATCCCATTCGCCTGCTCCCTGGTTATTTTTCTCCTTCTCTCAGGCTCTCTCCTCCGGTACCCTCCTCTGTCGACCGATTCTAGACCTGATTAGCCGGGGCGGTTTATGCAGCGACCTGGTCACCCAGCACTTGTTGCCCTTCCAAGGCACCGGGCATCGTTCAGTCTTAGTATGGCTGCTATTGTTGTTGTTATTTAGGTGGGTGGTGTGCGCGAGTGTGTGTCGTAACAAGACGGGGGATAACGGAAGAGAGCGAGGGAGAGGAATCGAATCGAATCAAGGGCCCTAAAACCAACACCACCGTCACCACCATTACTACTACCACTTACCGTCGCCTCCTGTTCGTGTGCTTCTTATTTCTGCCCCCCTCCCCCCCCCCCCCCCCTCAAAATAATACGCGGCAGAGAGGGAAAGGATTTTTTTTTTAATGAGAGAGGTTTTTGAGAAAACACGCAAGGAAAAAAAAAGGAAAAAAAGAAAAGAGAAAAAAAAAACGGTCGACTGTGCGCGGAGCATAATAGTGCCTGTTCCCCTCGAGCACTATCAAGCACCCTCACACACATACATACAACATACATAGACGCGCGCGCGCACACACACACAACACGCACAGCTCACACCACTCGGGGCACCTCTAATCAATCACCTTGCCGCCCTCTTCAATCCTTCATCTTCATCGCCCTCCCCCCGTCGACTCGATTCCTCCCCGTCTCCTTCTCTCTCCCTTCTCTCTCCCACAACACGACCGCTCCCCCTCCCCGCCATACCACGCACTCACTCTGTATCCAGCCTCCCAAGCAGACGCTCTTCGTATTAATCGCGAGGTTCCCGCGTGGAATTTTTTCAAGTTTCCGACGCGCAATCCGTCGTATTCACCCCTGCCCGACACCAGAGCGGAGTCCTTGTAAGCTGCCCAATTTCTTTGTCTATCTCCACCTCTCGCTCTCTTCCCTCCCTCCCTTCTCGCGTGCCTCTGCCCCGATCGCATTCTGCTTCCCATCCGCGTTTTGCGTCGCAGCGTCTTGGTCGAAGCCTCACCCATCCCGCCTACTTGTACGCTAATCTCCAGTGTCAAAGCTGCCTCTTTTTTCCTCTTTTTTCCCCCTCCCCTTTTTCTTCGACAGGCACAGCACAAATGGCTCGCGAAGGCACGCGATCCGCGACTGGCAACTCCAAGCCGCGCATCTTTCAGACTGTCGACACCGCGCCCGCCATCAAGCGCACCACCAAGCCCAAGAAGGCATCCCCGCCCACCACCAGCGCCGCGGCCAAAGTCAAGGCCGCCGCAAAGCCCACCGGTGTCACCAAGAAGAGAGCTCCTCCGCCGAAGAAGGAAGGTGTCGCAACCAAGGTATGTTACGTGCCGTTTTCATTCTTCTGCTGCATTGCCTCGCATGCGCCCTACCCACAGCATCCTTCGGCGGCATCCCGACGAGGCGGGAATATGCAGGGTGCACATGCGCTGTTCGTGGCATGCGATGCGACGACATTTTTTCGTGTGCCGTCTGAGATTTCATGGTCGCATTTTTTTGAGAAGGAGAAACCAATAAAAAAATAAAACAAAAGAAGAACCTCGAGTCTGTAGATCGCGGGGGGGGGGGGGGAGGGCGTGCTGCGACAACTACTTACGCTAGAGGTTGCAGGTCAAGGCTGCCGTCAAGAAAGCTGCTGAGAAGGCAGCCGACAAGGCCACGGACAAGTCAGCCGAGAAGCCAAGTGACAAAGCAAGCGAGAAGTTGAGCGAGAAGCCGAGTGAGAAGGCAAGCGAGAAGCCCGCGGAGAAGGCGGCCGAGAAGTCAGCCGAGAAGTCGGAAGACAAGCCGGAGAAGCCCGAGAAGGCCGAAAAGCCTGAGAAGGCCGAGAGACCAAAGAAGGTGATTTAGCCGTGGCATTGCAGCATCGCTCGACGAGATTCCCGGCTAACTCCTCACGCAGGCCGCTGCCAAGGCCAAGACTGGCTCCAAATAGGCCATGTTGTGATTGCGCCGCAAATCTCGATCCGATCCGCGAGATGGCCTAAATCAGGCCATGGATGGTACGAGCACAGCCGTCCTCGCCATCTTCTGTCGCCTACTGGTTTCCGCATCCTAGTACTGGGCTCTTTCTTTGATTCCGCACGCCGACCGCTGGCTTTGACGAGTCTTGTTTCCGTTGAGTGTACACGAGCTGGTAGAGCATAGGATGAAATTAGCACTGCAGACCTAGGAATTCTTCCGCGCGTCCTAGCTAAATTAGCCGGCTAAGCTATCCTGTTCGGCCCCGGCTTGACTTCGTAGGCTGGACTGGGGGTGCCAACATCGCACGGGAACACGACCAGCTCCGGGGGAGGAGACGGGGACAACACATAGTTCGCAATCCGGGAGCGCGTATCGTTATGTTCCCTTGCTCTGCAGGAAGGTGTTGGGGAGAGGTAGAGGGAAGGGGTATGCGTCCATGCCATCGTGAGCTTTTGTATGTAGTCTTTAATGATGGTGGAATCCTGAAGGCTCTAGGAGGAGGGCCCTATCCTGTTTAGGTCAGGTAGTCCCTCCCAGGTCCGATAGTACAAGCACGAATATGTGGTAAACGACTCTACGCTGTCTTTTTATGGCCGCGTTATGAGCTATACAGTGCTGGCTAGCGTGCCGCCTGCCCTCCTCTCTTTGCCTACCAAATCAATACATTCTTATACTTCTTCACTCATCCATGCGAGCGTGTGTTATAAATCAGGCGAGTATCATATATCCGTATCCATAAGTTCTTAGCATTCAAGGTCGTGTAATGGGACAAGGAGAAAGGGATAAGAGAAAGGGGTAGGTTTGCCAAGACTTGGCCCCTGAAAGTGCCAACGCAGCATCCGCTCTCCCCTCGTCCTGGACAGACCAGATCCCATAGTAATGGCCACAGGAGATAAATATACGTACGCATCTCTAACCAAGCTACACCTTCAATCATCCGTCCAGCCCACCTAAACCGCTCTTTTCTAAGCACCGAAGAACGATCACCTACACTAGGAATTTATCGGGACTTACGACTCCTATCAAGAAGCATACTCCCGATTCCAACTCAGGGGTAAGCGCAGATCACCGGCGTACTCACCCCCCCATCTCCTCCACGGCTAGTATCCGTCAACCACCACAGAACCGACCGAGGAGAGAGAGAGAAAAGCCGAAGAGTGAGCACTACGAGCAACCGCCCAATAGCCCAACTTGCCTACCCCGATTAAAAGACCACAGACGCAATTGCATCCGAAGAAAGACGTCAAGGCCCAGGGCGCGGTGCGCCCTTCGCAATCCGAGCCTTGGGGGCGGGCGAAGAGTAGTGGGTTCCACGGTCGGCAATGTGTACGAGTGACACCGAACACCGCCGAAGCCGGGCAGTGGGTGCCGCGGGATCTCCAGGGTGATAGACACCCGAGCCCTGGTGCGAGGCTAGGCGCATACACACGCACGCAACCCCCAGCATAACTACTGTTCTCCACTTTTCGGGTTCCGTCCCAAGCCGTCGGTAAGGCGACACGTCATCAGCCAGGCGCCGGACCGCCCTGTCTCAGCCCCAGGAGGCGCGCACCTGGCGCGTCGGCCCGAACGCGCTCCCATCGAGCCTCCCGTCGTCGCTAGTCGCGGGGGAGGGGGTAAGCTAGGGCTGCCAAACTAGCCTAGCGCTGAGCGAAGAGGAGGAGGGCTCTTATCTAAGCCTGGTCGGCGGCGAGGCCAACTAACACCCACACACGTCCGGCTGGGCGTCCTCAACGTGCCGCAGTGCCCTGCTCTGTCGCGAGCCTTCTGGCCGCTGCCCACGGGTGCAGTAGCGGGCGTGCGGGCGTTGCTTACGCCGCGGCGGCTCCCGCCTAGCGCCGTCTAGCGCCCGACGGAGCGGCGGGGTGCCGCTGATCGAGTTAAGACGGTCTGCCCTCGGGCCCGATAAAAGGGGGGGGGTTAGGACAAGCCGCCCCTGGCCGGACCGATAGAGGATTCGGCGTATTAACTCACTAGTAACGCTATCGTGTGATAGATCGTATAAAGGCCTCGTGGTTGTGCTTTCTACTAGGGCTGGGGGTGTCTTGGTTACGCCAACCACACCGATTGTTATATTCCTCGGATATTACCTCCTCGTATCACGGACGTCTTCGCCGCCCTACCTTCTGCTCGCCATATCGTCACATACATACACGCTTAAGTAGCGCATCACAGCTTGGCTCGGCTACCAACTAGCCGTCACGGGAACATCTAGATGCTTTCTATTTAGCTACAGCGGACAATATAGCTTGCCTGGAAGGGAAGCAAAGGCCCAATACTAGGGACCCGTGGATTACTTGTCACGTACGGAATCAGCCCTCATAAGCCAACATCTGCAAGTCGTATCATGTCGGCTTATGAGGACTGATTCCGTACGTGGCATATGCATAAATCCAAAGACTCTTTAATACGACTATACCGAACGAAATGTAGAAATACAGGTACGCATATTTTCATGTGACAAGTTTAGTATCCAAGTTAAGTAATTATCAACCATGTCGTAGGGGAACTCTAGGCTTAGAACGATAGGAGACGGTATTAGAGAATCTGAAGTGACATGTCGAAAAGGAACAGCTCCCAGGTAAAATCGATGAAATGAGAGAAATACTATGCTCTGCGAATTATAGAGTGGCAATGTACTCGGGGATTCCGACTCAGATACTTTCCAAAACCCGCATCATCAATCGTGGTCTTGACTCCTATTCTCTGCTCTAACCCATCTCTCTGCTTGAAAGTATATCGAATAACGCATTTCTTCCCTTTTCTCGAGTATCCAGTAGCTTATGTGACCATCTAAACGACGGTAGAGGACAAACACTTAGCGGCTCCTTCACACGTGTAAAAGGATGCGGGTTGCTGAAGGGGCCTCGGGGAGTTCCGCACAAGCAGTCGGCGCCTCCACGATATGACTTGGTTCCCTGCGCGGCGTAGCAGGTAAACTCGGTCGAACTCCAGGCCACTTCTTCGCCGTTCTGCCTGGATAATTCAGTTTTTGGCGGATGCTGGCGGTGGCTGTTTTCATGCAGGCCTTCAAATGAGAGTAGAAGGAGGGAAAGCATGGCGCGCAGGTCACTATAATTCCGATATCGATCTCGACAGTTCTAGCGGCAGTCCCCATTAGCGTGGGGGGGGGGGGGGGGGGAGGCGAGAACAGGAATAAGGATTGGCTTACGCGTATAGAACTTGGATGGCATCAGTCCGGAAGATGCTGAAAATACTTGTATAATACTCAATGAGGGTCACTGCCCGGACTAAACTTATGGCGCACACACTGGAGTTTACATGGCATTAGAAGGACGGTTCTTGAGATAGACAGTAGAACGGCCAACTCACGTAAGACCGGCTGCGAAAACAGTAGCAAGGCCCAACTTGCGTTTGAAGTTCAGGTTAAGCCTCGTGATAATGGGGAAGGGCAACGCGAGAATTGCGAAATTGGTGACGAAGTTGAAAATTCCATATAGAATCACAATCGGCCCAACGTAAGCTTGACAAAATGCGGCCGGGTCGTAAATGAAATTGCATCTCGTTAAGAAAGCTATTCCGGCACCTAGCATACAGGTACTGAATGCGGTGATAGCAGCAATCACCACATATGTAGCAAGACGTAGCGGCCTGCTAATGGAGAAGATCCGAAGATAGAAGAGTAGAATGCTGAGGTTCGTGAAGAATATGGTTATCGGGAATGATATACTGTCCGAATATAGCAGCAGCTACACTACTTATGAGCACGCGGATGAGCAAAAAAAGAGAAGGACAGGGGAAGAGCTGAAGACAGACGTCTGAATTTCCAGGGAAGAGCCATTCAATGTCAATAACTGACCCGTCCTCGGCAATCTTGAATTTGGTTACTAGGCGAAGATTAAGAGCTGGCGTGTCAAGTTGATATTCACCCGGCTAAGGGGGATATATGCTCACTTTGCGGGCACGCGTGTGCTAAGGACCCAAACTGCGATGGTCAGTAGCGAACTCAACCTTAGGCTGCGGCTCGACCCGCTTACCGCTGCGAGAATGCAGGTCACTAGGGAGATATCAGCGCGTCCCGCCTCGGTATATCGGTGATACCATAGCGCATGTCTCCCGGAGCGCGCGAATTGCGCGGGCTTGGCTCACCGTCATCCCATCCCCAACTCTTCAAAACTTTGACGCGAACAAAAACTCGGACGAGAACGGCGACCAGCATGAGGGAGACAAATGTGGTACTGAAGACGGACAGACATCCTATCCACGGCTGGATACCGGTGAATTTACAGGGGTTTGGTAGTACCTCGCCTCCGGAGTCATAGGCCAGGAAGGTGTAGTCCTTAGAAGAGGCCATATTGGCGCACGCCTTAGCCTTCTAATTCCTTGGAGTTTTCGATGTAGTACTTGGGGCCGGCATCCGGATATCGGCAAAGGTCTCGGAGAGAAAGAGGACGGAAGTTCGACCGGAGCGTAAAAAGACTCAATCGCGCCAAATCTGGCAGAGGTCCAGCGAAGCCGCCTTTATGTCTTTCCCCTTGTGTTACGTTCATATCGTGGGAGGCAAGGATATGAGGAGAGAAGCGCTTTCAGAGCACAGGTTACACTGCAGCAATGCCGTCGAATACGAGTAAGCGGCCGGAATGGCGATCAGCCGCTGCGTTTGGAGGTGACATTTGCGTACGGCGTCAACCTGTGGCAACGTGAAGCTTACCTTCCGGTTCTCGGAGGGATATTCAATACGTCTCCTACTAGAGGCTTACTCTTCCTATAGGCTCCTCTCAGCTCACTGCCGCCGTGTTGAAACATGTCATGGGGAGATGACAAGACACGAGGCACACGGAGTTGGGGGCGGGGTACCAGGGGCGGCAGCGACTCCAACCCCCACTGCTACCTGGCCCCCATCGTGGGAACGTAAGGCTACGGGGAGTGGCCTTTCGGTGACACTCTGCTTGCGACATGGACCTGTCAGGAAGTAAGCAGTGGGAATTTGATAGCCGCTGGCTACTGGATTACTCGTCTGCTCCTACGCACTTGAGAGAACGTATCTGGGGAGCTAGCTGCCTTCATGCTGATAGTCTATTGGGAATAATAACTTCGCAGGTAATATTTTATTAACTCCATCATAGACGGCAAGAACAGGCCTACCCGTCTTACATATATATAATGCCGACACAACTTTTCACTTATTAAAATTAAACACGGTCGTGAAATTGAGTTATTTTCAAAGGTCTTCCAATTATTTTAGCTCTTGTAAGGAATTAGGTGATATAATATAATGTCACGTAGAGATTGCACCTTAGGTTGCTCCTCTTCGTTGCTTACCTCAGCAACAGGAGCTCCTGTATATATGCTCCCGTTGCTTCCATTCCTTTAGTTAGCTCTTAGATAGAACAAGACCTTTTCTCCTTTGCTCCTCCTCCCGTTGCTCATGAGATAGCTCCTTGCGCGCGCTCTCGCATACGTAGCTTCCATTCTACGTGATATACAACGTGTCACGTAGCAATTGAACCAGCCCTTATATGCCTACATACCGCGAAGCGTAAATGTAGGCGCCTACGTTTTACGCGACATAACGCAAATTGAAAAATATTAATATTATGTTACGTAGAGGTTGCTCCTTAGCTTCCTCCTTTTAGTTACTTCCCTACCTTAGTTATATGAGCTCTTATATATTGAACAGGAGCAGCGTGGGCACGCTGTGATGGAGGCACGAAAAGGACTAACCAACTGCCAACAGCTGGCCCAGTGCCGACCGAACTAGATTACAGCTGTGAACAGCTGTAATAGGCTGATCGGCCAGCTGAAACGGCAGCTGGGAAAGGCTAGTAAGGCAAGATGGCGAGGAAAGGCAGTTCTAGAAAGGAGTGAATACTATAGGTGGTGATGCCCACAGGACTAAGTCTGATCTATGAAAATCTGGGTGCGAGACCCATATAAATACTCATCCAAAAGGCTACGTGGCCTAGTCCCACCGCACCACTACAATATACGCTCTTATTGCTTCTATTCCTTTAGTTAGTTATTTCTTATATAGAAAAAGACCTTCTCTCCTTTTCTCCTCCTCCTGTTACTCGTGAGATAGCCCCGCGCGCGTTCTTGTACTATACGTAGCTCCTTCCTCGATCTATGTGATATATTGTTAGAAGATTTCTTTTTATTATACTGTAAATATTGGAGGGGGACAGCGTGGGCACACTGTTAGAGAGACCAAATAGGAACAAGAAACAGCCACGGCTGCCAACAACTAGCCCAGTGCCGATCAAGCAGGGTCACGGCTGTAAACAGCTATGAGGTGTTGATCGGCCAGCTGTAGGTGGTAGCTGGAAGCAATAAGAACGGATGGGGCTTTAGAAGGACACATTGGGAAACGAGGGGATTCAACCTAGTAGTTTAAGGTGATGAATATAGGCTGAAGTATTCCTAGTGAAAATATGAGCGAGAGACCCATCTAAATACACATCAAAAGCCCTACATGGCCTAGTCCCACCGTACCACTACACTACTTACTGACTGTTTTGTCGTAGAGACAAAAGTATTCCTTTGTTCTACCATTGCAACTTTTCGGTAGATTCAAAAGAAGATTTAGAATTGTGATAAGTTTATCGAAGGTAGCCAAAGAAAAGTCTAAGTAACAAAGAGTACAATCTTAATCGATTATAAGACTGAGTCTGTGAGATTCAGTACAGATAGATGGCTCTCGTTAGCTTTTTAACAGGGTACTTACCTCCAGTTCAATGTCTAAGTACTAGCACCTAAAATTTCGGTCAACCACATTATACTTATCAATAGGTAAATAGATCTTGTTCCTGGAACTCCTGCTTGAGGCATTCTCGAACTATGCTCTCTCGAATCGCTACTGGTTCCCTTTTTATATACTAACCAAGGATAGGGGTAATGACAATATCAACACGGGTGGTATCTATCCAGGTAAGTGAAGCCCTGATGAAGCCTTGCCCATTGTTAGAATGCAACCACGGTACTAATCGTGAAACTAGGTAGATATGCTTATTAGGAAAACCTCTCTAAGGGAAAGATGGCCGAGGTATGCATGGAAAACTATGACCCCGAGTTCACCAAACTCACTAGGCTAGGTGATGTGCTGGTGGCCGGTTTCAACTTTAGGTGTGGTAAGTGATTTAATATTTATTTATACAAACATCGTTATTCCGGTGAACAGGATGATGGCTGAAGCTCTCCCTCCGGGAAGTTCCCGTGAGCAAGCCGCCACTGCCATTCTGTCGAGAGACATTCCTCTCGTTGTGATAGGAAGTCTCCGGAACATCTTTAGTCGCAACAGCATCAACAACGGATTGGTCTCTCTCAGACTCCCTCGCTTGGTAGAGCGGCTACATGAGTCGTTCAAGGACGCTGCGGAGCGGCCTCTGGCTCGCCGCACGGGCTGCAAGCTTCTGTGGGATGTCCGCCGCTCCAAGGCTGTGATCACGGAGAAGGATGGTACCATCTGGGAGCAGAAGGTTAGCGAGCTGCCTCCCAATGTGCAAGAGATTATCAGCGTCAAAGGTCTGGAGAACTGGGTCAAGTCTAAGATCCAGGCTTAAATGATTAAGAAAATATGTTTATACTTGCTATGTGTCTGGTAGATAATTACTTTTCTTTCAGACAAATCGGTTTTGGACATTTCCACTGTAGCGTTAAGGCGATTGGCCTCTCATCCGGGGCCGACCTGAGATAAATATGGGGATCCGAGAAGACCGGTGCTTCTTCCTGTCTCTTCAAGTAACGGTGTCCCAGAAAAGGGGACGGCCAACTGAGGTCCGGAGCGGAGCGTTAAGCCTTCAGAGTCGGACGCCCCCGTGCCAATAAAGGAGTAGGTATTAACAACGCTTTTTGCTTGGAAGTATTATTTCGCCCTCTCTAATACTACGGCAGGTAGGTTACCTTAATGGACATCCAAAGTCGGTGGGTACATCATTCAGCGTGGTCTTCTGCCAAAGCGATCCTACTAAGTTATTACTGTAATACCTCTTATTACGTAGATCGGGAGAGCTACGTAGGCACCGAGGTTGCTTCTTGGGAGCAACGGAAGATGGGAAGAAGAGAGTGAATTGACTGACTATCTAAGAAGGAAGGAGATGAACAAAGGAGATGCGAGCTACCTATATATAGACGATAGGGAGCTGGGAGCTATGTTAGGTCAGCGAGCAACCAGAGAAGAAGTGACACCTCTTTAGAGACATTCATCTTCGGTAACGTTTATTATGTCTTGCGGTATTGAAACTTGCTCTAAATCTGACCTCAGGTCTTCTAATCGAACTGCGCCATCATGTTTTGTGATCTCGTTAGTAGTATCTATTTCACTTGACTTTTGCAGCCATCTTCTGATGCTCATTATTCTTTGTTTATCCCTCAAGTTAATATCGATCGTGTCGTACGGATCGCCCATATTATCGATGTCTTCGCCAGACGACTCCCCCAAATTAGCACGTTCTATACTTCCTTATTCTGACCTCTTCCTTGGAGTCGAGGGATTGGATGATTTGGATCCTCAAATAGCGTGATAATAAGCTACAAGCTTTAGTCTATCTAGAGGCTGTATGTTGTATTCTTCGGCGCCTTGGGGCCGAGGAATATAGCGAGGGGGACCTTGGATTATTAAAGGTTGGACCCGTGAAAGGATCGTCCACGCAAACATGCGAAAAGGTGATATGTTTCGACTGGGGGTACTTATCCGGTGTGTTGTTTATGAATGAATGTCGTAAAACACCTAATTTAAGGACTTTTCAATGGTAGCTACAGAGCCGCACTCTCCAACGACGCCGCCGGGTAGGCGTTTGAAGCTTATTAGAAGTTGATGTTTATCTCCTCTCACGTATTGGCATGGGCACGAGCCTCGGGGCCAGTAACATTCTTTCCTTTGGCCCTCTGCCGGTTATTTCTCCGGACGCCATACCATCGGCCAGACTGCGACTCCTTCACCGCCCTTTTTCACCAAACCGTCAGGACCAACTTGCCCCTTTCCGAGATTGACCTCTGTCACGACTTCAAAACCGTGCTTCGCGTAGAGGTCCCGAGCCTTCACCGTCGTAGCCTCAATCCAGAGCGGGCGCCCGTCACTTCGGGCCTTGTCTTGCATGTACACGAGCAACGTGCTCGCAAGGCCCTCCCGAACACGGTTTACTGCCGTCGCCATGATGAAGATGTACCAGTGCGCTTTCTGTTCGGCCTTGGTGAGAGCCGTCGCCATGGCGGCTTTATTGCCGCCGGGATAGTCGAGAACGATGCGCTATTAAGGGACGTCAGACTCATGCCATCCCATCTGTTCGATCGGAAGACCTTGGGTGGGTCGGCTAGAGGGGGATGGCAATACACGCACCTTGCAAGCTGCAGGGCCGATGGTGAAGAGGCTAGGTATCAGGCCCGCTCGCAGGACGGTCCAGAAGTTGTCGTTGGTCTTTCCGGGCGGCATGAGGATAGCACAAGACGCGAAGTTGTCTGCCTCGAGCAGCATGCCATCATTGATAGCGCAGGCAAAGAAGAAGCTGCGAAAGAGCTTGGGGAGTATCCGTTTCTGGTCAGACAGCGAAAAGTTCTGGAGCTCGAATCTGAAGATGGGGTCGAACTCGAAAGCCGGCCCTAACACATCAACGGTCCTGTCGACACGTTCTGCGGCAAAATCAGCATCCTAGTGTTGTGTGGGATTGTCGAATAGTGCGATCGAACCTTCGCCTCCTGAAGTCACCTGGAACTTCTGCTCGAAAGGCATTATCGCTGGCACGATCGAGCGAAGAAGACTGCTTGGTACCTATGTTGTTTGAGATCTGGGAAGGGAAGCAAAGCTGGGTGGTGTGCCATCAAGGCTGTAAGAAGATGGGTTTGTGTGTTACACAAGCCGGGGGAGGAGGACAAGCCAAAATAGGGATCAGCGCCGGTTGGCGGGTTGTTCCTGTTAAATCTCTACTTACTAATATGCCCAGCCCTCTCGTAGGCCGTTGAGTCGTTGCCTCATCCCTACCAACAAACTGTGATAGATCACGACCGAATGGTTGGCCGAACTGTTGGCCGATTGCAACTTTGTCCTTGCTTAACACAGTTTCACAAATTCGTTCTTAAGGCGATCCTGAATTCCTGCTCTCCCACCCACACCCAGATCCTGGCGCTGGAGCACGAGATGGGAACCTGCAGGCGTACTCTGGCGTGTCTGGCTACCCCGCCCTGGAGATATTAACATCCCCCGCTATTATGATCCGTCGACTCCCGAGACATCACAGCCCAAGTCAGCTCATCTAGAATTGAAATACAGGCCCCCCCCTCTACTGAATCCCCAATACTACGTCGGTGTCTGCATCTCAGTACGCGTAGCATCCAATGATTCCTCAGGTTGCGAACATCTGACGCCTCGCCATCGAGTAGCAGCAGACGGCTGCGCCTCACTGTTACCTACATCTCACCTACCTATCTAAGCAATGATGCCGTGGGCAAATAACAAGGCCGCTGCGCCGCCCTCCCATTTTATGCTGGCAGACGATAGGGGACTTCGAGAGTGCTTGTTAATGATCCCCCGGGAGACCGCCGGTGCTTGAAGTGTTATTATCACCTTCTCGCCAAATCACCGGATCCCATCGACTGCCCGACATCTAACACTTTCTTGATCGACCCTTCGACACGAGCATTTCCCGATGGCGTCTGCGGATCAAGTCCCTTCCCTGGAGCAACTTCTCGAAGGCCCTGCGCTGGAACCACCGCCGGGCGTAGTGCCCGACTTTGCGAACCCAGGCGGTAGTCACGCCCTCGGGTATGGCATCGTCATACTGGGGTCCATCATCGCTATCATCGCTGTTCTTATGCGTCTAGGCTCTAGATTCATCTTGAGGAAGATCGGAATAGACGACGGCTTCATGATTTCGGCGCTAGTATGGCATTCTTCCTCCGGACTCTTGGGTTGCGAAGATAAGGCTGACGACCAAGGGTCTTTTTGCGGGTTATCAATACGTCATTTACAAGTACTCGATATTCCCAGGACTCGCAGTCCATCAATGGAATCTTCAATTGAAGTTTCTTCCTGATTTTCTCTACGTCAGTGTACCCCCCCCCCCCCCCCCCCCGAGCCAGAAGTCAGAGAACAAGGCTGACATATTAGTGAAGCATGTTCACATTGCTTCCATCTTCTACGGCCTCGGCATCATGTGTCTCAAAGTTGCCATCCTGATCGACTGGTTGCATATATTTGTGCCCCAAGGCCGAGGCAACACCATGTTTTGGGCGCTCCACATATTGATATGGTGCAATGTCATCTTCTACATGGCTGGAAACTTCGCCGAAATTTTCCGTTGCACCCCGCGCGAAAAAATATGGAATGTGTTTTTCGAGGGAGGCAGCTGTCCGGTAAACATAGCCGCCCAGAATTTCTCAGCGGGAATCCTCAACTTGATCTCCGACGTCATTATCCTCGCTCTACCGCAATGGGTCATTTGGCGGCTCAACATGTCGCGAGCGCGAAAGCTCGGATTGTCATTGCTATTTTTGATCGGAATTTTGTTGGTCCTCCTCGCCCTTATTACTACGCGACATCATTAATGGTCTCATGCTGACTACCCCGTGCGGATAAAGCATCTGTGTCTGTGCAACAGCGAGTATCGTCTGGCTCGATCGAATGCTTCATTCGGAGGACATACTCTACTGCATGTCAATTCGCAGCCTCTGGGGCATCGGCGAGTGGGCAGCCGGCTTTCTTATCCTTGGCATCCCCTCTGCCCCTAAAGTCTTCCAGAGCCTGCCGTTCTCCGAATCGGTGATGACCCTGATTCATTCATGGACGAACCATAGCACGTCGAGTAATAACGTCGACGGCATAGCACATCGGTCCTGGGGCAGGCCGCTGTCGCGAAAACGTCGTGGACTTTGGGAAATCACTGAGCTGGAAACGCAGGACACGGTGCCCATGACGAGAACGAGCGGCGGGAAAGATCACGAACGGGATGGGACGGCGAGCGACATGCATGTGCATATAACAATGTAATGGCGGAGGTGGAAGAGAGAGTGGAGAACACGGAGACGTGAGTGTATGACTAGGAAGATGATAATAGCCTGTGGTCTGGGTATCAGTATATTCAAGCAAATTCATACCGCTGTTGAGCTTGGATTGAGAGGGTCGCCTCTGCCCTTTCCTGTCTTATCCTGTGGCTCATACATCGAGTCGGGCACGGATTAATGGCTAGGTGATACAATCTCGCAGTCGAATCACGATAACCCGAATTTCATGACTATATTCTTGAGTGCGAGCGGAAATTTCTCGGTGTTGATCGAAATTGTATTAATTGTTTCCATTAATATTTGACTTCTAATACCTATGTCACTTACCACGATGCTGATGGGAGGATCCTCAGCCCGGAATGAACGTCGATATTTTCTATTATCAAGCTGATAAAGGGCAATGTCTTGACCGAGACCTTGTTTCAGGCCTTGGAACCCCTTAAGCTCAGCGTCCCGACAAAAGGACGAGGAGTAATAGCTTCTGGGCAGAGTGGCGGAGACTAGGTCCGTCGAGGACGGGTCGATGTGTGATCTCGACCAGTGCGATCGAGTTGATCTGCTCTCCCTAGCCAAGTTAGAGCGTTGAAATCCGGCATTACGTCGGGCCCAGCCGACAGGTCGGGAAGGAAATGCGACTCGAGAATCCAGGAGGATGGAAGATGAACCCCGACGTGGGATTGCCAATATTTTGCTCGCGTCGATGTCGACGCTAATACATGCAGCTGGATCTTCCAATTCAACATCAACGCGGGAACGCACTGAATCTAACGGCCCCCAATGCAACCGCGGTAGCGCAACACATTCCTTTCTTGCCAAGTTGGACGACGTCGTATGGAGATACTGTATGTCTGTGGCGTTTCACGTATTATGATATCGGTTAGTAATACGTGGGAGAACCGATGATTATAGGTCGTCTCTGTTCCATCGGGACGCACCCAATAGGTCACGTTTCAGGGATGCGTAAATGAGGCCGGCATTAGACATTGATGTATTGAAAATAATACGTTGTACGAGATAGACGTATTACTGTTTCTGTGAGGGGAGGGGGCGCGGGGGTTGGTCTTACTGCTTACCTACCAACTCTGTAACTATGATTATTGACCTCCCATAGGTATCACCAATATGACGCAGACGGACTGGTGGCTCTTTATGGGACCTCGGAGTATCGTGCGTATGTAGCCATCTTGCGTAAAATGTCTTTTTACCTCTGTGTATTAGCTGTCCGACATTGCTGAGGCTGCACGTCGGATGTCTGTGTGGTCTCGCCAAGACACATCGTTGCTTAAACAACCCTTATTAGTGAGAATAATTCATCTCTTTTATAAGAGAGGAAATTTTGCTTCAACTTGCTAATAAGCCACGGAGGGTGGACGACTAGATTGCATCCGTTATCAAATTCACGATTCGGTAGCTTTTGAAACTCTACCAACTTGCCGCTCTTGCATCAAATCGACGGCTCCAATGCCCACACCGACAAACACAATGTCCTTCCCTACCAAGGCTCTCAAAGACCGGATCAAAGGCCAACAGCCTGATCCGGATCGGACGAAAACCCTCCCGACCTTCTACCGGAACCTCGAGGAAGCTTTGGATGGCCGGCGTGCCCTCTACAACCTTCGCCAGCACGTGCTCAACGACTGGCAAACCGGGGACAAAGTCGACTTCTCTTCCAACGACATCCTATCGTGGAATGCCAGCGGCGCTCTACGTGCTGAATTCCTCTCCATACTAGCGCAATATCCAGACTTCTGCCCCGGGTCCGGTGGCTCCCGGGTCCTAGATGGGAATTACGAGTATATCGAGCTAGCGGAACATAGGATTGCCGCGTTCCACGGCGCAGAGCAGGGTTTAATCGTGGGCTCTGGGTTCGATGCCAACCTCGCAGTCTGGTCCGCCATCCCGCGGCCTGGAGACGTGATTGTATACGATGAACTGGTGCATGCCAGCTCGCATGAGGGCATCGCGCAGAGCCTCGCCGCCTTGAAGGTCGGGTTCACTCATAGCGATGTCAAAGCGTTTCATAGCACCCTGCTTTCGATCCTCGACTCTCAGCCGCTGATCAAGCGTGGGAAACGCTCGGTCCTGGTAGCGGTTGAGTCGGTATACAGCATGGACGGCGATGTGTGCCCGTTACAAGAACTCGTCGACGCCGCGGATGACGTCTTTTGCGAACATGGCAATATTCAATTTGTCATTGACGAAGCGCACAGTACGGGATTGTTTGGGCCTAAGGGCGCTGGGCTCGTTTGTGAATTGGGCCTGGAACGCAAAATCGCAGTGAGAATACAGACGTATGGCAAGGCCATGGGAGCGAGTGGAGGTAAGTTCGTCCAGGCATTCTCATCTGATATTATTATCCGGTCACTGACATTTGCTACGCCAGCGATCATACTAGGTTCTAAGACGGTGAAGACCGCACTGATGAATTTTGCTCGATCGACTACATTTACCACCGCGCCAACCTTTCCTTTCGTCGCCGCCATTAGAGCAGGGTATAACCTGCTGGAAACAAGAAAAGGGGAAAAAGTAGGCCATAATACGAAATCAACTTGGATACAAGAAAACTGACACGATTCTTAGGCTCGGGAACGCGTGCAAATCCTTGCGCGACTCTACTTTGAATCGCTGACATCGCACCCGACCTGGCAGGCGGCTCTGGAAAGGGGGCTTCTCGCTGTTCCTCTCTCCAACAACTGGGAGGATCGCGCCTTTCTCACACATATTTTCACGGTGTGGACACGCCCCAAATACCTGTATTGGCTCTATTTTCATATTCTATCTTCCGGATTCTGCGTGTGGCCTATCGAGCACCCTGCCGTGCCACCTGGCCAAGGTCGGATCAAGATCTCGCTCCACGCCGGCAACACTGAGGCACAGGTCAAGGACCTCGTAGATGTGACTTTCCAGTGGGTGGAAGAGATTATGGCCATAGAGGACGGTAGGTCGACTGAGAAGGTGACCAAGGCTGCACGCCGAGTCTATGATTGGATGAGGGGCGAAGGTCTAGACGGTTTTGGGATCTGAATCCGCTGTATGATATTAATATAATATGTTATTATTGCAAGACTGACGTTCTTGGCCTACATTACTGTACCCTTGCACAGCCCTCTGGAGTCACTCCCGATGCCCATATGTGAGTCCTATTTTTTGATCACCGGCTGAGAAACCTGTTGTTGCGGTTACACAATGCCGGAAAGATGGTTGTAATACATCAGTTCCTGCGCCGCTCGAGATTAATATCGAGTTCAAATTTGCATCAATGCGACACCATGCACGCGGCATTCCCTCCGGTGCTTGGATGGAGTCGGTAATACTACGGTAGTAGTCTGCGTGATGTACAGATGTTGAGGATGCCGAGGCTGGATACTATTTCACGCTTGTTGGCAACCGCAAGTTCTCGCGAAATGCCGTGTAGTAAACATCATGTGTGACAGTAGTATTTCCCCTAGCCGCAGTCGCTGCGCCGTAAAACATGGGGCTGCGTGCCGTAGTAGGGCAGATACATGCTGCGAGATGACCTCGCTGAGTGGCTCGTTAGACATTCGGGGGTGGCAAAATAGACCCTCGTGTCCGCCGTATCTTCATAGTTAATACTATAATCTATATATAATGGGACTAGACTTATGATATTATTATACTCCAAAGCCAACCAATCCATTATTTTCTCAACCTCACAGGCGCTCATCGTTTCGTTGCCATGGAACCAATAGCAATAACCGGCTTTTCGTTCAAGCTTCCACAGGGCGCTGAAGATGAGTCCGGCCTGTGGGACATCCTGGAAAACGGGAGAAACGTGATGACACCATGGCCCGAGTCGCGGGCTAATATCGAGGCTTTCTACAGCTCAGACCTCAACCGGAAGAATGTGGTATGCCTCTCTGTCCAGTCCGTCGTCACGAAGAAGCTTCCGCTGACATACAACGATAAGCTGAAATCGAAAGGGGCACACTTTCTTCGGGACGACCCTTCAGCATTCGACGCCCCATTCTTTTCTATTACCTCTAACGAGGCTTCATCCATGGATCCGCAGCAGCGCTTGCTCTTAGAGACCACTTATAGAGCCCTGGAAAACGGTAGGGGTTTTCGTTATGAGACTTCTCCCACACAATTGGATTTTGACTTACATTGGAACAGCCGGTGCCCCCCTTGAAAAGGTTGCGGGAACCCAGACGGGAGTATTTTCGGGGTCCATGACAGACGACTACTCGAGGATTCTCGCCAAGGACCCAGATGAAGCGCCGACGACCACTGCTACCGGTAGTTCTATGTCTCTCTTGGCAAACAGGCTCAGTTGGTACTTTGACTTCAAAGGCCCGAGTGTTCAGGTCAACACTGCCTGTTCCTCGAGCATGATTGCTGTAGACCTCGCATGCCAGTCTCTGAGACTCGGCCAGTGTTCCATGGTATTCCCTACACTCCCTTAAGCGAAAACACAAGCAAGAAGCACTAATTTGTTATTATTAGGCACTAGTGACGGGATCCAACGTCATCCTCAGCCCGGAGAGTTCTCTCTACCTATCGAACATGAATTTCATATCCCCAGACAGTGTTTCTTATAGTTTCGATCACCGCGCCAACGGATATGGAAGGGGGGAAGGAGTTGTTGTGTTAGTGATAAAGAACATTACTGATGCCATTAGGGACGGCGATGTGATCCGCGCTGTGATTCGAGCTACTGGATCAAACCAAGATGGATATACCCCGGGACTCACGCAACCGAGTGCTGCCTCTCAAGAGGAGCTGATTCGGTCGGTATACAGAAGCTGTAATCTGGGCTTCGAGTCGACGCGCTACGTTGAGGCCCACGGTGAGTTCCTTCTGTTGCTCAATATTATACATATTCTCGATCTAAACCGACACTATCAGGGACCGGCACGCAGATCGGGGATTCAACCGAGGTCAACGCTCTTACCCGGGTATTTAGGAATAGTCGTTCCCGAAAAGAGCCCCTCTACGTGTAAGAATCCGGGCGTAACTTACCGATATTTCTCTAACAGCCTGTCTGCTCAGCGGCTCCATCAAAGCCAATATCGGCCACTTGGAAGGGGGGAGCGGTCTTGCTGGTATCCTTAAAGGCATCATAATCCTGGAGAAGGGGATCATTCCTCCCAACCCGCTATTTGAAAAATGGAATCCCAAGATCAACGCTAAGTCAAGCAACATCGAGGTATGTAAAGCTACAAATTTCCACCTTACCCTTGTCTCATGCTAAGGTCTCCTACAAGGTCCCAACTTCGTGTATTCGGTGGCCATCGGAGGGCCTCCGTCGGGTTTCTGTCAACTCGTTCGGCTTTGGTGGATCCAATGGTCACATTATCTTGGATGATGCCTACCACACGCTTCAGGCACTTGGTAAAAATGGGAACCATCGTACGCGCGTCCAAGTGAAACAGCCGCTTGCGATCGAAAAGCCGATTGGGGCAATGGTCCACAAACCCAACGGCAACAGCACAAACGGCACCTCGCTTAATGGAGGAGCACGGAATGGAGTAACAGGAGATCACACACCTCCAGCAACTCCGCATCCACAATCAACAGTGAGGGGAATCGTAGATGCCTCTGTGAACGGTCTGAACCTGGCCTGCAAAAAGCCGAACGTAGGGGCTGCCCAGAAAACGCTAATTCCCAAGCCCACAACCAACGGAGATGCCCATCTAGGAGTCCCTAAGTCACCATCTCAATATGAACTATTGGTCTGGTCTGCGAAGAGCGAGAGCGCTCTCAAGCGTATGTTCAAGCAACATAGCCAGTACTTTGAAGCGCATGTATCTGGATCCCGAGATCGGTTGCGTCAACTCGGATACACGCTGTCCGCGCGGCGGAGTGCGATGACGTGGAGGTCCTTCGCCGTCGTCGATAATACGGAGAAGACAGAGTCAACGGCCAGGTTGTCGCCTTCAGCTTGCATCCGCTCGAGCCAAGACACGGGGCTTGCTTTCGTCTTCACCGGCCAAGGTGCACAGTACCCGAAGATGGGGCTACTCCTTCTTCACTATCCTGTATTCCGTTCTACTATGTTGAAAGCGTCCGAGATCTTCCATGATTTAGGGGCTACGTGGTCGCTGTTAGGTACGTAAGCTTCTCTGTTTTCCCTGTGCATCTCTTTACCTGGCTAATAACAACTTCAAACAGACGAGATTGAAGATGGCAAGGGGATCAATGATCCTGACCTTAGCCAGCCACTTTGTACCGCTTTGCAGTTATCCCTGGTCGAGCTATTGAGGAGTTTTAGGGTCATACCAACCGCTGTAATCGGCCACTCTTCTGGTGAAATCGCGGCTGCGTATACCGTTGGTGCCCTCTCCTTCGAATCAGCTTGCAAAGTTGCATACCATAGAGGTAGACTGGCTAGACGATTGGCTACGTCGACGTCCACTCGAGGCTCGATGATGTCCGTCAATCTTCCAGAGGACAAAGTCCACGCCTACTTGGAGAAGGCAGGCCTTCTAGACATTCATGTGGCTTGTGTCAATAGTCCGTTCAACGTCACCCTTTCCGGACCCGAAACATCGATCGATGGGCTTCAGGGGTATCTAGAAAAGGAGGAAATTTTCGCTCGAAAGTTAACTACAGGCGTCGCATATCATTCTCCCGCCATGCAGGAAATCGCTTCCGAGTATCTTTCCTGCCTGGGGCGTCTCGACCAGCGGGAAACTGGGAGCGACAACACCACGATGATCTCCTCAGTTACCGGCGAGAAGATCTCAAGAAAAAGGCTATCAGAAAGCCAGTATTGGGTTGACAATCTAGTCTCACCTGTCCGCTTCGCCGACGCACTACGGTATCTTGTGCTCATAGCTCCTAAAATAGATGGCCTGAGGAGAATATCGAGCTACCTCGAAATCGGTCCACACGGGGCGTTGCGCCGGCCCACTAACGATAGCTTGGCCCAGATTACCGATAGAAAGACCTTCGAGTACACCTCTGTTTTATCAAAGCTCGAGTCGCCCTTAAAGACCGTCCTAGAGACAGCAGGACGGCTGTTTGCTCGCGGTTACCCAGTATCTATCACCGCAGTGAACGCTCAGGGGCCCGGCAATCCGCCATTCTTGGTGGACCTACCAGGATACCCGTTTGACCATTCGAATATATACTGGCATGAAACACGCATGAGTCGAGAATGGCGTCTACGAGGGGCATCTTCAAACTTGCTCGGAGTACGCGCGACGGATTGGAATCCGCTCGAGCCGCGGTGGCGCAAAATGCTAAGTATCGAAGAGATCCCGTGGATTGCGGACCACGTCGTTGGCGACGTTGCGTTTTTCCCGGCCACAGGAACGTTGATGATGGCGATAGAGGCGGTAAAACAGATGGCTTACGCGCACCGAACTATATCAGGCTATCTCCTTAAGGAGGCCGTCTTTAAGAGCCCGATTGCCGTGCGCCCGGGGGCCAAAACAGAGGTCGTAACGCAACTACGACCTCTGCAGCATGTATACGAGAAGACATCGTATCGTGCTGAGGTCCGTGTTTTCGCCGTCGTAGACGGCTACTGGAATGAGTGCCTACACGCTACGATATATACCGAGTATCAGGAGACTCCCACGGAAGTCGACGACGGCCGCGAAACTCGTGCCACGGCGCAAGCTCTCACTCGAGGCTACGAGCAGGCGAAGAGCGTATGCACCAAGATTATTGGAAAACACGAATTCTACAAATGGCACCACGAACAGGGTCTCAAGTACGGCCCTGCTTTCTCGCGAGCAGACGACATCTTCTGGGATGGCGGCGAACTCGGCGTAGCCTGCATCGACGTGGCATCCGCCGACCCATTTGAGGGCGTAGTTCATCCGGCCGTGTTTGATGCGTCGTGTCAGGTGTGCTTCGCGGCCCCGTCTGGCGGCATGTCGAAGTCGCTGCCGACAATCATCCCGCATAGGATGCAGGATACCTGGATCTCGGCGACGGGATGGCAGTATCCGCATACAAGACAGATCCAGGTATTCACGACGTCAAAGCTGAAGACCTTGGTATCCGGTCTAGAGTGCTCGTTCACGCTTCTGGCAGACGACGGCTCCACGTTGTCGCATTGCAGGCGCCTCGAGATGTCGCCTGTTGTGGGAAATGAGTCAACGAGCGATTCCAGGACAGCGCTGTTCCATGGCATCGAATGGAGGCCCCAGCTGTCCTTGCTTTCCTCGAGCCAGCTTCAGAGTTACTGCAATACGAATAGCCTCGTCGAGGACGATACTTCTAGGATCAGCGACTGGAACAAGTTGCAAAATGCTCTGCGCGCTGTTGCACTATCCAAAATTGTCCAGTTGCAAGAGACAGATTGGTCGAAAGCGCCTTCGTACATGAGGAAGTATGTCTCTTGGCTGGAAAAAGAGACTCAAGGTTCGACAGACTACGAGGCAAGCGAGAAAGATCTTGCTACCGATCTTGAGGATCTTCGGAGAGCAAGACCTTCGTGGAACATGTTCGTCGAGATCGCCCAGAACCTTGCTTCGATTGTGGAAGGAAAAATCGATGCCGGGGCGCTCCTCTACTCCACGACGACGCTCGCGCAAGGATTCTTGGACGAAATTACCCGGCCCCTACAGAAGCAGGAATTCGTCTCTTTCATGGAGCTCTCGGCGCATCAAACCCCAGATCAGAAAATCCTTGAGGTCGGGGCGGGTACGGGAACTATGATCAGCCATATACTCTCGACGCTCTGGCAGATCGAGGAGCGCAATGGCGGTATTGCGTTCTCCGAGTATATCTACACCGACATCTCGACGGCCCAATTAGAGAAAGCCCGGGACCAATTCGCTGAACGCGAGGAACGCCTCTCTTTCCAATGTTTAGATATGGAAAAGGATGTCACTACACAAGGATTCGAGGCTGGTATCTACGACACTATCTTGATCGGCAGTGTCCTACCTGCTTCCAAGAACGTGGCCGACACCCTCCACAACCTCCGACGCCTTTTAAAGCCGAGTGGTCACCTCATCATAAGTGAAATCGCTGTCCCTGATGTTTTCGCGGTAGGCTTCGGCTTCGGTGTCCTATCGAGTTGGTGGTCCGGGAAAAATGACTCTCATCCCTATTGCCCAACGATGACTGAGTCGGAGTGGGAGGCCGTCCTTCAAGAAAGCGGATTTTCAGGCAATGACTTGGTCATCAGGGACTCGATAAGTGATGCGGCGCATCTTAATAGCGTGATTATCTCTTCGGCCAAAGACGATTCACGCCATTCGGTTGAAGGTTCCCGAATCGTCGTCGTCATTGACGACCAAAACAAGCACCAACAGGATCTCGCGTTATCCTTCGAGAGTAGCTTTATCGACTCTTCGGAAAGCCGTCCCAAAGTTCTCCCACTCTCAGAGGTTGGCAACACGGAGATACTCCCGACTGATTACGTCGTCTTCCTTGCGGACTTGGGCGGATCACTTCTGTCTCAACCCACAGAGAGCAGTTTCAACTACATCCAGAAACTGGTTCAACAGTCTAATAATTTGCTCTGGGTAACGTCAGCCGAAATACCCGAGAGCCCTAGTTCAATCTGCCCATACCCGTATTCGGGATTGAAGGACGGTTTCCTACGCACACTCCGCGCCGAGTTTACTAACAAGCGCATTGTTTCTCTCTCCATAGAGGGTAAACCCGCGGATGCACCAGCCGCGATCCTAGACCACATTGTCAAGGTTCTGGAGTCGGCATTCGGCACAGCGTCACCCGAGGTTGAGTATATTGTTCGAGACGGCCTGCTACTGACCGGACGGCTGGTTGAGGAGACTGTCCTGAACGAGGGACTCGGCTCGTCCACCACTCCACGGCCGAAGACCGAGCCCTGGCTCCCGGGCCCCCCTCTAAAGCTAGACGTCGGAAGCCCAGGATCGCTGGAGACGCTGCGCCTAGTCGAAGATAGAGACTTTTATAATACCGATCTCGGCCCGACCGAGGTAGAAATCGAAGCCAAGGCTTGGGGCGTCAATTTCCGAGACGTATTCATCGCCCTCGGGCGGCTGGAGGAGGATGATTTTGGCACCGACTGTGCCGGCGTTGTTACGAAAGTAGGGCCCCGGTGCCGGTTCGTACGCCCCGGTGACCGTGTATGCATGTTTGTGGCCGGCTGTATGCGTATGTGGGCGCGTTCGGACGAAGGGGCCGTCGTTAAGATTCCGGACTCGGTTTCGTTCAACGAGGCCTGCGCGGTGGTCAACCCAGGGATCACAGCGTGGTACTCTTTAGTCGAGGTCGCGCGTTTGCAGAAAGGCGAGAAAGTGCTCATCCACTCGGCATCGGGAGCGACTGGGCAGCTCGCAGTCCAGGTCGCGCAGCTGGTCGGCGCCGAGGTGTTCGCGACGGTCGGTTACAACCATAAGAAGCAGCTTCTTATTGACCGTTATGGCATTCCTGAAGACCATATTCTGTATAGCAGGAATCCCAGCTTCGCTAAGGGAGTTATGCGTCTTACGAACGGCCACGGCGTGGATGTGGTACTGAACTCTCTAGTAGGAGAGAGCTTACGCGTGTCGTGGGAGTGCGTTGCCCCATACGGACGATTCGTCGAGATCGGAAAGGCAGACATCAAAGCCAATTCTGCGTTGCCGATGGCATGCTTCGCTAAGAACGTCTCTTTCTCGGGGGTCGACCTTCACCATATCTTGGTCCACAGGCAGGATTTGGGGAAGAAGCTCTTACACAAGACTATGGAATTGGCCGGAAACGGCAGCATCCATTCGCCAGCACCCCTGCACGCCTACGATATTTCAAAGGTCGAAGAGGCCTTTAGATACTTGCAGAGCGGAAAAAATACTGGACGAATCATTATCCAGATTGACCGTTCAACTGAAGTACAGGTATGTGCGCACATCCGAGAGGACTGGCTTTCAGCTGACGTATTTCAGAAATGCCTCACTCACTTCAGGACATGGAGCATTGACAGCAATTCTACATACGTCGTCGGCGGCGGCCTGGGCGGTATCGGACGATCAATTCTCAAGTGGATGGCTAGGAAAGGGGCGAGACATCTCATAGTTCCTTCGAGATCCGGTGCTACCACTAAAGCGGCGGCTAGCATCGTAGACGAATTGACACGGCAGGGTATCAACATCGCGACACCACGTTGTGACGTATCCGTGGCAGACTCACTCTCCCAGGCCCTTAAAGAGCACAGCAAGATCATGCCTCGGATTCGCGGATGTATAAACGCGGCCATGGTTCTGAACGTAAGTGGATTATCGCGTGCATCATCGTTAGGCCGACTCTTCTAATAATACTCGACAGGACTCGACTTTTGACAATTTGACGCATATCCGATGGGAACAGACGATTCGTTCCAAGGTCCAGACTTCGTGGAATCTGCATGCTCTTCTGCCGGCAGACCTTGACTTCTTCATCCTCCTATCTTCTGTTTCCGGCATCATCGGGAACCCCGGTCAGTCTAATTACGCGGCTGGGTGTACGTTCCAAGACTCGCTGGCCCGCTACCGTAACTACCACCATCAGAGAACGATATCCATCGACCTTGGCGTAGTACGCGGGGTCGGCGTCGTTTCGGAGACCGCAGCGCTCCAGAAGAAATTTGCAGGGTTGCAAGACTTCGCTCAGATTAACGAAGACGACATATTGGCGTTTCTAGATGTCTACTGCGACCCGGAGCAGCAGCAGTTCTTTTCGAACAACCCGAGGAGGAGCCACATTGTTATGGGCGTCGCAACGCCCGTCGAGCTCCTCGCTCGCGGACTTGAGCCGGCGGAGTTCACGCAACGACCTCTCTTCGCACGTTTCAGCCGGCCTCGCGGCCCGCCCCAGACCCCACGCGCGGCGGACAATGTAAACTACGCCGCCCTATTCCGGCGGTCGGAGTCGGCTGAGGAGCGGGCCGCCATCGTCGTGAAGTCCCTTGCCAAAAAGCTGGCGCGGGCGTTGTTGATACAGCCCGAAGACGTGGAGGCGGAGGTGGACCAGCCGCTTCATGCGTTTGGCGTGGATTCGCTCGTCGCTATAGAACTAAGAAACTGGATTGCTAAAGAGTTCGCTGCCGATATAGCTGTTTTCGAGCTAATGGGTGGCAGGTCTGTCGCGGCCATTGGAGAGTTGGTGACCAAGGCGAGTCAGAGTCAGGTAAGAAAATGAAATTGACAGCAGGGAGAGGTAGCGATATTGCTGATATTACTATATCACATCCTAATGTGATCCCATTTTCTCCGACCGGTTGGGTACTGGGCGATTATGTTACACCATACTTATTGAACAGTTATTGCGTTCAGTTATGTGAACGTTTCTTGAACTCCGGTATCTCGTCCTTTTCAAATGAGAATCTGTAGGCCCTTTCTATTAGTTCCGCGTCTTCTCCCTTCTCGCCGAAAGCCAAACCAATTCAGCCGCTATCAGCCACGGCACCCTGACAAGGGCGCGGCATGCTAATATCTTTATCCTTCATCATCCCAGTTTTATTTCCCGAATTCCCAATGGTTGGTAGGAAGCTCGCGTGTAAAGCATAGCTGCCCCGGTTTCCATACATAGTAGTCGATAACAGCCGTGCCCGAAAGATCATAATAGATACCTAATCACATTTTTGCTTTGTACACCCCGCGGTACAACGGCAGCTAGTGGATTTGAAGCCTCCGGATTCTCACTAGTGGTAGCTTCGATATTCTAGGTGTTCATGCTGGGAGACGGGTTACGAGACCGACTCGAGTTCTTGCTTTCTGCGAGCTTTCTCGGTTTCCTCCTTCACTCGCCAGCTTACCATAGGAACCCACTTCTCACCTGGCCGTTGCACCTCTCCATGCTAAGTGGGGAAGTGCATAGTCTGGCCGGCAGGTATTTTAATGTTCTCCCAGTTGATATCGCCATCGCGCTCACCTTTGCAATCCCGTTAGCACGTGACGTTCGAGTCGGGCGAGTGTAAAAAAAAGAAGACAATACCGAGTTTTAAGACCTGCAATTCCCTGGCACCGCAGAACAGGCCGTTTCGGGCAGTCCGCTGCACCAACTGCCAATAACCAACATTTCCCTCGCCGACCCAAACCTCCTCGTTGAAGGTTTCGCCCTCTTGAACTGTGCGATGCGGGTTAGGGGATGGCATCGACCAGAAATACGACGAAATCGTATGCGGGATGCTGAACAGACGTTCCCACCTTCGGACCCAGGGCAGCCAGGCCAGCGTGCGCTCCGTATACGCAACTCGCACATAGGGGTTCATGAATACACCTAGCACTTCATCCCCGGACTTTCTCGCCACCTGGGACACGTCCGCGAGGAATAAGCAACATTCACAAGCCTCGAAGAAGGCCTCGGGTTCGTAGCGAAACCGGACAGGGGCCGTTACGTTGCGCGGGTTTTCCGGGTCGATAACGTGGCTGCTTATATCCTGAAAGTGGGGGTTGGGTAGCGACGTGTTCAGGTTTTGTATGTATTCGGCCTGCATTGCCACCATGCCACTCCAGCACCCTCGTACGGGGACGGCATCCGTCTGGTCTAGCATAGCCGCTCTCGATACGCCCCGGCCAGCATGAGAGAACACCGGGTAGAAGGCCGACCCGGCAGTGTAACCCTCGAAATCGCGAGTTACATACACGTCATAAAACTTAAACGGGTTCCAGAAGTCAATCGCACACGCTGACAGATAGTTTGCCCGTCCGTCGGCGTCTAGGTTGGTGCTAAGAAGTAAATGGACGGCTTCCATCGGATGGAAAACGACGTCGTTTAAAAACAAGACCTTGTCATACTGCACGGTTCCGACACTTGGGTCGAAGCGATCTAGCGGTCGCAGGGCTCGATTTCGCATTTCCGACAGATAAGCTAGGCGCTTAACTCGTGTGGTATCGTCGGGCAGCGTCACCGTCGGAAACTTTGCCAGGGACACATGAGGATCATTAACGATAGAGTGTTTGCATCGAAGTTGCTTTCGTAGACTTTCCAAGGCCGAGGCGCCTTCAGGACCGCTGTCGTTCTCGTAGATGCTTAAAAAGACATTGTTGTTGCCGAGGAGGTGTATCAATTCCAGTAAGCTCTCCCCCCAGTACCCATCCGCGAGGCGGCCTCCTTCGTCATAGAGGGAGACGCTGATGAATACCTGTTCATTGCGGATATTTGCGCAGCCTGGCTGTCGAAGAAAGCCCTGACACCTCGACTCTAGATCCCGATAGTGCGGTGGGGGTCGTGTGTAAGATGGTACTACGATCGGTGTGCCGACCAACAGCAGACACACGGCAATGATCAAGTATTTGATAAGCGCAATGGCGACTCGTAGCGGATGTCTCTGTATTTTGCGCCGCAGGCTCCTGTAACGAGACAGGCACCAGGAAATCACCCGTCCGCCCAGCCTCTGGTCTGACCAACCCGGCAATTCCACAAGTGAGGCATCTTTCCCAACATGATCCGTAAGGAGGGGGACAGAGCCGGAAGGCAAGGGCTTCTCCGCATAGTCATCTAGGGAGCGTACCCGTCTGTCCGATGAGCCGGAGCTAGGCATTGAGCGAGACAGAGTGCGTGAAGAGGCAGACAAGAATGCCCGGGCACCGAGCCTCCACCTTGTGAAGGACGACAACACGCCAGAACCTGTTTTGACGCCAGCTTAGATACGGCGCCGGGGCGGCTTTCCAAGAAGGTGGTGTAATAGTCGATGTAAACTGCGGGTCGGACTATTCGGCTCTGTCGTGAAAGGAATTCCTTGATGCTAAAAGTCCATCCCACCTTCGAAGTAGTGTCGTGTGCCCGCCGACACCAATAGCGAAAAGGGGGCAGCGCTCTGAGCAGCTCATACACCTATGTGCTTGATCTGACCAGCGCTGAACTCGGGCCCGTTAGTAACAGAAGCCAATCGAAATCGGAGGGCAACGCGGATGGCAGGATAACGGGTTGCCAGCCAAAGGGTTGGCATGAGAACGAGCTCGAGGATATTATGAGACAAGCTCTCGATAGGATGAAGCCGCTAAAGAGAAAGACCAGACAGAAGATGGCGACGGGCGGTCACTCTACGCGGGAGTGTAGTTGTGTTAGCAAAGGAGGAAACGGGAGAAGGCGTCGTGGATGGCGAGAGTCCGAACGGGTATATTATCCCTAGGTATCCAGGTGGTGGTAGAGGCGTAGGTGACGGACAACCGTAGACGAGAGAGGTCGACAAGGGTTGACTACCCAGGTATGTACCTAGGTAATAGAGGTAGCGATTAGTATACGGGATGGGTCAATACCTCGACTGCTCTGACAGGTTGGAAAGGGGCCGCGGCGGCTTCCGTACTTATGCTGTGGGTGGTTAAGAGGCAGGCGGGATCGGGCGGTGGGGATGAGAGGAGACCGGGCCGCGCCTTCTGCTGGTCCGCCCACGGACGACATCGTGTTCCTTCCCTGCGCCTCTTTCTTTTTCCCCTCGGTCTTTCGGCCTCTCACTGCCTGTGCCTATGCCTATGCCTCTCTCGCTCTACTGCCTGCACGCCCACAGTGCATTCACAACGTACGCCCCCAGGCACGGTTTCAGTAACGACGAGCATTTTCTCTTCTCCCGACCAATTCCCAGTCCGTCTTCACGCTGGGACACGTCTCGCCCAATACGCAGACGGAGAGTGCATGGGGAAAGGAATCCCGCATACTGATGCCGAACGGTAGTTACGCGGCACGGTGTCATTACTCTTACCCACGGAGGCTGGAATCGAGAGATTGGCAACTGGTTAACTATCTTTAGACTCCTAGTGATATTGCAATGCTCTATTAGTGACTTGAGGTCTTACGCGCGTACGCCATATGGTATTGCCCTAATCGGCGACGGCGGATCTGGGTACGACCCCAGTTTTCAAAGGCTGCCTTGCCAATGGTGGACCTCACTGCCGAGTTTCACGCCATGAGGCCACACATCTACGGCATGCACTACTCGATGACCTGCCCGGGAATCACGAAGAGATCGCCGGTTGATCGCCGGTAGCGCCGCAATCTAGGGTGCGTAAGTGCGGCGGTCAGCAAATTCTCGCACAATACCTAATGGCGGAGTCACAAGAACACAGGACTCGGAACGATTGTCCGGTCAGGGTTATAGCGAATTGGTCACTCTTCCTGAATTTGATTTGAGAACCACCTAGGCGGTCCCATATAATACCTGCAGGAACGGATAGTAATTTCTTCGTCCATAGCGTAAGCCTCGAGTATTCCCTGATTTAAACTCGGCTCTGAAGACGTACCCGTTCTGAGTATTGATTTCTCATTGTTACGCAAGGCCGTTGGGGTATTATTGTTGGCATTTCTTAACCCTCGTCCTGTGCATGAATATCCAAACCCATACGAGCTGGCTACCCCATGGCACGAAGGCACGTATATGCCACGACGGTCTCGCCTCGGGCGGGCGTTAAGACCTACCAGTCTAGGCGTAGGGACGGGCAGGAGTATATAGAAAACAACATGCTGCGGCAATTCCTGCTCGGAAGATTTGTCATCGAAAAGAAGAGGACATTCACAGCGGGGAGGAAGCGGAAATGCTGAATGAAGATACAATGCGTCAAGTTTAAGTTATTGTCGTTCGGTGGTATCAGGACTGAAACGACTGCCCATCAGCCATCTTCGGGACACAGTGCGAAGCGCCGTAGCCCTGCTCGCTTTGGCCGAGGGTTAGATAGGGAAAAGAGGAAGTAAGACTCTTGGGAGGTTACCGCATAGAATGCCACAACCACCGGAGCTAGCGGCAGGTTAACCATGCATTGGGCGGGTGAACAGTGGTATGTTAGAGGTTGGCTGCTCGGCGAGCAGGAAACACAGATGCGTGAGGCCTTAACCTGGCTGTGTATCTAAGTCGAAATACCGAGATAAAAACCTACCGAGATCCCTACTTGTTAGGAGGCAAAAGTAGTATGTGTGGGATGCCAAGAAACCGGGGGGTGCGTATGTATCCTCGACCTTTTAAGTGCCGCTTTATACTGAGCTTTATTTCTGTTCCATACAAAGGATACAGAAATTCCCTCTCAAATGCATTTTAACTACCGTACGAAAGTGCATTCAAGACTCCTACCAGTAGGCCTGCAAAGACTTATGTGTGATGATAAGGTTCCATTGCTAGGGTCGTCCTCCGTCATAGAGCAATATTAATTGCTTAGTTGACTATGTAATAGCTAGAGTGAGTGTTGCACCGAGCTCAACTATGTAGGCGGTGTAATTAGGTAAGCGCACCCAATCCCTGTTTGGATATGTTGTCGACACCAAAGGTTGACATGAGGCTCAACCGCAGCTTGACAGCGGAAGATAGATTTCCTCAGCAGCTGCTCTTTTATGTGTTTCCAAGATCCATACCAGCTCGTAATGTACGTACATGGTTACTTGAACCTCAGCAGCCTGACAAAACGATGTGTCATGATATTACAAGTTCATCGCTGAACGGCATTAAAAACATCCCAGATCCAGCTCTTCATCATCAGTTAACTGTTATGAGACCCCCCGTTACCCCGCGCACTTGACTGTAGGATCGTTGGTTCACTGCTGAACTCGATTCTAAAACTGTGTTATAATGGCTCAACGAGATATGCTATATATTTGTTGTGGGGTGCTTGGTTACGGGCACCCAGTGCACCGATATTACTAAGGAGCGGACCCTGTCGTTGCTAATTACTAAAGTCAGGGATGACTTAGCCAAGCAACAAAACGACTTGCCAATTCGCTTTGCGTTGTTTGCCAGCCCTATTGTCATCTCCCCTTCGACTCTACGATTGAATTAGTACTACTTAATCAACCGGGTGGGGGAGGTACTAGATGCACCATCTCTCCTGCGTTGAAACGGAGGTTCAATACCACCTCCAGAGACCAAAGTGAAGCTGCTTTCGACGAGCAAATACCATTCTGTCCAAGACGACGACTCAGAATTGGGTTGATACCTGGAGTCTGCGTGGGTAGCTTAACAGGTAATTTCCGCCCCCGACTTTCCGCAGTTACTTATCGTGAGAACCTATTTTTCAACGACTCACCCATGCCCTGCTTCATCAAAATCATACAGATCAAAAAGGGACCCCTAACCGAATTACTCTATTTCTTCTTTCTCTCCATTAGGTATTTATTACGTGGGATATCCCGCTTTCCACCTTCCACCGCTTCCCGTAACCTTCTCACCTTTTCTGCCCGCTCTCTCCGTCTTCGTGCGCTCTAACTCACCTCAGCCGTCGAGAGCTCTTTATATAGTGTCACGTAGAGGTTGTTCCTTAGGTTGTTCCTTAGGTTGTTCCTTAGGTTGTTCCTTAGGTTGTTCCTTAGGTTGCTCCTTAGGTTGCTTACCTCAGAAATGGGAGCTCCTATGTATAGGTTCCTATTACTTCCATTCCTTCAGTTAGTTCTTAGGCAGGACAAGACCTTTTTCCTTCATTGCTCCTTCCTTCGTAGCTCGTGAGATAGCTCCTCGCGCGTGCTCTCGCTCCCACGCATAGCTCTCAGCTACGTGATAGTTATGAGCCCGGTTAGCGCTTCCAAGGTGTTTTGGCTTAGTGGTTCGGTTCGCTCAGCTAAACGACAGCTACCCTAACCCCGGCGCGGCCTCCCCAGAGCCAGAGCTAGACGAGAACTAGCACTAAGGCGCCGCGCCAACGAGAGGGGTTGCATTATAAGGGTTCAATTCCGATAGTTATTACCTACCTTGGTATCCAACAACTAGGGGGTATGTTACGTAGCAGTTGAACCAGCCCTTATATGCCTACATAATACCGCGCAGCGTAAATGTAGGCATCTACGTTTTACGCAACATATAGCCTCTCGTGGCTCTCTCGATTCTTTAGGTCTTCCATAGTTTTATACATAGTTCGATCTCTTCCGTCCCGTACCTTCTTCGTCGCATAACGTGCTCCCACGCGTAGCCCTCCCCGAAACGCTACGTGACAGTATTATTAATACCGGCGCAGGAAGAGCGGTTGGTAGTATCGTCTCTAAACCGGAGAGATCAAGAGATAATTGCGGAAGTACCAATCTGTCTCACACGAGAGATATAATAGAGTACCACATACCGCGAGTTGCGTGAAATCCGAGGCATTTACAAGCCAAGCTCAACAAATATATCGGGTATATCCCTCGTAGATCACAAAGCCCGCAGCAAAGGCTGGACTATGGGAGTTTTGTCAAGGCCCGGGGCTTATAGGAGCTCTGGTTCCTTATCGCGGGAGTCAGTTCACCGCTCCTAAAGAACACCCAGCGCCCAAAACAAGCAAAAATTGCATGTTATCCGGCATCTCCCGTCTGTCTCTCTTATATTACCCTCATCCGATCGACCATCTCGGCTTGGCCAGACACATCCGTGAATATCCGCACAGCGCGACCGCAACCGCAACCGCAAGGTATAGATAGAAATTTGCAAATCTACGGTGGCGCGATACGCGGCGGCCATAATGGCGCCGAATGATAGGACACACGCGCAGTTAGCTCGTCTCGTCTATATAATATCTAGCATAGGGCTTATGATGTTTCCAAACGACCAGGCCCTCTGGTAGCACGGAACCATCTTGGTTTCGTTACTGCTGATCCTATTGACTGCGGAGTACCTGATTAGCTCTCGTTCTTATATTTAACATATTAGCTATCTAGTAGGATATAATGGGCTATGCGTTTTGAAGAGCGAGAAGGCATACAGTCCGCAGCTAACAGACGTGTTGCTTTGGGTCACCCGAAGAAGAAGAAGGCAGCGATCTATTAGTATCAAATCTTGGCAGGACTATTACGCTCCGAGACTTTGCTTTTTAGTGTCTCTTTTAGCACGCGTCAAGAATATCGGAAACAGAGAGTTCAATTTGATCTCGTAGATATGACCAACCGCGAGTTACCACCACCTGCACATCTCTAAGGGCGTGTAGCTGGATCTAACTGCTAGGCGATATGTGTATATATATATATATAAATATATGCGCAGTCGGTGAGAACGACTTGCCAGATTTAGTAAGCACACGCGAAGCGACCAACCTGGGCCGAGATGCCCGTGACAATAAGACTTGGAGGCAGCTGCCAAACGCGTCCCCTTGATAGGGGGGCTTAAGCGATCGCCCCTCGCCACCACTCCTACCGGCGAAACCAACTCCCGGAATCACCAGCCGATGGATGCACACTCGAAGCCCCTGTTGCCTGGTCGCGAACTCCCGTGAAGCTCGTGGAAGGGGGTGGCCGAAGCTTGTGATCCGGAGGAGAGGATGGATGCGGAAGCGTGCGAAAGAAAATGCCTGTCTGCGGGTGTTTATATCTCGGTTCGAGGCGCCACATGAGAGACGGGATCGGCGAACTTCCAAATGCGACGAGGGATGATGTGTGGCCGTTTGTGCTTTTCAAAACAGAGCAGGCTCTCTAATGGGGGTGGATTATCATGTGCCTCTCTAAGGGGGTGTGCCCTGGACGGCGAGGCTTGACGAGGATGGGGGGGGAATTGCTCGGCTGCCGACTCGATTGTTGTAGCCATGGCGCTGTAGCGACGCAGATAGCGATGCAGGTATGAGTCCTTGACGATCGCGATCGGCTGCCTGTTCTGGTGTCTGCTATACTTGCGCGTACGCCGACCCGGGTTTCTCTGCTCGACGTGACGACTTCGATGCAGCGTACCTACGTAGAGTAGCGCTGCGGGATCGTGCTGGCGTGTGGGGGCGGGCACTATACGTTATACTCGACCAGGATTCCCGATGAAGCAGTTGGACGGGCAGTTGAGGTTATGCATGTACCGATGTAAAGCTAGGTAGGTACCTAGGTAGCGTAGCGCGGAGCGGGCGGCCTTCAACTTGCCAGGGTGGACGGGACAGCCTTACATAACCCGACCAGGACGGGCGGGCAACCCCGGGTGGAACGTGGTGTTAGGAGCATGTGCCTGGCGCCTCTGAGCTGAGGTGGAATGTTCGAGGGAAACCTGTGCAGTCGCCTTAGGGATTAGGTACCTAGATAGGAGACAGAAGCACGAGAGGCAACCAGGTTCATCAGAAACAGAGACGTAGGTAGGTCAGGCCGGGGTGCCCGGGGTAGGTACCTGGCTCGTAAACGTAAATAACAGTCGGGGTGAATGTCTCTTCCGAGCCTCCACACTGGGTCAGCTAACACACGCAAAGCAGCATCACGCACTCGTTCACGGACGACATGGCGAGCTGAGAGAATCAGCCTTGGCGAAGACCCCTCAATTGGGTCACGGTAAACGTACATCTGAATCAGAACGGGCACACAATAGACGTACCTACCTAGGTATGCTATCGTTTCCGTCTCACCGGCATGCGGCTCTGCCAGGCCGCTGCGACAATCCCCTTGTATTCGTGCGACGGGGTGAAATATAAAATAAAAACACGGGAAGAGAAAACCAACTTGACGGCTCGAAGTGTAAGTATGGCATCAAGACAAGATAAAACCAGGGGCGGTACAAGTTTCTCGACCCGACCCGACTGAGCATGTGGCCGGCGGATGCGATGCGATGCGATGAATGCACATGGCTCGATCTACAGGTGGTGGGTCTTGCAACCCGGAAGCCCTTTAATTACTCATAGGTACCTAGCGGGCATTCTGCCTATACTCATATGTAATCCACCTTCCTGGGTTGCGCTTCTTCACGTCGGAGGAGAGACCTGGCGCTCCTGAGCACGCTGCATGAATCGACGGGCTCCCAGCCATGTACCCACGTAGTACCACCCCCGCCTGGTCCCGCCCAGGCTGGCACGCATGTACTCCCTACCCGTTGTAACTCTGCCGGCGACTTGCGGCGGGGTTTGCTGCCCAGGCTCGGCGTCCATGTACACAGTCTGCCCCTCATAAACTGCCATTGCCGTTTCCTTCCCCTCCGATAGGGTACGGGTGAGGTACATATGTAGGTATGAGTACACCCAAGGCACTCACATGCCGAAGCTTAGCGGGCTCCCCTGCCCTGCACCCCAAACCAGCCCCTGTCATCCTCCGTTTTCCCGCCAGCTTCTTCTCGCTCGCTTTGCATTCCTCATCCATCCTTCAAAAAAAAAAGCTGTGGGAGAGGAGTCGTCATCTTGCCACCCGGGACCTGTTGTGGTTCATGACATGCCAGGAACCATCGCGGACACATGCGCGCTCCCATCTCGAATTCCCTCGATCGATCCGTCTAGAGCCGCCTCGTCCCAACCGAGCCGATGGAGGCGATCCAGTCATTCGGGTGGGTGCTTACCTGCAGCCACGTACTATTTCGCCAGTGTGAGATCTTACATGTTGTACATTGCTTTTTCCTGCCGCTGCGGACTCGCAAAAGCAACCGGCCGCCATCCGAAGAGAACTCAGAATGACTTGTCGGACGCGGTCGGTCGCGGTCGGCGTTGGCGCCCCATGGGCGCTCTTGCGTTGGGCTGGGCTCGATTGCCAACGGCCAGCTCCAGATGGCCCCGCGAAGCTTAGGGGTCAGGGCCTGTCGCGCGAATCCTAGAGGATGTCCCCTCTAGGGCGCATCTGCGCGCGCCGTTGTCACCCTTCGCTCGCCAGGAGCCTGGCTGGGGGCATGCGGCCTCCAAAGTCACCCGGCAGCTTCTCCTCTCCAGCGGCTTGCCCTAGTAGACTTGTCTCTGTTCGGCCCGATGGCGCTGACGGACGCGCGGGGAGGCACCTTATCTAGGTAGAACTCAGGGCTGCGGCGCGGCTTAGGGCTCTGGGCCTTCGCTCAATCGCCAGGTCCCTCTGCGTCCGGCGCGTTGGTGTCCAACGTACGGCCTGGGTGCTCGTGGTGGTATATTTGGCTCTCCTCGATGGTCACTGTTTGCGGATGCTACATTACACCGCGACTACCGGCGCGCAACGGCCACCAGATGCCCCTCGCGTGCCTCTCTCTCTCCTTCGCCCCTATTGACTCTGCCGGTCGGCGCCCCCGCATTGCAGCCGTCTGGACCAATGCTCGATCCCGTCTGGGACGGTGCCCTGGTGGGTATTCGGCCATATCGCAAAGCCATCGAGTTTCCCTTTCCACCCAGTAACGTTGCAGGTATCGTCGGATGTCCTTGATGCAACCAGAGCTATACCTGCCGCGGGTGGGGCAGCCCAACCGGCTTGGCTGGTCAAAGATCCTATCGCAAGTGTCCGCGGTAGGTATCATCGCCGCGACCAGGGTTGTGTTTCCTGATAATGCTGTGAGTGGGAAGGATAGCGCCGATGTGGAAATTCCTTATCTCTCGACAACTGGAGAGGCGGGAGTGGAAGCGGTTCCGGGAATTACCTCAGCCTTGGAAGCTCATCGGCGCACGGCCTAGCGCTGACGGGTCGATCTTATACACCCTCCTCTTGTCAACGTCAACTCGCGGCCGAAACAGACCCCCCCCCACATGTCTCAGCAAGATTCCGGCACAGTGCCCTCTACGCGCGTTGGTTCGCCTTTTACTTAAGATCATTTGATGTCTCGCTCTCAATCAGGTCCTCGGAAGTTAGGCGGTGACTGCCACGTCTTCCATGTCTTCGGTATGACGATTGTCCCAAGATCTATACTGGTCAAGTGATGGTGGGGTATGAGCTCGAAGGTGATGGGAGTATGCAACCCTGTGATAAGCCGCGAATCCCGGTGCTAATCTCGCCTACAGAACATCTGGCTGTCCTGCTGTTCTATCTTGGCCGTCTCCTGATTGGCCGAGGGCGACAACTTCCCCTGAGCAGAGGCTGCCTTCATTACCGAGACTGTGAAGGTGTAAGCATGCAAGACACATCGCATTGTCCACCTTCCGCCTACGGAATAGGGGACCAGAGCACGAGGGCTCCCAAGCTCCAATATGCCATCCCTGTTCCGTGAAGCAAGCAAGCTCTCATGAGAGCTTCATCGACACTCACCATCGCCAAAAACCACCATGACAAGGAAGCTGCAGTAGGACCTACCGACTATGTACCACTTCACGAGCGCTTTCGGCCCAGACGGACAGTGGCAACGTTGCTGCCCTGGTTCGCGGAGGCTCCCGAGCCTACGTCGTGGATGCTGGTGGTTCGTCGGCAACCCCCCAACCATCCCCCCCCCCTTCTATCCGGGCCCGATGGTCCATCGACAATGCGCTTCGCAACCAGAGAGAGACACCCTTGTGCCACATGAGAGACACCCAGTCATGTTCTGCCATGGCAAACCCATATCTCCCCCCTCTGCCCGGGACAGAGGCTGATATAAATACATCGAGAATCATCGCTCTGTTCGCTCTTTCGGAACCAATCCACTCCTCTCAGGTCGAAGCTTCACTCACTAGACTACCATATATACTCTATATAATAGTTGGGAAGCCTCCATCTGAGGACAGCGGCCATTATGTTTTCTGTTAAGAGCCTTTTCGCCAGCCTGCTTCTCCAAGCATCGCTTGGGCTCGCTAGCCCAGCCTCTGAAGTTGAAGCGCGAGCGACTCCCTTCCAGAACACCGTCTACTTCACCAACTGGTGAGTAAGGTCGCCGATATTTCACGGGGCCGGTTGCTAAATACTCCAGGGGTATCTATGGGAGAAATTATCACGCGGCTCAGCTTCCCGTCTCTCAGATCAACCAGGTCCTCTACTCGTTCGCCAATCTGCGAGCCGACGGAACTGTGTAAGCTTTCTCTAGTCTTGTGTATACATTAGTGTCTGACTGGAGTGGCAGCTATGCGTCAGATACGTGGTCTGATATCGACAAGCACTATGACGGCGACTGTAAGTCGATCCCTTCAGCAATCGTAGATCAAGGAAGTTTGCTAACCGTAAACTCTAGCCTGGAACGACGTTGGAGTCAATGCCTATGGTAGCGTGAAGCAGCTGTACAAGCTGAAGAAGGAAAACCGGCATCTGAAGGTCCTCCTCAGTATCGGAGGGTGGACTTATTCCACCAACTTCGCGGGTGCCGCCAGCACGGAGGCCACCCGGGCTAACTTCGCCAGTACTGCCGTGACCTTGATCAAGGACTGGGGCTTCGACGGTATCGACGTTGACTGGGAGTACCCCGCCGACGAGACCCAGGCTAACAACTTCATCGCTCTCCTCCGAGCGATCCGTAACGAGCTCGACTCGTACTCGCAACAATACGCTAACGGATATCACTTCCTCCTGACAGCCGCCGTTCCCGCCGGCCCCGACAACTACAACAAGCTTAAGCTGAGTGAGATGGCGCCCCTGCTCGATTATTTCAACCTGATGGGTTACGACTACGCCGGATCCTGGGATAGCACCTCGGGCCACCAGGCTAACCTGTACCCCAACCCGAACAACCCGACGTCCACGCCCTTCTCCACCGAGGCAGCTGTCAACGCTTACATCAACGGTGGTGTTCCCGCTTCCAAGATCGTCCTCGGCATGCCCCTATACGGCCGTTCCTTCCAAGCTACTGATGGCATCGGCAAGTCGTACTCCGGCATCGGCCAGGGCTCCTGGGAGCAGGGTGTCTGGGACTACAAGGTGCTTCCCCGTGCCGGCGCTACTGAGCAGTACGACAGCGTTGCCGGCGCGACCTATAGCTATGACGCCAGTTCCCGAGAGCTCATTAGTTACGACAACGTCGACATGATCGGACGCAAGGTATCCTACCTGCAGAACAAGGGTTTGGGCGGCTCCATGTTCTGGGAGGCGTCTAGCGACCGCACTGACTCCGGTAGCTTGATCGCTACCGCCTTCAACACCCAGGGTGGCGCTGGCTCGCTCGACCGGTCCGAGAACCTGCTGAGCTACCCCAACTCCCGGTACGACAACATCCGGAGCAACCTCAACTAGGCAATGCAAAGTCGGCCTCGGGTCTTGCTCTGACTCACAACGCGGCGATCATCCAGATAGGAGGCCGGCGCTCCATCTCGGAAGACTGTCACTATCATGTACTTGTGTACCGCCTACCACCATCACCTCAATATTCTGGTCAGTCAGAGGGGAGCCTAAGAGGAAGAGAGGGAGAGTCCCTGTTTCGATATGTATTTGCAATACCCCAACACATTGGCTTCACGTGTGAGATAGCATAGGGACCGGAACGGGAAGGGAGGGAGGAAAGGATGAAAGGAGATGTATATATGGGTAATTCACCACATTCACTAGGGCATTCACTGCGAACATCTGGGAGTAAAGGGGCCGAGTCTTTCTATCCAAAACCCCCCCCTCCCCCTTGTTACAAACGGATGCGTCATCCCGCAAATCTGGCATAACCCGTCAGACGGCGCGTTCTGCTTCTTGTATATACATTTTCCCCCGTGCTCGCTTTCGGCTATCGCTCTGCCGAAACGAGTACATAGCACTATGGTAGTTTAACATTAAGTCTTCCCCGCGGAGGGGAAGACCGAAATGGAATCCCCGGTTCCAACCTAGAGCTGTGTTGCCCAGTTGTCATCCAAGTCTGGGACTCGATGGGCGAGCTAAACGACGCAGGCTGTACACGATCTACATGGGGATGCGAGGACGTCGCGATGTCAAAGAGGGGACGCCAGAGCTGATAAGCAAGGTTACCGGGATAGATTCCCCTATCACAGGAGTATCGAGAGGTTGTCCCCTCCGCTCAAGCCATATCTCGAAGCCCGTTTTCTCGCGCGGGGGGTCCTCTGCGACCCGCGTTCGGGGAGTATGTCTCGGGTAAATGACACCTTTCTTCCACCGCAACCCCGGTCCCCGCCCTCACAGCGCGCTGACGTCGAGGCCCTCGACAGTGCCGAGGAAGTCGCCAGCGGCGCCGCGCAGCAGGGCGTCGACGTCGACGGCGCCGGTGGCGATGTAGCGCTCGCTGACGCCGCCGGCGTTGACGCGGCGCGCGAGGAGGGCGCGCAGCTGGGCGCGCAGGGCGGCGACCTCGGCCTTGGGGGTGGCGCGGGCGGCGAGGGCGCGGCGGCGGCGGGCGGAGCCGCGGCCGCCCCAGTGGCCGGCGTCGGCGTCGGCGTCGGCGTCGTCGTCATCGCTGACGCCCAGCTCCTCGGCGGCGCCGCGCAGCCAGTCGTCGTCCTTGGCGCCCTTCTCCTTGGCCAGCGCGACGTCGGCGAGGCGCTTCGCCAGCGCGACGCGCGGCCGCAGCCGCGCCGCCAGCCGCCGGTCGACGTCCAGCGTCTGCACGAAGAAGAGGCCCCCCCCCTGCGGCGTCGCCGACGCGCCGCCGCCCCCCAGCGCGTGCACCTTCGCGATCAGCCGCCGCGTCGGCGTCACCTCCTCCGGCGCGCACAGCAGCACGCTGAGCCCCGTCCGCGCGCCGCGCGCCGTCCGCCCCGACCGGTGCACGTACGCGTCCGCCGCGCGCGGCACGTGGTAGTGGACGACGAGGTCGACGCCCGCGATGTCGAGCCCGCGCGCGGCGACGTCCGTCGCGACGAGGATCGCCGCCGACTTGCCTCGCGGCCCCCCGGGCCCCGGCCCCGGCTTGGCGCCGGTGAAGCGCTCGATGGAGCGCAGGCGCGCCTTCTGCGGCATCTGAGAGTGCAGCGCCTGCGCCTGCAGGTTGAGGTTCTGGAGCATCGGCGCGATCCGCCGGACGGAGCTGATTGAGTTCGTGAAGACGAGCGTCCGCACGTTGGGGTGCAGGAGGAGGAGCGTGTACAGGTACAAGTCCTTTCCAGAGGTTGTTGCAGTGGTTAGTATCTGGGCGGTGCGCGTAGGCTCGACGTGGACTCACCTTTTCCATCGCTCCGCACTCAATCAGGCCCTCTTTGAGCCCCTCCGCCATTTGGGAGACCGGGTTCACGTCAATGAATTTGGGCTTGTCTTCCCGGAATTTCAACTTCTTCAACAGATACTCCATCGAGTCTTGGTCGCTCATTAGGTTGTACCGGCCTCTCCCGGCTAGCTTTTGCTGCAAGCCCTTATGGAAGGTTGCCGAGAACACGAGGGTTTGTCGCGGCGAAGAAGAGGCCGCTTCCTGCGCTTCTTCCTGGTCTTCGTCCGTTTCCAATCGATCCAAGGCATCCAAGATCTCAGCCGCTTCCTTGAAATGCCCCTCTGTCAACAGTCTGTCGGCTTCATCTACCACCAGATACTGGATCTTCTGGAAATTTCTCATCAGCTCCGAGCTAGAGCCAAGGACTTCCCACAATCTCCCCGGCGTTCCAACCACGATATCCGCTTTGATTAGTTGCCTTTGCTGCTTCTGGACGGACAGGCCTCCGGTGACCGAGCAGACGTAGGGCGAGTCAGACAACCCAGAGCAGAGATTGCTGATATGCTCTGTGAGCTGATGCGCAAGCTCTCTAGTGGGCGAAAGAATCAAGGCAAACGGAATCTTAGAACTCGTTTTGACCCCGCCTTCTTCCAATAACTCCAGCCACTTCTCGACGATCGGAATGGCAAATGCCAGCGTTTTTCCTGATCCTGTAGAGGCCTTGCCGATAACATCGTGACCGGCTAGAATATGAGGTATCGCAGCAGTTTGAATGGGGGTTGGTTTCGCAAATTTCAACTTCGAGAGCGAGCCGAGGATTTGGCGTGACAGATCTAACGACGCCCACGCGGATACATCGACTTCATCGTCCTGCTCGTCCGCGTTGTTGACTTTAGAAAATACGTCGGTCTCTAGCTCCGTATCTTCTATCTTGCCCCCATTCTTTCCTTCCTCCTTTTTCTTCTTCTTCTTCTGTCTCTTTTGAGATTCCCTATTGTCTATCGGAACATCGGCGGAATCTGCCACTTCTGCTTCGTTACCCTTGGCAGATGTCGCCTCCGGGTTTGAATTTTTGTCACGAGGCGTCCTTTTTGTACTGATATCATCGTCGAATCCTTGAAATTCACCATCACTTTCGGGCTGGTCCGGTTCGTCCGGTGGAGGTTGAGCTGCTCTCTAGGGATGATCAACAACCTGTGTGCTAGGACGGGATAAGTGGGGAAGTAGCATACGAATTCGACGGTATTATCGTCTTTGCGTACGACCTCGACGTCTTCGACCTCCTCTAGGCCATAGAAACCTTCGGCATCGTTGACCATATCTGGGAGTTTCGCTTTGTGCCATCGCAAGGAGTCGACGCTGACGGCCGTTTTCGTTTTCGTTGTTTTGATGGATTTTCGGATGGATTGATGCGTCCTAGACTTCTTCTTTGCCGGCGCGGTCGCGGGTTGCCCGCCTGCCTTCCGCTTCTTGACCCCGTCCATGGTGAAGCGCGGTATGTAACGAGTGGTTGTCGATAGACCGGCGCTTTGGGAAATTGTCAATTGGAATATTTTGAGATGGAAATTCCGGTATGTTTTATCTGATAAGGTCCGATAAGACAATAGGAGCATTGATCCTAATCGATAAGATACCTATTACAATCGGCCCTCCCTCTATTCAGCCCTATCGATAGTCAGAGATTACAGGTACCTGAAGTACCTAACCTTAGGTACCTTAAGGGAGTACCTACGGTAAGTAAGGTACTGAATACCGTGATTTTCTGCGGGAAATCTGGTTGGCGCACCGAAACATCAAAGGACTTGCTGTGCCATCCACATAGACAAACGCCAGCAGTTCGTCTGGACGCAAGATGGGCAAGTCGTCCAAGGACAAGCGCGATGCTTACTACCGGTTAGCCAAAGAGCAGGGTTGGCGAGCGAGGAGTGCTTTCAAGCTCCTGCAGCTCGACGAAGGTTAGCTCATCAGCACAGATAATACGATACTCCTTCGGGGACGCTGACTGAAGGCTAGAATTCGACCTGTTCGCCAATGTCACTAGGGTGGTTGACTTATGTGCCGCGCCCGGGAGCTGGTCGCAGGTTCTGTCAAGAGTCCTGATCAAGGGCGAGAAGTTCGGCCGAGCGGCCTGGCAAGATCGCGATGCTCGATTTCGCCAGCAGATGCTTGGGATATTCGCGCCCCCGGATCCGGACGAGAGGGGGGAGTCCCTACATGTGGCGGGACAACAGCCCGAAGAGCTGAAACCTCGACAAGATGTCAAAATCGTAGCCATCGACTTGCAGCCCATCAGTCCATTGCCGGGAATCGTCACGCTACGAGCGGATATTACGCACCCGGCCACCGTCCCGCTGCTCCTCAAGGCTTTGGACGCAGAGTATGACTCGAAAACCAAGAGTCAGCAAGCCGCGCACCCGGTAGACCTAGTGCTAAGCGATGGCGCCCCCGACGTGACCGGCCTGCACGACTTGGACATCTACGTCCAATCGCAACTACTCTTCGCCGCTCTTAACCTGGCGCTGTGCGTCCTAAAGCCCGGGGGCAAGTTCGTCGCCAAGATCTTCAGGGGTAAGAAGGTGGACGTGCTATACGCTCAGCTCAAGATATTCTTCGAGAAGGTGCACGTGGCGAAGCCAAGATCCTCGCGCGCCAGCAGCGTCGAAGCGTTCATCGTGTGCTTGAATTTCCGGCCTCCTAAGGGATTCTCGGCGAGCCTCGAAGAGCCGTTGGGCGTGGGATTCCGCCTGTCTAACATGACAGAGCAGAACTTCAGGAGCCTGCCGATTGCCGCAGATACCATTTTGCAGAACCCAGAGACCGGGGCGTGGAACAGTGTCCCTGCTTTTTCCCAAACCGTAGACGAATATGGCATTACCGAAGTAGAAGTCGAAGACCTCCGTCCAGATCGCGAAGACGATATTAGATGGATTGCGCCTTTTATTGCGTGCGGAGATCTATCTGCATTCGACTCTGACGCCTCGTACCGACTCCCGCCCGATTACGTATCCCTTGATCCCATCCAGCCGCCAACCGCGCCGCCTTACAAGCGGGCGTTGGAAATGAGAAAAGCCTTCGGCGGCGCATACGGAAAGACAGTTAGAGAGTAAAGGGAGAGAGAATCGCTGCTACAGCCGCGGTATTATCAGTGTTCCGGGCGTTTAACTGCGGGACCTTCGATCAAGCCGATAGAAATGGCCGCTGTGTTACACTCGCTCCAGTCCTTCGCGCCAAGGTGTTTGCGGTAGAAGTCCATCTTGTCGCTAACCAGGAGCATGAAGCGCCGCAGATGGGCCCAGCCCTTGATAACCTCGTCGAGACATTCCATTAACCAGCGACCAAGGCCCTTGCCCTGGTGCTCAGGAAGGATGTACACGTCGGTGAGATATGCAAAAGTCACGTCGTCGGTCACCAACCTCACGAGACCAACCTGGCGGGGGCCGCCTTGGCCTATAATAAGGTGTGTGTCAGAGCTATGTATAATTCGGAGACGAGGAGTGTCAGTCTATGAGATGAAGGATTCACCTGCAATCTGCGAGGTAGCCTCAGGTAGCACGTAGAGCCCGAGGCACAGGGAATTATGCAGGGCCTTCTTAATCTCCGCGCCTGGCAGGCCCTGCGCCCACCACATCAAATCCGAATCCATCGCCGCATTGACAGCCTCGACTTGGATCAGCTGCGGCTCGGTAGAGACCAAGTACTCGCCTCGGTACCAATTCCTGGGTGTCGTTTCGAGAACCATGATGAACGAGGGGGGGGACGAATTCAACTGTTCCGTGTCGTAGCTGTTGATTTCAGAGCTGGGATGGAAGAGATGCCATGCCAAGGGTTCTAAGTCATACACAGGCCGGGATTCGGAGCGGAAGGGGGGTCGGAATAGATAGACGATGCACAAATCGGCGACGACAAGTACAGCATTAGTAGCGTCTTCCACGTGATTCCTTTACGTGCATCTGTCGTGCAATATTTCAACCTAACCTTCTAGTAGTGGTCTATCCACTACTCGACTTAGTCTATGAAGCCGTCGTGGCTTGCAACGATGCCTTACGTGGACGACCCTTCACACCGTTCGTTTAGTCTCTATCCACCCGATGTCACACTACGAAGTACTCGAACTTCATTTCTCTATTCATTTTCCAATTTTTCTTCATTCTATCCAACGGTTTCCGTCTCGGAATTCATGTGCTAATCATTATCCTAGGAACCCCGAAGTTCACGCACGTACAACATGAGGCGGTGGTAGATCGCTACGATTGGAGCCATGGCATCTCGGCTTCGCTAGGTTGGTATGTACCTACGTTTAGTTCATCTGGTGAGAAGGCTGCCCTCGCGACCCGTCTCGCTTACACGGGGCTCTTGACCATCTCTTCCTTGGCGTCGTTGACGTTGAAGGCGCACCATTCGGCCGTGCTCACCTCGTTTAGGCCCCAGGCCGTAGGGCTGTCGTCGTGCACTGTCGTGCGGCGTAGGTCGCGGCGGTAGCCGCCCTGGAAGGCGCCGGCGCGGTGGAGCACCGACCGGTTGTCCCAGATGACGAGGTCTCCGGGGCTGTCCCACTGGACGACGGCGAGGTACTTCTTCTGGGTGGCGTGCTGGTTGAGGCGCTGGACGAGGTCCCAGGAGCCGGGGATCTGCTTGCCGTTCTCCTCGATGTGGTGGAGGTGGGCGCCGATGTAGAGGTTCATGCGGCCGCTCGGCTCGTGCAGCTGAACGATGCGGTGGCGGAACATGGGTGTACTGTCGACCTCCATGTCCTTAAAGAACTCGGGCGAGCCGAGCTTGCGCGAGTGCGCCATCGAGTGCGCCCCGACGTAGTCGTGCGCGAGCAGCTCGGCCTTGAGGTCCTCGGGCAGCTCGTCGAAGGCGGTGCGCGAGTCGGCGAAGTCGGTGTTGCCGCCGGTGCTGCGCGGCGGCAGCTCGACGGCGCGCAGCAGCGAGAAGGAAGCGCGGCGCGGGTTGAAGGACGAGTCGGAGTGGAAGAGGCCATTGCCGCGGTTCGAGTGTGCCTTCGGGCTGTCAGGGTCGAGGATCGAGTTTGTCTCGCCGTCGATGTTGCCCGCGTCGAACAGCTCCAAGTGCTCATAGCGCGGCTTGCGTCCACCCTTCAGGTACCGCCTGATGTTGTCAAGGTCGCCGAAGCGCTCTGAGAATTTGACGTGGGCGGTGTCATCCAGCCCTGTGTTGCGGAATACGCAGACGCCGTACTGTTATTCAGCACGCCGCTGTCGTTAGCCCCTATGTTCAACAACCCAGTCGTGCTCCTGTATACTCTGCGTTTAGACGCAGCAGTAATTATAACCCTACTTCTTTCTTCCCTACCTGCCACCCCCTTTTATCGGTTTTAACTTGTGCTTACCTTAGCCATGGCAGCATTGATCTCCTGGAACTGCTCCTCGGAAAGATCTTGGAAGTTGACACCGGTAACTTCGGCGGCGTAAGTGGGATGTAACTCCCGGACCGTAATAGTCCTAAAGGGCGATTGCTGGATGAGGCCCGGCATATTCGCGCTTGATTCTCGGTCTCGAATGTATAGGGGATATTGGGGGTATGTACAGATTTGTCCCTATCCGAAGGATAGTTATAATACGTCAAACCCCCCATCATGCTGATTAATTTACAGGGGTAATTCCCCTGTAAAAATAACCCTGTAAATAACCCTGTAAATGCGGAGTTATTTCGGGGATACTCTGTTTTTATTAGCTAAAAGTCCTCGATGTTGTCGTGCTTATCTGTCGGGGCGTCGATGGAGCCACCAACACATCCTTAGGCTATCCACAGTGTTTAAATATAGGAGCATGACAGACGAACCTAGAGCAGGAATTAAATAATCCCATCTGCTATCCCCATGGGGATCGACCATGGGGGTTGAGTCACCCATCTACCGAGGGCAGGCCGTAACTATACAAGCACGGAGTCGTGCGGGGTACAGGTTATTGGCATGCTCGGTAGTCCCATGATCAATATAGCCTCCTAACCTGAATCCCCGGGCTTCGCGTAGGTTAGCGTACCCTTAGTTTGGGATCGCTATGCAAGCCCGGGGAGAGAGGAAGAGCAGACGTAGGAAGCAGTGGGTAGTTGGGGCTGATGGACCTAGTTGGACAACATACCTACACCTACCTACCATGGACTATGTGTTGCATGTAGGTATGTGAGGCTGGTAGTCACTGCAACGTCTTACATACGTGATGCTTCTTAGGTATTGGACGAATCTACAGGTACTGGTCAAGGGCGCAAAGGGTATCGTATGAGGAGTCCCCAACAAATCTTTAACACCTCGTAGGATCCAACGACCGCGCGTGCAATGCCATGGTGCGTAGGCGTTGAACAAGCCACTTAACCTGCGAGATATACCTAGGTAGATGATTGATAAACACACCGCGTGGCCACCCGCCGTGCATAAGAAACACCTCCGTGATGCCGGTTAGTCCGTAATCGCATCCCCTACCGCTTCGAAGAGAATAGCATCGCTGTCTGCGTTTGCACGGCGGGTACAGCCGCATCAGTAGGGTAAGCGAATAACAGCATCATGACACATCCCTGTCTACACCTTAGGTACCTAGTCACCCGGTATTTTGTTCCACGTGCCTCCTCGGACATGAGTTCGTAATCATGGCTATCCTCGTCACCGTTTACGCCTCCAACACTCCGGCAGGTGGCCACAGTATTACTGTGTTGTGGCGGATAACGCATTTGTTACCGGCGGCAGCGTGGAGGCGTCACGGATAAGTGTGATCGGCCTCTTACACCCGAGAAGGCGACTCTTTTTTTCTCCGCAAGATCCGATGGACTCGAATCCTGAACCTAACGGGAATACTGACTTCTTCCTTAACTTTAAACTCAACCCCGTTTTGCTCGACGACTTCGACGAGAGATATCCTAACTGGTGGGGCGTGGTGCCCCCGGGGAGCTATTATGTACTGGTCTGGGAGATCTTGATTCATTCTTTGAGATACTGGCCAACGACTAAAAACTTGAACGTAATCTATCACCCCTTACTACGCCACCGGGACGATGAAATACCGCAGTCTTTACAGCACGAAGATTGCAGTCGAGGCTCTAAATTCGGGTCAAACTCAAAGCATTCGCGAAGCTGCAGCTCTCTTTGATGAACCGAGGTCGACCCTTCACGAACGCATTAAGGGGAGTATTAACTCAGGTCAAAAAATCACCAATTACACGGCGAAAGTTAAGCCCGACCGAAGAAACTGCTTCACTTTAATGGGTTGAATTACTAGACGACCGTAGGAGGTCACCAACGACTAGTTATATTGGACAGATGGCCGATCTTTATATTCTCGATCGTGGAGGTTTGAACATATTACCTAACTTCACCAGATCCGGCTGTTACTTTTGGAGAGAATCGGGTTCGGCGATTTCTTGAACGGCAGCCTCAAGTAAAGTCAAAGTACTCTCGAAAGTATGACTACCAGCGTGCTTTATGCGAAGATCCAGAGAATATCCTGGTATAGTTTAGGTTATTCTATTCACTCGTTTCCCACTATGGCCTTCTAGATTCCCCCATCCTTGTTTCTAACCATGGTATTCACCTCGCGGCTCCACCGCTAGCAACCGCAAGCTAGGAGGAATATGGTACCCAACGGATCCTTGAGATCAGTAGGTTACTTAACGAAGGATAGGTTCGATTCCTAGCAGCGCGACTTGGTAGTCTTCGCTATTTAGCTCGTCTCCTTGGATGGAAATGCAGCGTCTTTGCGGCACGTTTCTCGGATCGCAGGAGCGGAAAAGAGTTGGGCTTCGCGTCTGTGTATTTAATGCCTCTACAATGCGCAGGCGGGATATGCCGTGGTGATACGAGCATGCACCAGGTCTGGCATGGATACGCGTCGTGTCATATCGCAGAACGAAGGCCCTGCACGCCGTCCACCGTCCACCGTCCACCGTCCACCGCCCGCCGCCGGGAATGCAGCTGCTGGATTGAGGACCTTTGGGGTTCGGTCCAGGGGACTGCCGTCCAGGCCCAGAGCTAGGTATCTTAGCGTAGCACGCCACACAGACACAGAACACACGCTCCCCGCCCAGGTACGGATTCGACACACATTATGGGTAGGTATTCTTTTCCCGGCTGAACCCCTGCGATGCGAGTACGGCTAGGGTATAGATGTACTTATAACATGCGCGTATCTACCTACACGTGTGCTGACGTAGTCCCGACCTCATCAGTACCACCTACCTAGGTAGGTCGTGCCTACAAGCTACGGCATTTCTCTACTAGGTACTGGCCTGGGGAGTTGAATCATCATCACCCACCTGTATAACGGCCGGGCACATCCCACAGGTAGGTATATAAAAGTCGTCTGTTACCCCCCCCCTCCCTGCCCATCTCTGGGTCCTGCCTAGCACTGACTCGACCCTCTCCCTTCGACGGCTGCCGCGCTTCATTTATCAGATTTGTCACGACTCACCACGCCCGCACCGCTCCTCCTCATCAGCATTGCCATTCCCTGGCCACCATCGCCAGCTTGATAGCCATGGCCGGTTTCCGTTACTCCCTCCTTATTGCTGCCGTGATCGTCGGCAATGTAGCGCTGCCCGCCGCGGCGGATACCTTGCAGCCTCGTCAGACCACGATAGCAGACGCCACCACGTCATCGACGTCATCGCCGGCGTCGCCCGCTACTGGCGCCGTATTCGACGCTGGCACCACCGGCCGCATGACCATTCAGACTGACACTGTCCTGACCAACCAGATTGGCATTGACCTGTCCACCGCTAGTGATGAAACTGCCCCGGCGTCGACCTCCGTCTCGCGTGCGGTCGCCCCGCCAAGGGAGACGGGCTTCGTCCTCGCCGCTGCGGCTGCAGTAGGTCTCGTCGGTGCTGTTGCGGCACTATAATGCCGTGCTACTCCCATGCGACGGGCCAACGCGCCTTCGGGATTGGAGGAAGGCTGCTGGTAGTGAAGCAATAAGACCGGGTCTTTCGTGGCATCTTACGTCGTTTCTTTACGTGGCGGAGGAGGACACCGTAACGCTTCGAAAATATTCAGGTTAGTAACTATGAATACGGGGTGATGCCTTCACGCTCTCTGCTCTCACGACAATTAGCGGCTGAGAGCGTAGTACCCTCTGCTATCGGAGGAGAAGTAGGAATGCTTATCATGTACGAGTACATTAGGATATTGCACAATCGACCTCTTGGTTGTTACGTCTGGGAGATCCCACCTTCGGCGAATCCCATAAGACATAACTATATCGGAGGGCTGGCGGGCCGGCGACCTGGGCCGCATCGCTCGATTCGAACTTGGCCACTACGCCGAGCTTGATCACCTCAGCATTAAGACGCGGCTGGGCCTACTCTCCGCCGGGTTCATGCCGGTCGCCGCTAGTTGCGCGAAGAAGCTCATCACTACCTTAACTATGGATGCTCGATACGTGTTATTAACACCAGTGCCATCACTTATCCAGTCTCGAGAAGCGCATCTGCCATGTCTACTTGTACTACCGCTGCCGTATTTTCTCCCAAGTACATTGCTATAACGCCCGCCGTTGCCGCTTTTCCTTCGACTTCCCCGGCAAGACTTCCACGACGGAGATTCAGAAATCCCGGTAGTCAGTCGCAGCATTATCGATCGAAATCGTGTTTTCCCCACAACACCTCAGTATCGGACTGATCTGCAACCGCCACCATTGCCTAGGAAGATCACTTTGCCACCTCCTTTGGCTTCATTCGCCTGCAAGTGAGCAGTTACTTCGCGGGCATGTCCGGTATAACTCCCGCTTATGGCTCGGCAAATTCGACTTAGGTCGTGGGACGGCCACCTGGCTATATACCTATGACTAGCTAAGCTGGAGGCATCGACTCTCCCGTAATCGCTGTTATATAAGCAGACCGGGAGCTCATAGGGAGCTGCCCTGTTTACAGGGCTTCAGACAGACAGCCAGTTCAACAAGCACGTTTTTGGAACCATCTTGCTTCTACCGACAGCATCGGTAGGGTGGACCCGATGTTGCGATCTCTGTCGACTGCGGTCGGGAACCTCCGACGAGTTGGAGTACGAGATTACCCGTATAGCCCCCATCATCCCGACCGCCCAGGCAGACCGACCGTGTCCTGAGTCACGCATACTTGAAGCCCCTGTGATGCTGTTTGTTGATGGGCTTGAAGAGGTTACCGAGCTTGAGTTAAGGTAAGCTACCTGTGCCTGATCTACTAACAGATCAGCATTGCTAGCTTATAGCTCTAGAGTATTGTGGGAAGCGTATGGTGTCATTCAGACCTAGTTTAGCGGGGGAACGGTCTCGCAGTTACCTATCTGCTCCGCCATCCTCAAGTTGGCCTCGGCGACCATGCTCCCTCGGACGTGGAGCAAAGGGTATTCTGGCCTAGAGCCATTCGAGGAACCCCCGAGTTGGGTTCTTGTTTTATCTGGTGACTTCGTCCAGATGTTTTCCGCCGGTATTTAGATGCCTGGCGGGTCATGCTCCCGCCCTGATAGCAAGCTGCAAGGAGAAATTTTCGCGTGGAAGGAAGATAATGATGACATCTATTGAAAGACAGGGGGGAAATAATCGGTTGCGCGATGTTAGGATGGGGTTTGTTATGCAGGGATCGAATTTCCGGTAGCTTCGCGGCAATGGGCTTGTACTATTCGAGCGGCATTCCCATTCTGTTGCAGGGCCAAGGCATCGCTTGGGAGATCAAAGGACTATAAAAGTTTTTATATTGTGCATGGAGATAAATCGATAAGGCCTTCGACTATTGACGGCTTTGCGACAGACATGCTCGGTGGTAGGCACATAAGCTAGCAGGTCGGTCAGAGGGTTAGCTGGTGAGGCCGATTGTTGACACACTGGCCGCATGCTGGCCGACAGCAGAAGCAGGCTTAGAATTACAGGCACCCCTCTTCGATAGGCGGAACCGCACGTCGCCTCGAATTCATCCTTGAATTAATGCATCGCTAACCTGACCGACTTTTATCCTTCGGAATTTTTTCTTCCTTCTTTCCCCTCCCAATTGATGATGGTTGCCGCATCCGCATGCGCTTGTTCGCCCAGATCAGCCCAGCAAAATGGATAAGACCGCGCCCGAGACGTTTCAGCAGATTCTCAGCTATCTCGACGAGCCTCTGGCGCCATACGCGTCTGTCAGCCGCAGATTCCAGCATGTGATCGAGAGGAAGACATTCGCAGCTGTCCGAACGCACAGCACCGAGGCTGCGCTGGCCGAATTTGACAGCGTCTTTGCCGACGCGCGCCGACGGTCTCTGGTTCGGAAGCTGGACTTCTATGTTGACCTCCCCGACATCAGCAAGAAGCGCTTCAAGAAGCTGCAAAGCAGTCGCGAGGCTGCCGACAACGATGCGACATTCTCCCGAGCCGTTTCTGGACTGTTCACGAGGTTGCACGGTTGGGCGGACGCTTTGGGAGATCCAGAACAGGCGCAGCCCTTCCATCTCGCCGTCTCCAGCGCATCGCCAAAGGACGGTTACGTACCGGATTCCCCCAACAGCCACGGAGCCGACCCTGCTTGGCCGATCCGGAACTGGTTCAAATACATCCAACTCGAGGGCGTCCGCGAGCTCCCCGTCCTACCCTTCGTCACCGCATACAGCGACTCTGGTCGGAGAATTCACCCGAGTGCCGTGGCAACCATCTGGCAGGCCCTGCCGCGCATCAAAATGGTACGCTGGCGGCATTACACCGCCCCTCGCCGGCTAGCGGCTTTGAAAACCAGGCTGAGAGCATCCCTGTCATCCGCGCTGCTCCTACCCGACTTTTCCCGCCTCGAGACCCTGGCGATCTACCACGAGGATTCCGACCCTCTCAACCACAACTGGGAGCCCGAGAGCCTGCTCGACGCCGGCAACCGTGACGCTTTGAGCCGGGCGATAAACAGGGTCTTGAGATTGCCGAGCATCAGGAAGGTAAAGCTGACTGGCACCTGGATCTTGTCGCCCGAGGTATTCGCCGTCGACGACGACGACGGGGACGAGAGCCCGTTCCGGGCCCTCGAGGATCTGGAGCTCGGCGTCTCGGCGATGACGCCCGCGGGCGGGTGGTATTTCACCGGCGATCGGGCGTCGGCGCCGGCGAGCAGCGAGAGGGACGAGAGCGACTCGGAGGCGGAGCATTCGCGCGCCGCGTTCGACTCGCAGGACTCCGAAGCCAGCGACTTCCTCCCCGAGTTCGAGTGGGCCCGGCTCGACGGCGACATCCCGTACGCCGACTTCCGGCGCCATCCCGACGCCGCGACGCTCGACCCCTTTCTGGTCGCCGTCGCCCGCGCCGTCGTCCGCATGCCGGCCCTGCGGCGCTTCGAGTGCGCGTTCTCTAGGCAGGCGTCCCTGGAGTACTGGGGCCCGACGCAGGAGCGGGACCGCGTCATGAGCGACGACTTCAACCGGTTCCTCGACGCGGCCCCCGGCCACGGCCGCTGGAGGATGGACTTCGAGACGGATATGCAACCTCGGCCCAACCAAGATCCTGTGCTGCCGCACTGGGAGCTCCCGGCGGAGCTGGTGCGCCTGCTGGATTCGGCAGATCACCGCATTTACTTCACGCGTGGCCATCGACGCGTCCAGCTGTAGATGGTGGTGGAGTACGTGATGCTAACCCGACTACGTGATGCCAACCCTACATACTACCGGCATCCGGCGACTAGCTACCGGTACATCTTCTACAGAGTTAGGAACTAGTACGTAGAACAATGTGCGCGTGTCAAAAAATTTTTTTTTTGCTATTGCGAATACGCCTGTACGCTGCTGAAAGCTTTGGCTATACTATTTCGAACCTAGCGAGTCTCAGGGGAAAGGATTCGTCCAAGTCCTCTTAGTGTCGTCGACGGCCTCGCGCAGCTTCTCGATCCTCTCCCTGAGCTTCTTGCGATCGTCCGTGTCCGCGTCGGGGTCGGTGTCCTTGAGGACCCCCTCGATCTCGGTGATCCAGTTCTCGACGAAATAGTCCAGCTTGTTCATGACGATGGTGTAGCGGCCCTTGATGAAGCGCTTCCACGACTGGCTGAGGTTCTGCTTCGTGTAGCCGCGCTTGGCCGCGACCATGGCGTCCTCGGCCTCGTCGAACCGGGTCGCGACCCGGTTCGTCTGCTTGACGAGGATGCTGTTGACCATCTTGTGGTACTTGTAGGTCATGAGGACGTTCTTCATGCTCCGGATCGCCGTCGCGACCGTGTCCTCGCTCGCGACCGCCTTGCTCATCTGCCCCTCGCCCGGCACCTTGCTGCCCTTCCACGCCTTCTCCTTGACCAGGTTGACCGGCTCGAAGATCCACATCATCTCGTCGCTCGTGTCCGTGCTGGGGTACCCCGACGCGACGTGGTAGAGCGGGTACGTCTCCACGCCGTTGATCATCGTGTTCTTCTCGAACCCGCCCTCCTTCAGCTTCTTGCACACCGAGTCCGCCCCCGTGTTGGGGAACGTCTTGAAGAACTCCACCATCATCTGCGCCTCGAGCACGTGCTCGACGATGTACCGCTCGAATTCTCGCTTCGAGCCCGGGGGTCTCTTGATGTCTTCCTGCTTGGTAGTCTGCTTTCCGAATTCGTCTGCGAGGAGGAGAAGAGGGGGCGAACTGGTTAGCATAGTCCGGGAAGAAGAGAAACAGAAATATCCTCGCGCCTAGACGAATACGGGCACTTACAGTTGTTGCAGTCCTTCCAGTTCGCGTTATCGTAGATATCCCCGTTCGTGTCGTAATCGGGAAACTTGACGAGCATCTGCGCGTCGCCCTTGCAGATATGCAGGGAGTCCTTGGACAGACGCTCCACCCACTTGTGCAGGTGCAGCGACTCGGCCTCGTCGGCGGTGATGTTGTGCGCCGCCGTGTAGTCGGCGAGGTCGGCCTCGCCGAAGCGCGAGCGGCGCGCGAGAGAGCCCACGTCGTCGGCGTCCTGGTACATGTCGTCGACGGCGTACGTCTCGTCGCACGGCGTCAGCGTCGCCGGCCCGCCCTTGTTGGGGCAGAGCCGCTCGCCCTTGGGCAGCGAGATGACGGGCCCGTACGGGACGAGCCGCTTGCCGAGCCGCGAGTGCGGCCGCAACGCGCGTTCAATCAACGGGCGCGTGTCGTTGACGTCGAGCCCACCGATGGCCCGCACCGTCTTGTTCGTGCCCGTCAGGCACTCCCACTCCTTGTCGCCGCTCGGCACTAGCGTCTTGTCCAGGCTGCCGAGCCGCACCGGCTCCGCGTCCCAGTCGAAGTAGTCGGGCACCGTCGCCTCGGCGAGCAGGACCACGCCGGCGTCGATGCCGTACCCGAACGAGCAGTCGCCCCCAACCTAAGCGCGGCATTTCAGTTAGCAAAAAAGAGCCGTCCGTTGGCGAGCGGCGACCGCTCCGTAGAAGCAGCAGCTAGATTCCCCGGCGGAGAGGGGTCGGGTCCACTTACGATGTCGCTCTTCGCGCGCATGCGCACCCACCCGTCGACGACGAGGTCGGCACTGGCTCGGCCGATCTTCCAGAAGTCGTCGAAGTCGATGCCGAAGCTGATGGTCGGTATCAGGTGGGCCTCGACGTAGCCAGAGGCCTCGACGGACGCGTCGAACGTGGGCTTGAGCAGGTCCTTGGTGTTCATGTCGCGTTTGGGCGATTTCTCGCTCTTGGGGTCGTAGTCGTTCTGTTGGGGGTAGGTCTGACTGATCTCCCAGTCGGCGAGGGTTACGCGGGCCTCGACGTGGCCCTCGACCTTGATGCCGGCCTTGAGACGCGCCTGCAGGATCAGCTCCGGCCCCACCGTCATAATGCCGGGGATCTTGAACGACCCGCCCGGGAAGGGTATGCCCGGCCCGAGCTGGAAAACCTTCGAGTCCCAGTCGACGCGGGCGAGGGCATCGATGGTGAAGATGGCCTCGACGACGCCCTCGTTGTTGAAGTGCAGGTACGACTGGCTCAGGTCTAGCGGAGGCGTGCCTAGCGTCGTGATGAGGGTGAAGCCGAACGAGGACGACATTTTGATGCTCGCGGTGGCCACGGCGTCGAGCTTGGCCTGGAACTTGGTGTTCTGCCGCTCGCACGTCCAGTCCTCTTGGAGGATGATCACCGACACGTCTTCCTCGTAGTCGTGGCGCTTCTCCTTCTTGATATTGACGTTGAGGAGGCCCTTGAGCCAGTCGAGCACGTCGGAGCCGAACCACCGCTTGTGCAGCTCCTCGCGGCTCAGCGCGCCGTAGTGCATGTCGTCGCGCCATTCCTCCTCGAGCCACCTCTTGTGATTCCCGCCCACGTCCGCGAGCGACCGCTTGCCCTTGCGCTTCTTGCTAGCCGTCGCCGCCACCACGTTGTCCCAGTAGCCCTGCTGATTGCTGAAGTCGACACGCAGCTGCGTGTCGCCGAAGTCGCGCGGGACGCGCGCGAAGTTATAGTCAAAGGAGAGGTCGTAGACGATCGGGGTGTGGCGGAGCTTGCGTTTGGTGATGTGGTGAGGCAGCGTCTGGTTCTTAGCTACGACCATATCCACGGCAACGGCATACTTGCCCGGGCCGCAGCCCTTCGGCATCTGCAGGATCGTTCCGGGCACACCCTTGCCTCTCCGGATGTGGTTACAATTGCTATCCTCGGAGATATCCGTGCAGACTATCTGGACGGTCTGCTCCGCCTCGCTCTCGGCGTCTTTGCAGTTGTAGACATCCCAGTGCGAGCCGTCTCGCTTGTCGAGAGAGGTCTGTATCTCGTCCGGAGCAGCCAAGACGTAAAACTGGAAGGAAGCTTCATCTGGGTTGTCATCGGTATCTGTATCCGGTGTCCCGTCGCCCCAGGTGCTGTCAATGTTGAGGTCAAACTTCGTGTCCACCTTGTCACTGCTTGGCGGGTTGGGGAACAGATCTTCGAGCGGTACGGGGAGGAAGAGAGTCTCTCCGTCAGGAGGGTCACAGCAGAACACCCTGGCCCGCTCAAGCCTCGGTGAGCAGGACTGACCGAGCCCGTAGCGGTTAGTAGTGAGCTGTACCTGTGTATTGGCGTCGCAGTGGTTGTCGAAGCAGGACCCGGGCTTTCCCTTCCATTCGCAGTTCTTCCAAGTGTCGAGATCCTCCGGAGGGCAGCAGTACCTTTCCTGCAGGGCCATGTCGACGTCGTCGAGGGCTTCGGAGAGGACCTTGCCGACGAGTCCGAACCACTGCGCCACATCAGCGATGTCTGATAGGAAAGTACCAGCGAACGTCTGCAGATATCGTTAGCCGGCTTGTCGTTGGCATCCTCGCGTTTGATGGGGTCCTTCGGGACAACTGACCAAAGGCTCATCGCCATCCTTGCAATTCTTCCCCATGCCTGACCAGTAGCATTTCTGATTTTTGCCTTGAGGCACAGCGCAGCAGTATGCTTTGTGGCCATCTTCGCAGTACTTCCCGTCTCCCCAGCGGTTCAACTGGAGCAGGGCTTCACCGTCGTGGCAGCGACCGTTGCAAAAAGGGTCCCTATGGCATCCTGTCAGCTATAACTGTTTATGGCGTCGAAAAGGGTATATAGTTATGATAGTATCAAGGTCATATGCTCTCATGGGGGCGGGTGGAAAAAGCTTACGAGCCGCGCCATGTGCAGTCATCTTCGTTGGGGAAGCTCGTGAGGGGACAGCAAAGCTCGCTATCCTCTTCGGTAGAATGCCTCGTCAAGAATGCGGCGCCACCACAGGGTTGCGAAGTGACTCTCTTGAAGCCTGCCTTGCAGTGGTCACCACAGTCTGTGACGTAGCATTTCTGATCCGCGATGTCCTTCCAATCTGCGAGAATGGGTTAGCGACGGCCACTGCGCGATAAATAGTAACAACCCAAGCTTCCGGTATTATCAACACGAAATCTTTGGATAACCACGGCAGTTGGGCTATGAATGTCTTGTCCACGTATTAGGATGCACGTACTTCGCAATCGTTAGCGTTGTGTCTCTCCGAACATAAGCCAGGCTTTCACTTACCAAGCTGAGTCTTCCGCGGTTTTGTCTTTCATTGCGAGGGCAATCGTTTTCCTTCCGACCACGGCAGAAAGGGCTTTGAGGTCGTCCGTGTCTTGATCGACCTAGCCCGGAATTAGCACCGATATATAGGCATACATGCGCGAAGAATGGTGCGCCTTTCTACAGCGTGCTACTTACCGACCAGATCAAGACACCACCCAGGCCTTGGTCGTTAGCGAATTTTATCTTGGCTTCAATCGTCTCTTCGTCGTCCTATCGCCGGGGTGGAACTGCGTTAGCGATTGATCGGCCCACCACACGAAAGAAGCAGCCACTTACATAGCTGACCCATTGGTCTTGGTCCCAGACGATGTACTTGACTTGGTGCTTCTTCTCGTAGTAGGGCTTTAGCTTCTTCTTTTCGATGATGTCGACGATCTCACGGTACGCGAGAGTGCCCGAGTTCTTGGTGCACTAGGAGGGGCACCGCGTCAGCTCGCACGACTACAGGGCGCGCCTTGGTCGTCGGCACTTACAGATCCAGGCGAAGCACCACCCTTAAATTTGCACCCTGGCTTGAAGCAGGAAGGGTCCGCCAGCTGGAAGGATCGTCCGTAAAACCCGATACCGAGGTTTAGCTTCTCTGGGGGAATGCTGTTTCGCCAGTAGAGATCGAGAGCCAGGTTGATCTCGGTCAAGTTGGTGTGGGCTAACACGTTACTTCCGATGGGGTTCCAAGAGTCCCAGACGCCGTGAAGACTGGAATTGTGAGCAGTGGAAACCTAGCTCATCTAGTCAAGGGGGTACTTACTCGTAACCTAGAAGAGAGGTTCGGTCAGTATTTCAGGGTCGAGTAGACAGGGAGTTACAGCACTCACTCATGATATTGACGAAGTCTACTGCCGCGATGCTTGCCCTTAAGTCGAAATGGCGGAGGTACCAGTAGCTAGTTGGCGTGGTGAAAGAGACAACATATTCAATGGGCTGCCTTGAGATTGCGTCTCTCAATTCCTCGAGGAGCAAGGTGAAGTTCTCGCCATCCTCTTCCGCGCCGCCACGATCATCAGCGCCTGGATATTCCTGTGGGGAGTTAGCGAAGGGTTCAAGCAAGCGCCGGGATAGGCATTCCAAATGGACGTCTTACCCAGTCGAAGTCGACACCATCAAAGGCATACTGGCGCATGAAGCTTAGCAGATTGGCAATGAACTTGGACCGGTTCGCTTTCGTCCTGGCAACTTCATGGAAGACCTTTTGCGTCGGTCCCGGGTCGTTAAACGTCCAACCACCAAGGGCCACCATCACCTTCAACGCCTTGTTCTTCCGCTTCAGCGCGCTCATTTTGGAGAAGAGGTTCTGTTCCAGATCGTCCATAGGAACGATCTGGAAGTTGTCCGGCGTAATGTAGCCGAAAGAGAACATCAAATGAGTGAGTGCCCCGACTGGGATTTGTTCTATGGACTAGGGAGAATGTCAGTAATTGTGATAGGGTTGTAGCTCAAGCTTGGGGGGATTCACCATGCCGTTGCATTTTCTATCGTGGACCCAGGCCTCGTAGTACCCGATCACGCGTTTGCGTACATCGCCGCCGGTTTTCCCGGAATCAGGCTGTTTGCAATTGCTTTGGCAGGACTCCTCCTCGTCGTCGGTAACTTTGCAATATTCCGACGTCATGCCGCAGAAGCCAAAGGCTGAGCAGCAGCTGAGATCCAAGTCAGTGAACGACTGCGCCGAGGACGGATCCGATGCATGAGACTTACACGTTCAGAGGGCACTCCTTTCCAGGAGGGTCCGCGTACCTGGTACGTTTTAGTATTAGGCCATCTCTCACACGAACCAAAGAGAGAATGGAAAATTACCGGCCACATTCTGCCTTGGCATTACAGTTGCTCCAGCATACTTCGTTGGGCGAGGTTCCCGATGTTCCGCAGGCCTATTCGTAAGTCGGGTTAGCAGCGCTTCGAGTGATGGGATAGCGCTGTGGAAAATCTTGAAGTAAACCACTGTATTTCGAGGGGTGGACTCACCTTAGGGCCGTAGTTGCACCACCCAGTCTCCTTGGGACAGCAAGCTCCTGTTTAGGACGTCAGCACAGAAGCCATACCTATAAAGACGGAGGGCATGGCGGAAGATCTTCTTCTTCGCACGCGGGGGTGCTGAAGAGACCACCAGAATAAGGAGTTCATACCGTTCCGGCACGGCCGACCTTCACCGCAACTGTAGTCTTCCTGCTGCGTCACCTGGCGAGTGAGGAGCAAGTCGCGAGTATCAACCGCCGCGCAGACCGGCGCATTTGGGATGCGAGCCGGCTTTACAGAATAGTCAAAAGGACTGGGTTACAGCTGTCAGCTTCACCGTCTTCCAACAAATTCCACAGATGATAGCAGGAACGCACTTGAATGCTTCATTCCGGCATACAGCCTCAGAAGCGGCAGCACTGGATATGTGGCCAGTTGTTGGTCTGGAATAGACGTGAGAAAGGAGTGACAGTATGATGAGTATGAGAAACTGAGAAGAGAGGATAGTCCTCCTCTGAGGAAGTGAAGTGATCGGCGCCATGGTCGGTCGATCACCAGAGAGCAACCCGAAATGCTGCTGCTCCTCGATGAAGGGAATAAGGGAGGAGGGAATCGGGCCTTCGTCGAGGGTTCTTCGGTGCCTGGAGTGGTTGCAGGGCAAGCATACTTATTGCTCGCTCCACGAGACCTCTTCCTCCATAAGTCTCAGCTAGGAGGCGCACGCATACGGGGCTCCCATTAGCCCCCCTAGACTTCGATCCTACCGTCGGAACTCACTGGCGTGTCAGCCTCCACGCTGCCCCGGCTCGTCGTCCCGCACCACCTCGGCGGTGGCCGGGTTGTGGGCCGAGATCGGGTCCTCTCATGCTACTCCCCCTCCATCATTTCCGCCCATCTCCAATATCAATCTTGATTGTCGGTCGTGAGAGTCTTACATCACTCTCCGGAGCGGTCTGGATAGACACCTGCCGATTTAGGGTTGTTGCCTCAGCTTACACGCATGTTGTCATGAGACCCCGCATTGTATAAGTCGTCAATTGGTGGGATATGCGATGGGTTAAACGGCGACTTAGATTGTGGTTAATGGGCAGTAGTGCAAAGGGTGATCCTGAGGACTGTGCCGCTGTTAGTGGTGAAAGAATTGTTGGAATTGTTGGCTAGTGCGGTCGTTGCTGGGTCTCGACTTGAGATGAACTTCAAAATTTTCAAGGCCCGCTGATCCTAAGCGCATCCTTCTAGGCCCCTAGATTGCTCCAGACTTAGCAGGATATAGGTGTGGGTGGGCAATAAGCCACTCCATTGATGCCTATTATATACGACGTAACATGTCAGATGGGTTGCTGTATCGATGAAATATACGCCGGCCCAACGGGACTCCCCGTAGCCTCGACGCTGAATGGGTACCTACCTAATTTGCCAATGCGTGTCAGCCCTGAAGAATGTTACCCTACACGGAGCCTCAATCCTCAAACCGTTAACACGGTAAGAATAGTCAGCTTGACACGCAGGGGCTGATCGGCCTGATGCAGGAACCAATATCCCTTACCTATAAGCGGACATGACGCGGTGGCGCGGGGCTTCTCACGTGTCTTCTAGATTACGGCGTACCAAAAGTATCGGTATAGTCCGACTTCTAGATGCTCATCGTCATGGTCTCGTTGATTGATATGCTCTTGGTTGGTCTCGGAGAGAACTTGCTCTTCTTCTCTCTTCCCTTCTGGCACCTGAGCGAGAGCCTACGGTCCTTACCCTACGCTCCTTTGTTCCAGCACCGTAGCCATCATGGATTTCGTTCCCAACAAGGCGGGGTGGTCTCTGGCCCTCTCGCTGCTTGCTACCCTCTTTGCGCCTACAGCGCTTGCCGCTCGTTTCTTTACCCAAGCTGTCCTGCCCGAGGGCGCGAGTACGGCCTGCGGCAATGCGCTGATGGCCGAAGTTGCCTGTAGTCATGCCGTCCCGGCTCTGCAAGCTGGCAATTTCTATCCCAAGGCGGAGCTGGAGAAGATCTGCACGTCCGGGTGCGCGTCTTCTCTGGCCAGCTACCATGCCGGAGTCGTTTCTGCGTGCAGTGAAGACACTTGGGTCGGCTTCCAGGACGTCGAGGAGCCCGTCGCCCTCATCTCCGAGATGATCCGGTACCATTATAATTTTACCTGTCTCACGGACGGAACGCGGTTCTGCAACAACGTCGCCGCGGCCATTTCCGTCTTCCTAGACCCCGAAACAGCCGCTCTGCCGGGTGGAATTCCCGCGGGAGGCGACTACGGCGACGAGGTATCCGATCCTTGCGACCAATGCCTCGTTCAGATCCTGCGCTTCCAGGCCGGCTCTCCCTACTACATGGGACTTGATCTCCAGCAGAGCTCGGCCTACGAGTCGAAGACCTCCAGCTGCGGCATCGCGAATGCACCACTGACGAAGACAACTCTGAGTCTATTCTCGTGAGTATTACCGCCCCCGGTACCGCCGTGATTCAGGGACCCCGTCTTGCGAGCAAGCACTAGCTAACCGAGTGGGAATCAATCGCTAGGCCGACCGAATACGTCCCTGCCACGCCAACATGTGCGGGGAAGACGTATGAAATAAAAGCCGGCGATGACTGCCATTCGATTTCTGTCTCCCAAGGCATCGGAACGGACTGGCTGCTGACAGACAACGATCTCTCGGCTGCTTGCGTCGATTTTCCGTCGTCAGGGAAGCTCTGCCTCGTGAACACCTGCGACGTCTACACGGTTGCCGAGGGTGACACCTGCAAGTCTATCACCAGAGAATTTGGAATGACCGACTCTCAATTCCGAGCGTGGAATCCGGTTCGTATTGACCTTTCCTCGGGGGACAGGTTTCGGTTGCAGAAAACTGGGAATAACCGTTGTGATCATAGTCTGTCGATGCCGGGTGCTACAACCTCCAACGCATGGTGGGTGACCAAGTATGTGTAGCTGTTCCTGGGACCCCGTACATAACGCCGGCCCCAACGACCATTGCACCGTCCATCCCGACCACCGCTGCACCTGTCCCGACCAATATCGCCCAAGGAACCAACACGTACTGCGGCCGCTACTATGAGGCTATTCCTGGTGACTACTGCAACCTCGTCATCATGAAGTTCGCAATCTCTTTGTCAGACTTCCTCTTCCTCAATCCGGCGGTCAACGAAAACTGTACGAATCTGTTCGCGTACGAGAGTTATTGCATCCAGCCAGTGGGCGACAGTAAGTTACCGCCAACGTCACGGCAACGGGTTTTAGGTGATCTGTTCTAACCCGCACGCAGTCAACACCTACAGCGGAAAGCCGGGCCACATAACCTTCTCATTCACGGCGACAAGGAATGGCACCTTCGAAGACGTGGCGACGGGTCTCCCGAATATTGGCTGGTCGAGTCCGACCCCGACCACAACACCGGTACCCCTCGCGAGCGGCACTCGAGACGATTGCGAGAACTACATCCTCGGCGATTTGTACCAGCAGAATCTCGAAAATTCTTATTTGATCTCGAACTGCCATCTAGCGGCAGAAGTCATGGGTGTGACGTTGGAGGACCTCGAGACGTGGAACACAGGTGAGCGATAGTCCACAACCCCGTGAGCTGTGGAAAGAATGCGAGACGTGAATAACACTGATGCGTCCTCCCCATAGATCTCGGGAATGCGTCCGATCCTTCGTGCGCTTTCGAGGCAGGCTTGAGATACTGTGGGAAATACTACGAGGGGGATCAGCCTGATGCGGCAGACCCCGTCTCTCAACTCCCCGTCAGGGTAAGCCGTATCTTGGCGAACGGAGACGTCAGCATTCGGCACGCTAACATGGGCTTCGCTAGGATGGAATGACACCTAATTGCACAGAGATCGTCGAGGTGGCAAGTACCGACGGCATGACTTGCACAGAAATCCTGTCGGTGTATGGTATCACGATCGAGCAATTCTTTGCTTGGAACCCTAGCGTCGGTGCGGATTGCTTGGGCATGTGGGCAGGTGAGTGTGACCATCCGCCCTCTTTCTGTGCCCGAGCACCTGCTCTAAAACAATGACGGAACTGACTCGTATTGACATGTTCATCACAGGTTACCAATACTGCGTGGCTACGAGTGATGAGCAGCCGACACCTACCAGGACCTCGACCTCGTCGTCGACGGTCAAGCCGACCGGGCCACCTGGGCCGACGCAGACTGGACAGCCCGCTAACTGCAACAAATGGCACATTGCCGTTGGTAAGTTTTACTGCATCCCGTGCTCAAAAGCAAAGAAAAAAAACAAGGACTGACAGCATAGCAGACGGAGATGACTGTGGCGTTCTCGAGAGGGAGTACAGCATCACGCACGCGCAATTCCTGTCGTGGAATCCGGCCGTGTCGGAGGACTGCGTCAACGGTTTCTGGGGAGGTGCGTAAACGTGCTTGGCAGCGCGCAAGTCCCAGGTCCCCCATTCGTGGCCACCTTCACTGACACGCTTTGACCTGTAGATTACGCGTACTGCGTTGGCGTAAGCGGCGGCGCGTCCAGCACGAGCTCGACGATAACGACGCCGCCGACGACGACGCCGACGAAGGTGCCGATCCCCGATCCGCACCAGGACGGCATCGTGGAAAACTGCAACAAGTTCGCGCAGGCACAGGACGGCGACTGGTGCGCGCTCTTCGCAGAGCGCCACAGCATTAGCCCCGACGACCTGTACCTCTGGAACACAGTTCTGGGCTCAGGGGGCGCCAATTGCAACACCATGTTCTGGAAAGACACTTGGTACTGTATAGGCGTTGCCTGAGTTGGGAACTTGTTGGGTTGGAGCCGATCGCGAGAAAGCGATTACGGTGGCAGCAGTGGGGGTGGTAGTTGACTATTAATTGATGCCTAAGATGGATCATCGAGAGGAAGAAAATGAAACAATACTCATACACGTATCCTGACGCAGTGCATGTGACCGAAGCTTACCTAATCAAGATTTGGGATTATGCGGCTTACCTAAGCTACCGCTTAAAAGGGTATTATGCACAAAACAATAAACCTAAAGACTTTTTTTTTTGGCTCTCTGTACTCTGCGATCGCGCTACACAATCCCGGCCTTATTTTTCTTAGAAGTCCTGCTGCCGCTGAAGACCGTAGTGCTGAACATCGCTTCAAGGAGAATGGTCCCGAGCTCATTACAGGCAGACGGTTCGAGGATCTTGGATTCCAGATACGAGCCGGTTTAAGTCTTGCTACCGGAGGTCCGCGACGTGTTGTCAACAAATTTTCTCGACTTCCGTGGGAGCTGTTCAGTTAAGATTAAGTTCGAGTATTTATCCCGTACGGATCAGGCCTCATATGCTAATACACTATAAGTCGTTACCACGTAGCTCTCTAGAGCGACGTTGGGCGCAATAGGTTGCGTACAGAGAGCAATGGAATGCGGGTGAGAAGGTGTGTATTGACTGACAAGAAAAGAAGAGGAGCTACTCAAGAGCGAGGGGAGAACTACGGATATATATAGAAGCGATCAACCAGCTGGGGTGAGCTAGGTAGCTCTCCACTAGAAGCGTATGGCTACGTGACAGTATTCCTTAAGTTTCCAGCGTGGCACATCGTTTTCGTCTTGGAGGAGTTAGGCTGATTCTAGTTTTTCGTATGGAGAGGTCCTTTTAAGATGCTAAACTGTGGCCATGTTCCATTTAGGAGTTGTTACATTTAAATACCGGTTTTGATTAAATGGATATATAGCCGGCAGGCCTTGAATTTGCTCTGCTTCGAGATTTTTACTGCGTTGAAGAGCATGCTGAGGCGAAGACGTTGTTCAGTTTAAACGACAAAGTCACGTTGACAGATATGGGAACCATGTGCTATAACGTAATAATAATAACGGAAATGACCTGCAAGTGCAAAATCAATAATGGCGCTGCAGTGGTCTCGAGGCAGGCTTCCCATCAACTCTCGGCGTAATCTCATGCTTGAAACCAACCCAAGCTCCTTGGATTTAAACTGTCGGAATTGTCCCACACCCATTCAATTAACTCAGCAGAGGCGATATCATTCAATCCTTTAATCTCCTTCATGGAGTCCCCCGCATCGACTCCCGGGGCATCATTCAAAGGTATATCTCAGCCGACGCATTTCTTTCCCTCTTTCCTCGTGCCGGCCCGGCACTCTTACTGGTACTGACGGTAAGAATTGCCATAATCTGCCCCTCAAGGTTGAACACAGAAGACCCCAAGTCTCCTCCGCTGGATAATTACAACCGGTTACCGGGCGTTTCGCGTAGCTAGCTCTTAGCAACGGATTGTGGGATAGGCTGCGCACAGAGGGAGCAAGGGAATGTAGATGAGAAAAGGTAAACTAACTGACAGGTAGGGAAATAAATTAAAGAGAGCGAGCGAAGCCAGTTGAGATAGATATGCGTGTGTGTGTGCTCAACCACCCTAGGTAAGCTAGGTTGCTCTCCACGTAGGTGTGGCTCTTGGTGAAGATGGAGCTACTAGAGGCGTGTGCCTACGCAACAGGGTGGTATAGTAATAAATTTCCAAGCGTATGGACATAACTCTTTTAAGTATATAATAAGGTTCCTATTAGCTAATCGTTTTAGCTTAGCTACTTCCTCCTACTCTGCCTCTCCTATCATATGCGGTGTCGCGGGAAGGAGATGCAGTCCTATGATAGGACTGAGAGAATAATGCCAAAGGATGAGTAGGAGGATATATACGAAGTTTCTAAAGTAAACCGAATTCTAGCGCTATTAAATCGGGAAAGCTTCAGCTCTGCAGTTGAGTGGACATAGTTTACCGGCCTTCTACGCACTGGGGTAGATCAGCTGGCGTCATCCTCTACACACTTCGTAATATGGCGCTCTACTGCCCCAAAGCGCGGGGCAAAGGTCTCCCCTTCTCTTCGGATCGAGAACGAGTCGTGTACTGGGACGTTACCACCCTTTTTGGCCCAGCCACTCCCCATAGCGTTTGTTTTTTTTGTGGTCGATCCAGAATTTCTTTCCGAGAAACACCTGGTGCTACGTAGCAATTGAACCAGACCTTATAGGCCTACATACGTAAGTTCGTTCCTTGACCAGTCTGAGTAGCTCCACGAGCACGAGTTGCTCCTTGTTCAGTCTGGGTAGCCCCACGCCCACGGACGGATCTATGGCCACGAGCTCTAGCGCAATGGGACGGAGTCGTAGAGGCGACTCGAGCGACCGAAGTCGCGAACCAGAGCCGAAGCTTCCGCAGTAGCTTGTCCACGGAGTCACTCAGCGGCTGGGGCCAAGGCGGACCCTGGACGCAACTCGGGGTGGTATGTGTCAAGGAGCTCGCGAAGCCCCATTCTCAATCGGTAGTCCTGCTCGCATCTCCTTTGTTCATTTCCTTCTGTCGCGTAAAACGTAGACGCCTACATTCACGCTTTGCGGTATGTAGGCTTATATAGGCTGGTTCAATTGCTACGTGACACCTTCCTAGTTAGCTAGTCAATCAGTTCAACTTCTTCAACCCACACTCCATTGCTCCCACAACAGAGCCACCTCAGTCCCGCACGTAGCTCCACCCATCTACGTGATACCTGGCCTATCAACTCATATCGTCCCAAGGATGAGCATTGGCCGGTAAACTCTTGAAAAGAAAACTTGGGAGGTTTTAAGTCGGAAGCCTCATATATTCGCTCCTGCTCCTCGGTCGGTCTTACTCCCTCGGCCGTGGGACTGCATCTCCTTCTTGGGAGACATGGAGTCTCAGTAACCTCTGTTGCGTTATATCAGTGTTACAAGCTCCACTAAAGCAGTCTGGAGGTAATGGTGGCCTCCTCATATTTCTACCCCCACCAACAGGCCGGCCGTTTTGAGTATCGTACGACATGGCAGGAGATGGAGATGGCCTAGTCCCCGGGCAGTCTATTCGTATCGGCCTCGATGAGGAGCGCAATTGGTATCGAGTCCTGTGGAGAATCTGTTGTAAGACCAAGGTAAATGGGGAACGAGTGTTCGGTGCGTATGGAAGTTTGAGACAGGGAAAACGGACTCCCATACAATAACAATGGCGTTCATAAGGCCGCCAAAGGTACTACTGCCCGGGGAGGTAAAGGCCTTTGACTCAGTGAGGCGTCCCGAGTTTTCTCCTAGTTCGTCGTTCGAGCTTTACCCATACTTGGTGCCTTCTTCTAGCTACTAGTCTCGGGCTGCCCGCATGATCGTTGAAAAGTTTATGGTGCAGACGTTAATCGTAGTAAGTGCAAGTAGGAGGTGAGATAGCCGGCCTGGTTATCCTTAACCCACGTGTCAACCACCCGGAGCCGAGCCCCTTCCTCGTCCTAGATACGCTGCATCCGTAACGTGATCATGGCCGGTAGGCAGGAGGCAGGAACTCCGTCCGACAGGGGTAGCCACAAACGCAGCCGGGCTAATCCTCCCGTCATGACGACGGCGGACAGGCCCTTACCATCGTGCTCCGAATCCTTAGCCGGATAGTTAGCCGTATTGGGCGGCAGCGGCAGAAGGTTTCGTAAGAGAAGGGCGGTCGGAAGTTCTAAAGGGCTCGGGCCTTCGGAATACCAATCTCAGGCAGGTCGGTAGTGAGCGGGAACGGTGTGTACGCGCTGTTAGGGAACTCGTTGACCGAAAAATCAAGTGGAAGCACCGCCAGAACTCCAAATGACTAATAAGAAGCGGACCGTGTCTTTCTGAGATTGGCGAAAGCGCTATCCGGAATGGCATCGCAAAGCCGCAGATTAATAGCACCCATCCCGGCCGTGGCACGTCGCCAATCATGTTCGGGAAGCTAAACGTTCTTCCGCTCGCCCATCCTCCAAACGAAATATTTTGTCTTGGTAACGATGTCGTTTCCGTACCCCAGGTCATTCGGGGCTTACTGCAGCCGCTACTAAGAGTCGAAGATGAGGCTAGAAACCTTTGTATCGAGCCCACAGAACCCCAAGGTCTCTCGGGAACTGAGAACTTCCGTGATATCGACTGCCTCTCAGCTAAGGTGGCTGTGAAACGTGCTTGTTGAGATGGCCAGCTCTCTAGTCCCCGAGTAGGAATACAAGACCTTTCAGGCCTCTGAGCCTTGTCAGTTAAGAATTCTTCCTGCTCGTCGAGAATGGACGACTTGCCAGTAGCTTTGGCCCGGGTCTGTTTCGCGCTAGCGAGACTGTCTCGGTCTGAGTCCTCGCGAGTGTCGACCGTTACCGACCGTGCATCAGGACGACAAATCCTCAGGGCCTCCGGCTCCGGCGGGCCCCGTAGTCGGCGTTACCAGAGACTTAATAACTTCGGCATGTAAACAATTAGGAGTGGCAGACACGGAGCTAATGGAGGTGGTGTTCACTCTGGAACCTTAAAGTCGTGTTAGATTGTATGACAGTATGACAGTTGCCTAGTTGATGATGGTTGGGAGGAAGCCCCGGGGGGAAGCTCGGGGGGGGGGGGGGGGGGGGGGGGGGTTCATGATGGCTACGATGGTGGTCAATATGGCTGTGCCGGCAGGGAAGCCAGATGAAGTGGTAAGATTCTGATGCCACAACCGTTTACGTCTCGGGCGCGTTGTGATACTAGGACAGAATAACTGAATTAGTAGGAACCAAAAAACGGTCGACCGCAACGTAGGTGGGAAAGCCACGATATGATAGGAAGCAATGAGAAGAGACGAAAGCGAAGCAGGAACTTGAACTTGATGGAGGAAATTTTGGTCTACAGATCTTCAAGAAGGTTTCCCCTTCTATCTCCCCCTTCTATCTCCTTTTTGGAGTTGAATCTAGGATGGGTAACCCGAAGAGCCCCTCTCCCCCAACTGAATGCTCCCTATACCCGTGGCAGGTGGGATGACAGATCCCGACGACGCGACGACGGAAGAATCCCGAAGTCGCGACCGGCCTTTGCCACTCCAGCCCGAGTTTGCAAGCTGCTGACCCACCAGACTGGTCATATCCACGCATGTGCTCTCGTCATTTGTCGTAATCGGTTATTCAGCTAGAGCGGTGGTTACGCAGCTGCCCAACCCATCCCCTTCCTCCCCTCTCCGGCTCTATCAGCCTGTCGGTGATCCCCGCCAATGTGCGAGGACCGCGCGAACACGAAGCTGCTCTACGAATCCAACTCTAGATATGGACGATGAATAGGTATACACGTCTTCACGTTCACCGAAAGGGCCCATTGTGCTACAAGCGAATTGCGTACAGGAACAATTGCTAGGTACTTTTACCTATATACCAGTACTAATAGCGCGACAATGGCTCGTGGCACGCTCTCCTCGTGCTTTCCCACCCCTCTTTATCAGGGTAAATAATATTATTAGCCAGTCGCATTTCCATCCATGGGAATGCCTTTATGCCTTTAGATGTTAAGTTCGTTTAACCGCGTGTACGGTATATATATATATATTTATATATGTTCTGCAGAGTCTAGCACGGGAAACCGAACAGAACTTCCTCCTAGCGAGCGAGGCTACGGGTAGTAAAGAGAGATCTCGAGAGTACGTTAGACGTTGGGTTAATACGCTGGCTTGTTTAACGGTGAAGCCGTCTTTTATTGTGCCAGGAGCAATTACTACAAGCACTACAATTACTACAATTATTGCAATTATCATTGCTACCTACTAGCTAAATACAACGGCCGCTGCTGTTGTCGTGGTGCTTCTTATGCCTAAGTTCAGTTAGTGTTTCCGTTGCTCCATGGTTTGCCGCTGGCATGGTTTACAGTATACGCTGTCGGCAGGCCAAAAGAGGGCGATTCTATGCTGGGTAACGGTCGCCTACGAGGAATACGACATACCTACTTGCATAAACGACAGAGCCAAATTCGTGGACAACGCGACAAGCAGGTACCTTAGGTACCGGTACGATGACAAGGTACGGATAAGCCTGCGTATGCGTGCCAATACTACATATGACGTCAGTAGGGCAGTTCCCGACGTTCGGGAAATGCACAACTCCAGTTCCTCATCCCTGTAGTTGCACCTGAGAATGCCCGAGCTCAGATGCTTCCGGATCTAAGCGCTCCAGGGTGGGACGCTATCTCCAGACTAACCCCGTAATCTCCACCACTACGCAAGCCCACCCCGGAGAGCGTCACGGAGGTGAGATCCGTCATGACGCGTCGTCGTGGGTTACAGTCGTGGTGGCCGCCGGCCGCGGATCGAGATGTGGCTACACAAGCGCAGATCGCGGCTCATAAGTAGCCCCGACCTTTTTTCTATGGCGCATGAACGGCACGGCATGTCAATATCTATTACCTACCTACGCATGGCAACGATGTTTCGCCCATTCACGAGATAAGCGTATCACACAACGTAGGTATACCCAAAACTCCAGCGCTACAGAAACGGCTATGGGCTTCGGGACGGGCTAGAGATAGGTCAACGCGAAACAGGCGTGCAGCAGTGACAAGTCAATCGGCAGGCAACTTGATTGAGAATCTGAGGAGCCTCATGAGGGCTCAACTCCAACATGATATAGACACTATACATAACGACTAGTTACCCTCGTTTATATGTGGTATGAGGTCTATATCTGCCAAAAGGTAGGTAGCGGCTTCTTCACGACCACAACGTCTACCCCTAGAATCCGTGTCCCGTCTTCGCAGGCGCGAATAATCTTGCGGGACGCCGACCTAGCTGTGAGATTCGCAGCTCACCAGCCGTACTCGACGAGCTCCTCGGCCTGGAGCTTGCCGTACAGGTCCTCCGGCTTGCCCTCGATGGCGGCCCTGACGATGTTGGCCGCGCCCTGGCTCGGCTCCTTGACGCCTCGGTTTCCCGTGAACTGGGTCTTGGTGTGGCCGGGCGCGACGGCGACGACGGTGATGTTCTCCGGCTTGAGCCGCGATGCGTCGACGGCCGTCAGCATGTTGAGCGCCGCCTTGCTGCTGCGGTACTCGGGCGCCGGCAGGCTGGCCGCGTTGTATATCGTGTCGGTGGCCAGTGCGACGCCGATCTGGCCCAGACCCGTCGTCACGTTGACCACCCGGCGATCCTGGTAGGGGGAGGCGCGCAGCAGCGGCAAGAAGGTCTCCGTCAACACGGCGACGCCGAAGACGTTGACGTCGAAGACGAACTGGTAGTTCTCCCGCAGGCCAGGCTTGCGCACGGGAATCTGGCCGTTGACGCCGGCCGAGTTGATCAGGATGTCCAGGTGGCCGAACTTCTCCTTCACCAAGTCTCTCGCCGCCTCGATGCTAGCGTCGTCAGTGACGTCTAGCACCACCGGCGTAAGCGCCGAAGTGTCCACGTCGGCATTTTCCGACTTGAGCTTGGCGATGGCCTCCTCGCCCTTGGCGACCGATCGGCTACCGAGTATCACATGGTACTTCCCCGTGTCAGCTAGGATTTTGGCCGTGGCATAGCCGAGGCCCTGGTTGGCGCCCGTGATGAGAATAAGGGGCTTGTTGCTAGAAGAAGGCATCCCGAGCTGGTAATCAGGTGGTAAAGTAGAGGCGGATATTTCTTATGAAGGCTACTGAGCCAAGCGAAGATCAAGATAAAGCTGGTTGGTTGGGCTGATTGAAGTATGCCAGATACCAACTCGTGGGGTTTGGCGCGAGAAAAGGTCCTTATGTAGGCGGTGGTGGTGGATGTCGGTTTTATGCTAACTCCAGACAGGCAAGCGCCGATGCAGTCTGCCACAACTCCGTCCAAACTCCAGCTTTGCGCGATCAACGCAGCAAATTGGCACGCGGCGCGGGCCAAGCTCTGGATGGCTGTGACAGGATGCATCGATGCGACAAGCCGTATCCTTTAGGTAGGTCCTACGTAGGGCAGCCGTCACATGGAAAAACAAGGCAACTGGATGCAAGGGATCCCTACTGGGGGTAGTACCAGGCATCGATTTGATGTTAATACGGAATTCAAGACGATCTGAGTAACCGAATTGGCACCAGTGAGACGATGTCAGCTCCCACCGACTTAGATGGCTTCTTCTTCCCCACCAGCCGCTGTCCGGTCACCGAGACTCGAAGGAATTCGCTTTCCCGTGCCGTTCGGCGTTGGAAGCCCGACTGGATCCCACGAAATATGGCTGGGCCCTTTTTCGCGAGGGCCGCGCAGGTTAGCACTGCATATACATAGGTGTGCAGCGCGTACAACGTCAATTATAAAAAAAACCACCAGATACCGAATCCCTATCCAGAGCGCAACTCCTCACACACAAGTACCAAGCGGACTGATTTAATTCGAAGAGTACATCGTTATGGGTTCTATAGCGTATCCAAAGTCGACGGGGTCGACCACCCCGGCGTGGGAGACCTTGTCTCAAATACTGCCTCGTCGCGATGCCGCTAAGAATTACTGGTGGGATCTAACCGGCCTACACCTGGCCATCTTGGTGCACGAGGCCGGCTATTCGCTAGCTAAGCAGTACGAAGCGCTTCTGTTTCACTACCACTGGACCGTATGTTTAGAACCACCCCCTCTCTTTCCCCCTCCCTCGTTTCCCCGCCCCTTTACTACTTCGCTTGACAATGTTGGAAGGACTAACATTATGAGCAGGTCCCGTATTTTGGGCCAGGACCAGGACCGAAAGGCGGCCCGGCTGTGTGGACGTCCCTCCTGGGCCCAGATGGCTCACCCATAGAATATTCGTGGAAGTGGAACGGGGCCAAGGGCGGCCACCCTGCGATACGCTACAGTATCGAACCCATCAGTGAGGCGGCGGGTTCAACCGTAGATCCTCTGAACCAACAAGCAGCAACGGAGATGATCCATCGACTAGCGGCGCAGGTTCCCGGAGTCGACCTTAAATGGACCGATCACTTCTTAGCCACTCTGTTCGACCACGACAAGTCCAAGTATGCACAGGAGGCTGCCGAGGGCGCTCATTACACCACGACCTTCATGCTAGCCGCCGAGTTCGACGATTCCGGCCTTTCGTTTAAGTCTTATTTCATCCCCCGCAAACTCGGCCAGCCCAAGGGCTTGATACCTTTGCCTCTATGGAAGGAGTCGCTAGCCCAGCTTCAACCCAAGAATAACGCCCGCGACCTCGTTTACGACTTCGTCGAGACGAGCGCAGAAGGCAAAAAGCTAGTTCCTATGTGAGTAACGCCCCGCGCAGCTATTTATACCCGCGACAGCGGTCCATGATAATTCACCGGGTGAGATTACTGATCGCGTCGAGAATAGGATCCTGGCCGTCGACACGGTCGACACTTCCAAGTCGCGGCTGAAGTTCTACTTCCAGACGGCGAGCACGAGCTTCGCGTCGGCCCGCGAGATCATGACGGCGGGCGGGCGCGTGCCGCTGTCGGCGGCGCAGCTGGAGGAGCTCCGGAGCCTGATCGGGGCGGTGACGGGCACGCCGGACGACTTCCCAGAGGATGCGCACGTGGAGCGGACGCGCAACTACAACCCGGCGGCGGTGGACAACTTCGTCGAGCTACCGGAGCTGCTGTCGGGCTACATCTACTACTTCGACATGGCGCCGACCAGCGCGCGGCCCGACGTCAAGCTGTACGTGCCCACGCGCCACGTCGGGCCCGACGACCTCAGCGTCGCCCGCGCCCTGATCGCCTGGCTGGAGAAGCGCGGCCGCGCCGCCTACGGCCAGCAGTACATGAACATGCTCGAGGGCATGGCCGCCCACCGCCGCCTCGACCAGGGCAAGGGCCTCCAGACCTACATCGGCATCATGTTCAAGAAGAATGGAGACCTCGACGTCACGTCCTACCTCGGCGCCGAGGCCTTTGACCCCATGCGCGTCGCGAGCGCGATAAGGGGTCCGGCGAGGCCGCCCAGGTATTCACCAGGCTTCGATTAAGGGTTGGGAATCCGGTGGAAAGTGTCAAAGCTGATGTATATGTATATGTTGAACAGAGACTCCCTGTCAAAATATCGCGCGAGGGCCGCAGGTTAACTCTCGTGCTGTTCTCTGGGTCTCCCAAGCGGTAGTCGCAGTTAGGAGCAGTCCTCGCTTCAATGACTTCATTTACAAGTTATTGGTTCTTAACTAGGCGTGGGGGTTAACCTTCTCGTGATTAACGACAAATAGAACTTCTGCCGTTCAAGCATCTCGGCGATATCACAGTTATTAAGCGAACCGAGAGACATTTAGGCACCCTGAGAGGGGGTAGTAGGCGTATGAGTCGTCGTCAAGATCACAAGGATTGAAATAGAAAGGAGTAATATTAGATAGTAATACTCAAGTAATTACTCTAACTCGGTTGTGACTGGGTGTGAATGCAACGGTATTGCAATGATGATGCGCTGGAATACACCCGTAGTGGCTACGAATTGGACTCGAATCGTCGGGCAGAAAAGGGGTTGCTAAATCTTCATGCACCACTTTCCCACATGGATAATATTCTGATTAACGGTAAACGCAGCGAAATACTTCATTCTCGGACCCTTTTCAACTCGGGATCTCAGGATAGTAGTAGTCAAACACATGTATCTGTCCGGCTTCATATCAAAATCCTATGTCTCGGAAATAAATGTACTTAAGTTGTCATGCCTGACCCCTTATCAAAGGGTATTCGGGGTGGGTTGCGCTAATTTCGACGAACTGAAGAGACAGGCAACTAAGTTTGCAATTCACTTTTATTGTTGGTATTCATAGCTATGTCTTGGGGCTATCTATCCCTTTTCTTTCCCGGCCATATACAACCCGAGACCTAATGAGACACGTCGGCATAATCCCCTGCCAGATCACCAAGGTACTCTTCGATCAGCTCGCCGTTAACCTTGTACGGCTCTACATCGAGCAGTACGAAGAGCATGCGCCCCGAGCGAGTCTCGTCGAGGTTCTTCCACTTGTGCATGCAGCCTCTGTTGACGCCTGTTTTACACACAATTAGTCACTGTGTGCTTTTCCTGTCTGCAATAATCTCGACAATAGATACCTAGGTGGAGGACTTACTCATGTCTCCCGGTAACATAACCTTGCTCTCGCCCGAGTCGAGAGAAAGCAGGAATTTGCCCTCGACTACGATGCCGTAATCGATAGACATAGCGCGGTGGATCGGCGACTCCATACCAGGAGCGAAGTCGATCAGGCGGGCAACACTCCCACCAGGCACGTGGATAGCCGGCTGCGACACAGGGTAAGTACAGGTTACCATTGAGTATTAGGGTGGGTTGAACGCAGAAAGCGCGTCAATCGCAAGCACCAAACTTCGGGTAGGCCTACTTCGTTGTCCCTAGCAAAGATCAAGTCCTTGTCGTCGTTCATGTCCACCTTCTCCCCCTTGGTGCTGTAAATGATGTTGGCCACGGCCTGGCCTTGCACCATGATGCGGTGGTGGTCACCATCATCGTCGACAATGAAGACTCCCTTCCCCTCCTTATTGTGAGAGGTGATGAAACGACGTGAGGGACGGAGGTCGTCGGCGGGGAACTTGGTGATGGGACCTTGGGGGGCGGACATCTTGGCTAGATTAGGTATTGGTATTCTCGTTAACAAAATGACTAGCTTGGTACTGCCCGTAACGATTTCTAGTAGGCATCACACCATATCGAAGGCTCTTTTAAGGCCAACTAGAAGACGATGGGAGCGGATCTGGGGCTCCGCAACGAGCCGGAGAATGCGCTAGTCGCCTTCTGGGCTTCGCGATGGACCGATCGGGAAATTCGGGAACTGCGGGAAATCGGGGAGACAGGGGTAGACAGATCCAGGCCCGCCGACGCATCCTCCCCGGTCCTCATCACGGACGGGGCAACGGGGGGGGACTGGGATCGCCCAATGCCACCCATGTCCCTGCAGCTGCCCCATCGAAGCGCCATGGCGCTGAGACGGGCTATCTGCTGAGATAAGACGAGGTTGACACAGGTCTTCTTTCGCATCCTGCGCCCAGTAAACGATGTCATTGCGTCTGCATGTCAGACCTAGCCAAGGTCCAGCAGATCACCGCAACTGCAATTGAGCAGGCTGTCGGTAGGGTCTTTTGTCTTTAAGCATTGGCGATAGGGTTGTCGGACCGTTCCGTGACTCGCGTCGTCTACAAAGCACATCAATCTTGGCCAAAGCGCTAGGTATATCTTATTTATTTCTTGTGAACAGGGGTCTGTCTGCGCCAATCTCTGACGCCATTGCTGTAGTGTCTCACTTCTGCTATGTAAATACCCAACCCCATTAGTGCCAAATGCAACGCCATCCTTCCTGTTAACGCCCTGGGGTGTCCATAATTCAAGCGCCCGTAATTTGGCTCACTGTTCTCCCCCCATAGGTTGCCGTGTCTTTTAAGTGAGACTTCCCTGGGTCCCAACTATTTCCCGAATCCCCGGGCACGTCTGCTCCAATAGGATGACAAGTTCTCGCCATACCTTGGCCTGGGCTAGGCTTCCTTCGGTGCTCCTGACGAAGGGAGAGAGCGCAGACCTGGCCTCGAGTGAGCAGATGAGAAATGGCATGGCATGAATGCTGCCAAGGGATCGATTCTGTAAAGGGGGGGGTGTCGAGGAGGGGACATAGCGTGAACAAGACCGGGAGAAGCGATAGGAAGGCGGGACATTGGGGATGATAACACGTAGCGGGGGTAACATACTCTTGAACTTCACCGTCATTTAGATACATGCCGTGATTCTCCTTTCCCTTGGTAATGGCCGCTACAAGAACACGGCCACCCACCTCGGTTGTCCGGGCCACGGCTTTAGCGAGCAACCAGAACGCGAAGCCGTGGAATCCCACGGCGTCATTGAGGAGACCGGAGACGCAATAGCCGGGAGTTAAGGAATTAACTACGACGCGGCCGGCGCCGGCATCATCGCCACCTTGTTTGTCCAGTGCATCTGCCAAGGCTCGTGCAAGCAAGATCTGCAGCAGTTTAGACGTATAGTAACTGTTGAGAGGACGTTCATGTTAGTGGAGCTCGCATGGGAGACAGAAATAGAAATCGTTAGGTAGCACTGCATCCGATTGCGTACCGTTCGTTCATGTTCGTCTTCGCCTTGTTGTCCAAGGTCTCAAACGTATTCTGCGTTTTCCATTCCGGCAGATTGACCAGGACGTGGCGATCCGAGGCCACGAAGCTGACGCGCGGCGTGATGTTCCATTTCCGGGCCGATGACTTGAGTGCCGGCACCAGCAGAATGGCCAGCAGGAACGTATTGATGACGTTGGTAGTCATCGTGCGCTCGTGACCGTCGGCGAGCTCGAAGAACTGGGTGTACATGCCGGCGTTGAGGATGACAGCGTCGACTCGGTCCAAGGCACGTATCTCGGCCGCGAACTTCTCGACCGAGACATGACTTTCCATGTCTAGTTCGTAGACGCTTACCACGCCCGTACGCCCGGTGGAGGCTTCGAGCTCAGAAGCTGCTGCCTTTCCCTTCTCCGGTGACCGCACAGCGAGGATGACGGAGGCGGCATTGAGGTGCAGAAGGTGACGGGCGGCCTCGAGGCCGATCCCCCTATTCCCGCCCGTGATTATGACCGTCTGGCCGGTGAAATCGTGGTTGGGTACCGGAGGCTCTATGAAGAGCTGCGAGTACAGGAACGATGGCACTGACATGATTATCAAACCCGCGCCTGCAGTGGAGAGGATATACCCTAGAAAAAGAGCCCCTTATTACCCGGTAGAGAGAGTCGCTCGATTCGCGGCCACGAGTTTTCTTAGATGGTAAAAGATACCGACTTTCTATCTTCTAGTTTTGCCCACATACCACAACCGTCTATTATTGCCAAAAAATGGGAGCCTCAAGCCAGCTTCCCCTCAATTAAGCCACAACCCTTAGCTCAACCCTTGGCTCAACTAACAGATGACCAAGTCTCGCCGAAGCGCTAGTAAATATTATGATCGGGGGTCATAAGGCGAAGTACGCAGTAGTGCACAGGACGCCGCCTCGAGGTTTCTAGCCAATGGGCAGGTCTCGGGGGACGATTCCCGATCTACCCCGAGACCCGGGCCCGGGCGAGGCCAGATTCCCGGCCATAGTCCTAACGATCGATTGAGCAACAAGCCATCGCACGACATCGAATGATGGTTTTTGGTTCACATTACGGTAGAAAGTACAGAAAACAGAGCCGTGAGACCTGCTTTGGTGAATATCTACTCTGGCTCTGGGCCTCTGTCATCTTTTTGTTAGGTGTCTACGCGCAAACCTACGTGACGACTGCAAAGGATTTGGAGCTGTGACCACGCGTAGAGTGGCCGCAGTCAACTATCTTTGCACCGTCAAAATGGATTCGCTAAAAGAAAATTTGTCGAAATTGGAGTTATCGAAAATTGATTTGTCAAAATTGGATATCTCTACCACAGTTTACTACGTTGTCGCGGCGGTAGTGCTCGGGTTGGCGTTGGGAATTATTCCCCTGCCTGGTGTTCGACAGAAAGGCCTACCTCCTGGTGCGTATCACGAGAGCAGCGCAGAGGATATGAGAATCATCTTGCTAACGATGACTTAGGACCGCCGACGATACCTTTTCTTGGGAATACTCACCTACTACCTAGGAGAGGCATCCATCTCTGGTTTGTCCCCAGCCCCCCTTCCCCTCCCCTCTCCCCCTCTCCCTTTCTCCCCTTAAAAAAGAACAATAATCAGAAGACGGGTAGTCACTTACCACAGAGTCAAGGTTCACGGAATGCGCAAGAAAATATGGCCCGGTTTTCTCCTTGAAGATCGGTTCCAGCAACATGGTCATCTTGACTTCGGGCCACCATGTGACCCAGCTCTTCGATAAGCGTTCGCTGTATTACAGCAACCGGCCGCCTTCATACATAATTGGGGAGAAGGTGTTCGGCAACGATCACCCCATGTTTATGGATGCTGGTGACCGATGGAGGCACCGTAGAAAGCTCTACTTCCAACTCTTGCAGGAGCTGAAGTGCAACAAGGATCATGTCCGCATCATCCAAGCCGAGACCGCACAGTTGTTACGCGATATCTGTCTCGAACCTGCGGGGCTGATGTTGCACCCGGGTCGATTCAGCAACAGTGTCATCATGACTTTAGGTGAGCTGCGCCCCTGATCGGCGAACATCAACGCGAGACTTCAGGCTAAACTGTACATGCATACGCAGTGTTCGGTATACGCACCCCTAGATACGATACCTCGCACTACCTGAAGGTACAGAAGATCATGACAGACCTCAGCTCGCTTGGCGAGATCGGTTCTACGCCGCCGGTAGACGTGATGCCGATTCTCAGGTATCTTCCCGAGCGGCTCTGGGGCAACTGGAAATCCAATGCCGAAGCTCTGAGGAAAGATGTCCAAAATACGTACGGCGCGCTTGTCGACCAGGTTCTGGAGCGGCGCAAGACTATCGGAAGTCTGGATACCTTCGTTGACCGTTTATACGACAACCAGGCGAAGCCGCCGCTGACTCGACACGAAATTGAGATTATGTGCGGCAACCTCCTAGAAGGCGGCACCGATACCATGGCTACGACGGTTCTTACGTTCCTCCAGGCAGTCGCACGGAACCCAGAGATTCAGGCCGAAGCCCAGAGGGAAATCGATTCTGTGACGGGTTCAGGAAGGACGCCGGCCTGGAGCGACTACGAGAAGCTCCCGTACGTTAACATGGTGGTCAAAGAAGTGCTGCGATGGCGGCCACCCGCGCCGGGTGCTTTCCCTCACCTACTCGCCAAAGGTGTGTATAATACCTATAGCCGACCGCCAAGGTGATGGTGGCGCCCGTCTCATAGGCAGCAGAACTAACGGCTGGCAGATGATGTTATCGACGGCATGAAGATCCCGGCCAAGTCGACGGTCATCGTCAACATCTGGGGCGTGCATCACGACCCGGCCCGCTACAAGGCGCCCGAAGTCTTCGACCCGTCACGGTTCCGGGGCAAGACGGAGCCGGCGTCGGTGTATGCCAACTCGGGCGACTACGAGAACCGGGACCACTTTGCGTTCGGCACGGGGCGACGCATCTGCCCAGGCATCCACCTGGCAGAGCGCGGCCTCTTCGTCGCCATCGCCAAGATCCTCTGGGGCTTCAACGTGGCGCCGAAGCTCGACGCCAACGGCCAGCCAATCCCCATCGACATCAGCCCCGTCACCGGCTACCGCGATGGCTTCCTGAACCAGTGCAAGAACTTCGAGGTCGACGTAACCGTCCGGTCGGAGGCGCATCGCGCCACGATCATGGCCGAGGCTACGCGCGCTGAGGTGGAAGTATTCGGCTCGTACATGTAATTCTTTGAGCTCTAATATCGCTACGGCAAAATTGGCACAGAAAACATTGCCCTCGAAGGGAGTGGCATTGACTTGAACCCCCACTATAGAAAAGCCTACGCAGATACCATATTACAGGCCCGCAGAATTCTCACTGTGTGTTTACTGTGTATTGAGAGCTATAAGGCGTAGATATAACCCGCACTGTATTGAGCCACTATACATACCCTTGCTATCCCAGTTCCTCGCAGTGACGTTACTTTCACGGCCTTGCCCCCTGGGTAGGCAGATCTATAGTGACTTGGCGTAAGCCGCCATTAGGAGATATTATTGATAACGTCCCTCCTTTTCCCCTGATCTTTCTACGCATGCAGACAGTCCCCTGTGTTGCCGACTGTAGATGGATAGACTGCGGAAATTCCACAGTTACTAAACCCTCTTACAGGGTCTACCGGTACTTTTGGATTCTGTTTAACATAAATCACGTAGGTATTTGCGGTATTAATTGCTGATGGTAACTTATTGTCTCGTGAATTTATACATCCATGAGTCTAACTATCACATAGGTATGAATCTCGCTATTAGGCTTCAATTTAGTTACCTAGTCCCATATTGGTGGCGATGTCGACAAAACGGCAGCCTAAATTTTCATTGCCTAGACAAATATACCCAGTCTTTGGCGAAGGATTTCCGCCATCTCTTGGCGAGGCTTAAGGGGCGGCCCGTTTCTCTAGTCAAGCCAATAGACACGAGTAGATTCACCGTTTAGGTACCTCTGCGGGCTCTCGGCGAAGCACTGCGGCGAAGCACCGGAGGTAGCTAACAAGCCTGCACTTGCAACGTCGTGCCGCCATCCACGATCCACCCGACCCCTGTAACGTAGCTCGATCTGGGGCTTGTCATGAACAGGACCACGTCTGCGATCTCCTCCGGCTTCGCTATCCTAGCCATGGGAATCACCGTTTTCATCATCTTGGGCAGTTCGGGGTTCCCCTCCATCGCGGCGTCCACCATGGGCGTTTCCACCCACCCTGGACAGATTGCATTCACGCGGATGCCGTACGCGGCATTGTCCAGCGCTGTGGGAATTCCCTGGCCGTTAGCCTAGTTCTCACCGCGAGCGGATTGGGGGGAGGGGAGGAGTAGCGGGAAGGTAGACGAACCGGCATTCTTCGTCAACCCCATGACGGCGTGCTTCGTAGTCGTGTACTGTACGATGTGGGGCGTCGCCATGTACGAGTTGCAGGACCCGATGTTGAGGATGACGCCGCGGCCGACCTCGCGCACGCGGCCGGTCCTCGTGACGACGGTGGCGACGTCCTGGACCTTCATGACCTTGGTGACGGCCTGGATGCAGTTGAAGCTGCCCATGACGTTGACGCGCCAGAAGCGCTCCATCTCGGCCGCGTCGGCGTCGTCGACCGGCAGGTGGCGCTGCACGCCGACGCCCGCGCTGTTGACGAGGTAGTCGATGCGCCCGAACGCGTCCACCGCCGACCGCACCATCGCGTCCACGCTCTCCCGGCTGCCCACGTCGACGGCCACCGCCAGCGCCTTGAACCCCTCGCGCGACCCCGCCGCCGCCTCGCACTCGCGCGCCGTCTCCTGCGCCGCCTCGAGACGCAGGTCCGCGACGACGACTCCGCGAGCACCCTCGGCCGCGTAGGCCAGCGCGCACTCACGGCCGATGCCGCTGCCTATTTAGTAGGTTAGGGATAGGCCTTACCGATCGCCTCGCATCGCGAATTGCTTACCTGCACCCGTCACCAGCGCCACGCCGTTGATGTGGAGGGACATCCTTGCCGGGGTGGTCTATCCGTCCTGGCTAGAGTCTTTTCGCCGATTCCGTGTTGCCGGATTCACTGAAGTCTTGATTTTCACTTTGTAGCAGTCTGTCTGAACACTGGTTAGCTAGCTATCGATGTGAGACACGATATCACGCCAAACGCTACTTACTCTTTAAAACAGACGCCTAGCGAAATTAACCACGCTCAAAATGGGACGGGAATGTGATTCGACCCTATGGGTGTCTATAGCGTCGCACCCATGATCTTCCTCCTTTTCCTGAGCAGTGCGCGTAGGAACGTAGGTATCCAATGTTGAAGCCAAGATTGCATCCCGTAGGATTCGCCGATTCTCGTAGTTATACGTTCACCGCATTGCTTATGCCTATGCTGGGTTTCCCGATGCTGCGCGACGGTAGGACATGCTGTCACCGACTCGTAATACCGACAAATACGTAACCGCCCCCGGGACTGCTGGGACACTGAGCCCGTATAGATGGCGAGCAACAGGCATCCGCATACTTGGGCAGGCCGCTGATGGGTCTGGGTTTAGGGGCCGGGAACCCGTCAAGGTGGACCCCGGTCAGCCGGTGATACGCTGCCGAACTCGCAAGATGGACCTAGTAATCCCGCATGCGCCGACTCGCAGCCGCCGTCGCCTGCTGTCCCCGACACCGCGCAACCCCGTCCCCGTCACACCGCAGACACCGAAGCTCGCGTCATCCTTGTATTTGACTATTCCTACAGTTGTCCGACGGCTTTGCGTGTCACCGCGCTGGCTCTACGTGCGGAGAGCATTGTGCTACGTACTTCTCTCGGAGCGCTCGCGCCCGCTGGTTAAGCCACATGTGGATGCATTCGCACGCCATAACGAAAGCGGAATTACTGCCGCCCCCTCCCTTGCTGCCTCCAATGATGCTGTTGAGGCTGTTGCTGCCGCCGCCGATGCTCGAGATATGCGCTTGTAGATCATCGTGATTGTCTCCCTCCCCTCTCGTCTGCGCCCCCGCAGCCCTCATCCTAGTTACAGACTCGCCAAGCGACTCTAGAATCTTCTCCAGCTTCCGAAATTGGAGCAGCCATAGATGCTGTTTCATGTGCTCCATCTCCTCGTGGTCGAATTGCATACTCCCCCACAGGAGTGGCGGCGACGGGGCGGCCGAATGCGGGCGAGAAGGCCGCGGTATCAGTACTGTGCCCTGCCCATCGGGTCGGGCCAGCGCTAGAGCTGTCTCGAACCCCTGAATGATGCGGAATAATAGAATGCCAATCGTAACTATAAGACACAGAAAGACTTACGTTAGCGATCTACCACCTGCAACCTCGCGTCACGGGCCCTATTCGACGTGTCATCGACTATGGAGTCGATGGCAGGGGAGGGCAATGTGTAGGTAGGCAGGTCTTAGGGGGAAACGTTCCGCGGTGTTGGGGAACGCCATAGGGGTTAAGGAATGGCCGTACCAGTAACGAGTTCGTCTTTAGATTGGCACGCGCACTTTATACAGTCCTCGGAAAGCTTAGTCGCCTTCCTCAAGCGTGATAGCTGCACGTCAAAGGACGGCTGCTCACCTAGCCACGCGGACTGTAACATGTGGAGCGACCCGACCAGCCGGGACGCGCAACTGCACCTCACGCGGTGATTCGACGGACATATATCCTTGCCCTTATCCGGACTTAACAACCGTCTACCGTCGGGGTATATGGAGGGCCAGGGCCAGGACTCGTCGGGCAGCTCGGCCGCGGTAGTTAATGAGGCTGTAGTGTTCGGGTGGCCTGCATCAAATCCTCGTGAGGAAGATGAAAGGGAGGAGAGCCGCCGCGGCTGGCCGATCAGTTCTTGGTCTTGGGGTAAATTCAAGTGGCTTCCCGTGGGGAACAGGAGAGAGTTCCTCTCCACGTAGTCCGCCGCCGCCGATGCCGCCGCGGCGCCCTCATAATCCAGGCTCCGAAAGTACAGCATATTAGGATGTGCAAAAGAGCAGTCGGCATAGATCCCCGCGTGCGCTTCCGCGCCGTTCAAGGTGCCGTCGCCGGCGGAAGACGGAAATAGCCGAGATAGGGTCGGACTTAGAAATGATAGGTTGGCGTTGCTGAACGAGGAAGCATTCGGCGGCGCCACTTGGTGGTATGACTCCCCGACCCGAGCGGCCGACCTGTGACTCCGGCGCGACAGCCCGTAGATGCACTGGATGCCGTTCTTCTCACATCGCCCGCAGGTAGGCTTCGCCTGACTGCACCGCACCTTTGACTCGCTACAGGCGTCGCACGCCGCTCTTAGCTTGGCGGGTCTGCCATCGACGAATCCTGCCATGGTCGACGACGATGGTCCTGGGAGGAAAAGGTCACTAGGGTCTTCTGCTGTCTTTACATGGCCAGTAGGATAGTCACGGTGTGCCGCAGTCCTGCGTAATGCATGTCACGTGCGGGTGTTTTACACTATCTCAGAATAGGCACTATATAGGTATGTATGTCGCTTAATAACACCTCACAACCCTTCATCAATCCTTCATAAGGGTATCCTGCCATTTCGGATGTTTTATTATCTCGGATAATTTTTATCTCCAAGCTAATAAAGGCCCACTAATTCCTCCTCGCTCGATAACGACGCGCTGACATGGCCTTTACCTAAGTACGCGTCGCTTCAAGCTTCTTCAAGTTGAACTCTCTGGAAAACATCCAATCCTAGATGTCGCCACGTGTCAGCACCGCCGTCTTACTCACCCTCAGTCCTACTCGGCGCTTTTGCCGGCCGCACAATAGCCAGACAGAGTTGAGGATATTTTTGGGGGAGGGGGAAGGGGGGATTACTCACCCAGAATGTCCTTGGCAGAAGCATGTCGCCATATCTCACGATAAACGTCCTCGCTCCCGTCCAGAACCAGACACTGGGGTTCGGCTTGATTACCTCCGCCACGACAGAGCGCGCATAGACCTCGGGTGGAGTGGTGTCTTTTCTCCCATCAAGCCGTCAGCGTACGCGCCAAGCCAGGATGCGCTCGGTAGTAGGACTTGGCTGGACTTACGCGGTGTCCGCCCCACGTGGTTCGCAAATTCCTCGCTTAGCGGGCTGTAGAAGGAGTCGGCCGGCAACGTCCTCCCCTTGTCGCGCTTTAGGATGTTGGTCGACACTTCGCCCGATATGATGTTCACCACCTGGACGCTAGCGGTTGCATGCAACGTCGAGGGTCAGTACATGGGGAGAACCTTAGCCAAAAGAGAGGCCGCTCGGCCGGCGCCTTACCCGAGTGGTTTCATCTCTACTCGTAGGGTGCTGCCCCAGTGGTGTAATGCTGCCTTGCTTGCGTTATAACTGGCTACGGGCGCGAGGGTCTGTCAGCTAGCTCCCTCGGCTCCCTCTCTCAGCCCATTCTAAATGCGAATCACGGACGGGTATGGCAGCAGGGGTTGGGGGTAGGGGTTCAGGAGGATGCGGCTCACATCCATACACATAAGGCACGATTCCGCCAACGCTGCCAATGTTCACTATCTTTCCCCGCCTTTGGATGATCAGGGGGTGGAAGTGGCGGACCATTCGCATTGGCCCGAACAGGTTGACGGCGAACATTTTCTCCACCTCCCTGACGTCTGTGTCGATTCCGGTCATGGTGTAGCCTGCCGCCAATCAGTCACGTCCTGCACTCCGGACCTTGTCTCGGCCTTAGTCATCGTCTCACTTACAGATACCTCTAAGAGGTTCAGAGAAGTCAGTCTATAATCAGCACGTTCCGGCTCTCAGGTTCTCTTCACTAACGCGTTGTTCACCAGGACGTCTAAACCTCCGGGCGAGATCTTGGAGACGTTCTTGACGAGCTGGTCGACGTCGTCGTCCTTTGTCACGTCCGCGGTGAAGACATGAATCCCATGCTCCGTGAGATGCTCTCGAGATTCGTGAGCTAGAAGTGTGGTGATGACCGTGAAACCTTGGTCATAACAGACTTCGTTTCAGCCATTCGGTTTGACAACAGTATAGTTGCTTATAAGAAGTTATGGGCATACCTTGTTTCTGAAACTCCCGAGCTAGTGCGTGTCCGATCCCACCCTCTCCGCAACTAAAGCCCTGGTTAGCATCGATAAGTCAACTACCAGATGCGGCGTAGCTCAGTTACCCTGTGATAAGGACGGAGTGCCGGTCTGGACCCATTGTGTCTGTTTGCAGATTCGGAAGATGAGCGCGATAAAGGAAGGGCGCAATCGAGACTGGGTCCAGGTCGGTAGGTCTGTCTAGCTGTCTAATATGCTTCCAGTAAAACCAGCAACAGGAGGACGATGGGATAAGCTGGTTATGGTGTGGCATGCCTTAGTGCTCCCTAAATCACCAGGATTCGTCGCTCCTCCGGGGGGGTACTTGGGCAACTCGGCACCCTGACAGGTGGTTTCTGTCTTTTCTAGTCTTACGGGAACTCCGGTGTCGGCGAATGGCGCATCGGTGATCTCGGCGTTTAGGCGTGTTAAACACCCAAAGTACAGGGGTAAGGCCAGTATAACGTCGCCGAAAGAGCATGCATGGATGACGTCTTCGGATTGACCAGGCCGTCATCCCGCAACTAGAGAATGCCGGAAGGCATACTATGTGCTCTCATCCGGGGATGTATGGCCGCCAACGTGCCGGGCCCTTACCCTCACCGCTCTGGTTTCGGGCACCCGAGGTTGAACTAACTAGATGTGCTTGTGAAGGGCTGTCGGCGCGAAATCCCGTATGTAAAGAGCATGTTCGAATTCTTAAGTGAATTAGACATGCTCTTGAGGTTAATAGATCACAAGAGTCGCAGTTTCGAGAGGAAACAGCGCTCACCTTTTCCTAGTGGTTAGTGAGACGAAGTGAGGAAACGACCTGCGAGGCTTCTTCTGTATCTACCACGCAAACCTTTCAAGATGGCGCCGATGATGTTATCCCCTGACGACAGCTCAGGGTCCCCAAGCTCACCTGGGGCCTCTGCTGCTCATACCCCACGATCTACTACACAGACACCACGTCAGGCAGAGCCTATCGCGATTTGCGGAATCGGTAAGCGTCTTCACGTATGGTTAGCCATACTTTAAAGACACCGGGCGACTAACCACTTTGGAACTTCCAGCTTGTCGTCTTCCGGGGGACTCGTCAACTCCCGCAGAGTTCTGGAAACTCCTTTCTCAAGGCCGATCCGCTGCGTGCGCCGTGCCGAATTCAAGGTTCAACGTTGATGGCTTCTACCACCCTAAGGGCATGGACCGACCCGGGAGCATGGTGACAAAGGGGGGATATTTTCTTGGCGACGATATCCGAGAATTCGAGAATAGCTTCTTTGGTATTAACAACCTCGAGGCGACGTATATGGATCCTCAACAACGGAAGCTACTTGAGGTGGTTTTTGAATGCCTCGAGAATGCCGGTGTTCCCCTTGAAAGGGCCTCTGGATCCAACACGGGCTGTTACGTGGGGAATTTTACATTTGACTACATGGTGATGCAGACAAAAGAATCCGAATAGTAAGTCGGAGCACTCCCAACCCCGTAGCCTTTAATCCCCCCCAAGACAGCATATTGATATCCCTGATAGCATGAACCGGTACTCTGCAACTGGCTTAGGAACAACTATCCTCTCAAACCGTATTAGCCACGTTTTCAACCTGCTAGGTCCAAGGTGCGTCATTTTCTTCCTGGACTCCTGTGGTTTGGTCTCGAATCACCCGTATGGCGCGGCTTACACGGTGTTTTATATCACAGCCTCGTTTTGGACACAGCCTGTTCCTCCTCCTTATACTGCCTCCACGTTGCCTGCGCGGCACTAGAAAACTACGAGTGCGACTCTGCCATCGTCGCCGGTGCCAACCTCATCCAATCCGCAGAACAACACATCGCCACAATGAAGGCCGGCGTCCTGTCGCCGACTTCCCAGTGCCACACATTCGATATTTCCGCCGACGGCTACGGCAGGGGAGAAGGGATAGGCGCCTTATACGTTAAAAGGCTCAGCGACGCACTGAGGGACGGAGACCCCATCCGCAGTGTAATAAAGAGCTCCGCGATCAATGCGTAAGCGCCATTCCATCCTGCCCTGACGGTCGCTTCTGCAAGTATCAGCGTGGCTAACTACATGAGTGCAGCAACGGCAAGACGACAGGTATCAGCCTTCCCAGTGCTGACGGCCAGGAAGCTGTGATTCGCAAGGCGATGGCTAAGGGCGGTGTGGATCCCCAGGACATCACATACATTGAGTGCCACGGAACGGGAACCAAGGTCGGTGATGCCATCGAGGTAGACGCCTTGGCTCGAGTTTTCGACCGTACAGCGCAACGTCCCCTCATGATCGGCTCCGTGAAGACCAACGTAGGACACTCCGAGGCGGCCAGCGGGATTGCGGGAGTCGTGAAGGCCACACTTTCCCTTGAGAAAGGACTGATCCCACCGACAGCCGGGCTCAAGAATATTAACCCAAAGTTAAAGGTCGAAGAGCGTAATTTCTCGATTCCTACGACTCTGACACCATGGCCGGAAGATTCCCAGGGGCCACGTCGTGTTGGTAAGTCGCAGCAACCTCACCATCTGTATACTTCTCCTAAACACTACTGAATGTCCCGCTACCTAACATAGCCAACGATTTACTGATTATACTTAGGTATAAATTCCTTCGGCTATGGGGGTGCCAATGCCCACGTTATCTTGGAGGAGGCTCCCACTTCTAAGGCCACTTCGATCCATGACGAGGCACGACAGTTGTTGGTATCCCAGTCATCGGTGGTTCTTCCGTTGTCAGCAGCGACTGTGGCCTCTCTGGAAGCTCGTATCGAGGACTTTTCAAATTTCGACTTCGGTAATATAGACATCTTAGACCTTGCGCACACCTTGGGATCCCGGCGAAGCAATCTTCCCGTGCGGGGGTTCCTTGTTGCGCCCCGCGCCCGGGATATAGCAGAGTCTTTCGCCTCCAGTACCCTCGTCACGAATAACGGGCCTTTCGACGCTGGGGCGGCCGCTTTGCGGGCATTTATATTCACGGGCCAAGGATCGCAGTGGGCAGGAATGTGTCGCGAGCTATTCTCGGAGTTCTCCATCTTCCGCCACGCCATCTCGGAGATGACGGCGGTGCTCAAGTCGATCCCTCACGGACCATCCTGGACGCTGCAAGACGTGATCCTGGATACGGCTGACCCCCAGGCTATTAACGACCCTCGTATCTCCCAGCCTTGCTGTACAGCTATCCAAGTAGCTCTACTGCAACTACTCGCTTCTTGGGGAATCTACCCTAATGTCACTGCTGGTCATTCGTCTGGTGAGATCGCTGCGGCCTTTGCAGCCGGATTTCTGTCTGCGGCAGAGTCCATCGTCATAGCCTATTATCGTGGCTACTGCGTCGCGAAGAACGGACAGGCTGGGGCGATGATGGCCGTCGGCCTCCCTGCATCGGCAGCCGAGGCTGAAATCATGGCTTCAGGGTTGAGTGAGCAAGCACGGGTGGCTTGTGTAAATTCAACCGAAGGCGTCACCATGTCGGGCGATGCGGAAGCCATTGACAAGCTTTTGGAATCGTTACAAAATAAGAAGATCTTTGCCCGCAAGCTGAAAACCGGCGGCCAGGCCTATCACTCTCACCACATGCTTGCGTTCGGCGACGAATACGAGGCTCTGCTGGACCGAGTCTTGCCCACCCTCGATCACTCCATCCGCATGCCTGCGGGCGAGGTAGTGATGGTGTCTTCGGTGACTGGCGACATCAAAGCTTCGGGCTTCACGGCGAGATACTGGCGGCAAAACCTCGAGAGTCAGGTTCTTTTTGCCGATGCGATCAAGCGGATCCACGAACTTGGCCAGTACTTCTTCATCGAGCTAGGTCCGCACTCCTCACTTGAACTCCCTATTAAGCAGACTCTCGCCAGCGTAGGGGTTCCCGGGTCGCAGGTGAAATACGCAGCACCTATCAAGAGAGGAATAAATGCAGTCCAGACGGCGTTAAATGTCCCCGGTGCGCTGTGGCTTAACGGCTACCCTATTGACTGGTCGAGGGTCAATGGGCTTCAGGCAGGCTGGAAATCCTCCAAGGGACCGTGGAGCGTGGTGACTGACTTGCCACGCTACCGGTTCGACTACGATAAGACTCTATGGAGCGAGTCTCGTCAGAGCCTGGAATACAGGCAGCGCAAGCACCTGCGCCATGAACTCCTAGGGTCCCTGGTGCCCGGAGGAAGTGGTAATGACTACATCTTCCGAAATATCATCAAGCCGGACGATGTGTGCTGGATCGGCGACCACCGTCTCGAGGAGACCATCGTGTTTGCTGGTGCTGGCTACTTGTGCATGGCCATGGAGGCTCTGAGGCAGGTCACGGACACCGACATATCAACTGAGCCCTCTTACCGCTTCTCTAACGTCCACATCATGAACGCGCTCGTCTTGAGCACAGATCCATCGGCCCAGGTCGAAATTTTCACCTCGCTACATCGATCAGACATTACTAACGTAAAAACCTCCTCGACCTGGTGGGAGTTTACCATCTCTACGTACCAGGGAACCACTGCTGTTACCCATACGAAAGGGTCCATCTCCATCACGCCAAGCAAGGCGCCATTGGAATCCAAGTACCAGGCCCCAGAGGGCGTGCTCGAAGCTACTGCCAAGCGCACATGGTATAAACAGTTCGTTAGATCGGGCTTGAACTATGGGCCTCGCTTCCAGCCCATCTCCGAGTACCAGACGCCGCGTATGAAATCCTCCCCCTACGCTAGTGCTAAGACACCGCTGCAAACCACGAACGGTGATCCCTTATCCGTGTATCCCATTCATCCCATCACCCTCGACGCCATGATACAACTATGCATCGTGGCGACGGCCAACGGGGTGCCCAAGGACCTTCGTGCCCAGGTCCCTACCAAGTTCTCCTCTATCACCGTGAATTCGGTGGTTGCCGGCTCGGAAAAAGATTGCCGGATAAACGCAATAGCGCACAAGACGGGCTTCGAATCTGCCGAAGGCGCTGCGGAGGTTGTCACCCAGAACGGAGAAGTCGTGGCCCAGTTCGAGGGTCTCAGGCTAGCCGTCTATGCTTCTGGTGCTCAGTCGTGGGATGAGGAGAAGCGGCACCCGATACTCCGGACACTATGGAAGCCAGACGTGTACGGCCTGGGATTGATCTCGCGCGATGCCCTCGAGCAATACGCGCAGCGATTCGCTGACGAGGCCAACTCGCCCGTCAAGGACGATGGCCTGCTTAAGCTCGGCGCGGTATTGGACCTGCTCGTCCACAAGAGCCCGAGGTGTCGAATCCTCGAGCTAGGGAATAGCGCGCATGAGTTTACCCTGGCAGTATTAGATCTGTTTTCTTCCAAGGATGATTTCAGGAAGCTTGTCTCGTATCACACTGCTGCCTTCCAGGAGAACGGCGCTTTGACCGGCGGTCCTGTCGACTTGAAGACAGGGCAGCGTGCCGAGGACCTCACGACCTTAGAGCCGGGTACTTTCGACCTTGTCATGATTCCCGGCCTCTCCTCGTGGACTAAGCAACAGACGGACGCCGTTAAAGAAATTCTAGCAAAGAATGCGGTAGTAGTCGGCCTTGCGCGGGATACCTCATTCGACACCATCCCCGCAAACGGCTTCAACTGCGTATCGTTTCCCGTATCTCAGGGACAGGCGACGGTCTTCGTTGCCCAGCAGCCCGGTAGCCCTCCTGCTCCTCCTAAGAATCATCGATATGTGATTGTGGAGCGCAAGAAGACGCGGCTCGGCTCCGCGTTGGCGGACAGGCTTCGACCATTGCAAGGCTACTGGGTCTCGCGCGTGAACTTGCGAGACCTGGTGTCTGAACACATCCCGAGTGGCAGCACCGTCTTCAATCTCTGCGAGGTCGAGACGCCACTACTGGCCACGACCACGGACGACGAGATGTCGGGAGTAAAAGTGATGACGGACAAGGCCGGAACCCTAATCTGGGTAACGGGCGGAAATATCCTCCACGGAGACAAGCCTGAGTTTGCGCTTGCCGCTGGCATGTCAAGAGCTATCACGTTAGAGCAGCCGGCGCTGAAGTTCTACACGTACGATATCGACCAATCTGAGGAGAATGTGCAGGTGACGGCCGAGCGTCTGGTACAGACCTTGTCTCAGCAAAGCAGGGTCCCGGACCGAGAGTTCGTTCAGCGGAAGGGTGTCGTTCACGTCAGTCGCTTCATACCTGATGACGGGCTCAACACCAAGTTTCGTGGGAAGCAAGGACTCGAAGTCCAAACCATGTTGCTAGAAGAAGCTGAGGATGTGCGCCTCGACATTCAGCGTGCTGGCCAGTTCGATACTCTCTTCTTCCGACAGACGGAACCAGCGCCTCTCAACCCTACCGAGGTGCGATTGAAGGTGGCCTCAGTTGGGTTGAATGCTAAGGACTTCTACGTCTTGGCCGGAAGGGTCGACACTCCGAAGGCGACTTGCCAGCTCGAGTGCGCTGGAACCATTGTGCAGGTAGGATCTGCCGTCACCGAATTTGCGGCTGGAGATCGCGTGGTTGTGATGGCTCCGACGCACTTTCAGACATACCAGACAGTACCGCAGTGGGCGTGCCAAAAGCTCCAAGACGACGAGAGCTTCGACGTCGCCGCCACCCTTCTACTTGTGTACGCGACCGCAATCTATGCCCTGCGTTACCGAGCGAACGTGCAGAAGGGCGAGTCTATCCTAGTCCATTCCGGAGCTGGTGGATTGGGCATCGCGATTATCCAGCTAGCCAAGTTGGCTGGTGCTAAGGTAAGAGATCTCAGCGGTTTGAAGAGCGAGACGGAGAAGGGGGGGGAGGGGTAGGATCATCGCTAATACCATGTGCCTAGGTTTTCGCGACTGTATCCACGGAGGAAAAGAAGAGTTATCTTGTAGACAACCACGGCGTTGATCCTTCCTGCATTTTCAGCTCCCGAGACACATCCTTCCTTGACGGTATCATGAAGGCGACGGGTGGTCGTGGCGTGGACGTTATCGTCAACTCGCTCACCGGTGACCAACTACACGCAACCTGGCGGTGCGCAGCTCCGTTTGGCCGCTTTGTGGAGGTAGGCAAGCTGGATCTCTCGACGGCCGGCAGACTCGACATGGACCAGTTCTTGAAGAATACGACCTTCACGAGCTTCGATCTCAGCGCCCTCTACGCCGAAGGCCTCAAAGACGGTGGCGAAGCTATGCGCACTATCTGGGGCCAGCTGACCTCAGAGGTCATGTCGCTTTACCGCCAGGGCAAGATCAGCGCATTCGAACCACTACGCGTTTTCGACGTGTCCGAAGCCGCGCAGGCATTCCGCCACTTCTCCTCGCGCAGCCGTATAGGCAAGATCGCCATCAATCTAGAGAAGGCCGAGTCTACCATTGCCGTGCAGCCTCTTAAGAACACAACGCGCTTGAGCGGCGACAAGTCCTACGTCATGATCGGCTGTCTGGGCGGCCTCGGACGGACGCTCTCGCGGTGGATGCTACAGCGTGGCGCCCGCAAATTCGCTTTCCTTGGGCGCACCGGAACGGACAAGCTGGCAGCGCGTAATCTGATCCAAGATCTTGAAGCTCACGGGGCCGAGTGCGTCGTTGTCCGGGGCGATGTATGCAATCCCAAGGACGTTGAGGCTGTGGTGGAAGCCGCTGAAGGAGAAATTGGCGGTGTGATCCAGGCTGCCATGGGCCTTAATGTGAGTTTTATCTTCATCACCACGCTCCCCCCCTTTCCCCCCCCCTTTTTTTTTGCACGATCCTGCATTCATTCGAGTCGAACACCATGCTAACCCATATACAGGAGGCCATCTTCTCAATGATGCCTAACAAGCATTGGCACACGGGCATCGACCCCAAGGTTCAAGGCACTTGGAACCTGTACAACGCGCTGCGTGCCTCTGGGCGCGACAAGAATCTTGACTTCTTCATCATGACTTCTTCCGTCTCGGGTAGCGTAGGTACTGCGACCGAGTCTAACTACTGTGCGGCAAATCACTTCCTTGACGCGTTCGCGCGACACCTACGGAGTCGACCGGAGTCTCCCGTCCCCGGCGCTTTCGCGCTGGGTTTGGGCATGATATCCGAGGTGGGCTACCTGCACGACAACCCCGAGATCGAGGCCCTTCTCCTGCGCAAGGGTATCCAAGCTATAGATGCGGACGAGCTCGTACAGATTGTCGACCTCACCTTATCTTCCTGTTCACGACTCGCTCCCGTCACCGCGAGACGGTCGGCGCACCACGGCGAGATGGGTATACATCACGCATACGACGAATTCGCCGCCTCACACGTGCTTACCGGGATGGAGGCTTTCGGCCTCAAGGAGCTGCGCAAGAAGGGATTCGACGGCACGAACTTGGCGTGGGACGACCCGCGGGCGGGGCTGCTCGCCAACGCGCTGGACGGGGACAAGGGGCTGGGGGTTCAGCAGCAGCACGAGGGCAACGACCGCGTGCCCGCCGAGGTGGTGAAGCTGATGCAGGAGTCGCAGCCGCCCAAGTCGCTAGACGACGCGCTGCTCGACCACATCCGGGGCCGCTTCGGCAACCTCATCCTGATGAAGTTCGAGGCGGTCGACACCCGCAAGCCGCTCGCGGACTACGGCATGGACAGCATGATCGCCGCCGAGTTCAAGACGTGGTTCTACCAGAACATGGCCGTCGACATCCCGCTGCTGACGCTGCTCGACAAGACGAGCAATCTCGAAACGCTGCGCGGCCTCGCGCTCGCGAAGCTGCAGAGCACCGACGACGAATGAGAGTACGACTACAAGGGACGCGAAACTGGTTTCGACATCTAGATGGATGCCATAGAATATGTAACGATAGGCAATGTAGTTTTCAATTTCAGCTTATTTCTCTTATCGTGGCACTATCGTAGTAAAGCACGTACTTGTCGGTACTCCTCAACGAGGCTCCCCAGGCTCTGGGGGCCCAGCGTAAGTAACTGCTCAAAGCTAGACCATGGTTCTATAATGCAATCCGTAGAGCAACCAACGTTTCTTACATTTATATGCGGGAACAATGCTCACAAAGCATCGACCCCTGATATGTTTTCCCTCCGTATGTTTACGTCTGGCCCGCGATCCCAACACGACCCCGAGCTTCGTGACAACCGCAAACCCGGACGTGAGAAACTCTAAACACACTACGGATGCCAAAAGCTACTTCAGCTTCCGCCGGCGGAGATGGGACTAGTACAGGGTCTCCCATTCCAACAGCGCGCCACCGATCGCGTCTTTGCAGCGATCAATAGGGTCACATTACCGCGGCACGAAGTCTCTCCTCTACGTGAACCTGTATTCGTCCAGTCTACATTTCGCCTCACGGCAACAGGTAAGGCAACCAACTCGCACAAAAACGAAATATTACAGTTCTAGCATAGCAGCGTTCTCGTGATTCTAGTATATCGCTACCCCAGACCCAGCGGTCGGTACATGTGAGTCTCGAGACACGATAATAAACAGCAACGCAGCCCCGATCCCAGGGGGGCCGACGCGTTACAGCCCGGCGCCACTACCGAACCCGGTTCGAGCGTGCGCGGACCGCGCGATGCCAGCCCGCCGCCAGCAGCGCGCCTTAGTCGGGCAGCTGGGGCTGCTCGTCGCCCCAGACGAGGCCCTTGGGGACCTCGCGCCACTGCATGGCGGGGTCGAGGAGGGCAGCGACCTGGGCCCACTCCTCGCGGACGCGGCGGGCCCTGGCGGGGGTGCGGGGGGCGATGTCGGCGGGGAAGGGCTTGGGCATGGCGAGGATGCCGTCGACGAGGGCGTCCATGTCGGGGACGAGCTCGCGGCCGGTAGCCGGGTCGATCGCGCGGCGGAAGTCGAAGGCCCACAGCAGCCGCGACAGCGCCAGGAAGATGGACCGGTCAGCGATGTGCATGCCCTGGCAGCGCCGCCGCCCCGCCCCGAACCCGAAGTGGTCGCGCTGCGTCGCGTCCGGGTTGTTCGCCGCCGCCATCGACGACTGCTGGTCGTGGATGTACCGCAGCGGGTCGAACGCCCGCGGGTTCGGGTGCCGCTTCGGGTCGTTGTGGATGCCCCTACGATTTGGTCGGCGTCAGCTGGATGGATAGGCCACGATGACGAGCGCAGGGGGTGGGTAGGCTAGAGGGGGAAGCTGAGCAGGGGGGGGGAACTCGTAAACTCACCAGACGTTCATGATGACGGTCGCGCCCTTCGGGATGTGATACCCCTGGTACGTGTCGTCCTGGGTGACGGCGTGCGGCACACCGAGGAAGAGCCCCGGCATCCAGCGCACGCACTCCTTGGCACAGGCGCGGATGTAGAGCAGGTTCGGCACGTCGTTAAGGTCCGGGATTCGGTCGCCGCAGACGCGGTCGAGCTCCTCCTGGCCGGCCTTAGCCACCTCGGGGAAGATGACCATGGCCTGGATGAAGCCCAGGAGGATGCCCGCCGTGGTCTCGGAGCCGGCCTGCAGGATCTGGCCACTTATGTACGCGGCAAGATCGTCGGAGAGCCCTTCCTGCTTCTGCATTTTGACGATGTCCACGGATATGCAGGGCTGGAGGTTTGGGGGTTTCCGCGTTAGTATACGGCCGGGTGGAATTCTAGCAACGGGTGCGGAGGCGTACCTTGGCGGTGCCGTCGCGAAGTCCTCTCTTCACGTCGAAATAGTAATCCTTGAAGAGCTTCAGCTCCCGCCGGTGCATTTCCCTGGCTTCTTTAATGATTGGCAGCAGGAAGTCCGGTAGCCTTCGGAGGACGGGTATGAGGTCCAGCAAGGCGGCAGTCTGAGAAGATGAACACATTCAGTGCCGTGCGTGAGGGGGAAGGGAGGCTCGCGCTGTTCAACTCACCGGAGACACGATTAGCTCAGAGGTCCGATCGAACGACTAAGAGAGGATTAATTAGAGTACGCCCAAAAAAGAAAACCCTCTTTAGCTGGGAGGCGTACATCAAACGCCTGCTTAATCCTCGGATCGTCCATCGTCACCGTACGGAAGCCAAATGTCATCTGCGTGGTTAAGGAGGCCGAATAGCGACGCAGGTGGTTGATGAAGTCGTTGGGACTCTCCAACAAGCCCATAAGCATGGCCTTGTTTTCGAGATCTTGGTACGGGACATAACTGCGCGCGGCAATGACGTTCAAGATCAGGTGCAGAAGCTTGCGGACCCCTTTCCAAGTCCCGTTGGGCGAGTTTTCCTACGGATCGTTAATCGAGACTTTCCGTACCGGTATCCCGCTCCCGCCAAGAAAAGGAGAGGGGGACGTGGAGTGAAAGGTTAAGAGTTACGGATTGTGTACCATGAACAAGACTCTAAGTCCTCCGCTCAGGACATCTTGAGCAAGGTAGGCTTCCGGCCGCGAAGAGTAGATGGCCCCGCGCTTGTCCACCAGATCCTTAATCACCACGTCGGAGCTAAGCACGATCATGACTTGACTCCCCAGCATGAGCGAGTAAATCGGCCCGTATTCTTCCGCCCATTTTGTGAACTGTATGTGCCGCTTCTCGCTTGGTATCTGATGGATGTTACCAATGAGAGGCAGAGTGGGCGGCCCGGGAGGGTAGTTCTTGGGTCTTTGACCGATACGGCTCAGTTTCCAGAGCACTATGACCACGAAGACGCTGAGGCCCAGGGTCAGGGAGTTAATCCCTCCAAAAAGAACCATGACTCTTTAGTGACGGTGCGCGCTGCAGCCTCGACGGATACGCACGTTAACAAATTAGGAATCCCATCGGCGTCAGTCTGTGGCCTACATGTTGTGGTACACAAATCTAACGGGTTCAGTTAAATATCTACGAAACAGTAAGGGCAGTCCCTGTTTAAAGGCGCCGAGAGAACGAGAACAGGGTATCTCATCCGTATCCAGAAAGGGACATCCATCAGTTATGCGGTCGGTTCAACGACATAGTCGAAATGATAAACCAACAACGCCAGGGCTCACATATCAACATAGCCAGACGCTGTCGGTTTCTCGGCCTTCTTCAGCACAGAATCATACGGCTCTACATACCTGTGTGAACTGACGCCACGTGGGATTCCTCGGCAACAGACGACGTCGGCATTGCAATTCCCACTAGCGGTGAATCTCGGGGAAAGCTATTATAGCGTCGCGCGGCACAGCGAGGGCAGGGATATTTCCCCCCTTGTCTCCCACGGCCTAACCAGTAGGATCGTCTTCTACGCATAGTATGGAATTCCCGGAATACCGAGAGTGTGCTCCACTATCAGCCTGCGCATACCCGACGACAAATTAACGGACGCGCGATGCCTAATTAAGGGGCCAGCTCTTGTCGGTGGTTCGAAGTAAGCATAACCATACTGAGGCTGAGTGCAAGTAGCCACGCCGATCTCTATGTTGCCGCGTATCTCGTAAACCTGCCCGTACACGTAGTTCTGTAGTGAATCACGGGGAGTTGCCAAGCGACACGACGCTGGAAGGATTGCAATGCAATGCTGCAGCGTCAGACTATGGCCTGGCGTGAGGAGGCACATGCTCGCGGCCAGATTACGCCCGAACCCAGGTCGAACAAGACGGCCACGGCCTGTTGCCGTGTTGAGAACTTTCTGTGCACGCAGGGACAAGGCAGGGCGATGGCTAAGCAACAACAAATCGGCTAATATCCTGCCCGTCTCCCTATGTAGTATCCTTGCTCGGCGTTGTGTTGTGACCTTGCGGCAATATCGGTTGGACGCGTTGCTCCCCGCGGCTGAGAGCCACCGTTAGCATGTTCCTCAGGCGGTCATCGTGTCTGGCCGCCTAGTCGACCAGATATTTGTCGTGGATGTAAATGCCTAAGGTCGTATTAGGTGCTGCGGAGGCAACCCGCCTACGGCTGGTAGGAGGGTCGCACGTTCCTGCGTCCGCTTCAAAATAGAACCACGAGGAGGGCGCGTGTGAAACAAGCGAGGCAGGGGATAAGCAGGATTGCCATGCGACTCCAGTGGGCTGGTTCGGGTATCCGGCGAGAGAGAGGGCTTCAGCTGGCGCCCCATCCGATTATCGAACAAGCCTCGTCACTTCATCAGCTGAACCTGGTCGAGCTAGCCATCGACTGAGTTCAGTTGTTATGATGAAGGATCGTGGGAAATGCGCCGCAGCCAGGAGATGGCTCTGCCACGAGGAGGCACCCGTGGAATATTCCCCGGTGAAGGGTCCGTCGGGAAAAACACATATATTCGCGGCATCTCGTCGCGTGTCTTGATAGTTGCGTTTCCCGTTCCTCACAAGCGCCAACCTTCCACGCCTCTTCGAGTTGCTCTATTCAGCCCAGAGCCATGGTTGCCTCTACTTTCGTTCCGTCGCTGATCGCGCTGTCGTCGGCCGCCTCGGCGGTCGCTAGCGTCATTAAGCCGCCGCGCTTCGTCCATGTCGAGCGCCAAGAGGCAGGATGGCCCGGTTTGATCGCTACCTCCGTGATCAACGAGACCTCGTCCAAATTTGCCTCGAAAGTTGCGCGATGGTCCTCCTACGAGGCGCCGACCTTCGACTTCGTCTTCATTCCCGAGACGGAGGCAGAGCTGTCCGCTGGTGTGCGTATTGCCTGTTTCCCGCGCAGGGGGGTGACCAAGGGTTCCTAAGCTGACAAACAACCAGCTTCAATACTTGACGAGCCAGAACATCCCGTTCTTGACCAAGTCGGGTGGCCACGGCTACTCGACCACCCTTCGCCAGATCCAGGATGGTGTCCTGATCAACATGGAGAAGTTCAACTACTCCAGGGTCGACGACGACTTCACCGCCACCATCGGCACCGGTGCCACTTTTAACGACATGGTGTATACCATTGGCACGGCCGGGCGGGAAACAAGTCAGTATAACATCCAAGACAGTCGACGAAGGAGAAGTTAACACCTCGTAGCTGTTGGGTCCTGCCCCTGCGTCGGTGTTACCGGTGCCACTCTCGGCGGTGGCGTCGGACGGTTACAGGGACTACACGGCTTGGCGAGCGATGCCGTCCGCAAGGTCCGCCTGGCGCTTTGGAATGGCACCATCATCGAGGCCTCCGACAACGTTAACGCGGACCTCTTTTGGGGGATACGCGGCGCCGGCCAGAACTTCGGTGTGGTCATCGAGACGACCTTCGAGACGTTCCCAGCCACGAATGGTGGCTTGCACTACGAGGCACAGATGACTTTCAACATCAGCTCCTTGGGGGACGTCATCGACACGTTGAATTCTCTGCTTCCGCTCGATCCGGGCTTGGCGATAGTAACCATCGTTGCGGCGGATCCTGCCACTCTCGAGGTAAGCAACTCTCCGTTACACGGCGGGATCCTGAAGGATGCGCGACGAGCCAGCGGCTAACTCGCTCGTTCTCTGTGTAGCCCGCTCTTTTGGTGAACTTGGTTTTCGCCGGGCCTGAGGCCAAGGGAAAGCAGCTCGCGAAGCCGTTCATCGACCTGAGCACCTCCACCGTCGAGTCACTGCTTACGTGGGTGGACCTGCCGACCAAGGGGGCTGGCGGTTTCAACAATGTGCAGTGCATTAAGGGGCGGCGCAACAGCCTGTACGGGCTGACCCAGAAGGTGATCGACAGAGACTCGGTGCTCGAGATGGCCGAGGACTTCGACGCGCTGGTGCAGGCCAACCCGGCGCTCAGCTCCAGCGCGTTCCTGGTCGAGTCGTTCGGCGTGCAGGCCATCGACGCGCTGCCGGACAATTTCTCAGCCTTCCCCCACCGCGGCCGCCTCGATCACTTCTTCGAGATCCTCGTCTCGTACGAGGACGACGCGGTGGCGCAGGTCGGAAACGACTGGGCCGTGAGCTGGCGCGACCACTTCCGGAAGCCGGAAATCTCCGGCTACGACACGGTGGTGGTGTACCAAAACTACGGCCACGGCGACGAGGCGCCCTCGGTCTTGTACGGATCCGCCAAATGGCGACAGAAGCGCCTGACCTCTCTGAAGAACCGCTTCGATCCTCACAACGTCTTCGGCGCCTACCACCCGATCCCTACGGCGCTCGCCGACTGGTCGTAGGGGATTGCTCTGGTTGTCGTCGATGCCAAGCATCGGTCTGTTAATTTGGATAGTGTAGAATTACCGTCATTTCTTTTTCATCGGGACTGCATACGATACTATTGCGGAGGGGCGCAGCGCTACAAGGCTGACGGAGTGGCGGTATAGGTGGTGGTAATTGTCATAGACATTGTTATTCAACTAGAACCAAATGTGCTTGTTGCGTCAGAGCCTGAGCCACCTGGGAAATACGAGAATTTGGGGGCGAGAACAGGGGCTTTAATCATAAAGGGATACAATCTTATCGATGTCTTGCATCAAAGGCAAATTGTTCAGCCTTAATACTACGTTGTACGGCATTCGGTTAGGTTAGGTACCCAACCTAGGTACCTACCTAGGCAGGTGGGCTAGGTACCAATCGCACTCCATCATGTAGGTACCTAGCTACCCCCTAGGCATCGATATAAGACGCGATAAGTACCCAACTTAGGGTGCGTAATGCACCTGGGTAGCATCCCTGACCTAAACAGGTACCTAAGGTACCTACTCGCGATATGTACGCACCGGAATTCGGAATTAGGGGTTTCTTTTTCCCTGCGGCTGACATAATGCGACCCGATACCACGTAGGTACCTACCACTCAAGCACTTATTGGCTCCCCGCTCCGCGGTCGTCTCCAGTATAAGAGAATCCTGCGCCTCTTCCTCCGTTTCTATCCTCTGCGTGACTGACCTATCCCGTCCCGAGGCCATTGGCCCTCTCGGTCTTGACAGCGGGCGGCTCTCGTCATAGCGCCGATCGTGGACAGCGTTACGGGGGGGGAGGGGGGTGTGGATAAAATTCTCGCAACCAGGCCTGGTTCGATACGCCTCAAGGTACCTGACGTAGAGCTACCTAAGCTGCAAAAAGCGATAGCTTGGGGCCCAGGCGCGGACAAAAGACCCTAGGGGATCTCTCCTCCATGTGCCTACGGCATATAGGGGTGGGACGGGCGGTATCAAAGGGGTACCTAGCGGTGGGCAATGCCGTCGCAGGAACTTGGCGAGGTGCCACGTCGCGTCCACGAACCCTCAGGTAACTTGGAGGCATCCCCAGGGACCTGCCCTCACGGCTTACTATAAGCAGCACCGCTTACTACTATGCATAACCAGACCGTCCCCCGCTTAGCGCTACGATTTTCTTATAAAGCGGGTCGGTGTCGGGATCATGATGCATATGTAATGCCACTTGGCTCGCGTCACGTGATGACAAAAAACTATTCATCTGCCTGTACCTCCGACAGCGATCGGAGGTTTATAGGCTTGGACAACCTCACCGCTATACCCATGTATACTCGCACCCTTCCTACCAGACTTTCCAGCACGTATCCCGTTCTTATCTGACACGCTGTTCGTTCTCCTGTTCTGAGGCTAGGCTTACCCAAATGTTAGTCATCGTATTAGTCAAGCGAGTTACCTAGAGTGTCATTCGCGTCGCCACAATGTGAATCCCGCCCTCCTCCTTCTAGTCCCCCCTCCCGCAGCAGGGTACCGTCGAAATACCCAAGATATCGGGTCTGCGGCCGCAGCCAAGTCCTCTCCGCCCCCTCCTCATCCGGATCCCGTGGCTCTTGGTCCCTGCGTACATACACGAGAAGCGGTGTGCTCCCCGCTCATCAGCCCTAGCGATCGAACTGCATGCACGTATATCCCAACCTTGGCGAGGCCGCGTCGGACGCCGCACTGTGGGCGCGCAGTAAATCCAAAGGGGAGACGCGGCGCGAAATTCGCCTTTTCCTGCTGACCGTTTGTCGATCCAGGTGGGAAGACACACATCCTCGACGTGCTGGAAGGGAACCTTGCAGTTGGCATGGATCCGGATCCCCAAGGTAGGACCGGGCCCAGGTGGCTAGCGCCTGTCAAGAAGTCTCTGCCCAGACGGACCCGGCAATGGATGTGATTATACATATATGACGAGTATCAAGCCCGGGATATACATGGGCCCGCCACGTGCTGTGGTCGCATAGGTGTGATGCTCGCGTTTCGGTTGCTTGGCCGCACTCGTAAACTATTCCTGCGCCTCTAAGGGCATACTAGCACGATCGTAACCCGCCACCCGCTTCCGTGTGTCCAAGCTGGTTAATCTTAGCGCGTAGTCCCTACAAGCCTTGGGACGCTCCGGTCCGCGTTGCTTCGCCCAACACCGCGTCTCGCTTCCATCTACCCATCCTTCCTTCGTCGATGGATTACCTCCTTCGCCGTGGTCTCCGGGGTGGCCAGTGAAATAAATGGAGCGTCCACCGTGTCTTTCGACGAGGCTTCGATTTTCTTGGCTTCATCGCACCCAGCCAAGTTGACGATCCCGGCGTCCAGGGCCATGCTCCACCCTTTCACATAGGTAGTGGGCCTCGACCAACATGGGGTCGGCCATTTAGGAGCGTCGGGCCCGGCTACGAAATTGCTTCCACGACCGTGACCTCTTGCAACCGTGCTCCATACGTCCTAGAGAATCGACCATACTACGTACCTAGTAGGTATATTGGTACACGGATCGCTCAGAGTGACCGCATCCCATACCTACATACCCATCCCTGAACAATCCCGATACGTCGCCGATGGAGTGGGATGAGACGCCCACGGAGCCCTTGCTCTGGCATATACCTAGGTAGTATGCAGGCATATAAGAGTTGGCCTGGTATGTACTGAACGACAAGGGGGGTTCCTGCTGTCGCCATCCTATCCTCCGCCCTGGCTTGGGACGAACAGGTTATCAACCCATCACCGACTTCAGCCCTAGGCGTAGTGATCGGCTTACCAGAGAAATACAGAAGTTCCTATGACGCCAGTCTCGTGTTTACGCACGTAAGCTCAATATAGGAGATACGAAGAAGACTATCGACTGGATGTCGTGGAAATTTCGTCACGTAATAGCTTGGGAGCGGGATATTAACGGGAGAGACAAGGAGTATTGTTGCGTTGAGACGCTGATCCGCTGTTCCACTCCCACCGTGCTTCCTTACACAGAGACAAGGGGGGTTGCGAGTGAAACCATGCCGTACACTACTAAATGGAAACCAGAGTGTTACCTAAGGAGGATGTGTCAACACAGGAATCTGGGTGGGGGGGGGAGGAAGAAGTCCGTATAACTTCAGGGTCTGCCTGTCTTCCGTCGAGTCGAGCCAGGGCTTTCGCCGTCGTGGCCAATCCACCGCTTCAGACATTCTACGCCCTTATCGTGCGGCTGCCGTCCTGCTATACTCATAGACGAGTGCTTGGCCCAAGTGACACATGCATGTCAGCAGCATCCCCGTAGGATTCGGAAGGATTGTAGGCCTACCCGAAACGTGGATGTACGCCAGGTCCAGCACCGTGAACAACCTTGATCCGGCCTTCGGCGCCCCGTGGCGATACGTAGAGAGAGTATGATTGGCTTCGCCCTGCTAGCGAGCTCTCTGCCTGCTGGTGGGAGAAGCGTAAGGGCGCGCAGGCGGCCCGTCCGCGTTCGTGCCCCGTCTGGCAGCGTGGTAGCGCCGAGGCGGACGGATACAATAATAGTCATTGGAGCCTCCGCACCGTCGACAAATCTGGGAGAGCTCTCCTGGTGCTCGCCGAGGCACACACACAATGTCTTTTGTCAACGGCAAGGTGGTCAAGTTCCGCGCGTCCTGCGATGCTTGCAACGAGTCCAAAGTCCGGTGTAGCCAGACGAAACCCCAATGCGGGCGGTGCGCCAAGCAGGGAATCGAGTGCATATACGGCCTGTCGCGACGGAGCCACCGGACCGCCCCACGCGTCGGCGTGTCTCAGTCGGCCCAGGCCCTGCACAGTTTCCTCTCCCGCGACGCTCAGCGGTTTTTCGACACCGCCGCCGCTGTTCCGACCTCTGGGTCCAACGCCAGCTCGTCTTCGGCGTCGACCTGTTCCGCAGCGGGCGGAAGCGGTATGGATAGGGAAAGGCTCGCGGGAGGAGCCGCCGCCGAGGCCGCTTCGCAACTCGCAGCCGCGTTTCGTGAACACGAGGCTGCCGCAACGGCAGCCGAAAGGGACCACCCAAGCTCCGCCGATCTAATTCCGAACTTCGACTTGGCGTTCGATCCGCTGAACGATCTCCCCACGACCTCCAGCCACTTACTCGACCATTCCTTGTCGGCCCCGAGTTTAAGCCCCACGCTTACCGGTGGTGACAGTCACGACGACTTCTTCGGTTCTCTAGTACACGACGAATCGCAGAGCCCCGCCGATGGTCGTTCGTGTAATTGCAATTACCTCGTCGTCAAGCAGTTGCTTTTGCTGCCTCTGCTGTCGGAAGAAGAAAACGGCGCCTTAGATGCCGAGTTCGGGCAATTAAAGCATGCAGTTAATGTCTGCGAGGAATGCATAAGTTGTCCTTGCACGTCCCAGGATGAGATTTCTCTACGTACGAGATAACCCTTACTTCTCCTCCCTCTCCTCTCTGCCACGACTTGTGGGAGAGAAAAAAAAAAGGTCTGTAAGACGAGCACGATTTTAATAATTTGCCTTACAGTAACTACCAGTATACTTATCGGCCGCATTATCGAAGGCTTCGACGCCTTTATGGGGAGGGCCAATCCAGTAATTGGCCCTAGCCACTCCGACACTCCGGGTGGCGCTGGCGATGGAGTCCCGAGGATGTCTTGGGGCGCTCTACAGATCGAGCCGGACGAGGAGGTTGAACTGAAGCAACACATGTGGCTCATACAGCTTCGGAAGCTTCAGAGGGTGATAAAAAAGCTAGGCACAGCAGTCAGCCGGTTGGGAGGCGCTCAGGTAAACGGTAACTCTGCCCACATCATGACCTGCCAATGTATACACATATGGCTAGTGCAGAAGGCAGAGACTTTACAGGAAAGTTATCAAAACGTTAACGGAGCTAAGGAACCATTATCTCGGCAGGCCACGAGCGCCATGGACAAGACAAAACCATAGTTAACATAGAAGACGATTTGGCTAAGGGCTAGGCGTACGTAGCTCTCAGCGGCTTACGATAGATATTAGACTGCGTCATCCCTGGCGGGTTTGATATTGCTAGGGCCGAACCTAGGCAGGGATAAACAGGCCTATACTCATAGATTTAAACACGAAATTAGTTAAGAAGTATTAAATTTTACAAAAAGGACAAGCGGCGGCAGCAGCAGAGAGTATGTTTAGAAAGAACATGTTGCCAAGACCCGAGGATACGATGCTCGCCACTTTCAGTCCATGGAGCGTGTACTGTGTTTGCAGTATTACAGAATATAGGGAAACCAGCTAATCCCGGCCTCGATTCAGGGAAAAAGAAATCTGTATTGGTTTTGGGCTTCCTATCCGGAGTACATACATGCCGTCCATACAGCGACCATCAAGGCGTGGCGCACTTGCGCGTATGCGCCGGCAATTGGGTTTCTGAAAATGCCGGAAACCGTAATCAAATTCAGCCAAGTCTTCGTAAGTGAGCTGAAAATAAGAAACCCTTGTCTGATAAATGGCCCTGTGCCTAGGACCACGGCCGTGACTGCAGTTGTTGGCGATTACCCCTTTTCCCCAGAGTCGATGCCAATGGCCCTCTTGACATCCAATGTACAGGCGCGCATATGTCGGGAAGGGGGACAATCAGTGCTGCCTGTGCCGTAACCTAGGGTCCGTCAATCAATAGTGGTACAATGTGTCGAAAGTCGAGCATCGTTATATGCTTAGGCTGATTGGACAATCCATGATTATCCGTGGGATTCCGAATTGGGGGGATCTGTGATGCAGTGGTAGATCTGTCATCTGTTGGCCGTACGCAACAGATAGCTCAAGAAGGGGCAAAAATGGAACCTTAGCTGCCGGAATCATCTCACCTTACTAGTTGAAGTGCCGCCTTACTCTGCACCCATGTCGAGCTGGATGGGCAGATATAGCTTATCGTTACCGACTTGAAGCCAAGACAATAGCTTTCCTAAGACCCAAATGATGGCAGAACACGCAGTAAAACGAATGGTGGTATGATAGGTGAAAGCGCGCGACGCGCTCTTCTCGGAGTTGGTTATCCAATGAGCCACCAGGAATGCTGCAGTCACCATAAATCCTAGAGAGATACTCTGCGTGGCTATTGAAATCAGAGATTGGTTCCTCTCCTTGCAAGTCTTTCATTGCCACCCCCTAAACTGCAAACTTACCGGTGGAATCCAAGAGGTGCCATGGGCTATAACATTTTGCCCTGGACTGTGTGGAGTTAGTTTTATCGCTGCCCACGGTAGTACGGCCACTACGGAGACCAGGAACTGCCCCCTGTCGCTCCAAGTCTTTGGCAATCATATCCCATTGATGGTGCTGGTGGGAGAATGTGTCGCAAGGCCCAAAGACTAGGGTCTGGATCTCAAGCGTATCGAGGGTTGCGATGTCGGCTTGCTGATCAGCCACCCCAAGCTCACGGGTACTCTCTGGTGCTTCGAGCATTAGCTGTCTCCGGGATGTGCTTTGTTCGTAAGTACTATAAGCATAACCAACGTCGTTAAGATACCAGATACGAGCCTCGGGATACCCTCGAATTTGAAGTGCGTTAATGGGGCACTCAGGTTTCGCTTGTATGTTTCTGAACAACCAAGTTCCAGTTTCGGACCACAAGCTCTGACCGTGACGCTGTTTTCGCAACGTCCTGTGGCGATGGAGGGAATTCTCGACGCCTTCCTGGGGGGAGTGAGTAGGTTGAATACTGTCGAAGAAGGTGGTGATTCTATCTGAGGTTGATGGACTCCATCCATGACTGAACGTTCGAGGGGATCCGGGCTATAATAAAAAGTGTGCATCAGCTCAAGTACAGCAATACATCAACTGATTTGAGATAGGAAGATGCCTTACAGCTGGTTGGACCTGCCATAGCTGATGATATCCTGCAAGATGTTTCTCTAGAACTATCTTGCTGAAGCCTTGGCTGTGCTCCTTCCTTTTCGGGGATGACGCCGTATTAACACTGCTGGCATCTGTTAATTTATAGCTAGTATTGGACTGCGTGTATACACGGGGGTCCTCCGGGATGACCTTGAAGAAACACGGCATGGCCGAAGCCCTAGTGACAGCAGCTTGAAAATCAGCCGGGAATTGGTGGGAGTCGAAGAAGATCCAGTTGAAGGTATCAATGTCGAGGTCGTTCAATCGAGCTTGTACCTGGACCACGCTTGCGATCATATCGTCAAGGTCCAGGCCCTTGGTGATGGTGAAGAAGGCATTGCCAGCCTGTTTATTGCCAAAAAGCTGAAAATGGGCGAACTGCAAACCCCAAGTGGATAGCTGCGCGTAGGGATCGTGGGTTCGTCGGTCCACTTCCCAGGAGGTGAATTCGACGGGGGCACATGGAAGTGCTGCGTCTGATAGGTCTGTGATCTGCTTCTGCTGAGCAGTGTATCTCATGATACCCATCAAGAACCAACCACAGAAGATAATTACAAAGAATACCATGGTCTTGAAAGCAGAGAAGAATCTTGATAGAGCAGAATATAATTAACGGGTAGCATTTCCTTTGGACAGGGACTCCGACATACCTCTTGTTAGCTTGATGGTTTCCTGTGGAGGGGGCATCCAGTGGAGATCCGGCATTAGCTTGAACGCCATCCATGTCGCCCATATCGTTCCTATCGCCTACAGAGGAGGCCGAAGAGGGAGGCAACTCGGGAGTGGTGTCGGTTCGAGAGTTCTCCGTGGTAGATGGTGTCAACTGGGCTTCCTCCTTTCTCTTATCACGGCGCTGCTTCCGTCGGTGGGCGGCTTGTCGAGAGGCACGAGAAGGCATGGCGCCTTTGAGCTGCACACGCAGGATTAGAAGCACTGCACAGAGAGGGGTATCTCAAGACGAGAGAAGCGTGAACGGGCGAGTGTGAGGTGACTCAACCTTGACTGACTATATCTGGCGTTTGTCTGAGGGGACAAGACGAAGAATTGCACAACCGTGACTGCGAGGCCCGTCAGGCAAAGTCACGGAACAAACACTCGGAGGTCTGAGGTGAGTGTGCTGTTTCAGTGTCACTTGACGGACAAATGACGACGAGAATCACGGCCGCAAATGGTTTGTACGCCTAGGGTGAATAGGCTGGGCTCTGGGGTCCAGATGGTTTCGGAAGAGAGGCTCAGGGAGATAGGTAGGTAGGTGCATGGGTATGCGGATGCAGGGATGTTGTTAGGGGTAGGGGACGCGACAAAAGAGGCAGAGAGGTGGCGGAGAGCATGGAAAGAGGGTGTGTGAAAGAGAGAGAGAAAGGAGGGGGGGGGCGGATGGGCTGTGGGCAAGCAGAGGTAGAAAGAGCGGAGGAGGTGTAGACGAGGCCGATAAGGAGAGAAGCAGTGACGCTGTTGCTGTGATGTTGCTGAGGGAAGCCTCGTGAGTGCCATGTGTAGGAGGCAGGCAGGTTACGTACCCGAAGTACTTGAGGTGGTAGATCACAAGATTAGGACACGCCGTACAGACTCGGTACGCCCTAGAAACAGACAGACAGACAGACAGACAGACAGACAGACAGACAGACAGACAGACAGACAGACAGACAGACAGAGAGAGAGAGAGAAGATGGCATAGATGCCCTAGGTACCTCCGGATATACTGCAGCCGTGGCCGTAGCAGTAGCAGTGCCTGAGCTGGTCACCATCCTCGGTCAGGTCCATGTACTAGACACCATAGTCCTGAGATACCTTCTATGCTAGGTACACGAGGCGGGTGTACCGCCTCCGGCCCAGCAGGTTACAGTATACAGCCGGGCGTACGGGGCGGATACATCAGGTCCTGCAGAGGATACCACCTCAGATAGAGACGAGGGTAGGAACATGCGTATGTAGCCTGGTACCTGTAGGCCTGGAAAGTTTGGCACATGGCAAGGGAAACCGCCAGTGCGCAAAGTCGACCCTTCCAGGATTGCTCGGTACCTGGCCTCGTGCGACTTCTCTGAGAATCTGTAGTTGCCTAGGGAATCATCCACAAGCAAACCTGCCCCAGCCAGGTGCCAAACCCGCCACCACCTGGGTTGCTGCTTACCACACCGCAACTGTGTGCTATGGAAACACCGCCCTCCCTCCCAAGCTCGTCCCGGACCGTCCACTGTCCCGTCCTACTGAGCCGCTAGGTGCCGCCCCGGTCAAGGCCAGTTGGTGGGCCAGCCTATGGCGACGCCATCGACGACGCCATCGACGACGCCGGCCCCGACCAGGGGGATCTACCCACTTGTCCCTATTGATGTCTGCCGTTGGCGTCTCTGCTGGCGTCTGAATCCGCCTGTGGGACAAACTAGAGCATGTTTCCCCTGCGTGGGAGAATGCGAGGTGCGGTCATGGGTTGCCGGTTGCTGCCATTGATTCCGGCTATGGTATAATTATTATAGTCACTACGACTGGTTTCGTTCGACACTCCAACGCCGGCCGCCCCAACTCCCACCCGATGAGGGTCGGGGTGATATTAACCTACCGCGCCCTCCCGAACATAGATTCCCCTGCGGAAAATCACGTCTCCACTGCCATCGCGTCGCCGACCGTGTCGTCCTCCAGTGTCAGGTCAAGGACCCGCGCGTATTGTACAGTCAGCCTCTGGAGTTCCCTAAATTTTCCTGTTCGGGGGTTAGCAGCTGGCAGCGTGGGCGGGTGCCAGGCGGGGCAGCCCGGCAATAGAGAAACGTACCCAAGATCATGACCACCCCTTTTAGCAGCTCCTTCCGGTCCCAGCCGCAGAGGTCGTCGTCTGTACTGAACCACCCCTTCCCCCCCTTCTTCTCCTCCAGCACGCCGCCGACCAAGCTGTTCAGGAGCTCCTCCACTTTACCCCGGTGGCCTTCAGCACCAATTCGCTTAGCGTACATGTACAGGTATAGCCGGAACTCGTCCTTCGACTGCAGCTGCATGGCCCCGGAGATGCGGTTCTCCAGGTGAGCAATGCTAACGCTGGACTCGAAGGTCTCGAAGCCGTCTCGAGAGAGCAAGGTCTTGATGAGGCGTTGCAAGGTGAACGCCCTCCCCTTAAGCAGGAACTCGTTCGTCGTGTGGCGTTCCAGGAAGGGGATGATGCCGGCCGAGACGGTGGCCCCGTCGCCCTGGCCGTCCTTGGGGGACACCGCGCCGACCGCTGTAGACTGGAGTGCGCCGACCGAGGAGTCGTTACTGTTCCAGTACTGGCTACCCACTGCCCACCACGGCTCGGACAGCCGCTGCCAGGTGTACATGCTTGGCGAGTAGTAGTATCCGTCGCCGTTGGTGAGGGTCACCACGATGTATCCGTTGGAGTTCAAGTGCGCAGAGGTGACCCCGGGGGCCGGCATGGCCCCGTGGGGCTGGAGGGAGCTGATGGCGATCTCTAGGATGGGCGCGAGCGATACGGGAGGGTGTGGTGAGGAGAGTGTATTGATGTTCCAGACGTAGCACATACCTGCCGCCGTGATGCAAAGCAGCCACCAATCGCGACACTCCAGAATCACCGGTTGCGACTCCAGCGTCATTGCATTGATCAATCGACGGCCGGCGGGTGTCCACGTATACAGGCTGCCGTCCTCGCACGCTGCTGCCCAGAACCTCCTGCTCCCCGTCACCAGGATGATGGCGCGCGGGAGGTAATCCTGCCAAACTAAAATGCCGCGTTTGGTGGCCGTAATGTGCGACGGATCCCGGATTGACGGGGGGTTTCTGGCTTCCAAGATGATGTTTTCGGGCACTCGAGATGCGTCTTCCGGCGTCGTGTCCTCGAGTAGAACACCCCGTTCTAGCGGACGGAGGATATGCGACCTTACTTTGGGCACAGCGAGGCGAACTTGGGCCATGGAGATACACGGATTGAGAACTGCGTTTCGGAGATAGTCGGGCGTCGGCACTAGCCCGTGTTTCGGAGGCTCGAGTGTCGCGGGTTCCAGACCTTCGACTCCATTCCGCATGATGGCTCTCGGTTCACCGGCTGCTCGTTTGCCCGGGTGTTCTTCATCCTCCTCACTTTCCGTCCAGATCGTCTTCCTTTTGTTGCCGAGGAGCATGGCCGCCAAGCCGCCTTCCGGGAGGCCGTCGTACGGTTTCGAAAGATCCAGTATCGTCTGCGGGGCGTCGTTCTGTGCGGCTTTTGAGCTGGATCCGACCAGCTGGCTCTGGGGGAGCGAAGACTGACCGGTACCCGACGACGAGATGAGCATCGGTGCTACTCGTTTCTTTCCGTCTTTGGTAAAGGTCACGCGGGATTTTAGCTCATTCATGCGCTGGGCCGTCTTGTCGGCCGATTCCTCCGACTGGCTCGCCTTCTCTTTCTCCGGTTGAGCATCTGCCTGCCCGCTGGCTGGCGGCGCACTTGGTGTCGCGGCGCCCGTCTTAGTACCATTAGTTGCAGGCTGTGCATCTTTCGGCAACGGGTGAAAATCGCCCATGAGAGCGCCCATCCTAGACTCGGCACCTCGCCGCTCTCCTTCCTTGCTATGGTTTTCGAGTTGCAGGCCATCGACGTCTTCGGCGATTCCCATAGCCTTTCTAGACGCGCCGTACTTGGAGAGTGCCTTATCAGTCTCCTCCAAGTTGGCCACCCAGCCCAATTCTCCAGTATCGAATTCGACCGCGACGATACCGCCGTCGAGGCTCGACGCGAACAGAATTTGTCCATCGGGGGTCCAGGCGAGGTCCGATATCGATTTCGCCGCCAGATCTTGCAGAATCACCACGGGCCGCGACGTGTTCGTGTTCCAGACGCTCAAGGTCTTGTCCTGTCCAGCAGACGCTATCACAGTGACCAAGGCTTCTCCCGATGAGTGGCCGTTAGACACACCGTTCTCCAGAGGCTTCTTGGTATGAAATAGCCTAGGCGAGAACATGCAGACTTCGGTCGGACCTTCGTGGCCGATCAGGTTGATCTCGTTATCCCATTTGTTACGTTCGATGATGGCCACCGAGCTTACAGGGCCATTGACAGCGTTGGCCGCTGCGATGTGGTTGCCGTCGGGAGACCACGAGCATCTCCGGAAGTACGTGGTTAGGGGTGAGGATTTGAAGGGGGCGTTTATGGTGGCCTCGAGCTGGAAATTATTCACCATATCATGCTGGGTCGCATTGGGGGCGGGCGGGGTGAAACGAAAAACTTTGATGGTGCGATCGTCGCTCGCCGTGGCGAAGAACTTGTTGGCTGGGTCGAAAGTGATACCTTTGACGTGACTTTGATGATTCCCTAGGACCTTCAGCTTCTCAAAAGTGTGTCCGGACCAAATGACAACCTTGGAATCTAGGCCGACGGAAACCAGGATCGAGCCGTCGTAAGACCAGGCTAGATCCTGGACATCGTTATCGTGCCCTATCAGTCGTCTGGAGGTCTTCCAATTCTCGACGGGTGGCGGCTCATTCGTCCCGAAGGGAGCGATGGTGGGCGGACCACTCTCCAGCTGATATATGCATATGATCTTATCGTCCGCACCTGACGCGAGATAGCGACCGCTGGGGGAGAATCGCACCGAGTGTATGGTACCGAGATGATGGCTCATATGGCAAAGCTGTCGAGGCTTCTTGTAAGAGGGGTCGTCGGCATGGTAGATCGACTCGGTGGACCAGACGCGGACGTGGCCATCTGCGTAGAAGGAAGATCGTCAACACACGAAAGGAGAGCGGATATCGCGAAGCATACCGCCACCTGCAGTTGCAAGTCTCTTGCCGTCGGGGGACACATGGCAGCTGTAGACCTCGAAATCTTTCTGCTCGCCTTCGGAAACGATTAGCCTCTGCGCCAGAACGGCCAGGAGGAGAGGTGGTGGGCGGATTACCTTTATGGCTCAGCCATGATGGCTTAATGATGCGCATGGTGATGGTAGGGTTGGTATTGCAATGCGCATGTCGGCATAGAATGGGTATTGGACGCGAGACGTATTTGACTGCTAGCAGATGGGCAACCAGGGAGAAGATGGAGGAGATGCGCGAGCTGAAAGGTTCTGGGACAGGTAAGTTTAATCGGATGTTGGATTAGATGTTCCCTGTCGCGACGCGGCTCGAGTCTTGAGCGGGGGTTATGTAATCCTCTTGGCAATAGGCGAACAGAGGTACCTTAGACACGCACACAGTACAGGCACCGGTCGGCTGATTGTCGCAGAGGCCCAGGTACCCGCCTAGGTACCTGCCTAGGTAGGTACTTGCTGCCTCTGCCAATCGCGCCCCTTCCAGAAGCGCGACAGAAGCGGTCACATCCTCCCTAAGGGTAATATGAGGTACATTGGCCTCGCGACAGGTTACCACGAGGAGGTAGGTACAGATACCGGATTGCCTTGTATCCAAAGAGACACAGGTACCTACCTACCTAGGTACCTACCTAGGTAAGTACGACGTATCGGAGACGCGCATATGCTTATGCACATACCTCCATAACCTAGGTTAGTCCCCTTACGTTGGGTACCAGATGAGCTAAATAACGAAGACTACCAAGCAGCGCTGGTAGGAATCGAACCTATCCTTCATTAAGTAACCTACTAATCTGTACCTGAGGTAGGTTACCTACCTCTACCTCTTGTTATGTACCTACCTATCTCTACGTCTATACACCGCTCCGATGAGGGCGGACCTTAAGACGAAACGGACGTTCCCACCGCTATGAACCGATTTACCTACTAGGTAGACATTTATACATCTCTTATAGACAGAGAAGATTCGATTCCTAAACCAGACAGCCCCGCAGCTGGGAATGCCGCAAACCCCTTACCCTCTTACCTAGGTGGAAAACCGGTAGAGATTTAGCAGGCATCGAAGCCGTTCTGTATCGTGAGCGAGACACGTCCGGTCGGTTAGCACGCACAATCGCGGGAATGATAGATCACTTACATCGACATACACACATATCTACGTACCTGCCTACCTACATATGCGGCCTCCCGTACCCTTGCCCACGACTTACCTAGTACGTACCCATACCCAGGTATGAGAGCCACCTCCGCACATGGGCGACGCACCGGCATCGCGCTAATGTTGAGCTTGGTAGAGGTAGGTAAGTAGGGGGAGGATGTCCGGGTGAGAGGTTCGTATGCTGCCGCCGAATCGACCGGATACCGTCAGCTCCATATCCGGCCTAGAGAACGGAAAAGTCTTAGCGCCCGGGCCCTGAGAGACACCTACCTAGATACCTTGGGTACCTTATAGTCCCGGTGCTTGCTCGAGTCCGACTACCCGTAGTTCCGGCGCCCGTACAGTCCTAGGTGCTCTGTAAAATAAAAGCTTTCAGAGTTGATATTCCGCAGTCAGCTAGGGAAGAAGTTCTTGTCTGTACGCGTAGGTTAGGTAGATTGTCGTCTTCGCTTCCCGGGATTAGACCCCTGCACGGGCCTAGAGTTGTCGATTCCCGGCCACACCCGTTGGGCGAAGGTATCCTGGAAAGTATCAGCACCCAGATTTCATGTACCCCTCCGAAAGGCTAGGCTCCCCCCTACGCACACAGCCCGGTGCGAGGTACAAGAGGCAGGCCATGCACTACATAAGCAGGTACGTTGCTATTTCGATCAGCACGTCAGGTACTAGGAACCTACCTGCCTGTGCGCTAGAGGTAGGTACCTCAGCGCCCAATTCCTCCCTTCAGGTACCTAGGCAATTACATAACGTCCATCGCCCATCGGTACCCGTAGGGAGTAGGGATTGGCTGGCCGCCCGTGTCGCGCATCAATCGTAGACCTACCCAGACCTCTCTCCCTTACCCGCCCAGGTAGTGAGGACCTCGCCCCAGATTCTTCATCCTCAAAAGCTTCCTCGTTTGCGACAAGGCGCCCCAAAGCTTCCTCTAACTCTTGCCCTGATAACTGCACGGCAGATTATACCGTCCTTATGGTTCTTTTCTAGTAGATATTTCCAGCGGGCAAATGTCCTTTCCTCCCGTTTCACTTTTCTCGCTTTCTCTTCCACGCTTACCACGCTGCAAACGAGATGGGGATCTGCTCCTCTTGCCTGGGTGGGCGCCGTCGTGATTCGTACGATGAGGTATGCGCCCCAGAGCCCTTCGCACCGTGCCGCCGATGCTAACTTGTCGCCAAGGACGACGTTTCCCGCCTGCTCTTCGATGACCCGAACAATCTCCAATACGGGAGCTTCGGCGACCACAACATGAGTTCACAAGCCGACCCCCTCGAGTCGCAGCGCGAAGTCGAAGCGCTGCAGAGAGTAGTTGCGCGGACATCCAAGTACGTGTCGCTCGTGGGCCTCGCTTTCGGCGTCGCCGTGCTAACCAGGCCCGTCCTAGTAACCTCGTCGATGTCTTCGAAATCACGCCTCAGGAGTCGCAGAGGGCCCAGCCGGCTCCCTTCTCGAGCCAAGACGTGCGCCTGGTTCGGTATCAGAATATCTTATCGAAACTGTCCGCCAACGGGGAGGACGCCGGCTTAGAGGACGGCCAAGGCACTGCCGAGTGGCTTTTGAGCGAGGACGATGCTTTCGAACTGCCAGGGAAACCCCCCAGCATCAGGGACGAGGCGGGTGGTCCGCTCGTGGGGACGTTCGCGGACGCGACAACGGCCGCCGCCGCATAATAGGGCGGACGATGCCCTGGAATATATAGATGGCGCCGACCAAGGTTGCCGGGCGGGCGTCGCTCAGCTCCGCCGGCCGACGGGTGCGAATGGTGGTGGTGGTCGTCGGCCAGGCAGCCGAGCCGACCTGGTGATGATTTTTTTTTCAACTGCCTTGCCAAGGGCTACGGCGGGTCTTGTCATAGCCCACTCCTCGGACCGCGCGCCGGAGGCGAGAATCCATGTGTTAAGCTAAGTCGACCAAGACGGCACCCCTCTGTCCGCTCGCCTGCGTCTCGCTAGCTGCGATACAGCCAATCAAGCGGGAGCGCCCGGGGTCTCGAGACGAGCAGGCCCATTGAGTAGCAGACACGTGCCTAGTCGGTCTTGATCCCCCTACTAGCTGGTGGAGTTGTGTATAAGAGTCCCGCCCGTCCGGCACGCTCTCCTAAGCATTGTACATATACCATCGTGTACTACTATATCTCCGGCTTCACTGCCAGTCTGCCCTCGTCCGGCTTCGGTGCTGAGAGAGGAAATCATGACCCGAGGAGATCGACTGTGGGATTCCTCGATGGTGGGAGCGGGAGTTTATATGTCACATCTGGCCAGTGGGCGGGGATTCCGGGAAGGGCAGCAACCACCCCCCTAATTACTGACTCCGCTCTCCTATCCACTCCCTTACGGTTAAGAGCTACTTAGGGATGATTCCCCTCCCCCCCCCCCTCCCTCTCCATGATGCAGACGATATCCCACAACAGTGGGATTGGGCCCGGCACTCCCCTGAAATTCTCCTTCCTTTTAGTGTGGGTGTATATGTGTGTGTGGTTTTTCCCTCTCGTTTCCACTGCCGTGCTTACTACCGGCGATCAAACGGCACAGCGAAGGGGTAGACTGCGCTTATACGTGTACGCGTATGTATTGGTGTATTTATCAATGATTATCGGTATTTCTACTGCCCGCCCTGTATAAGGAACGTAATGGTCTTGACGGTTTGTCGGTGTGATCTGTCGCTTTCGGCTTGAATCTGCCCTCATGCCGGCTGCTAGAGGTCATTTCGCCCCTGGTATTGGCCGAGCAGGCGTCCGGAGGGCTAGCCTAAGCCTGTGGCTGAAGACAGTTCACACGAGGCAGGCCATGCAGTCAGACTTTAACCAGCGTCGATCACAGAAGAAATAATCCTTCCAGAAGCCAATCGAACTGCCGGACCTGGGGCAGAAACAGGAGAGTCACCCGTATCGTTGGGTGGAAATGGCGTCGTCAAATATAATAACATACAAAAGACCGGTGTCCCAGCTCATTTATTCCTAAGTCGTGACTTTCCCAAAAGTCCCCTTTTATAAGCATCGGTAGCTAGCCTTACCCTCTCGCCGATCCCTCTTGAGATGTGGTCTTTGTCCTAGACAGGAAAAAAAAAGAGAAAAAAAAGAGAACCCTACTGATGTTGTTGAGCAGCCGTGTCGTGTCCCGCCCGCCCTGCTCCGTCCCTTGAAGCCCCCCCCCAACCCGGCCTCCCCCTCCTCGCTCGCTCTCGCACACCGCTAGCCGCAACGTCTACACCACCGAGTACTGCCTGTTTTGGTGTTGTTGCAGCATGTTCTGGATCGCCTCGTCCACCTCCCCCATGTCCTTCTGAGCCTTCTCGATCGTCGCCGTCCGGTTCCCTTCCCTCTGCCACCGGTAGATGTCGTTTTGGAGCTTGGTGAACTTCCTCTGCTTCTTCTCGATGTCCTTGCATAGCTTACAGCTGTCGATCTCGAGGTTGGTACAGTACACAAGCTTTAGGCCGCAAGTCTCTCCGGTCCGGTACTCCTTGGTACACTGTTGACGAAAGTGGCCCCATCGCCAGTACCCACAAGACCAGCGCGTCTGCTCGAAATAGCACATCGTCGTCGTTCGGGAAAGAAGAGCGAGGTGGAGCGAGAGGAGAGAAAGAGGGCGATGCGGGCGGGCGGGCGAGCTAGAAAAGAGCAAAGGGAGGGCAAGAGAGGGACGCAGGAGTGAGGCGGAGGGGGAAAAGACAGCGAGTTGATCGGATCGGATCGGATCTGGATTAGGAAATTCAGTCTAGGAGCCCACCAATTAGCTTTGTTACTGCACGTTCTTCGTCTCCAGAGGGAGATACGGTCCATGGGGTAGCTTCTATACCTTCAGGCTCCGACAGAGAGGTAGTGTCGTCAGCGCTCACTGTGGGCTCGAGTCGACTTTTCCTCCCCCCTTTTTCTTCGTTTGGTCTCCTTCGTACGTGTTTAGGTCCTGGTTAGATATCTCGGATCGAGTTTACTCCACCACCAAGCAGGAGTGACATCAATAGGGGAGACAAGACTACTTATACTTTTCTCGCCGGCCTTGGGCTCTGCTCTCTGCTCATTCCCACCCGACACCCGTCCTCGACCTGCGTTGGCCGCAACCTTCCACTACATATTCGTCAACAGTGTACCCGAAGTCATCGCAAACAACCGGCGAAGATTGGTCGATGACAACTCAGCCTGTCTGCTAATTGGGGTTGCATGTCCATTTCGCAACCAGGCCATCCAACATGTTTCCTAGGGCACTGGATGGATGCCACGTTGACCTAATGCTTCAATTTCCACCGGCACAACTTCCCCACCCCAGATACAGCCTACGAGTACCCTGACACTGGATGGACAAGTCTCTACCAGCTTCTTGATTCGAGAGCTATGGATAGACCCCCCTCACCCCCCTTCCGCCTCCTCTATTGGCCCGATTCTGACGTCTTCGAGCGGCCCTCCGTCGACCTTTGATACGCGAGCCATCAGCCTCGAATTCGACACCCTGTTGCTACACTCCGTTGCACGCAGAGTTTGATCCTTTCCCGTCTGCAACCAGGATGGGGCCCATCCCCACTGCGTGCCTATGCAAGCCATCTGGCTAGCCGCGGGTAGGTCTCTGGCCACGCCCCCCCCCCCCTTCCCCCCTGGTCCTATGAGGCGACTTGCCTTTTAGCACGAGCATGTACTGTCAATCACTGGAACAGGGAATCACGTTTTGTACCTTCTTACCACGTCTCCGGTGGCTATCTTTAACGGATGCCGTATTACTCGCTGGAAACGTGTGGGAGTCTGTCCAGCAGCAGCATGTATGGCAGGACGATGGCGTTGGCGTCTCCGTCTCCCTGTCTCCCTCCCCCCTCTCCCGGATTTTTATCTTATGTCATTTTTCTTTTCGTTCCCCTGCCTTCTCGAATATGTCGTCGTCCCCCCATCTCCCCGGCCTCGACGATCACCGTATCCTGTGCTTCTTCAGATGGCAGACCGGGTTGCTTTTTGCCACGCCGTCTTATTACCCCCCTCTCGCCTCCTATTGTTTGTTGTCGGGTTGGGCCCCCATTGAGCGTAACTCGCGAGATATTATCCAACTCGCCATCAAGCCACATCGGGAAAGACGACATCGTCCTTGCAGCCAACGTTCCGTGTGAATCATTCGAGATTTTCAGAGTACCCGACGTATCCGTTTCGGAGGAGGTAGTATTTCTAGAGTCCTTTTTTTCCCCTTCCGGAACAATTGACAACACATCGTTTGTAACTACAAGGGTTAGACCGTTTATGACGACTTCGTCGATAGTGGTACCTTTTTCGGTCAAAGACGCGGGCTGGCTCTCTGCGGCCACCTAGCTTAAGGCCCGATAAGTAGGCCCAGGAGAGAGCAGAGTTTTCCACGATGGCACAGCACTCGGCTCCCATGTGAAACTACATCAAGTCACATATAGAAATCTCCCACTTCGCTTTACGCGAGTCAAGTAAAAACTCGAGATCTTCAACGGGGGGTCATTGGGCCGGCAACGTGGCAATGTGTTTCTGGCCGGACCAGGCCCACCTGCAGTATTTCGTCCCCCAGTTTGTACGCGATGGGTGTGTAGGAATTCTGGGGGATCGAAGGAGCCCCTAGTTTCCTCTAATTTACTACCCTCCCCCCTCTCCCTTGGGGAGGACTATAATCATGACCACGTCGAGTCCCCCCCGGCGTCCTCTTATGCCATTACACATGAGGATCGAGCGACAGGTCGTTTATACTGGGGCTCGTAGATGTCTGTAGCTGTCGGGTCACGGTGGGCGTAGTACAGATTTATATCGTGGCAAGCTCCTGGGGAGCTTTGTAAGGCTGAGCGAGCCCACTCTCGACTTTGACACCGCCCTCCCGAACAGGGGCGGCCATGTTGGATATGGTTCCCTTCCCACAGAGCGCTAGTAAGCACCCTATTCTTGTGAACACGTCAATGAACAATCACATTGGCCTACGTATTCCTATCCTATCGCAATATGACCTCCTTCGGGTCGGGTGATCTAGATAAAGGAGTGACCCCATTATTACTCAGACCGAGGGCACGTCCAACCGGCGAAGTAACTTCGCACGCATGCAAACTGTTTGCTCCATCCGTGATAGGCAAGAGGGAAATGGTATCGACAGCTTCGCTTCAGGCACATACGTCTCTCCCTCATTGACGCCCGAGGAGCGCGGGACGTTAGGTCGACGGTTCGGCAGCCAGGCTGTGGTGTGTGCTGTCACGCTAAAAAAGGAGTTCCTCACGCGTCGTAGTAGTGCGGACAACCGGCGATTTACCCCGACGGCAAGGGATAACAGGGGGACAAAATAACAGTGATAAACACGGGAGGGAGAGGGCACGACGTAATATGGCGAAGGGCTGGAGGGTGTGCGTATGTGGCTCTACGATCACGATTCCGGTGTTTGTAACTACTCTACTGCTGACAAGGCCAAACGCGATCCCTGGGTCAACACGGCCACATAAGGCGGCCAAGCCTGGTTGCGAGTAAAGCGGTGTTTCCGGGAACGTCGAACCGCCTCTCCTTGTACCCCACGGGCCGTTCCGTTCGCGCACTGCCTTAGACACGGTGGTCCCCATCCCAGCTGTCTCTCGAGAACAGGTAAACCTCCTCCCCCGCCCCCCTTTTCCCCTTTTCGGGCACCCGCCGGATATATCCCGCAACTAGTCGCGCAAGCAGTCTACCGCCCTCCGGCGGGCGAACGCTCGACGTCGCTATTCCTCCCCTCCCCCCGCGGGCCAATCACAGCCGGTCCCAGGCAACGGATGTCGTGGAAAGCTCTCCCGTGACCATCGCATCTCCCGGCCACACTCTGTCTAAATCATGTGCAAGAACTTCTATGCGCATTCCCTTCTTCCAAAGTGAGCATGAAGGCCTACTACCATACTGCCCCCCCCCCTCCCTCCAGCCCAATAACACATCGCACGCTCCGAGATAGTCTCCCGCCCGTCGCTACCCACCTCTGAATCTACGGGGGGTGGGACACCCCTCCCCGGAAAGGGGGGCGTGGGGAGCGCGCAACCCCACTCCCCCCTTTTGACCCCCCCTGACGCAGTAGCATGCATCTCAACCCGTCCGCAACGAGTGTTGGACTCGAGGGCAGAAGCGATCGGCCACGCGTTCCTGTTTTGTTAACAGCCTCTCGTAGCCCTGCACTGCCAGCTCATTGGTTGGGGGCGAAAAACCACAAGTTCGCCGCAGCGGGATGTACCTCTGCTCGATCCGGAGGGCACCCACAACGGCGAGAGGGGCGAGGGTTAGGAGGGAGAGCAAGCGAGGGCGAAGCGATGAGAAAGAGAGAGGGAGAGAGCGAGAGGGAGGCGGAGAGGGGGAAGGAGAGAGGGGAGAGTGGGATCCGAGAGCTTCATGTAGCGGCCATGCGGCGGCCGAGAAGGGCGACAAGGGATTGCTTCCAACCTACCTTGCCGTGCAATGATATTTCGCTCACGGCCTGCGGTACGACGACACCTGCTCGTATACTTGCACGGGAAGAGCAGCGAACCCGGGATTCGCCCGAAGTGCTCCTCAGAAAAAGGGCCGCGTCGGCTGTTGCGGATGAGTGCCCCCCCCCCCCCCGGTCCCTCGCCCGATTTCGTCTCTCCCTCCCTCCCTCTCTCGCTAGCTACCCTTACTACCTCTCTACTTGTCGACTTCGGTGACTATGGCTTCTCTCACTCGGCTGTCCCGCTCCCCGGTTTGACAGAGCTCTGAGTTGTCCTCTCAACGCCATCGATTTCGAAAGGTAAAACAAGGGTGACTGATTGGAACGGCACCGCTGCCGACTCTGTCTGGGCAATGGGTTCACAGTACTCCACAGCGGATGTGCTCGCATCGCATAGATGCAGCAGATGCATGGTGATCTGGGTTTTTCCTCTACTTCTATTCCTCGACACCCATCTGCATTGCAGGGTTGCAGATAAGTGATAGCGCAAGTACCTACCTTCTTCTTATTCCTCTCGTCCCGCTGGCGAGCCCACGGCTATGTGGTATCTCTCCCCCCCCCTCCCCCCCGCCGTATTATACACATGGTCACGCACCGCTATATCCACCTAGCTACACACATCCCGAGAAGCAGTGGACAATGAACGCAATAGACGCAGCGGCCACACCTCCTGCTCCCCTCCTCAGACGGGCTCGGAGCCCAATTGATCGGTGGTACGAAACCGACACATTTTTGCCTGTTCATTGGGCACTGATACTAACCGAATAGAGAGGCGGAAAGAGGGAGGAGGAGGAGAGGGAGGGGGGGGGGGAAGGGAAGAGGGCCGGCGGATTCTCGACCACGTTGGACGGCCAGAAAAAGAGACCACCCTCGGCCCTTGACCGCGCCGGCTCCATCGTTCGCTGACCGGCCTCGAGGGGAGAGGGGAGAGCTTGGCCGTCGAAGGATGGCGTACACGTCATGTCATGTCTGGAACCGGCGCTGACTTACAGCACCACGTTCTCGGTATGCCAGGTACATGCAACGCGTGGCACGGGATTCCGGGAAGCGTGACGAGCAGGTAGCCGGAGTGCATGTTCTCCCTCGATCGAGGGCGGCGGGCTGAGACAAGTGCTCGTTGGTTAATTAGTACAGGGCGAGACAGAATTGCTATATTTAACGATGTCCCGCGGTGCCGTTACCGACGTGTGTTTTTTTTTTTTTTGAAATTTCTTTTTTATGTAAATTCCTTTTTTTTTTTTGGCGTCGAGGCACGGCGGCGCGTGGGCCATCCGATCTGACTTACACGAGACGCAGGCCCCGCCCTCATTGGCGACAGGCGGCTCGACTTCGGAACCCCGAGCCATGTCCCCAGCAACGACGACACCTGCGCTGTCGCTGGTGGCATCGCAGCGGAGAGAGTCACGACACAGCCGCTATGAAAGCATTAATAATACAAGGCTCTTAGCACGGCGCGGACCGCCGTATAGAACAAGACTAGATCGGACAACGCATTCCTGTAGGGACCGTCGTCTGCACCGCCGCACCCAGGTAACGCACATACACGCACGTACATACATACGTAGGTATGTCTCATGCGCACATACCGCATATATGCCTGTACGGGTATGTATACAGGTACATATACATATGTATGTACGTACCTGATGGAATAGGGCGGGGGTGTGTGTAGGCGGGAGGTACGTGAGGTATCTACCTCCTACCTAAGGTAAGTAAGGTACCTCCCATCCGTAGATCTTATGGTACCTAAGGTAGGCGATACCTCCTCAGGCCGGCCACTATCCTATGCGCACCATATGAACGTAATACTACACGCAGCGTCCACGTACGTACCCATACGGACCCGGGCGCCGCCGCTACAGGTATGCGTGTATCGGGTCCAACGTATGCGCAGCAAAGGTACATCGAAGCTCACACCCCGCCTCGCTCCCCCTCCCCCTCTCTCCCCCCTTTCCGACCCTGGCGCTATGGATGTAACCGTATCTCTCTACTGAGCGACTCGGGTCCTAGTACAAGGTACTTGTGGGGTATTATCTCTGGCTGATGTTGCCGTGGGGATGTTCTGCGTGTGTCTCTCGCGTCGGTATAGGCGCACGCCCTCTCCCCTCGCCGTGCCCGTCGTCCACACGTACGTGTGCGTCTTGCCCTCTTCTCCCGGGATGCGCAGACGTACATATGTATGCGTGTATCCTTGCCTACCTACGTAGAGATGTAGGTGCTTTGGCTGCCACCTGTAGGTACCTGACGCCTACTTTGCCTCTGGGAGATACCCAGGGAGAGGCCATGCCGGTGCGTGCGATCGTTACGCCTCGTGCTGCGTGCTGGAGCGCCACCGTTCCATGTTATGAGACGACAGCCCGCCATCTGCCGACTTACGGGACTCGGTCTGCCTTCCCTGCCCCCGACCGGCCCCGAATACTGCACGCTGCCTACCCGGGCGGTATAGGCGGTATGCACTTATAATACGTCGAAGCGCGCTCTGGCCCTGGGTTCCCAGGTAACACGGACCACGCATCGGCAGCGATCTGGGATCTCCTGGCCGGTCCCGCTGCCCTAGTGTCGAGTGCCGCCATCCGCACCGCACGGCATGCGATCTTGATCTACGCATGTATGTGTATGTGCGTATGTGTCTAGCCTTGCAACGGCCGAGTTGCCTGGCTGGAGACTGACAGGCTGGGTAGGGTGCGATCCGCCCGTCCAGTCCCACCCCACTCCGAGCTGCATATGCTAGCAATATGTGCCAGCCTGTGATGGAGAGGGAGAGTGACATCGAAGCTGTCTGCCTCTCTGCCTGTCTGTCTATATCTGCATGTAGGTGTCGAGGAAGAAGGTTGCACTGGGGAGGCACTGCATGTATCATCACATTCTAGACGGCTTCCTTTCGGGCAGATGCTATTATCTAGGGCCACTCACGTCCTTCGCCCTCGTCAATATTTTGGTTTTGCTGCCCCTGCCATCCTGCCCGTGTCGGCGTCGGTGCTGCCGACGCAGAGGTAAAAACAACAGACAAGCCTGTGGGAAGACTGAGCAGCCGGAAACGGACCGCGCCGTAATGCGCGTTCTTCTGCCAACGGCTGTATGGTGACGGGGGAGTTCCATCGCTTGACGAGACACGAGAAAGCACCGCAGGCAAGGTGCCCCTATTCGGTTCGCGAGACCCTGTCCCATTGGCCAGGCACGTTGGTACGCCACCGATAGACACCCAGGCACCTCCTCACGTACCGCTTGTGTGTAGGTTGGCCTCCATCTCCGCTGCGCCGGCACCGCGAGGCCTGCAGAGAAAGCGGTAAAAAGACAGTGCCGCTGTCCCATGCGCCGAATCCTCAGCACTGTGACGACCTGGTGGGTCACCGTCTCAGGCATTTGAGGCAAAGGGGACCTGGAGGGTTAGTGGCCCGTGCTCCTTGACGTGATGGACGACGGGGCGGGCAACAGAAACCTTAAAATAAAATCAAACAGGGTACATGGGGATTCCACGCCTGTGAAGGTACTTTAGGTACCTACACGCCCGCTATCCATATACCTGCCTTAGGTACCTACACTAAGGAGGTACCTAGGTAGGTACCCCGGTCAGCTGTATCGGTGTAGGTACACATGCCCCCTAGCCGTGAGGGTCGGCGCGGATAGCATCGACGGGAACGCTGGTCCCAACACAGGTGGGTGCCACGTCCACTCAGTACACAGCTACACAAAAGCGCAACGGGAGCAAGTCTCGTCGCAAGATCCCACAGTTATCCGATATCCCTACTCATAGGTGCCGGGGGGCCGTGGTGGGTTTTGGCTCCCTCGCTATTCCGAGGCGACCGCCGTGCCAAGGCTTAAGGGGCCGTGTACCGGCCTAATCACCCCGCCTCAGGACCTGCCTCTGCCTCTCCAGGTACCTCGCCTAGGGATACAGATAGGTAGATACCTGCCGTCGTGCTCAGTAGGCTCCATGGTAGGTACTTGCCTGCTCCTATCCGAATGTATGAGGTAAGTGTGTACCGCATGCCTGGGAGGTTGCCTCAGGCCACCTTAGGTACCTGCCTAGGTAGGTACCTAAGGGTAGGAGGTCCCTTGCTCGTTTGCCTGTGAGTATGTGCCGTGCCTGGGAGGTGCCTAAAGGTAGGCCCCGTCCGTTGGCTCGCCCATCTCCATCGCTCCCTCATCAGCGCATCAGCTGTTGTTGTTGCGTGTGCACATTGCCGACTTCAACCTTGCCATCGTCACGTATACCTCTACCTCCCTCAAACATAACACACTCTACGCCTTCGCCCACGCGGCAGACAACAGGTCGCCAACATACCCGCCGAGTCGCCTTCCGCCCCCATATTCATATCTTGATTGCCGAACCACCGCCGATCTACCTGCGTATAGAGGTGGCCTTCGAACCCAGCGCGCACTTCCTCGCATGCCTGCATAACACGTACGTACGCCCGTCTCTTCTGCTGCTATCCGCTGTCTCTTGTCACGCCGTGCGCCGACGGCCTGTTCTGCCGGCCCTCCTCGCGCTCCTCCTGGATTCGTCCCATGAAACGAAGCGCCGCAGAGGGCCGTCTCGCGCGGCCGCGACCGCTTAAACCGGCCTTGCAACAAATACAGATGGCTGGCCTTCTCCATGGTTGCCACTAACGGCACCGTCGTATAATACCGCACCTCGACACGCCGAGCACGTCAACCCCGTCCGTCCACCCGTTCCCCCCCCTCCCCCCAACCCTCCAGTCCTCCCCTCTCCTCCGCCCTCCCCTCCGCGCGCTACTGCTTTCTCCACCAGCGCTGGACCGTACATCGAACATCGCACGCACATTGCACATCATACGTACATACATGAGCGCATCTGGCTGGGGATAGCTTCCTAGCTGGCTGCCGCTCGCCTCGTTTCGTGCCTCGGGACGATCTACATGCAGCTACTGATTTAGACATCCCCACCTAGATGTAGAGCCAGACCAACAGAGCGAGATCCGTCTCGAAGCCAAGCAGGGGAAGCCGACAAGAGGGTGCGCCCCTCTGGTAGAGGCAACTGTCGCGAATCGCGTACTCGTCGTCATCTCTCGTAGCGGTGCTCGGCCTGGCGATCCGGCGCTCGCTACCTAGCCATTCGGCGACATCGGATCGTATCGGCTATATAGACTACACCACGGCTGGAACTCACACTCACACCTCGCTGTCATTCTGCGGCGTACATTCCACACAATATCTCACCGATGATTGTCCGTATTAGCCTCATCCACCCCTACCTACATATCTGTATACATACCCGCAGCATCGTGCTTTGAGTCCTGTTCGGCTGCGCACCAGACTGGGCAGGCACCTCAGGGAGGGGAAGGCATCATTGCTGCCACTTCACCACCGTATTTGCTACTATACTCAGATATAACCTTCCCTATTCTCGCCCCCCCCCCTCCCCTAGGCTACGAGCATGTCGACGCAACCAGCTCTCGAAGCGGAGCCGCGACAGCAGCTCGTCACGAAGACCCGTGATCTGACCTTGGTCACGTCGCGTCATACCACGCAGCCGTCGCCTCTGCCTTCTCTACCTGCACCTTCGCCGGCCGCCGAGAGTGGCGATGCTACCCCGCGGCAGCTGGCCTCGAGAACGGCCGCCCCTATTGATGCCCAACCAACTCCCTTGGCTACGGGATTTTCTGTTCCCGGCCGACTGGAATTAAACGATGTGAAGCTCAACGATGAGATTCCGCGGCCCGTGGCGGGCCAATCTACTGATGTTTGCTGCCCGTCACCAGATAGCGTGGTCTTGCCTGTGGTGCTGTCACCATCGCCCGATGCGACGGCACCTGCTCGAGACCTAGACGGGGAGGGAGTAGCAGATGTCATAACGAGGGCATCTACGCTGTTGCGGTGGGGGTGGGACTCGCTGTGCTTGGATGGCTTGCCGAATGAGATCCTCACGCACATTCTCACCTTCCTAGACGTGAGCGACCTGCTCTCTACTTCTAGGGTATGTGGCCTCCCAGTTGAATTGTCACTTACACCCCCCTCCCGCCTTTTCGTGTTGGCAACGCTGAACCTGGCTCGTGTGTCTACTCCTTCTCTATTGAGCTTCTGTCCTCGCTGTGTGCAGGGGATCCTGCGTTTGCCCCTCCCATGTCAATAACAGCGTAAACTACCTACACGTACTACCCGTCACTGCTCTCACCTTCGCGTGAAAGTCGCTCATAAGGGCGCTAGGGATGGAAACCTATCTCCGTGTTCCCCTAGGCCTAATGTAGCCTTAGATACTCCCCCCCTCCCCTCGAGCCCAAGATATCCCAGCATTAGGACGCCTCGCTAGTCGTGTTACTAATCGCCATCTTAGATCAACCATCACTTCAGGACCCTGTCACTCCATCCCATCCTCCACGCCCTACGGCTCCGACGTACCCGGCTCTGCCTCCCGCCACTCCTGACCTCGCCTTCGCGTCCCACGCTCGCGCAGTTAATTGCGCGACACATCGTCATGACGCATAGGTCACAGGTCTCGCGGCAGCTGGCACGAAACCTGGTGGCGATCCGTCTGTCGCGGCGCCTGCCGTTGCGGCCGTCGGCGGAGTCGCTGGTGCAGCGCGGCGTGCTGCCACCCGAGGTCGTCGAGGGCAGCGTGGCGCCGGGCCTGGTGGCTAAGAGGCGCGCGGTCGAGAAGGAGAGGCTGAAGGACGGCCTCCGGCGTTGGATCGGCGCGGTCTGGCGCGGCGAGGTAAGAGAGCGGAGCGAGGGCGTCCGGCAGTGGGAGGAACTTGCCGGCGTGGGGAGGGTTTGGCGGTTGCGGAAATTCTGGGAGCGCGTGGGGAGGGGCGCGGGCGGCGGCGTAGACGTATAGGGTGGATGAGAGGATGATGTAGGTGGGTGCACTCCTTCTAGATGAGGGAGATGAGATGTCGACACGAAGCTACGATTGAATATCCGCGGTCTGTCAGACGGACGAGAACGGGTACCTCTGGTGCGCTTTACGATGTCGCCCTGGGTAGGCCTGTTGGATTATGTTCTTTTCTTGTTCGCGTTGGAAAGGGCACGGAAATTCTATCCTCTCCTATATGTATGTATACCTGTATAGTGGCGCCTCGGATGATGGTTTCTTGCACCCAGGCATGTAACGAGTAGTTGGGGAATGAATGCACGACTAGTTTAGGCATCGTTTTATTATACACCTATACCATATGGAACTCAGTTCGATCTCAACTTCTAGATGGGTCGATGAAGCGATGCCTTCATGGGTTTTATGGGGGGGGGGATCGCCCTCCCCTCCCCCCTCTCCCCTTTCTGCTGCTGCTCCAATCCCCTCCCCCCCTTCGCCTATGTACACAAGAGCATATGCGACGTCGGTGCCCACGCATACGCATTCCCGCACTCGCGTAACCACGGACCCGCCGTCTCGCTTCCCGCGTCGAGAGCAGACCGAACCGACCTGCTTTTATGCGCCCCGTCGAGAAGCGACGTTTTGCATCCCCACACCCTCACCGGTTCCCGCACCTGGCCGCCACTCCGGTGGAGCTCTCGCCACGTTTCGACCTGCGGGGGGCAGCGAGCGGCGGGGCCGTGGGCCGCTTCGCGAGCAGCACGGCGGCACTGCGGCACTGGGCATGTTCTCGTGGTCGGGGTTCAGGGCCTGGGCGGATTCTAGGCGAGGCGAGGCGAGGCGAGAGCCGTCTCTCTCTCTCTCTCTCTCTCTCGCGACTGACTCCGCCGGCGGTGCGTGGTGCCACCAGGATCGACGTCTGCGCCCGCGCCCTCGAGCCTGCCAGTCTGTCTCTGTCCTTACGCAGGCGGTATCGATTGCGTCTATGTATGTGTGTGGTCTTGGTCTCGTGCTATCTATATGCTATACATGCTGTCGTTCCACGTCGCCCCGCCTCATTCCCCCGCCTCCCCCCCCCCACGCCGCAAGCACTGGATTCGTGTCGGCCCTGGAACAGCGGATAGCGGTGCGTGGATGATGGTGTGCGCTGGCTGGTGAGTTGTGGGTGGGGCAGAGGGGCCGGTGTAAACCCGCGCGTGCTTCAGCGCTGCGCTCTCACCGGAACCGGAACGCGTCCCAGCCGTCTTCGTCCTCGTCCTCGTCGTAATCGTCCTCGTCCTCGTCATCGTCATCGTCCTCGGCGTCGGCGCCTTGCGTGCCCTCAACCCCGTCGTCGTTGTTCTCCTTCCCGTCGGGTCCGCTCTTGAGCGGGTTCTTCGCCATCGTCGTCGCCGCTGCCGCGGCGGAGACGGCGCCGTCCCCGTCTCCACCCCCGCTGCCGCTCCTGGCTCGCCGCAGCTCCTCGCGGCGCGCCTTGAGCCGCCGGACGCGGCCCTCGAGCTCCTCCATCTCCTCGAACTCGGCCTCGAGCGCGCGCGTCGCGTCCTCGCGCTCGTCCGCTATCTCCGCGTCCAGCAGCTGCTTCCGCCGCTCGTTTTCCTCCTCCTGGGACCGGGCGGCGAGCTGCGCGGCCGTCAGCGCCGGCGCCGAGATCGTGACGTCAGCCCCGTAGCGCGTCGGCGCGGAAGGATCCGCCGGCACCGCTTGCGGGTCGGCGGCGGCAATCTCAGCCTCAAAGGCCGCCCATTCGGCTTCGTCTACCGAGGTAGCGGCTCCGCCTGCCCTTTCTGCGGCAAGTAGTGTAGGTGTAGCGGCCGTAGCTGACGAGGTGACGGGGGTGGTGGCGGCGATCGGTGGCACGGCGAGGGATTGTGTCGAGATGGGGAGTGATGCCTGCTGCAGTTGTAGCGAGGTGGGCGTAGACGTAGATGTGGGTGTGGAGGTGACATCCGACCCCGTGAGCGGTGAGCGCCCGGGAGGCCCGGCTTTGGGCGTCGACGTAGCCGAGTTGGAGCCGGCGGCGGGCGTGGCGGGCCGGGAGGGTATCGCGATCTCAACGCCTTGAACAGGAGGCTGGGAGGTCCGGCGGCTCAGCAGAGGGGGCGTCTCCGTCTTCTCCTTCCTCTCCGTCTCCCTCTCGCCATTGTCGCCCCCCATGTCGATCTTGCTGCGCTTCTTTCGTATCGTCTCCTCAACATCCGCCACGTCGGCGTCGACGTCAGACATGTCCTCGTCCACATCGCCGTGTTTACGCTTGCCGGCGCCGTGGCTCTCCTGCGAGGGAGCGGTCACAATCTGCTGTAGGGCCTGCAGCTTCTTCTTGTGACTCGGGCCGCGGATGTGCCCGTCCCACAGGCTCTCCGACTTGACGGGTTCGTGGCACAGCTTGCATAGCAGCTTCCCGGCGTCCGAGTAGGCCGCGTGTGGATGCTTGATGCGGTTCTCGGCGCGGTGGGCGCGGAGAAGGGCGCGGGCGTCCGCCATGGTGCCGAGAGTGTAATCGTCGTAGGAGTGGGTGGTGTGGTCGGGTAGGTGTGGGAGAAAGCAATCGGGGAGGCGTAAGGGGTTTGACGGGTTTCACGGTGCCGCGAGCGGTAAAGCACCTGATGAGGTCGAGCAGGGCGCCGGGGAGATGGCAAAGGAGAGATCAATTGCCATTTGAACGTCGTTGAAAAACGTTGGCTCAGGGGCTTCCTGAGGAATCCGGGGTGTACTTCACAGGGAGCTTTGACGAAAGCCGGTCCCAGGTAAAGTCGGTGATGCGCTAGCGCGTGGCTGATTCGTGAGGCGGTGAGCTAACCAATGATATGGTCGCAATGGACGGAGATGGCCGCCGTAACTATAAGGAATCAGCCACAGCCGCCACGCCCCTAAGTATCTCTCCACCATTTTTCTACTACGTAGGTACCTCTACGCGAGAGGAATCGAGTGCCCCGCACTGCCCTAGGAAGGTCTTATTCAAAGCCTTAATAACTCGTCATAAAATTATGCGGTACCCAAAAGACCAATTCCGTCCAGCTATCACGCTTCCTTCACAAGCCGACCAAGGTGATCCGCTCAACAACCTCGCCGTCGTCTCTTCTGGTTCTGGAACCCATTGATATGCATGGCGCGACGGAAGGTGAAGTGACCTGAAATGAACAGTCTCACGAGACTGGTTTGTTATCTTACAGGCAGAATTCGTCACCTTCTCCGCAGTGCTCTCGGCTACACTACGCGATGGAGGAAGAATTGGTCCAGCAGTCTTCCTCGACCTGGCCCCCGCCACCACCTTTCTGGCAAGCTTTCACTCCCGAGAATATTGCGCGTATAGAGAAATCGAGGCAGCAACAGGCAGAGAGGGAGGGTGTCGAGGATGCCTCTAACGTCCGCCTCCACGATCTTCCCCGCGAGCTGCGCGCCCTACAGCCTCCACTAGAACCGGCCGATGGAGAATGGAGAGTCTTCGGCGACAAGTATAGGCTTGTGGACGAGCTTCCGAAGCTCGAGGACATGCAGATTCGGCGCTTATTTCCCAACCCGGAGGACAGGGACCGTGACGGGAAACATTTTGATCGCGCCCTCATACTCAAACGACTAGCCAAGTCCCTGCTTCTGAATTTCCTCGAGCTCATGGGCCTCTTCGCTATCAATCCCGAGGCGGTACGTTGTTGCCTTTTAAATACACACCTGTTTCTTGCTCTTCTGGCGGTTGCTAATTCCAACACGTGCGCGTGCAGGCCCAGGACAAGATCACAGATATTCGCGACATGTTTATCAACTTCCACCATCTCATCAACGAATACCGACCCCACCAGGCACGCGAGTCCCTCATCTCCATGATGCAGGCGCAGCTCGACCGCACGCGGGCAGAGACAAACGCCATACGCGACGCCAAAGACAAGACCGAGCGGATAATGGAAGGACTCGGCAGCCTCAAGTTCGGCGACGAGCTGGTAGGCGACTCAACCCCCCAGAAGGACCCCTGGGCCACCCAGCGAGAGGTGTGGGCATCCGCCCTCGCAGACATCTCCTAGAAGAGAATATTCTGTCTCATCCCAGCGCCGCATAGGAGGAGCGTAGCGTTGCTCGTGCACGTTTGCTTTCTCTTACGGAATGTGGCAGCTCGACGTATAATGGTAAAATAAATGATTTGCGCTACCGCTAGAGGTTTAATGGTGGAGGCCAGTCCTCCGCTGTGAAGAGCATATTCCCACCGCGTCGTAGTCAACTCGCAGACTTTACCAAGCGTGTTGGAAGTGTGTTGGGATCTTTCCGCCTCATTTTATCCCCGAGTTCTTCCCATATGCCCCCCTCACATTACGACACAGGGAATGCAGCAGCACTCGAAGTCGCCACAGTCGATGCAGCGAGTCTTGCCACCCGTAGCCTCAGCCGGCTTGACGATGCTCTCGATGGTGGAGGAGGCAGCGCTACCCGGACCGTTCCGGTTGACGAGCGAGGAGTGCGAGCCACAGGCCATGATTAGGTATTGGTTCTGCTTAGGAGGGAGTAGTAGCAGTTTTCTCCGGAAGAGACCTGTGGGCTCAAGAGGTTAGTCGACCCGGTAGGTCCCGCGATCGCTCGAACCTCGAGCCATGGAGCAACATAAGGCCACTTACAAACGCGTTTGGGCGTACGGTGCGATTTGAGCGCGCAACGAGTCTGGCTGAATGCTGGGATATTCTTTTTGGCTCTTTATTGGAGGTACTCGTGGTATGGGAGGATTCGAAGAGAGAATACGCTAACATGGATTTATTGCGCAGAAGATACCGCCAGTTTGTTGCCTCTGCCTTGTTTTATGTATGTATGCGAGCTCCCCATAAACAAGCTGAGGGAATACCGGCGGCAAGACATAGCCACAGTCCACACTGGGCCCATAACCCTGGTGACAGGGTTACGTCAAAGAAATACCTGGGTATATACAACCACGTCACAGGACCTGTGACGCGTAAGACGAGGACAGAATGCGAAAATCTTCACTCTCGCACACATACTCATATATAGAGAGGCTATATATCCCTTTTCATTACATAGGGCAAAGATAACTGTATTGTACGTAGTAGATACACTACTGACATATATATGCATATAGGGGCCCTTCGGATGAGACCACGCCAGCTTCAGAGGAAAGAGAGTCGTCGTCATGCCTGTGGGGAAGTCGGACTGGGGTCATCGAGCTGATTGGTTTTTTCGCTCCCCATCAAACGACGGATCATCATCACCAGCCTGCATTATCCATGCCAACCCTTCAACCCTCTCTAACTTCGTACTGTATACCCCGACTGTCTGCTTGATTCTAGCCATGGGTCTTTTCGAAACTGGTGCATGCCTACCAAATGGCATCAAGTCGCTGCTATATCGATAAAACAAGAAAAGGAAGGGGGGGATGCCGGTGTGAAGGATAGGTATGTCGAATAAGACGATAGCTACAACGCCGACCTTCGTGATGAGAGCTGCCAACGCATCCTCTGTCTCCGACGCCCGCTTCAATGTACATGCTAGGGAGCAGCTGTGGCGCACAAGAAGGAAGACGCAGACGACCCCTTAACCACTTGGCGAGATCTCAGTGTCCAAGCGACTGGGACACGCACTCGACCCCAACACATTCTATAGGCAGATGCCATTGGACAGGGGATTTCACGGGAACGGTGGTAGGTAGCGGTGGGTTTCATTGGTTCTTGGGATCGGTATTTTTTCTAATACGAGCCCAAGGGGCCAGGAAGACTGGATATGCAGCCGAAGCCGTCCATTTACGCCCACAGGTCCCTCTTCCGGAGCGTACCGGAAGCGTAGAAGACTCCGCGCCCGTTCGTCCCCACGTACACCTGTCCTGCCGCGTTTCCGCTGCCGGCTACTCTACAGCTGTCGATGGCGCCGAAGGTCTGGCTACCTTGGAGATCAGTCCACGAAGCACCACTATCTGCGCTACCGTATAGCCTAGCTCCTGCGGATCCCGTGCCGAATGCGTACACATTCCACGTGTTTTCCGATCCTTTCCCGAGCGCGATTTGGTAAGTGTTCTTTAGTGCCGTGGACACTTGGGTGAACGAGGAGCCGTAGTTGGTCGAGTGGAAGATACCTGCGTCGGTCGACACCCACACGTCACCCGCTACCGTCGGATGCGCTGCGATATCACGCACTGCCGTGGCACTACCCAGGGACCCGGCCCTCGAGAACGAGGATCCGGTGTCGGTACTGACGTAGAAGTTGGAACCGGAGCCACCGTAGAAGACGGTGTTGTTACGCTTGTCCGAGGCAACGGCGGCGCCCGAGGGAAGACTCGAGACGGAGGAGAAACTGGCCTGGTACTGGGAGCGCTGCACTCCGTTTGTGCCCGTCGACCACACCAACGTGTCCCCGTTCGCGGAGTATGCTATAGTGCCGCCATTCATATTGGTGTTTGCGCCTGAGTAGACGTACCAGCTTGCGCCGCCGTCGCCCGAGAGCGCGACTTGCTGCGAGCCAGCTGTGTTGCCAACACGGACAATGTTTTTCACCGACGCTCCAGCATAATCGACGCTCAAGGACGTCGACCAGATCGGGTCCATCCAAGGCGTGCTAGGAGCAGTCGTCAAACTAGCCGCATCCTTGAAGGTGAAGCCGTTATCGTCTCCCACAGCAGCCAGCAACTCGCTTCCCCCGGGTGGCGAAATAAGATCTTGGACGGCAAACTCCTCAATGCCATCGGCCAGAGACTCGATCGTCACCTTGCTCGACGATCCCCACTTTGTCAGATCGTGACCGCCGTATACGGTCAAGCCGGTGGCATAGAGCCAGTGGTCACTGTCAAGAGGATCGATAGCCAATGCCTCAATCATCCAACCAAGGTCCTTCGTGTCGGTGTCAATGAAACCCTTCTTTATCCAGGGTGCCTTCGAGGCCTAGAAAGTCGTTTCTATTAGCCGCGCCATCTGCGCTAGATTTCGCAGGAGACTTACGCCGATCGTGTAACGCAAGTTCATTTCCGGGTAATTCCCCCATTCCCAGATCTTGGACCAGGTGGCGCCCGAGTCGGTGGACCGGAAGAGTTGCGCGTCTGGCCACCACGAATTCAAAGTCGCCACCACGATTGTGCCGGGCTTCAGCATATCCACACCGAGGCCTCCGAAGCCGAAGTATAGATCGCTCCCTGACGCCGGCGTAATATCCTTCCACGTGCTCGCCGCGATGTCGTATCTGTACACCGCACCCTTGGTCCCGTCATAGGGTCCGGTCCCGTCACTATAGGTGAGGTATAGCGCCTTTTCCTGCGGTTGGAGCACGCCCTTGTGCGGGAAATAGGTTCCCGGTTGGCCTCCGACGGGGTTCCAAGTCGATCCGGCGTCCTCCGAGACGTAAACGCTTGCGGTCGTGTTGTCCGCCGTACCCACGAAGATTCTCTTAGTAGCACCTCCCGTCGTGCCACTCGTGGAGTCGAACGTCACAAAGGCCAAACCTTGCTTATCTCCATTGTAGCCCCCGACGTCATTGGGGTCCGGGATAAATGTTCCTACTGCGCCAAACGAGGAGACCTTAGAGAAGCTCGCTCCGCCGTCCGTACTCTTCCAAAGGCCATTGCCGCTACGAGCACCGAAATACAGAATCTTGGGGTTGGCCGGGTCGACGGCAAGACGCTCGCCCATGCCACGACCGGGCATGTTGCCTCCGATCTTGAAGGGCAGGTCGGCGACCTGCCATGTGGCGCCTTTATCACTGCTCCGGATGATAGAACCGGGTTTCGGGTCCCTGTTTTTGGGTAAGTAGGGCTCGGTGGTAGTGTCATAGGGCCGGCCGGGACCTACCAATCGTTTGTGTACATCCCAACAGCGGCATATACGGCATTTGGGTTCTGGGGGTCGAGAGCGACAGCATCGATGCCCCAGTTGTGCCAATTGTCGTGGTCAGCAATAGTATCGGTTACCGGCGTCCAGGAGTCGTCGTTCGCGTTCAGTCGGTATAGGCCACCGATGTCAGTCCGGGCATACGCGACGCCCTTAGCTGTGGGATGGAAGACAATGCCAGGGACGAACCCCCCGCCGCCGCCGATCTTGACATTCTGCCACGTGAAGGCAGCGTTTACCCTCGCCGCAGCTACTGCGGCGAGTAGCTGTATCGACGCGGTGAACTTCATCGCCAAGGTTTGCTGTCTATGTAGACCTTCTACTCGGGATTAGGCTCTATATTCCACACATGCCCCTCGAGCGGGTGTGTAGTGGTGTTTATATTTACCTTGGCCCGAGTTGCCTTTACCCACATGCTGCCAGGCTTGTGGGATGATACCTTTCGCCAATCTCTGCACGATCTACTTCTGAGCCAGAGCTATCGGGCAGGGGGTGCAGACTACCCCGGTTGTATGGACGGGATCTCGCGTCGACATGAATTGAAAGCTATGCCGAGCAAGTTTTGCCGTGTCGACGCCGCACGGGCCGGTCCTCCCCCCCTCCGTATCGATATCTTTCCCACAGGCGCAAGCCGAGGGTTGCAACGACGACGAGGTGCAAGGTGTGGAGCCGTGCCAGGCCCGAAGGAATTTCCCGCGAATGGAGTGGCGATCCTGACGATGATTCGACCGGATTCGGCAGGGAGGGCGAGCTTCCGCAACCCGGGGGAACTCCAACCGCCCCTGACGATCCCTCCCCCTGTAACCCGCCCGGCTCGATGGACCGGTTCGGGAGGCTGGTGGGATGCTGCCAACAGTTTCGCTTACGTACACGCGCACGACTGTTATACAGACTTGGTTCCTGGGACCTGGATCTAATTAATATCGTCTGAGCTGCGAACGACTATTACTTATCGCCTGTCACCCTGATTTGCCGGGCGCACGCGTCGAGCTATTACAACGTGAGGTGTCGCATCCCTCTCAGCATGTCGCTGATTGCGTAGGTATGTATACGAGTATAGAGGGCATAACTTTCTAATACCTACCTTCAACCACATTTGATCTTATTCGTCCGCATCGTAGGCTAGCGTAATACCTAATACCCGTCCCTCGGGCACGGAACGCCCGGGGAAGTCCATTCGGTTGATGAGGTAGGGATCGTTTGCCGCTTTTCCATGTGGAAGCAGTAGGTAGGGATAGCGGGTATCAGGAGATAATAGCGCGCATCGATGCTAATAACAAGCTCGCTGTTGGTGGCTTTTTGTATAGCCAGACACTGCGCACATGCCTAGGTAAATACACATCACCTGCTTACTGTGCCCGACAAGAGGTGTGTCAGCCGATCGCGCCCCCCCTTCTAGCGGAGAGGGCAGATGGCGGATATCAATACTGCTCCAGAACCACGCAGGGGGTCAGGCTACCATCATCCTGGTCTCCATATATTGGCCTGGACAACGAGAGACCAAGCTTCCGTAATTTGCTCAAATATGTCAACATTGCATCCCGTTCACACAGTTGTGTTTGAGAAATAACTTCTTCTGTCTCCAACATCCTGCTAGATTTCCATGGTGCTGCTGTCAACACCCTAAGACGCATCGCTTCCCTCTCCCCGGACATCAGGACTTCTAACCAACGAAGTCCAGGTTTGGTCAAAGCTTCAACCCAGGGGCCTTTTGATTCTCTCAGTTGGCCTCCTATAGCTATAGTTGTGCTATAGCAATGTGGTGGAATTAAGTAATTCTTACAGGGGTTTTTATATATATATACAAGTATAAGCTTCACTCTCATTCCTTCACCGTCATTTCCGTAACTCAAAGAAGTGTCACATTGCGGCCGATGATCCGTTTGAGAACTAATCCTCTCAAGCCAGCACTTAAGCTGTCCAGAGAGCAGCCTCAATTCTGGATCGCATTCGTTAACCCCTTTTTTTTCTTTCATGCCGTTCTTAATACCCTTTCCCTTTCTTTTTGAACAGTTCCCGCCTAGATGGCGTTTTCGGTTCTATTATTCCGATATTACTTACCGATCGCAGAACGAAGAGAGGGATAGATTCGCATGCGATAATGTGCTGGATCCTGCCATCTCTTCTGCCTTCTCTAGTCGATCCCCAACTCTCCACAACCCTCGCTGTCCTACATAAGGCTATGCTAGCTCATATATTATATAATAGAGGAAGATATAACTATTAGGAGGCGTGTTGTGCACCACAGCAATGTGTAAATTATCTGGACACATGGTACAGGGACGCAGACTGCCCAGGAAGTACCAGTTACCTACACAAACACCGGACCATCTAGAGAGAGGACAGGGAGTAATATTGGAAACATGAAGAGAAAAAGGCTTTCTAGATGGCACGAGGGTTTAGGTTCTAACGGCTACATTGTCTGCTCGGCGCCTTCCAGACTAGCTTCTCAATCCCAGTATAGGTTATATTTTGCCTGCTTAACTCTCCCTACCCTTTGATACCTCCGCTACTCTATACCTACATCTTCTAGTCCTTTGAGACTTAGCCAAGCCATAGATGACCTCGGACTACGAAAGCTAGCACAACAGGTATCTACAGCGGCGGTCTCGCTCTGGTCCTGTTCGACGCCGGATTCAACATCCGAAACGCAATCCTTCCAAGATTTCTTACGATTTATTTTTACATAAATACTCCTCCACCACCCAGTTTGCGAGAATAGAACCGGATCACACCGTGGATGATATGTTGAGGAATATTAGAGCTACAACTCTCGCAGCACTCTCCCGACGCCATCTCTTCCCGCGACGCTCCTCGTTCAATACAGGGACCAACGCGAAGGGAGATGAGAGAGCGAGAAACGCAGATCCGTATTTGAACCGCTGAATACAATGATAAAAGAGTTCCACCCACCCGCATCTCTCCACTCGGTGTGGTCGTCGTTCGTTATGTCCCTAGCTCGTTGTAGGACTGCTCGACCCTTCGGATTTGGTTTGTCGGCGGTCCTTGGCGGACGAGTTTGGCCGTAGTGGCAGATATACATTGGTGACTATCCAGTGATGATTGGGTGAAAGGGGAAGGGGGGTATACTTGTCGGCCGGAGAGGGCCTTGTTGGACAGCCCTTCAGAGTCCAGGGGACGAGAGGGGTCTGTGGTGGTTGTTGTCCCCGAGTGTAGGGCTATCGAGGTCGAGGGAGGGAGATTAGACGAACCGACCGTAGTCTCCTTGGCGCCGCTGGCCTTGTTTCTACAAGTGCTACAGACGTTGGCGTCGTCGGGTAGGGGGTTCCCCCGGCTGCTGCTGACGGTAATGGCCGTGGTGGTGTCGAGTCGGCGGGCGGTGATACACCAATGGGATAACGGTTTTCCCTATTGTTGCGTAAAACGTAGGCGCCTACATTCTACGACTTGTAGTATGTTGGCATATAAGGGCTGGTTCGATTGCTAGGTGACATAAGTACAGTAGCTTATCCCTGATATTAGCACTATAGGATATTCATGTATTAGTGCTATTAATTGCTTAATATCTAAGGGTATCTTCAGATCGTCGTGTCGTTCCTATGCATTGTGGAATCGGCGTATTTGACATCGTAAGCTGAAGGGGGTTAGAAGTTTATCCTTTTTACTAAGCTGGCCTTTCGCGCTGAGGACCATAATTTCGGCAAAGCGCTTTATTACTTGTGTATCTTGAGGATTGGAAAGGCCACGTTTCTTTACATCTCTAACAGATGTTAATATCGGTACTCGTTAAATTCCTGCCATTTTGAGGTGTAAAAAGAAAAGCGAGAAAAAGAAATGTATTGATGAGAGTGGGATTCGAACCCACGAGGGTTGCCCCACGAGGAGGCTATGTTAAGGTGGCCTTAACCTCGCGCCATAGACCAACTCGGCCATCTCACCAATGTCTTTGTTGAAGATGCATGCTGTAACCCTGTATGTGTACTGCAGGCCCAGTGGCAGGTGTGAAAGGAGCACTGATGTCTGTATCTGCATCCCAAATTTCATGCCCTGTGCCGTTGACTTATTACTGTAACCACCCAAGTGTTTGTCTGTTTCCAGTGTTGATTGAGGAGGGTTGGGCAAACTATTGATAATACATGACGTCGAAAGTCCCCTAGCAGTTTTTGCTGCTGATGCTACTGTTTAATACTTCCATTGCTCTCGGAACTCAAAATTCATACCAGATGTGAGGTATTTGTAGTATTCTCTAGTTTCTATAATAGCCTTCATGGTCTGCATTGGTTCTGCTTTTAGTTGCAGGGGTTTCAAGGCATGTGAAAATACCTTGCGTTGGGTTATATCTACTGAGAATAAGCACTTACCTAGACATTGACGGAGAACGGTATGAAACGCTTAGCAAAGACAGGACATTACCGTAGTTTTACATGTAAGGCTACGTGTGCTGTTTGGGGGAAGGGTGGGGAGTAAAACTAGTAATATGTATTGTTAGGAAATACTGTTGTAGAACATTATTGCCAAACCCTTTCACCGATCCTCGCCTACATATCCAGCATCACACAGCCGGCTGCTTCCGAAGTCACTATTAAACGGAAATCCCAAATATTACTACGAATTAACAGCTAGCAAGAAGGGGTTCGGTCTAAGTTAGTTTCGCCGTAGAGTTATAAGTGGTGAAAGTATAAGCATTGTAAATACACACTAGCTTTGCTTTCCCTACAGTTAGGAGCATGTCCGAGTAAATATATCTAACAGGTTGAGTTGTGGGAAACGAGTTGCGTAATAAGGGGGTAGATAATTAAGGTACATCCACGTAACATTGTTACGTTGGTGTGTAGTAAGTAACGGAGAACGCGATGGAGTTATTAAAAGTCCGATCAAGTGGCTTGTCGGGGTCCTACCATGAAAGGAATTCGCGTAAATACACTTCAATGGGACTATGATCATCATCTAGTGTACTAAGTGCCCTCTGGCTTGCTTACTCGCAGCTCTCTATATACATCCAGCCACGTTTCCCACCGCGTTTCTTTACGCAGCGAGTAACACAACAGGTTCGCCATTAGTAACGTTAAGGCAGACATTCCCGTTGCTGTCCGACGAGTACGTCCCGCCGCTGAACGTGTTCTTCCACGTTCGGTTGGAGACTCGCGTGTTGAAGCAGTGGGTTGAGCTTGAGCCGGACCCGCTGTTGGTCGTGAGGACGATCAAGTTGCCCCCGGCGCGGCTCCAGGCGTACGCGGTATTCGCCACGTAGAGATGGACGTGGTCGTTGCCGGCCAAGCCGCCGGCCGACTTCCGGGTGACGGAGAGGCGCGCGATGGCCCAGTAGATCTCGGCGTCGGTGCGGAAGTCGCTGCGCCAGAGGTCCTCGCGGTTCGCGGGGTCGGCGCCGCCGGCGTAGGCCTGCTCGGTGCCGTAGTAGATGATGGGGATGCCGCGGCCGAGGATGACATAGGCCAGCGCGTTCTTGAGCAGCGCGCGGTCGTTCCTCTGGTTCAGCCACCGCGAGTTGTCGTGGTTGTCGAGGAACGAGCCGAGCGCGGCCGGGTCGGGGAACAGCCCGCTGACCCGGTCGAACATGTCCACCAGCGCCTGGCTCGAGCCCTTCTGCTGGTAGAAGTTGTTCACCGGGTAGTACATGGCGTAGTTGAGCAGCCCGGGCATGAGCCCGGCGTACCCCGCCAGGTAGTCGGGGTTGCCGTCGAACACCTCGCCGATCGCGTACACTCCGGCAGCCGCCGAAAATTCGGGCCAGAAGTCTTTCTCGACGTGCTTGACCGTGTCGATCCGCACGCCGTCGAACCCGTACTCCCGGACGAGCCAGCTGATCCACGACTTGAGGAGCGTCCGGATGTTAGGGTCCCGCGTGTTGAGGTCGGGCAGACCGGCGATCCAGCAGGTCTCGATGCTGTTCTGATCCGAGTAGTTGATCTCGCATGCCGAATGGTAGGAGCTTTCGCGATTCAGGGGCTCCGGCCTGTGGCCGCCAATGTTTGGACCCATGTGATTCGCAACCACGTCGACCATCACGTAAATACCCTATTTATCCAAGAATTGCGGGTGAGCATAATCGTAGAAAGCATACGCAAAGAATAGTTAATATATCGCGCGTACCTTTTCATGGGCGGAATTAACCAGAGCTTTCAGGTCGTCTGCCGTGCCATAGTTCTGGTTGATGCTGTATAAGTCCGAGGCCCAATATCCGTGATATCCACCGTTGGTATCTGTTTAATCGCGTCAGTCGAATGGATAAGCAGATAATCCACGATGTATTATCCACACTAACTCGCTACGACGGGCGTGATCCAGATGGCATCGAAGCCCATCCCGGCAATGTAGTCAAGCTTTGACTCGAGACCGCGGAACGTGCCGCCGCAGTAATTCCCGAGGTTGCCGCAGGAACCTCCTCCCTTATCATCGCTGTTGCGGGCGATGCGGTCTGTGAGAGCGAAATAGATATTGCGAGACTTCCACGCTTGCGTGTCCGCCGACAGGGCAAGGGGAATTATTAGTTGAGAAAGCAGGGCTATCCAAGCCCACGGCAAAGGCATGGTGGCGGATGGTACAAGTGACTGTTGGATGAGATATCGAGTCAAGAAATTCGGGAAGCTCGGATCCTTCTTGTAGAGTTTAAGTCATTGAAATCTTCACTGCCGCCATCTACGATGTCGGCATTTATCACAGATCGTGGGTGGATTTCGGCCACGAAGAAGAATCTCAGACAACGCACAAGCAGCGAATGTTCCAGCTCTAACGATAACTCTAAGGCAAGGGCCGCTCTCTCTCTATATATATAGGTATACGAACTACTCCTGCTGCTTATGGCAAGAGCCTGCCACTTGCCGCAACAGGAGATGTTATCACTGATGATGGCCATCACAGGGGGGGACCGAGAGGCGATGGAGCGTTGTCCTCCGTACGGGTCAGCCAAGGGGCTCCACTACCTCCGGTCATTTCGATAATTAACGGGCCGAATTTAAAACATGCAGAGGCCGAGGCTCAAGATTGGGCCGACAGGTCGAAGCCACTGGCACAGAGCCCCGTCACTAACTCCGCCACCCCTGCTGGTGTGGCATTCATCCCCTCCTGGATTTCAGCGACCCGACCTATGACGTGCCAGCCAGGCGAGGGCATCTCAGGGGCCGGCAATTGTGCATGAGCTGATCATCACTCCGCAATGTGTTAGTTACCTGATCCCTGGTCCAATTGCCCTCCTTAGCCAAGATGGCTGTCTGGGTGGCACGTGGGGACCCCGAGGACTTCCCATCTGACTGGGTGCCGGCGGTCTTGGCAAGACAACTCCTAGTCATCTATTCTAATATAGATCATAGTATGATAGATATTACTGGGTCCTATTCCATAGCTATTTCACGGCTTACTGTACCGCTACAGACACTAATTCGCCGCTCTCTTTAATGAGTTTTCCCCTACGTTATAATAGAATGCCTTTTGATTAGCGGCGTAATCACATGTGGTCAACTTGTACCAGCACTCTTCCTATTAAATATTAATGGTCATTTCTGCAGTTTCAAACGCCCGTCTCTTCCCCTAACCCCTTTCTCCTGCTCAGCATCTCATTATCAACGCCGTGAAGCGTTCTGCCAACACAAGAGACCCAAATCACATCCTCGTCGGCATTCCCTCGCACCATCGGGCCTTTTTAGCGCTGTTGCTTTCTTCTGCGAGGGCATTTCCTGTTGTTTCTATGAGTGTTGGCATGTAATAATACGGCGCAATGCTCGGCGGCATGTGCAGTTGCTAAGACGCCCAGGGCGTATTTACGGGGTTAACCTGCACATCGCCTTCTCCAAATACGACCGAACAACATACCATCGTGCCCTTTTCTAGAGGCTCCACGATACATCTGCTCTCTCATACTCGTCACCACGGCCAAAACAACAAGGAGGATTAAAAAAAAAAAAAACCTTTGTTAGTTTCGCCGAACGGCTTCCATTACCAAGGCCGTCTGGGGATGTGGGGCATTGCGCAATTTTCGCGGCCACAGCCATGAATGGTGTAGTCTGCATATAAGCATAACGTTCGGGGCATACCGCGGCTCCAGGATGTTTTGACACGGTGTTCCCCAGATTTTCAGCTTCCCCAGTTTCTCCAGTTTCTTCTACGGACATATGTAGGCATATATAGTGGTTGTCACATCATGCATGGGGAGTTGGGAAGAACCGCCATGATTAGCTAACATCGAAGTGGGAATCGACCCGAAAAGGGGCACAGCATGGACAGCGTAGGATTGCCCAAGCAACATGTCGTATCAGGCTGTCAAGAGCAAAGAATCTGGGCCGAGGCTCCATAACTTATGAGACGAATAATACCCGTAGTATCATGTCCCATCACATACGCCCATAAACGTACCTAGTACCAATATCTCTACCGTTGGTCCGGTATTGAGGCAATAGTTCTGAGTGAACCGCAGAGCGGTCGAAGGACGTGGGAGAGTTGCCTGATCGCTTGAGTCGTTTCGAGGCCAGTTTGGCCGATTATAAGGAGGTCCTAGATCGGCAGCTAGTTTGCGACCGGGCTCGCTGTTCTTCAGAATCAAGCTGTCGGTGCGGAGCTACGCCTGGTGGGAACTCTAAAACGAGAAGATAGCCGTCAGGCCTTACCACACGTCGTATATTATGCAATACGTCGTCGAGGTCTGGAGTTGAACGTAGTGATAGAAACGTGACGAATAAATCGTGCCCATGTTCCCTCTTTGCCAGACAGTACGACACAGCTGGGTCGGAAGCTGGCTTACGCCTCTAATTATGGGAATCAGGTTCTTCCCCAAACTCAGGCCGAGCTTTCACAGCGGCGGTCTATCCCTAGCGAGCGTAGACGAAAGGCCGCGACCTCGTTAAGGGGAGCTACGATCAAGGCTATGCGAGGATACAGGGCTATGACCTTCTACGATTTGAGCACGTGGATTTGCGACACGCTATACGATAGTCGAAAAAAAATCCCCGTCATTATCGACGATCTGTTGAGCTAGTGGGACACAATCTAGTCCTTGTACCTGGGGCATAGGGTGACTAAGATCTCTTAGGGGGACATCGATATTATACACCAGTAGAGTATGCGCCGTATGATAGGGTTAAGGAGATTTAATCATAATATGAAAGCAGCATCCAACGCTCGGGGATGCATCGAGAGACTCGTTAGCTCGACCTCGATGATAGATCCTGTCGCAGTGCCGAGCTTTCTCTCCACCCCGTCCGATTCTCTGAACGAGACGAAACGTCCGAAACATCGAGCTCTTAAAGAAACTCGCGAAGCTCACATCCGCGGACAGGTACGAAACTTGCACACCGAGAGCATCGAGGGGTGAGGATCGTATCGGAGGGTCGGCCTAAGCGAATATGTACCCGACCACTAGACTGAGCTCCAGAGGATCGGTGCCCTGCCCGGACGTCGCATAGAACTGGGACTCCGCCTCGATCACGTCCTCACCATACTTTGAAATGTTTGTGAGCAAGAGGAGAATCCCTATGCTTATATCGCCATGCTCGAGCACGATCTCCGAGGCGACGTGAACGCCCCGTATTTCAATGATATTACGTAGATCGGTAGAGTTACGTATGGAGCTGAGGTTGCTCTGCCGTGGGAGGAATGGAATGCGGGTTGAAGAAGTTAAATTGACCAACTAGCTAACTAGGAAGGAAATGGACAAAGGAGATACGAGCTACCTAGGCAGGTATATATATACAGGAGGGAGCTACAAGCTATGTTTGGTAAGCGAGCAACCAGTGAAGAAGTAGAGAGCTAAGTATAGGTGGCTCTCTACGTGACAGGTGAGAGAGCCTTTCCGCAGAGAATATTCGGCTTCGAGCACGCTAACCACATAGCTAGCCGCTGGGGACACGACAGTGTTTTGATACCGGTGGCCCTTGAGCTAGAGAACTTCAGACACCCGCAAGATGCGACGCGATCGCATGTCCTCTTCGGTGCTATCGGGGGTCAAGTGACCTAGCAGCCCACAGACTGACCCCGGCCGCGAGCGAACCGCCTTAGCACACCTCGATTGCTCGAGCGCCTCGTACACGGCCTCGAGGAGCAAGCGCATCTGGGATCTGGCATGTTCGCTTCGGCGGGTTTGATGCCGAAAAGTGTGGCGTCAAACCGCCGGTTGGCTCTATCTCCGGCTAGGAAGTAAGCCTCCTGGACGGTGGTGTGGCCATGATACTGCTAGTTCTCGTGGCGGTATTCCTTCAGGACCGACACTTCGCTTGCCACGGCTCCGGGTTCGTGCAGGGGTGCCTAGAGCTTGGATGCCGATGTACATCGCTGGGGAAACGGCGCTCAGTACCGGTGGTGGCAATGTCCCGTTGATCAACAGCCAAGGCAATAGTAACGTGTCGACTTTTAGGCTGGCGTATAAGTGACATAAAGGGCACGAGGGGCACGAGGGGCGCGAGAAGCACAAGGGAGCGGATAGCTTTCCAAACAGCTTCCTACAGTGTGCTCACCAACGATGATGGAAGGTGAGTCTATTACCTATGATTCTTTGCCAGCCCCCGCTTCAGTGAAATAGAAGGGAGGGAGCGAACTGCTGCCGGCCTCCACTGGCTACCTAGACTAGGCCCCCTTCTTATCCCAAGAACCGTGATGGCGTCGCCGTGCTCAGATCAACCGGGTCCTTGCCTAGCCGGGGCCATACCCGACGCCGACTATCTCACAATGTGCATGTATACAGAGATTCTATAAAGTGAAGATGATAAGCGTAAGTAGCTAGGTGTGGGCAGGCGTGGATCCGAAGAGGAGTAGAGAGGCGCATAGAGGAGCATATAAAGCTACATCGCAGGGTTGGGTTGAAACCGGATTGTAATTAATTCTTATGACCTGGATGAGGTAGCATGTGTCTGGCAGTTGTTGTCTGTCGCTGGTTGCTTGCCCAGCCCGGCTTCGACGCTCTCACAATCGGCCTCTCCCAGCAGAATCGAATCATTCGCCAACACATATCTACACAGACGGCGATAGTCACCGTGGCTTTCGGGCTAATTGACGACTGGTTACCTGCGTGGAGGACTCGCCGGCCGAGAAGAGCACCGTCGAGATGGCGCAATCTGTTGTACTCGTCGTGTTCACTCCCCTCAGCATCTCGGTGACGGCGCTGCGCTTCGCCATGACCCGCTAGAATGGGCGGAAGCCCAGCACCGAGGACTGGCTGGCTACCGTGGCCGCTCTGTCTATCACCGGCGTCAACTTCGGGGCATTGATGGGAATAAGGCAGCGGATGCGACGGCCTTCTCTCAACCCATCTGGCCGTCGCCGACAAAGTTCCAGGTGTGGTCTGCAGCCATCAGCATCCCCAACGGACGCGAAATCGAGCAAGAAATCGCCGAAAGCCCAGCAGACTATAAGCGCATACACCAAATATGTCCCTTCAATATTCTACTTGAGGAGAGCTCGTGGAGGCTGTAGGTAGAGATGCACCTTGTTTCCTCTCGTCCCAGTTCGATAGCGCCAATACGTAGGTACCCACTGACATGAAGACTGGCTACTTAGTGGGACATGGTAGGTCTGTATTTCTATTTTGTGCACGCGCTCACCGTCAAGCTCAGCGTCCTGGCGCTCTGCCGCCGCATCTTCGGCGTCAACAAGACCTACAGGATCTGGATGGACGTTCTGGCGATCGCCCAGACTGTACTGTTCATCATATTTTGCGTTTTCTAAGGCCTACATTACCGGTGTTTCCAAAGATATTTCGATCGCGCTGTACCGGGGAGCCACCAACATGACGGGTGAACGATTACCGATCCTACCATAGTGGCTCTAGCCACGTACATGATCCGACCCCTCGAGAGGCCACGGTTCCTTTTCGGCCTCGGCGCCTTATACGCCCTTCTCCAGTGCCGTCCAGGAGCGTAGCTACTAACCGGAATGCTCGATCGAGGGCTAGCCTCATAGGCATCACCAAGATCCCCATCACCTATTCCCAGGAGGACATACCTATGTAGGTCCCCTGTCCCCTTTCCGCCCCATTCTCCTCACACCGGTTCACCATCTAACGAATCCGCCCACTACTATTATAGACCCCTTCAGCATGGTATCGAACCCGAGCGCCGTCCAGATATTTGCATCCATGCTCCGTTGCTGCCTGCCCGTGTTCCACTACAGCCTGCCAAACCGACCACGTTCTAGAGCCAGCTATCCTCACGGCCGATGGGTTGCGAGGCTTGTAGGCACGAATAACGACACACTCGGTCAGAGACTCAGTGAAGCGCAGCAGCTTCAATCCTGCCTGCAAGAAGAGCCAGGGGTGGAAGCACCTCGGCGAGGACAGCAGCGCCAAGGGGCTGGCCTGGCCAGAAACCACGCACCAGGCGGACGCTCGGGCGGTGAGCGACTTCACCCACCTGGGCGTGCACCCAAAAAAGCCTGGCATACGTGTACGAAAATAGTTCGATGTAGTGTAGATGTAGGTGTAGAACCGATCGTATATGTACAGGATTTGTTGGGGGTGTGTTCTTTATACCTACTGACGAAAAGTAGTTGAGGTTCTACAATTTATAACGTGAAAAGAACCGTGCAAGTGGTCCAAAGAGTGCCGACACTTCCTAGAGTCGCCTGCCTGCCCATGTCCGAACAACGCCGGCAGGATAGCCACGCAAGTGTGTCTCTAGGATGATAATATTGTCTAAATACCCCAGCTCCCAGATCGTCGCTATCTCTAACGCCTAGAATGCCTATCGTTCGCAAGCACCCACCTCCTGCCCTAGGATGGGTTTCAAAGTCTACATAGGTAGTCAAAACCCGGTAGCTAACTCGGAGGTATAGATTAACGGGGCGATGGCCTCGGGCAGCTGAGGACGCTATCAAAAAGTATGGCATGTGTTCGGTGAGTCGCAAAATGGGAATTTACTCCCTGATGCTCACAGGTCCATCCAGGTGACGTCGCTCGGATCGCGCCCAGCGAGCTAGTCTTCCCAAAGACGCAAATCCACAATCATGGCAACGACGAGCACGGGGGCCTCATCTAGGAATGGGATCATGTACAACATCGCGAGGCGGTCGAGCAATTGTCACCGGCCTGGGAAGGCGCTCAAGGCTAAGGAGTCGATTCTGCACATAGGTATATGTTAACAATTTCATCGATTGCATGAGAGCTCTAGGCGAGGTGCCCAAGGGCGATGTTTTGCCTACTTTGACGGATTGGGTATGCGTCGACATCTCGGCAGACATGGCCTACATCAGGCAGATGAACGCGCTGAAAGACAGCAAGTCTCTGAGGCCGCTATTGTTCTGCCCTACCTCACCCCTTGCCTGATGGAGCCTCTCCGCGTGATGCCTAACGTGCTTGATAGGATGCCGGCCACCAGCCTCGGCGCCGTGGTCGACAGGACATTCATTCCGAAGGGGGGTGCCCCCCCCCTTCGAAGACCACCCGTTGCACGACGTGCGGTTTGCCGGCGACGACTGCAAGGACTTCCAGCCCTTCAGCCAGGGCCCGCGAATGTGCACAGGCAAGGAGATCGCGTGGTGGCAGAGCGGGCCGTTCATGGCCAAGGTCCTCTGGATGTTCGACCTGCAGTCCATCTCGGGGCACCAGGTCGATGTGCATAGGGACCTGAGGGGGTGGGCCGCATACATGAAGCCCGAGATTCGCGTCAGGTTTGCACCAGTGACGCGACATATAGAGTCGCATTAAGAGGGCTACAGCGGCTCGTAGTTATTCTTCTCAAGGGGAGGTACTCGCACAGGTTAGAGTAGCCACGTGTAGGCGGCATACAAACGTGTAGGAAGGTAGGTATACGAAGCGTGTAGGTATACGCAGCGTGGAAGATGCGGTAACCGGAAGGGTTCACGAGAGGATGCCAGCGACTTGGTTTAGGCGGTTTTGCGTCCGTGTTCTAGAAGGCTGTAGTGATGAGATCGCTGGAGGGATCGGCCGATCTTACGCCTAGGTAGGGGATTCAGCACGTGGCGTGCCGGTGGGCGTTAGACAGGGCCTGTTGCCCTACGGTATGGCACGAGATCCGCTGTACCGGGTGCCTAACCGATAGGTAGTATAGGCGAGGCTTAGGTACTTAGGTACCTATAAAATAAGGCCCGAATTATTCTACTTCGCAGAATAATTCGGGCTTATTTTTAACGTAAACGCTAAAAATAATAACCTATCCGGAGGATAAAGAGATATAGAAAGTATACTTAGTTTATTTAATACCGATTTTTAGAGCTACGAACTTTATTTATTATAGAAAACCTAGAAAACGTAAGAAATTATATATAGAAAACTTATAGTTCATACGAAACTATCTTTTATAAATTCGAAACTAGTTTAAATTTTTACGTTAACGTATATTATATTAAGTAAAGCGTACATTATTTACGATAAAAAACGTATATAATAAAATAAATTTAAGAAGAATAAAACATAAAAGAAATCTAGTATAAAAAAATTTTTTTAAAGTTAAAATTACGTAGGTACGTAATTTCTATATTAAAAAAGGGCGCTATGCCTAATAAAACTACGAAACCCTTAAACTTATATCTTTATTACTTCTTTTTACGTTTCTTTTCTACTTTTTTTTACGTACCCGTATTTTTTTCTCGTAATATACGTAGGATTTCTCGTAATAATTCGTTATTAAAAAAAGCGTTAATATCTAATCTTTATTACTTTATAACCCGCTCTTCCGCCTTCCGGATTACCTTTCTAGTTTTCTTATAGACTTTATTAAAAGCCTACTTTAAATTAGAATTTCTACGCTAGCGTACTTTATTACGTATTAACGTACCTTTTTATTAATTTTTTTAGAATCGAAAGCTTTTTTTAATTCTATAAATTTAGCGAGCTTTAGCTCGGCTTTCCGGGGTACCTTAGTATAAGCGTAATAACTCTTATAATAATAATAGTAGCGATTATCTTTTATACTTATTAATTATCGCGTATACGTAACTTTTTACGTTTTTTACGTTATTTTATATACCGGTTCTTTTTACGTAAGCGTTCGCTTATAATCGATTAATTCGTTTAAAGTATATCTTATAAGGTAACGCTTTTTTCTCGTCGCCGTCGTCGTCGCTACCGTCGTCGTTACCGTCGTCGTTACCGTCGTCGTCGTCGTCGTCGTTATTAATAAGGAAGCGGATTCGGTTTATAGGTAAATTCTATATAATAAAATTAACGCCTACGTATATTATTACTTAATCGCGTACTTTTTTTTATATCATAAAGTTTATAAAGTATAACTTACTTTATAAGGTATACTAGGAAGGGGAGGGTCGCTACCGCCGCCGGCGGCCGCTAAGCCGCTAGTACTACCTATCGTAGTATTAATATTAGTTACGCGGCGGGCGTCGCTAGTCGATAATTAATCGAGGCTTAAGTTAACGAGCTCGGTAATCGAAATCCTAAATATTATTTTAATTAATTAAATCTATCACGCGCGCATTAAATTTCTTACTTTTTTTAACTACTTTAATCTTATTTCATTAAATAAAAGACTACGAAATATCGTTAGCGTTTATTTTAAGCTTAATTAGTTATATACGAAGGTTTAAACTTACGTAGTTATAGGAAAGGTAGGAAACGTAAGAAAAAAGGAAAGGAAATAATAAAAGTAATTAATAATAAGAAATAAGTTATTTTATTTCGTAAATAAGGAAGCGTTATAGGAAGTTACGATTAAAGGAAGGCACGGCGTTAATTACTAAGGAAGTCGCGATATCTTTATACGTTAAGAAGGAGCGACGTACTTTAGGAAACGCTTCGTAATTAAAGTAAGAAAAACGTATTCTTATATAAAAAATAATATATTTACGTTACTTTTATATCCGTACTCTTTACTTCTACGCGGTCTAGCTATATAAAGATTAATTAAAGTATTATAAACTATATTCGCTCGATAAAATTAACGTATATACGCTACTTTTATTCGTTATTTATAACGTTAAAGTACGTTATTTATAAGGATATCGTAGTAAGTATAGAGGTTAAGTAAATAACTATATACGTAAACGGAGATCTTTATCTTTTAACTTAACTTTTATACCTACGAAATATATATTAACTTAAATATTAACGAACGTAAAAAGAAACTTACCATTTATTAGTTCCTTATATACCGCATTCTTATAAAACGGCTCGTCGAATATTAGGCCTTATAACGAGGTAACCTTAAAGTAAGCGACGTAATTTAACCCTAACGCGAATTCCTTCTTTATAATTCTAACGATAGCGTAAAAAATAATAATACCTTACGCTTTATAAACGGTTATTACGTATAAAATAATCAGGGGAAATTATTTTCGTATATAGGAAATACCTTTATAATCGAACTCCTAGCGTTCGCGTAATATTAACATTACCTTTTTCCCTCGAAAATCGCGTAGCTTATTTCCTTAAATATCTTTAAACCCGGGCCTATCGTAATCGTCGAAAGCTACTATAATTACTACTAGCGGCTCGCGTTTAAGATTAACGCCTTACGCTTAACTTATATCGTAAATAAAGCCTTAGGAGTTATTTATAAGCCGTATTTCGGAAGAGATATTACGTAATAACATTACTCGAGCGCTTATATAAAGTAATAACTTAAAGGAAATATTACCGATTAAGTCGCTAAGCGCGTTTAACGCTTTTCGGCCGTAATAAATAACGTACGTTTAAATAACTAACGAATTAAGCGTTACGAAATAATTAAAATTATACTAAAGTACCTCTTTACGCG